TGGATTTTAGATTTATAATCGACCTTATATTTAATTAATTAACCTTGGTTATAATATAATATAAAAGATTTTAAAATAGTAGATTTATTTTTAAATATAGTAGTATAAATATATAAGATAAAGGTAATGTAGACTATAAATTCACCTATTCCTTTATAACCTTTTTTAATAAAAGTAATAGAAATAAAAGAATAAAGATTAAAGGTTTTTTATATTTATATAAAAATCTATATAGTTATAGCTTTTTTAATATTTATTTTCCTAAATAAGTTTATTAAATAATGCTTTATTATATTTTGCTATTAAATCTTTTAAGGTTCTATATAGTGTTAAAATATTATTTATTAATAATTATTTTTAGGGTGGTAAAAGTAAGCAGCATTGATTTACTTTATTATAGCTGAATTATATTTTGAAAAGTATTCTTTAATAATTAAACATCTTTATATAAAGGGCTAAATAATGCTTTAAAGTTAATATAAGCTTATTTTATTAAAATTTTAACTTTATTTTATTTACCTTAAATAGATAATAAAAATCTTAAGTTTTATAATATATTAATTATTAATTAATAGCTTATAATATTTTAAGGATTAATTACCTTTTTATAGCTTTATAGTACCTATATATATATTGCTTTAACCTTAATTAGCTTATCTTAATTAGAATAAAGGGCTTTAAAGTTATTAATTATATTAAACGTTAATATATATTCCGGGCCTTATACCTTTTCTTTACTTTATAATATTTATATATATATTACTTTAACTTTTATTAGCTTACTTTAATTATTATAAAGGAGCTTAAGATTATTAATTATATTAAGCGTTAATATATACTTTAAGCTTTATACCTTTTTATAGCTTTATAGCGCTTATATATATATTGCCTTAACTTTTATTAACTTACCTTAATTAAAGTAAAGGAGTTTAAAATTATAAAAGGCCTATTTTATACCATTATTATTATTTAATTTTATAATAAAGCATTTTATAATATAAAATAAAAGCTTATTTTAAAGTAATTAAAACTGATGCTTATTATATAATGGAGCTTTTATAGCTATATAAACTATTATTATTTAAGTTAAATTATCTTTTAAGTTTTTATTTAATATAAAAATAGTTTAAAAGTATATATAAGTATATATATTATATCCTATTAATTTAATTAAATTTAAAGTTAAAATATATAATTTAATAAACTTATAGTTATATAATGTATTAATTATTTAATTAAAGTTTAATTTATTAATTAGCTTATATATTTATATTAAACTATTTATATTATTAGTTTGGAATAATTTAAGCTAAATGTTTTTATTATTAAAATATACCTATTATTAAAGCAAATAAATAATAAATAAATGCTATTTTTATATTTATATATATAAAAGTTACTATATTAAGCAAAGTGTATAATTTTAATATAAATTTAAATTTAGTATATCTATATAAAATCTTACCTATAATTCTTTATAAAGATAAAGATAATTAGTAAAACTAATTAAAATATACTATAAATATATATTAATTATAATAAGGGTAAAAGGAAATCTATTAAGCTTTTCTATAAACCTTTTAATATTAATATTTATAATTAGATAATTATAACTTAAAGTTATTATAAGGATTTAAAGATTATTATATATTAATATAAGCTTTTTAACCTAAATGTAATTATTTAAATTAATTTATAAAGATTATATTATAATAATAATTAAGCCTTAATATACTTTAAAAAAAAATTAATTAATATTAATTCCCTTATTATTTATATTATTTTTTACTTTTAAGTTATTATAATTATTATATATAAGAAGCTATTTAATATTATTTAATAAGTTAAGCTAAGCTTATATAGCTTTAACTACCTTTTTATAATCCTATTATAAGTTTAAAGTATTTAATTATTTAATATTAAGATATTATTATAATATTTACCTAATTACTTTAATAAAACTTTATTAAATAAATGTTTTATTTTTAATATTAAGCTAAAATATAATAGAATAATTATCTTTATATTGCTTTATATATATAATTATAAGTTATATTTTATTAATATTACTAAGGTTATAAAGAATAATAATACAATAGCTTTTATCCAATTTTAATTTTTTTTACATTTTTACTAATTTTTCTTTTTTTATAATAAAGCATTAAACCTTAAGAATGTTAAACAAGTTAAATATAATAGAGAAGTTTATATATTAAGCTTCTATTTTTATAAGCTTTAAGCTTATTATAAAAATATAACATTTTAAAATAATATTTATCTTTAATAGCTTTTTTAACCTCCTTTTATAATTATTTTTATATGTTTTATTATCCTTTATTATAGATTAATAATATATAAATGTTAAATATATTAAGGAATAAATATGCTATATCCTTTTTATACTTTATTTAATAGCTATAAGCTTATGCTTTTTATTTTACTATTATAAAGTTAAATAAAGGAGCTCCGTAGAAAGCTTTTATAGGAATATTTATAATGTTATATAATTAAAGCTTTAAAGATTATTTATTACTAATTTAGGTACCTTCTTTAAAGTAGAACTTAATTGTATTAGGAGTAATGAATTTTTAAAGTGTCCATTTATAAATAAACTATCTATTGGCCCGGAAGGTTATTTTTTAAGTTATTAAGCTATCCTACGCTCCAATTGCTATAAAGCTAAAAATATTAAATAAATAAATATAATATATCTTTATATTATAATACTATTAAAATATATTATTAATAGTTATTTAAAGCTTAATACTATTTAATTTATTAATATAATAAATATTAACTTAAAAGTATTATAATTTATATTATTTTATTTATTTAATATAAAATTAAATTTTAATATAGTTAACCTTTTAATGCTATTAATTCTATATATCCTTTATATTTATAAAGATTACCTTATTAAGTTCCTATATATAAGAAAGGATTATATAAAGATAAATATTATTAAAAGTAAGGTTTAAAGTAAGGTTATAATTATTTATATTATTATATTATAATAGTTATATTATATAACTTTAAGGTTAAATAATTTAAATTATTTTTTTTTATTATAGTAAAAAAAGTATAAATGCTATAAAGCTATATTATATTAAATAAAACTAGTATTATATTTAGCAATATAAAAAGATATACTTTAAAGGTTAAAACTTATAAAGCTATAAATGTAAAGTATTTTAACTATAGAGCTATAAGTTAATAAGCCCTATATATAAAATATTAAGTATCCTATATATATATTAAGCTTTTTTTATTTATTATTTTTCTTTATTTTTTATTTTATTTTTTTATATATTTAAGAATAGTAATAAATAAGTAGAATAATTTAAAGTATTAAAAGCGAACTTTAAAATGCAAAAATATAAATATAAAAAATGTTATTTAGCTTAAAAATATTTAAAAATAATAAATATATTTAAAATAGCATTAAAAATAATATATTAATAATATAAATAGCTTTAAAAGTTATACGTATAAATAGAATAATTTGGATAGCAGGGTTTTATAATATAAAAATTTTACTTAATGTTTAAAAATAAATATTTTATTCTTTTTTTACTATTAATTAATTAAATATTTAATTATATTTAATAATTAATTAATTATTTAATTTTTCATTAGTTACGAAATTTTTTAATAAGGGTAATCTATTATTGAAAATATAGTTTTAAAGATTGTTAGTTATAAAATCTATACCTATAAGCTATCCTAATCGATTAATGGGCTTAATCCTTAATTAATAGTTAAAATATATTAAAACGGTTTTAAAAGTTTAAACTATTTTAAGGTTTATTTATCTTTATATAAAATAATATATAAATATATATGGACCGTTTTATAATTACTTAATTGATGATTGGCTAAGCTAAGCTTAAAAAAAAGCGGCAAGTATGCTAAGCCTAGTTCATTGCATGCTTGGCATTTGGTAAAACATAGAACCTTTTGTGATAGGGTTTATACTGCTGACCTCTATAGCTGACTCCGACGACATTCACTGGGGCTTCACGCAGCTCTGATAGTTGAATAGACCAGTTATCGCCAGCAACACCATTTTAGGACGGGTTTTGATTTACGGCCGTCAAGATCTGCAACATGTTTCTCTCGATACTCAAACCGTAGTATAGTAGTTCAACTTCTCCGTCATGACAGAGCTTTGAATGTCTTATTAAAAATGACAGTTGTGTTACAGCAAGGCGGAGTTCCTCTCGAACTCTTTAAACCATAATATCATCAATTTCAAATAACTCATGTGCAGTTGCTGTGAAGTTAATTTTACTATGTAAGTATTATAGTGATCAGCCTCTTGCAGGCTAGGTAAGGCACTGCTAGATAGGTACCTAGTACGGACAGATACCTACGAAGTGACAGGGTTACCTAAAAACCTGGTAACAGATTCGGGCCGATCACTAGACACAGCGGCATAATGTTGACATACTTATGCCGGCTTGTTACCAATTGCCTCATTCATTCCGCCTTGCCTACCTACATACCTACCTAGGGAGTGAGTAAGAGGAAACCTTGACTGCATGTAGCCGCTATCAATGTCCTGTATAATAATAATATGTCAAGACAGTAAACCATAGGTACTCATTACGTACCTAGGTAAGGAGATATGTAGCGAAGCAAGATAGACCGCCTAGGGGCCAATGCCGAATGATGATTCTTAGAATTTGAAAGGATCACGATGCTAGCAACCGCCATGACTAAAATCAAAACCCCAACATGTTCCAATCTTCAGCCGCATTTCCCCAACCTCCCCCACAATCAACCAATCTGGGCGGAACGCTTGGTTTTCGCCCTGGTTCGTTCGCTTTCTTTCTATTCGTTCTCCCTCATCTGGTATTCTCCACCAGCTGACTGTAATCTACCCCGGTTTGCCTAGACTTCATACATATAATGACGCTTTGAATTCAAGCCTTACTTCACCACACAATGCGATTTCTATCTTTTTCAACCCGAAATTTTTTGGGGGGGGGGGGGGGGGGAAGATACGGGTTACGTGAGAAAAACAAAAGCTAATAAATCCAGATACTCCGGCATTTCTTCCACTCGCCTCTGTGAATGTATAATAAAGCGATAGACGAATGTACGCATCGTTACCACGCTAAGGGATCGAACCATGTTCCCACAGGCCACGAGGGACCCGGAGATCACCTGCATATGACCATTGACGTAGTTGGCAGGTCAAAGGCCGAATGCCACCACGAAAGCAGGGTCATTGCAATGGCGTGTTCCCGTTGCTACCACCAGAACTGCCAATCCCACATAACGGACTGTACCTCCCCAGCACCCAAGCATTCGAGAGGAAGATCTGTAACTTAATGAAGTTAGGTTAGGCCAGGCAAGTTTATATCATACCTAACTTATACTGTGATGTATAACAGTGGCAATTGCGCGGAATTGCTCGCAGTGAAGTGGAGTGTTATATAAGAGAAATTGTACGGAATCGCTTGCCGTCTACTAATTGCCCCTGGTCGCCTCATCTACCTAAGTATAGTAGTATATCTTTGTTGTCCTCCCTCGACACATTTATTTTACTTTTTCTTTATTTACCTACTCCGCAACATCGGTTCCCTTCAGCTGCCGGTATCAACTCTCGGCTCGCTGATAGGCCACTGTTCGATATGGCAGCAATGCAGCGTCTAGCCACCACTGCCGTCGTGCTACTTGCCGGGGCCTTGCCGGCACAGGCACTCTATCAAAACGGCTCAACCTTTACACCATGTGACTCGCCCGTGTACTGCACGGGAGAGCTTCTCAAGCAGGTCGAGTTGGCTCGGCCGTTTTCTGACTCGAAAACATTTGTAGACCTGTGAGAATGAGAGCTTGGTACCAACTCCGCGTCAAATTCAGCTAACTTATGCAAATGTAGGCCAACAATCAAACCCTTAGATGAAGTCTTGGCGGCTTTCGAAAAATTAGAGAAACCTCTTAGCAATAACACCGCATTGCAGGAATTTTTGTCAACATACTTTGGAGAGGCCGGCTCAGAGCTCGAAGAGGTGCCCGTCGATCAATTAGAGACTGATCCTATTTTTCTAGATAACATCGAAGATTCCGTAATCAAGCAGTTTGTGGAAAAAGTCATTGACATTTGGCCTGACTTGACGAGGAAGTATGTTGGTGCCGACAGTTGCGATGACTGTGTAGATAGTTATATTCCTATAAATCGCACCTGTGAGTACTGACATACCTTGCCCCATACCTGAAACTATCCTTAGGAACTGTGTCCTTTCCCAGCCCCCCAACGACTCGATGAGGAAGGATACTAGTCACTAACTTTTCGATCTGTAGTTGTCGTCGCTGGAGGTCGCTTCCGAGAACCCTATTACTGGGATTCTTTCTGGATATTGGAAGGCTTATTACGAACGGGCGGTAGCTTTACTGAAATATCTCGGTATGGTGGTACGAGTCTATGATAATGAATACATCCAATATTGACGCAGCATGCAGAAACATCATTGAGAACTTTCTTGATTTCGTTGACCAGTTTGGCTTTGTTCCCAACGGCGCACGAATCTACTACTTGAATCGATCTCAGCCCCCGCTCTTGACGCAGAGTAAGTAGTTTTCGTGCTTCTCGTCCTTTTGATTGGGTGAATTTGAAGGCATTAGCACTCTTCTCTAGTTAGAGTCCTATCTTGAATGCGCTTACGCCTTACAAATATATACATACATATATATACTACCAACTTGCAATGACTAACTGATAATGCATAGTGGTTAAGACATATGTTGAGTATACGAACGACACAAGCATCTTGCATCGAGCCTTGCCGCTTCTCATCAAGGAGCACAGCTTTTGGACCACGAATCGGACTGTACAGTTCACAGTCGACGGTGAAACACATTCTTTGGCACAGTGAGTTACATTTTTGACTCGATGATGGTTCAAGGCTGGTCACTAATCTCTCGCCTCAAAAAGCTATGCGGTCGTGAACACTGAGCCTCGACCCGAGTCATATCGTGAGGACTACGTCACTGCAAACAACAGATCGTATTACGCCCAGTCAGGTATCATCTACCCAGAGACGCACGCGCTTAACGATTCTGAAAAGGCCGATCTGTATGCAAACCTGGCTTCGGGTGCCGAGTCGGGTTGGGATTATACCAGCCGTTGGATTGCAAACCCGTCTGATGCTGTGAACGACGTTTATTTCCCATTGCGATCCCTCAACACGGTAAACGTCATTGGTGTCGATGTAAATTCTATCTTGTACGCCAACGAGATAGCTATCGCAAATTACCTCAGAGATGCCGGTGATGATACCACAGCCGATGAATTCGAGGAGCTAGCGAAGAACCGATCCGCTTCCATGTTTGAGTTGATGTGGAATGACAAGTACAGCAGCTATTTCGACTTCAACTTGACATCTAATGCCCAGAATGTGTATACCATTGCAGACGAGGATACGACAGATGAACAACGGGCGGATGCGCCTGATGGCTATCAGATCGCCTTTAGTCCTGCACAGTTCTACCCTTTCTGGCTTGGTGCCGCGCCTGTTCAGGTGAAGAACAACCCTCTCGCCGTCAGAAACGCCTACAAGCGCGTCGCGGCCCTTTTGTCCGACAAAGCTGGTGCTATTGCTTCCACTAACCTCAAGACAGGCCAACAGTAAGTGGCATCCCATTCTTCTTAGTCACAATATTCAGGATGAACGGCCTTCGATTTGATCGCTTAGGCCTATACTCTGATGAAATAGCATAATGGATGAAGAGATGTAATTACTAACTATCCTTAGATGGGATGAGCCGAATGTTTGGCCACCGCTGATGTACGCAATCATGAAGGGCCTGCTCAACACACCAGCCACCTTCGGGAAAGAGGACCCGTATTATATCGAGACGCAGGACTTAGCCCTTTCATTAGCACAACGCTACCTCGACAGCACTTTCTGCACATGGCGATCAACGGGCGGTTCCACCGACGAGCTGCCTCGCCTCGGCGGAATCGAGGACCCCGAAGCACAAGGCATCATGTTTGAGAAATACTCGGACGCGTCGATCAATGTAGCCGGCAGTGGTGGTGAATACGAAGTCGTCGAGGGATTCGGGTGGTCCAACGGCGTGCTCATATGGGCCGTGGATACCTTTGGTAATAAGCGTACGTCACCCGCCCCCTGATCATAATTATTAGCTTTCCTTGTAATTTTTGCATCATCTCTCCTTTTGCTAACTGCGAACGTAGTGAAACGCCCGGATTGTGGCGATCTGGAAGCGGCCGATCTCGACACGAGGGAAAGCCAGAGGGCTGTTTACCTGTCTCGTATCGACGCTCGGTGGACGAAGAAGTTTGGCAGGAGAGCTCAGTAGAATGAATATGGTCAAAGCGTTATAGATGTATCTGCTTCTCTATATGCTACAAACAACCTAGATTAGAATGCTGTTAAATAATCATACCCTTTGTGGGCAATATCTAATGGTTTTCATTATTCTATAATTTGAAATCTCCTATACTCATTCTTGCTCAGAGTCATGCAACATTTAGACATATGTGCCCCTTTAATGTAGATTGCCTTCTCGAATTATATGGCTATGTGAAACGAATAGTACGCTACTTCGCAAATTAACCACACATCTGCCTCTAACCTCTTGGAGAGCGGATGATAAATTCAAACTTGTACATCAGCACGAATAAGCCCGAACATCTCTTCGTTCATCGCCTTGCCTTCCTTGACAATAGCCATCCTCCGGGTCCCCTCCTTAACGAAGCTAGCTTTTACGAGCACACGCTCACTTGCCTTGTTGCCTTCGAAAACAGTAGCCTCGATGCGCAAGAGTTCGGGGACGTTGGCAAAAGCCCATCGTGTAAGAGCCTTGACAGCTTCGGTCATGACTAGAAAAATCAATTAATGGACAATTCAAGCATAATGAGGACAGATGTAAATAGGCGATCTGATTGCTACCGCTTCCCATCCTTGTATATCCGATCCGCAATACAGATAGGTGAATCTAAACAGTGGTCAAGAGCAATGTGAGCGATTACTTACTCCCTTGACCCCAGAACTTCCGCGCCACCCAGTACCCAAGCTCCCGCGTGCCACCGTAGATGGGATCGCCCTTGGGCGGCTCGAGCGACACGGTGCCGGCGACTTCGCCCGCCTCGACGGTGAAAATGCCGAAGGTCAGCGCGGGCGGAGCGAGCGAGTTGCAGTGCGCAATGAAAGACTCGGCGTCGGCCAGCGTGTACGGCGACGGGAACCGGGACCGCAGGTACTTGGCTAGCTCTGGGTCGTTGGCGGCTGCCGACATAGCCTCTGCATCTGCGGCCTCATAGCGCCGCAGATAGAACTTCTCGGTTGTGAGGATTGCTGTGGGGGGGATTGTGTGCGGCGTGCCGGTGGCGGCTGGGGTGTTGTTGCTCTGAGTTGCCATCTTCTCTTTCCGGGTGTTGTCGTGATTTCTGATTTACTTGGAAGCGGTGATATTTATCGTCACTCGTATATTGAACAGCGGTGCTGTTTTATTTTTTGAATCTCTATCAGCGAGCTGATCTGAAGAATCTCATTGGTGTTCCTTCAAGTTCCAAGAGCGATTTGCTTGAATGGTATTGCTGTATTCGTCCACTCTTTCAAACTTCCAAATAACATGGACATTGCAGAGAGACGATAATGAGCAAGTTGCACAGTTATACCCAGTTCCTTACTCACATAGTGAAGGGTCAAGAGACATCACGATCACGGCATGAGTCACTCATCCGATGTAAGCAAACATGACACACACTTTGATAGTGTCGTTGCATCTATATTTTGTGATCTATCTATATCTCCATTAGGCAGTTGCGAATCATTGCTTTCTAGCTGAGGTTGATTCAATGATGAATCATATTACAATCCATAATATTTCCAAGTGGCCATGGTGTTGCGTGAGCTGGGCAGACGGCTCGAGCGCCACGTTAGTCGTAGTCGATGTTGTGAGTCCGTGTCCACTCGATATCTAGAGAGCGTGCATGCGCAACTACTCCAAGTTTATTATATACCTAGGTCAACTAGGTACCAAGTAATACTCCAATTGACTTTGCAGATACATAGACCCTGGATTGAGATCTGGATTGGGATCAAAGGCACGTGGAGAATCGAGATGGGCTCAGGGTGGTAATCCTTAGGAGGTAGGTACAGGTACGTGGACTGGAGCAAGGGTGCCTGCAGGCCCTGTTTAGGGAAGCTCAGGCTAGCTCCCAATTGGCTAGATTGATTGGTTCATCCCTGGAAAGCGAAGGTGGCCTTTCGTGCCGGCTGTAGTGTACTTGTGCTCTATTTCCAAGCAGCATCCCTCTCGAGGCTCAGGTCAAGCAGCCTCAATTAGCCAGCTGTCTTCACCAGCTTCAAATCCTCCCGATTCCTTCCTCTACTGAAAAGTAGTCCACCCCGTACTAGTCCCACGATATATTATCCGCGACGATCAACCCACATTGCCACGCGCATTCGATTCGAGGTCGACGTTGTCGCATCCGCCATCTTTGTCTTCATGCACGCGCGTTGCCTCTGTCTCATGTCGCATATGCGGTGATCTGTCCCGTTTGCTATTGTTCGTTGCCAGAATCTGCCGCCGACCGCTAGCCTCGCATATTAAGCTGTCTGGATAGCCGGGGATACTTTCGCAAACCTCCATTGAGCAGCTTACCTCCGGATCGGACTACCGGCCATGCCTCCAAAGTCGAGGTTCACCAGGCTTGATGCCTTTACTAAGACGGTCGAAGATGCAAGGATACGAACTACTTCTGGTGGCATTGTCACAATCATATCCGTGATTGTTGTTCTCTACCTTGCTTGGGGAGAATGGTCCGACTACAGAAGGATTGTCATACATCCTGAGCTCATTGTTGACAAGGGACGGGGTACGTTTCTCATATATTCTTGATTCGTCAGCTTGCTAACAGCCTTGACAGGCGAACGCATGGAAATCCATATGAACGTTACCTTTCCGAAGCTACCCTGCGAGCTCCTTACCCTCGATGTTATGGACGTATCTGGCGAACAGCAGCATGGTGTTTTACATGGCGTGAAAAAAGTGCGATTGCAGCCCGCCTCGCAAGGTGGACGGGTTATTGATATTACTGCGCTCGCGCTGTCAGTACAAATTTCGACGTGATTGCACTTCTAGTGCGTCCTATCAGCATCACTAACAATCATCATAGGCACGATGCGAATGAGGCAGCTACTCACTTGGATCCGGATTATTGTGGCTCTTGCTACAGTGCCCCGGCCCCGTCCAATGCAGCTAAACCAGGATGTTGCAATACTTGTGACGAAGTACGAGAGGCATATGCGCAGGCATCATGGGCTTTTGGTCGTGGCGAAGGTGTTGAGCAATGCCAGCGCGAGCACTATGCCGAGAAGTTGGACGAGCAGAGACATGAAGGCTGCCGCATCGAGGGTGCCATTCGCGTGAACAAGGTGATTGGAAACTTTCACTTCGCTCCAGGAAGGAGTTTCAGCAACGGCAACATGCACGTCCATGACCTGAAAAATTACTGGGACAGCCCCGTGAGGCATTCATTTGAGCACGAGATCCACCAGCTCCGATTCGGACCCCAGCTTCCTGAGGATGTGACCAAGAAGCATGCCAAGAGGAGCCTCTGGACGAACCACCACCTGAACCCGCTTGACGAGGTCAAGCAAATTACCGACGACCCCAACTTTAACTTCATGTATTTCCTCAAAGTTGTGCCTACGGCATACTTACCTCTAAGCTCATCTAAGTCGGGCACATCAGACCGAACTGCGGATGAAAATGTCTGGTTAGGCAGTCTGGGTAGTGGCTTCGACGGTAGCATGGAGACGCACCAGTACTCTGTCACCAGCCACAAGCGAAGCTTGAACGGTGGCGATGATGCAGCTGAGGGCCACCAGGAGCGCATGCATGCCCGAGGTGGTATCCCAGGCGTGTTCTTTTCTTATGTAAGTACCCCAATAACGGATTGGGATGCCGTGTTTTGATCCAGGCTGATATGAGACATTATAGGATATCTCGCCAATGAAGGTGATCAATCGGGAGGAGCGAGCCAAGACATTTTCGGGTTTCCTAGCAGGTCTCTGCGCCGTACTTGGTGGCACGTTGACAGTAGCGGCAGCCGTAGACCGAGGTGTATACGAAGGGGCGACGAGGATAAAGAAGCTTCAGTCCAAGAATCTATAACGCATCACGCAGCCTCCGAACTACTGTTCTTGTCAGTGTAGATTATGTAGTCGATTAGGTCTAGGGTTGGATTTTGATAGCTGTGCATTCATATGGAGTTGGGATTTTTCTACATAGTTCGAGTAACGGATCCAATCTTTGTTCCATCTTCCTTTATTTGTCTTGACATTCTACAACGGTCACATGGCTGAACTCTATAGGTATCTGCTTACATGTAGTGGAGGCGTAGGTACCTAAACTCGAAAGATGATTGAGTACCTAAGGTTTTTCGCCGCATTTTCAAAATTAAGACCTTCTAGGGGCTCCAAGGTTCATGTCGGCGTCCTTTAAGTTAAGCATAACTGACCCCAGATTCTGCGAGCTGCCAAACTTAAGAGTAGTTAGCCGCTACAAGGTACCTAGGTAGTTCATAGAGAGTTTTTAAAAAGCCCAGTGTCAGATGTAGAACTGTAGGAATTAGATGTTTTCGATGGCGTGTGAAACGACCCTTGTCTGGACCCCTTCTTCTTGAGCACACAGGTACATATGTACCTATTTTACCATATACCCAATTAAGGCTAGACTTGCATGGCGGTAGTGGTACTTGGGCTCATTTAGGTAATTAGGTAATACTACCTAGGTAGGTAGATTCTGTTAGATGCGCTATGCCGCTCTGATGCCGCTGCCTCCAGGACGCCTCTGGGGCGCCGCCAGGGGTTGCTAATGTACCCCATAGACGGTATCATTAGGCCAAGACCAGACCCCATTCTTTTCGTCCAGTAACAGGTCATTTGACGTGTTGTCCGCTAAATTACCCCCTTTCTTCAGCTTCAACAACCACCACCAGCACGAGGACATTTAATCTACCTGCCCTAGGTAATCAATCGATCCGCCAGTCAGTCAATCGAGTCGTCCCAATCACTCTGTCTCCCAACCCGATTGTTCATCCCTACGTCAATATCGCTATCTAGTCCGCTCCCGCGCCCTTTTCCTCGATAGCCTCAGCCTCAGACGCCCGAAACCTGACTGTGATTCATCCGACTCCAACCATCATTTGTCACGAAACCGCTCTGTGCCGCTCGCTGTCGACGATCCCTCGTTCCATGGAGGTTCTACCGCTCGTCTTAGGCAGCATTGACCTCATAATTCATGCATCGTCCAGCCCGGTTTACTACTATCAGAGCGGATAGCAATACTTTCCCACTTGATCCTCGTGCGCGTTGCATTTGCCCTTCATTTTGCTCCTGTTAGGGTGCAACACGATAGGTAGACCCTGATGTGGTCTTGATGACTTGTAACTTACGGCACCTTCCATTTCGCACCTCAGCCTTTCCAACTCCGATACCAGATTGATTCACCTTGTCTGGCCAACATTTGCCAGTATTCATCATGGCGAACCCGAACCGCCCCAACTTTATCGACCTACGCTCCGGCTCTTCCAACACGGTCCACACCATGTCCTCGCGCGGCCTTCGATCTCCACGTCTGCATGTCGCTGGCGAAGTTCCACCTGCGTTATCACCTCTCGATGCCTTTGCCCTACAGAGCCGCCTGCTTGCCAAACAATTAGAAGAGAGTGCGAAGAGCGGCAACCGAGTGAGCCGCCTTCCTCCATTGACCACAGAAAGTCCTCTGGTTGTCCAAGGCCGCTCTGAGTATTTCCGCTCCTTATCTTACGACTCGACCGATGAACAAGATGGCCTCTCTCCGAAGCAGCCCGCCGGGCTTGGTCTCACCACTGAAATTGAAACCCCTCAAGATCGCCCACGTTCCGTGCACCCGCGAATGAGTCGGATTCCTCCCACCCCGGACGAGTCTATACCAGTGCCCCCAAATCCATTCAAAGATGGTCTGCGTGGTCGTTCGCTACAGAAACTTGACGAGAATAATGGTATGTACGGTGCACGCAGGGAGCAATCGCCCGGTGATCTCGAATCGGAGCCTCGGTCTGCGGGTCCTCAAGGAAGTATAGGGCGTGCATCCCCGTCACGCGGGCGCTTCCCAGCATCGCCCGAGAAGCTCACCAAAACGGCTTCAAACGAATCAGCTAGCCTGGTTCCGCCTCCGCCTATGTTTCCAAAGCGCTCGTCGAGCATCATGTCAGCCCCTCTAGATACCACCTTCCCCCATGAAGAGAATCTCAGTGCGTCATTCCACTCTCAGCCTCCGCGGAAACTGTCATCTAGTAGTGCCTTCTCTGGTCCAGTACTCGCATCCCCCATTGCCCATTATCAGAGATCGCCTTCAATCAGCTCAGAAGCATCCGCACCGCTGCCGCGGCCCTCGTTCAATTTCTCGCGTCCGCTAAGTCGCGCAGGTACGCCGACATTAGATGCGCCGTCCCGGCAGGCGTCCTCAGATAGCCACCCTTCGTTTATATTAGCTGATGATACTGCTCATACACCCGTCAGCATGCATAGCGATGCCTTTGCAGAGGGCTCCGTAGCTGGGGGAGACCCGGCACCGTCATATATCTACTCTAAATATTCATTGCCACGTGGCAAATCACTGCAACGAAACTCTACTCTATTTCATGAGGCTGAATCACCGTCCTCTTCATTTGCTTGGGAACCACCTGCGTCAGCAGGAAATAGACAGGCTCCTCCATCTCCTCCCACTCGGCCTTCCAGTTCCTCCTCCCGATACCAAGATGGTGTAGTCATAGGAGACCCTCTTGTAGGTCGTCCGTCATTAGAACGCAGTAAGCTATCCACTGAGATGTCGGCGGATGGTGAGCCATCTTCCAATATCAGTCGGCCATCAACTAGAGATAGCAGACTGTCTACGGACATCCCTAGAGGGCGAACTTTGACTTCAGGCAGCCATGATCAAGCTCAACCAAGAGCCCGAACACCTATGTCTGTCTCCACGAGTGATTCCGCCAGTACTATCAAGCCAGCCAGGTCACAACATTCTTCTGCACCCACCGCGGCCGAGATGAGCCCAGAGGAACATCTAGCCAAGGGCATCAAGTGTCATGAGGAGGGGTCTGTGAAAGAATCAACCTACCATTTACGCCTTGCTGCACTTGGTGGTGATCCCACAGGCATGCTATTATATGCTCTGGCCTGTCGACATGGCTGGGGTATGCGACCAAATCAGAAGGAAGGCGTTCAGTGGCTTCGGAAAGCCGCCGATATTGCCGGCGCAGAAATTGCGGAAGATGAAAATCATGCTAAAGAAGGCAAAACCATTGATTTCATGGAGAACAAAACCCGGAAAGCTCAATTTGCGCTCAGTATATATGAATTAGGTGTCAGCCATATGAATGGATGGGGTATTGAACAGGACAAAGCGCTTGCACTTAGATGTTTTGAGATTTCAGGAAGTAAGTTCTGCCTACGTCATATTGGTAAGGATCAAATTACTAAGCACTTCACAGGTTGGGGTGATGTAGACGCACTCACAGAAGCTGGTTTCTGTTATGCGCAAGGCATTGGTTGTAAGAAGGATCTCAAAAAGAGCGCCAAGTTCTACCGTATGGCTGAAGCAAAAGGCATGAGTATGCCTGGGAATAGTTGGTAAGTTCCGTTCGCGTCCATTTGTGCCCTCCAAGTCGTTAACACATTTATCTTAGGATACACAAGGCGAAATACAATGATGACACAAGCAGCATAAAGTCGGGTAAAGCGAGAAGCAAGTCCAAAAGTCGAGGGATTTTCGGCAAGAAGTCGAAGGAAACTACATCCTAAATTCTCCCTAAGGATCCATTTCGGTCATCGTTATCCGGCGTTCATGGTTGCGGAGGTATATCTCGACAAAACTAGCGTGTATACCGTGGTCATTTGACATGGTGGCCAGGGGAACGTATCACAGGCATTATATCATCGTTCATATTTTCATTCGATATATTATATTCGACTTCGAGGCGAACAGTATCGTTGGCCAATATTTATTCCTCTACACGGTAAGAGGGGCCAAAAAGTCCTAGGCATCGAGATTTCTTTATGTGTATATTCAGGCATTCCATTCCGGGAGGCTAGCTGAAATGCAGAGGCGTTCAAACAACCGGAGGCGCAACGGGTATCAGGACAACATGTCTACAAAAGCATGTAGCCAGTTATAGCTCAGGTTACACCATTCATACTTCGTCACAAAGATGAAGAGCATCATCGTACTCCGACGGCAGTTGGACAATGCACAAGACTCTCAACTAGCTAAGCGCAATATAAAAGTTGGGGTTTTGATCCTCACAGCATTTTATTACGACATGTAATCTAATATTATTGTCAAGAACACGGTCCAATCCAAGTCGTGTGACAAGCCCCTCACTAACGCTCGCAAGGAAGGCGTTGATTAACCTCAGCGTCAGTTACCACGGAATGTTCTCTGCTTCCGAGTCCCTAGTATTACTTTCCGTAAATCCCTGCTGTTTGGCTTTTCTCAGGTTGGACGCTATTTGCGCCCTTCTCCTGCGCTACTTGTTGGAAGACGGCCGCTAATCTCTGTATGGCTTCTTCTCCTATCTGGTAGTGAGTTATGACTATAACAACGAGGATTAGTGAAGTTCTCTACTGAAGATTCAGGGAGACCCTAGATTCTTTCAGGCGTAACACTTACGGCGGTTTCCTGAAAGTTTCAAACCTGCTTCCTGGCCGAGTTTTTGGAATCTGGCCGCACTGCAATTCAATGATTCCAGATCTAGCCAACACATGTTCGTCTCAACGGGGTATTGCACTATAAGAACATTTCAGGTAAGGAATTGGCATTCTGAAAATTGTTTGGGGGATAAATAGGAGTGGGAGGGAAACAAGGGGTCTTGGCAAAAGAAGTTTTACTTACTGCGTCCCCCAAGATCAGTCCACATCTTCTCGACGCGTCGCGCGGTGGTATGCGACGCCTTCAAAAGACCATCCTGGCCATTGGGGTCCTTACCAAAAGTCGTGTCGACAGCGACGCGAGCAGCAGCCGTAACGACGCCGGACTGTCGCAATCCGCCGCCGATGGCCTTGCGCACCCATCTCCCGTGCTTGATGTACTTCTTGGAACCCACGACGATGCTACCAATGGGAGCTCCCAGACCCTTGGAGAAACACAAGCTAATGGTGTCGAAACAGGCGCAGAAATCAAGTAGCGAGCCAGCGCCGGAGACGACGGCCTCCCACAGACGAGCACCGTCGCAATGCATGAGGATAGAGTGCTCGCGCGCAAACGCGGAGATGCGCTGGACCTCTGCGAGCGGCATTATCATGCCGTTGAGGGTGTTCTCGAGACTGATGACGCGCGTTGGACACCCGTGGACGTTGTCGCCCAACACGACGTTTTCTTGGACGTCTTCTAGAGTCAGATAACGTCCGTTGCGAGGCCGGACGGTTATCAAGAGGGCTTGGCTTAGGGAGGCGACGCTGCAGGGTTTCTAGTCAGTGCCGCAAAAGGGGTCGGAAGACAGAAAGAGGACGGGATGAAAAGGAGACTGATGTACCCGCCGGCTTCATATTTATTGATATGAGAATCGCGATCGCAGAGAATGCTGTGAGGTGGCTGCGTGAGCAACGCTCGTAAGGCGACTTGGTTCCCCATGGTCCCAGACAAAACGAAGAGGCCTGCCTCCTTGCCCGTGAGAGCCGCCACGTGCGCCTCGAGGTCTATGGTCGTAGGGTCTTCTTCGAATACATCATCCAGAAGCGTTGTGGTTTGGATCGCACTGAGCATGGCCGCAGTTGGTGTTGTCATGGTGTCGCCTGGGCATGGCGAAGGTTAGGTTCCATTTCAGGTCATGTGATAAAAAGGGGAAGTAGAAGCAGCATCATGATGTCCATGTGTTGTATGCCATGAACGGACTGACTACTCAACTACCACTCACTCCGCAAGTCAAAGGCAGCTGCGCCTTGATGGCCTGCCCAGCTGCTGGCCGGGGCCGCGGCACCGTTCGCGTTGTTACTCATGATGTCGCTGGTATCTCTAGAATTGTCCCAAGTTGCCGAAGAAATAGAGAATGTACGTGTAGAGATTCGCACGGGTATAGTATGGAGCAGAGCAAGTGGCAGGGCGTGGACTCTTATCCTACGACTCGCCGGCGGGGTCTTCGCATGAAGATTCTCGGTATGACCCAAGGGCGTGAGATATACAGTGGGCCGAGCCGAGTTCGGCCGTCCAGTGCGGGAAAACTCCCGAAACCTGTGTGCTCCGGGACGGCAGCGGGCGGGGAGGTGTTGCCGGGACCGTGTTCTAGATAAGAGACTTCTGCTAGGTTTCGACAAGGGGAGCATCTCACCAGACTTGAGTATGCGACGGGAGAGCTGCCTGTAAGGGCAAGACAATATCGTGATGCCCCTCGGCAGGTAGCTGGCTGTATAACGTTACATTAGACTATCTGTTTGGAGATTGGTCACAAATCTGGATAGATGGATGGCGAACTCGTCCCAGTTGAGCCGTTGAACTAACGAATCAAGTAACTACTCGATTTGTAGTACCCGATTGGGCAATGCGCAAGTCCATGGGTCCTCTTCCCCAGACCTACATACGTACTTTAATGTATGTATTATGTAAGGAATATAATGTTGTAACAAACACCAGAAATGGTCCACCGACTTCCTAGGAAGTCAGTCTAACTATGTACAGACTAGACTAGCGTGGCATGCATTTACATAGTACTTCGTACTATGTAGTTTCTATTGTATCTTCCCTGGGGTTGCTTAATTAATGTCTTACTTCAGTATGTACCTACCTAGGTACAATCCTGCAAGGCGAATGAATACCGGTACTATGATTGGCTTACTCAGTACCTGGCATTACTACTTCAGGACCAACAGTCCACTTTGGTTTCAGGGCCGTTCATTCGAACATTTAGCCATCCTCACCCCCTACCCCTGAACGTCAAAGGGTAGAATATGCCTGTTATTCCCTAGATTCATGGAATTCTAGCTTAGGATTTACTATCCTTCCAATATCTTATGAATAACAATTTCCATAGCTGGAGTATTTTTAACGGGTGGCTATCATTTCACATCGGATCAATGCCCCTGCGGTAGGGACATGCCATCTCACTTCCGCCTCGACAGGCGGAGATGTACTCGCTTGACCTTCATCTTCGGCTTGGTCCTGATCTTCCTCCTATGGCTGAACCCCAATTGGATAGACACATCTGTCCACCATGTCTCCCGCTTTGACCCGCGTGACGTAGATCTGGCAAACCCCAATGCGGTCCGGAATCTGTGTCGGCAGCACGGGTGGAGCCCGTTCAAGAATGCCCAGGATAGAAAGGTGTTCGACCTCATCATGGTCAACACGGAGCTGGAATGGCTCGAGATTCGCCTGAACGGTACCTATGACTACGTCGACTACTTTGTCATTGTCGAGTCTAGTAAGACATTCACCAACCGCGACAAGCCTTTGTTCATCAAGGATAATATGGACCGCTTCGCCGCTTACCGCGACAAGATCATTTACCACCAACTGGAGATCCCGGATGGTTTTCATTCCGACCGTGCGAACCCGGCCTGGGCCTGGGAGGACCTGCAGCGAAATGCTATGTACGACCAAGTGCTACCACGCTTAACCGGCGCCAAAGCACCCGTCGATGGGGATGTTCTTATCGTCGCCGACGTTGACGAACTTGTGCGTCCCGAGACTATAACAGTGCTTAGGGCATGCCAATTTCCCCGACGGCTCACTCTGAGAAGCCACTTCTACTACTACAGCTTCCAGTTCATGCATGTCGGTACGCAGTGGGATCACCCGCAGGCTACGTATTACCAAGGCTGGCGGACAATCTTGCCAGTGAACCTACGCAACTCGGATGGTGGGTTGCAGCCGCTTATCAAACTTGAGAAGGGTAATCTGTGGAGCGCGGGTTGGCATTGCTCGACGTGCTTTTCGACGATAGAAGAGGTTCTGACCAAGCTTTCTTCATTCTCTCATGTGTGGATGAACCACGAGGCCTACCGCGATCCCGACCGCATAGCCGATCGGGTGCGAAACGGAAAAGACCTGTGGGATCGCGAGGGACAGTTCTACGAACGGATAGAAAACAATAGAGACATACCAGGCCTTCTTCTGGCGCAGCCAGATCGGTTTCCGTGGCTGACCAACCGTGATGGCCCGACCGCTGGCTTTTTAGACTATCCGGAAAAGAAGACACCGGTTTCTGAGTAGGCGCCCAGAGAAAGAACAGGCGTTCTACAATAGCTGCCATCCTGTGTCTTTAAACAGAGATGATGACTGGGACGCTTTCTCTTCGAACCCTACATTCTCTTCCCCGGGACATTGGCTGCCTTGGACCTGCATAATGCCTCCAGATTGGCACCGGGAAGTGCGAATATTCAATATGTATACCTATTTCATCATCAACGGCTACATTGTCCGTAGCCTATATTTTTTTTTCCCCGTTCTTTGCCGCAATCAGTTTGTACCGTTGTGACAACACGGAGCACAGCATCTTAGAAGGATACCCGGGTGATGAGTACTACTACTAGTAGTCTCACGCCCTTTGTTGTACAATAGCATTTCTCTTGTATACGTTAGACAGTTACTGAATTGGCGAGAGGTTTCTTCCCTTATTTACCAAGCCCCCGGAACTCTGCGCGATTATTCCTCCGTAGTCGGTCTTGCCCCGGCGTCTACCACCTTGGTGATAAGTCGAGGTACAAGTGATTAATTTTCCTAGGCCGCCTTCGTTCCCGTTTGAGACGATAACGAAACAATATCATGGGTGACAAACGATTCTATATACCAAGAACACGTTGGCCTAGTATGCCTAGGAATAATACGAGATGACTTGATTCGATAAGGGTGTCTAGGGTTACGGGGTTTGCTCGCAACCTAGTCATTTATAAGTCATCAAAACACGATTTTACACCCCCGATTCTTTATGACAATACCACCCCGTAGGCGCCGTGATGAATTACTGTTTCATCATGTTTATATGAATCATTTAATGTGGCTGTAGGGCACCACGACACCTGCGTTGTAAGCTACTACGTACTGGCCTCCCTTAGATCCAACCCGGTTGGTAAGGGAAGGATAGGAATACCACAATCTCAAGAGTCACAATGATAGCTATACTAGTGAATACTAGTATTTCTCTTCATATTGAGAGGACCAAGATATCTGTAGATCACAAGATGTCAAGCCATAACGGCACACTGGTTCGATCTGGCGTGACACAGCACAAGTGTCTACGTAAGCGACTATGACACAAGATAGTTTGGAGATGCGAGCCTAGTTCGTGCCATGCCACTAGATTGTCCTCCAGTAAGTTGTGGGACTAGAAAGGTCCTCTCAAGGTCCTATTACCAAAATGTTCGAAGCATCCCAAGAAGCCGTCATGGTTCCAGATGATTCTATCTATTTATACGCAGGTTAGCTAAAAGACAAAAGACACCACGCCTCCTCTTGATGTCGACTAGTGATGTAGGCACTCACTGAGGTCGTACGTAGCCGGCGTGACCTTGTAGTTGGATGTCAGACAGGTACAGTTGATGATGAATTCGGTTTTGCTGGCCCGAATGGTACAGCCTTTACAACTGCGCCAATAATCTCCACTGCGGTTTGAGATAAGCATGTGTGGTGGTAGAGGGAATTGGGGGAATAAACGGACTTGCTGGAGGGGGCGAGTTGGCCGCCGCTGTTCATGAGGCAGTAAGAGGTATCGAACCTGATAGCAGCAGAATAAGTTTCATAATCGAATCAGACTATGACGAAACAGGGCGCTTTTACCAAGTCCAGTCATAGCTATAAATCTCCCAGTTGTCATTGTTGCAATATGCTCCCAGGTAGCTGTCAACCAGCATGGCAGTTTGCCATGTGCAGTTGGTGAGGAAACCTTGAGCGAGGGCTCGGGGACTAACTGCTAAGGCTACGAGAGTAGCAACGATGGAGGGCTTCATTATATAAGACAGGAGAGGGTTCTTTGAGGATCGAGTGATCGTAGAGCAATGTTATGACAGGTGATTTTACTGGTAAGGAGCGGCGGAGAAGCGTCAAGAGGCGAGACCAGGCGATTTTACCTTATCTATACGAGTGTGCGTGAGAAAGAGTGAGTCTGTTTAATGAAGACAGCCAAGAGGAAGATGAGGAGGTAATATTAAGGAAGCGAGGGAATACGGGCACACGCAATCGCGGTTGGTATGAGCGTCACCTGCAATATGATACTACACACGAAAACGGAAGCCGCGACAACTGCAAACCTCATATCTCAAACAGGTGCCGAACCGACATAGGAGGCATCTGCGTAGTGTAAGGCAGGTACAAGCGGAGGCGCCCGATAATTCACGCTCATTCACGCTCGACGCCGGAATCTGACACGCACACCTGCGAGAGTGCACGATGCCTTCCTCCTCATGTAGCAGCGCTGGATGAGAAATCTGTACCTGCCTGACAGGTCTACTCTCAGGAACACGCGACTGTGACGTAGTGTCTTCTCGTCAGTGGGATAATGGATTCACCATAGTACCGCGCTCACCAGTCTTGCTGGAATCAATCTCTTCTCAAGTTGTCCCACCCACTACCCAGTTATTTCAAAAGTCAAGTCTTTAATATCATCTCAACCTACCTAGGTACTAGCTGAGCAACCCGTTGTTGTTGCTGTTCGTCAGTCAAGGAGAAGAAAATATACTAATATGAATGTGACTACCTTCCAGACTAGATACCTTGAACATGGTAGCGAGCCTCTTAGCATCAAACTGTGGGCGAATAAGTCAAAGCAAGCTTACTCGAGTAGCATCGCTTGAATCGTATCTAGTTCCAGAGGTGTTCGTGATAGGCAGGTATTATGACAGGATTCTGAGCTTGAATAAGACCTCGGGTTTCCCTCTTTAATTATACCACCGGTTTACTATATCTCTTGAGCTCAACGTCATTCTCATCACTACCAAATCACCTCCATGAAGTCGCTCTGCTGGTACTCCATGAAAAACGAGCTTGGCTTACATAAAAATACAAGATATGCAATTAAACATAAGAACATGCTTGCCCAAGCTGCCAGTGGATAATTTAGTGGAGCACGCTAAGTCCAATGGGGTTAACCTACCCAAAAATATAGGTAGGTAGCTACTGGCTGAACTTGATGTTACCATTCCCATCTAGATACATGGCCAACTGTATAAACTCGACAACGCAACCATATAGAAACCCATTTACACATGATCTCCCTTTTGCTTCAGTTAAACAACGAAACGGAATATTCAAGTTCGATCGCGACAAGCCGCGACACGCCGCCATGGAGGTCGTTGAGCCCAACCTCGCGTCCCTCGCCATGCAGAACGCGAAGCGATCAAAACTACTGTTCGCCAGCGGTGCGGCAGAATCGCCCAGAAAGAAGCTGAGACTCGCGCAAGACCCCGTCGAAGAGCAGCGCGAAAAAGATGCATTATCATTACGCCTTCACGCAGAATATCGAAACCTCCAGTCATTGCCGCCGGCCCTTGCTCAGAAACAAGCCAATGCAGCCAGCGCGCGCAAGAGAGCCAAGAAAGCACCCGCCAGCGACTCTACCGCCGCCGCCACCCCTGAGGAGCAGAAGACACAGAAACTCATAGAGGGTATAGCAGAGAAGACGCCTGCCCAAGAGTCTACTGCTCTCGTTCAGATCCGTCGGCCGCCACCAGGCTCTGGTCCATCACATACCCCGTCACAGGCCCTAAGCACTACACGCGCTCAGGCAACGCAGCAAATCAAGCCCGAATGGCACCCGCCGTGGAAGCTGATGAGAGTCATATCTGGTCATCTGGGCTGGGTCAGAGCTTTAGCCGTGGAGCCGAACAATCAATGGTTCGCCAGTGGCGCAGGAGACCGCACCATAAAGATCTGGGATCTCGCCACGGGCAACCTGCGCCTCACCTTAACGGGTCACATATCGACAGTCCGTGGTCTCGCCGTGTCACCAAGGCATCCGTATCTCTTCTCGTGCGGTGAAGATAAGATGGTTAAATGTTGGGATTTGGAGACGAACAAGGTCATCCGTCATTACCACGGCCATCTGAGCGGCGTGTACACGTTGGCGCTGCACCCGACACTTGATGTCCTCGTCACAGGTGGTCGAGATGGCGCCGTGCGGGTGTGGGATATGCGCACACGCAGCAACGTCCACGTTATGAGTGGCCACAAGGGCACAATAGCCGACGTCAAGTGTCAAGAGGCAGACCCACAGGTCATCAGCGGCTCTCTCGACGCAACAGTGCGGCTGTGGGATCTCGCTGCGGGCAAGACCATGAGCGTACTCACTCACCACAAAAAGGGCGTCCGCGCACTCGCCATGCACCCAACAGAATTCACCTTCGCCACAGGCAGCACCGGCAGCATTAAGCAGTGGAAGTGTCCTGAAGGCGCCTTCATGGGCAACTTCGAGGGCCACAACTCCATCATCAACTCGCTCGCCGTCAACGAGGACGTGCTCTTCTCCGGCGGTGACAACGGGAGTATGAGCTTCTGGGACTGGAAGTCGGGTCACCGGTTCCAATCCTTAGACTCCATCGCTCAGCCTGGCTCTCTCGATGCCGAGGCTGGTATCATGAGCTCTACCTTTGACCGCACTGGCCTGCGACTGATTGTGGGAGAGGCGGATAAGACAATTAAGATTTGGAAACCGGATGAGAAGGCGACGCCTGAGACACATCCCTTAGAGTGGAAGCCTACCCTGGGCCGGCAGAGGTTTTAAGAAGGAAAACAGAGAGAAAAATGTACAAGATTGTATATGCTGCGGGAGATAGACGGTTTTATCCACTGTCTTAGTCTTAATAGTACCTATATACCCACAATTTGAATCAATGGAACGAGAAAAGAGATGTTTGATTAAATACTGTTGAACGTGAGGGTTATATGATCAACCAACCAACTACTTCATATTTACAAGGTCCCAGAGGTCATGATCTAATAGTGTAACCAGCGCGTCATCACAGAGGGAATAGAAGATATCTCACAGCAGAAAATTCGATATACATCATTCATAATTCGTTCTATTACTTTGGGTTATTCCCCATCTAGAATGCTATACCCAGCGCCTTGATCTCAGGATCATCACGAAGCGCAAGTTTGACCTCTTCGTCGCCGACCGCAAGTCTCATTTTGCTCGGTCTCTCAGCACGTTGTCCCTCTAGAATCACGATGCCCGCACCAGCCAAGCCTACCGCAGCGGCCTGGACGCCCGCTGTCCGGACGTTCTTCGAAGTCTTGCTCCGCGCGTCTCCGGCCCAGCGAGAGTCGTTGGCGTTGCCTCTTGTCAGCAAGCTGACCCGCCGGCTCGCGGCATCCAGGATCAAGGCGCGTTTCGCCTCCTCTAGTACGTCGCCGTAGGTCGAGTCCGTCAGGCCCGTTCTTTCGTTACGTACTACGAGAGACGCAAGTGTCAATTTGAAAGCGAACGGGAGTCCCCGCAGATATTGCTGTAATGGGCTCGTTGTTGCTTCGTTGATGGCCCTCCTGACCGTCGCAATCGTGACTCTGCCAAGAGAGCTTTTCCCCTTCCCTGACTCTGCAGTCTTTCCCCTGCCTCTTTTACTGGGTGTGGCGGGATCGCCGCCGGGGCCTTTGAACTCTGCCTCGGCCAATTCTACGGCTCGTCGGCAGATATCGAGAGCGCGCCGTGCGTCACCACTCACGGCGGCTACTTTGCGACTCGCAAATTGTACGGCGTCTGGCTCCACGATGTTGCCTGGTACACCCTCAAGTCTCGATTGTATAATCTTCATTAGCTGCTCGTGGTTGTAGCCAGGAAACGTAATACGTGTTAAGCCCAAGCGGCTGCTGATCTTGTTACTCAGTGTTCTTTCGGGTAAATCCATCGTATTTGCCACAGCCAGCACAATTAGTCGTGAATGTCGCAGGCCAGGCCAATTGAAGAAATTATACATGACACTCTGATTTTTGGTGACAAGTTGGTCCAGCTCGTCCATTAATACCACACAAGGAACACGGCGCGGACTAGGGTTATTGAACTCTCGCTCTAGCAGATCTAATGCCTGGCTTGGACTTACTCTTTGTCCGCGAAGGGCTTCCCAAAGAAGGCAATACGATTGATGAGGGTCCGTGATCTTCATACCATTGATCTCGACAAAGATGAAATCATCCAGTTCGTCAGCCCGGACAGCGTCATCCAGTCGGGAAACGACCTCGCGAACAGTAGCCGTCTTGCCAGTGCCAGGTGTACCAGAGATATATATGCATGCCCCTGAGCCATCCGTAATGGCAGCTTCGAGGTGCGAGTATACAATGGCAAACTCTGTTTCTCTACATGGAAGTGTGGTGGGAACAGAGGCCACATGTAGCTGAGCTCTAGCGATCTGGAACGGTGATGACTGATTGTGACTAGGTGACAGAATACGAGTAGCAAGCGGCGTAAATTCCAGCGCTTTCTTTACCACTATCCGACTACGCAAAATCAGCATGAATATGATACTCTAGGTCGGACGGGAGACGTTCTAAAGGGGTGGCATACTTTCGACTTGAGGGTGTAGCAACTCGAGATGTCTTTTGTTTCTTTCGTGGAGTTCTCGGGTTGGCCTTAGCTTCATGTTCTGAAGACAGATACCCATCATCATGATCTGTCTCCTCATCTTCCGGCACATCATAGAGTCCCCTTTTCCGAGGAGAATAATCCGCCGCAGCATCGTCTACCAAAGCCTGTAATTTGGGTTGTTTCCTAGTGGACTTCGTACCACTTTCAACCAGCCTCCTGAGCTTGGTGATATCGTCGGAGCTGCCAGAAAAGATATTCTCCCAAATAAACTCGGAAGTGTATGTGGTTGTCCTAGCGTTGCAGCCTCGGCGACAAATGAAGGTTTTATTGAAAAAGGGCGATGAGCGGGGTATCTTTCCAGTAGGGAATTCGCGTGAAAATGCCGCGGCAGACATGACATTCGCTTTGCCATTTATGGAAGCAAGAGGGTTTATATCGGAGGAGGTGGTAATATACAACTCGTTCTAAACATAGTACATTAACGAAATGGTCCCCCGGACTGACAGTCGCAATCACCGGAAACGGGGGGATACATACAGGAAGGAAGTCAGTGCGCTTGCGCGGACCATTGCGAATCTCATTCTCGGGGGAAAACCATAGAAAGTCGGCGGCCATGTCCCCATCCTCGTCAGCTTCTACAAAGTCCGTGATGATGGCAACCCAGGCTTGATTAGCGCCCTCGGTCTTTAGTAGGACACAGTCGCCCACTTGACACTCGAATTCGCCATTGCGAGCGCCAACGATATGCTGGGCGTTTTCATGGCGCGACCGGCTCGACTGACTTGGAACGGAGCGGTATATCCACTCCCATTCATCATCTAGGTCATCTTTGGTGGTTTGAGCAGCAGGTCGGCGGGGCATGTCGCCAATGCAGCTAATGCTTCTGGCTGACGGGCGTTTCAATCCGTTTTTATGTGCGCTCGAATATGTCTGTCAGCCATTACTTGGTAGCAGCTCGGAAATCGCATCTGGCGCATTACATGGAATCGGGACATGGGTGTAGTTGCTAGGTAAAGTGGATATGGTCAAGGAGCCAAAACGCGTCTCGGAGCGCATCGGGCGCGAAATCATGTGATTCAATTTAAGATATGCTCAATTACGTAAGTACTTACAGGTTCCATAAGTTGCATAGGTAGCTGTATTAGACGACTTACCTGCTACCTTCCACCTTCTCAGCCATCATCGGATTTTCTGTTTTAGAGTACAATTGCGTATGAAAACACCTAGGAGTGTCATAGAGGACCTACGCAGTGTTGTATTGTCGGTATGCTTAAGGACATCAAGGTACTCCAAGGTTATGATTGGGCGTGCAGGTGAGACAGCTGCCTCAAACGTCCTTTACCAAACCAGAATGGAGTTTAAGAAGGTGAAGAGTAGAATTGATTGTGCCTTCTCATGTTCTTTCTTCTTTCATTGAGTACCTTGGATATAGATAGAAAGCTATAGGAACTACCCATAGGTACTATGCAATACTTCAAAGTGGTTCTGGTAGGCGGTAGAGGTACCAATGCATGTGGTAAATCGCACTGCTCTCTCCGCCTGGGGGAAGTACCTACATATTACTCAGTGATGTGAGGCTAAACACCTTTGCAAAGGCCATGTGTATCCTGACAGAGGTGGCAGCAGCTATTGCACAACACAACTTGACATACATAGGAGGTACTTATCATAGGTACCTGCTGTTTCCCCCAAAGATGCACAAGCTCACTTGGTCCTCTGGAAACATCCAAACACTCTTGAGGAATCTTCAGCTTATCTCACCTCTGCAAACCGAAGACACATCTACCTTTCTCTGCCTGGATCGCATTTAGAGAGTATCGGCAGCTCTAAAATCTTAGCAGCGGAAAGATGGAAAGCTCATCTAGAGTGTCCGCTCCTTTAAGCGCTCCTCTGTCGCCAATTGCTGAGATAAAACTGAATGCTCTCTGTTCAAAACAAGAGTTGTCCACTTCCAAGTCTCCGAAAAATGCTGTAGTACGTTTTCAGGTTTCCTCTACCCCGTCATAATAGAAGTCGGCTAACTTATCCTGCCACGAAAAGGCATCGTTTATTGTGTCGGGAGAGCCTGACGCTATTAGAGGCGTCATCAAAGCCGTCCATGATGACTTGAAAGAGGGCAACAAGGAGGCCACCATAGAGTTTCGAGAGACGACAGTGCCTTACATTCGCATCGAAGCACCTACCGAAGAGGATGCCCTCGCGCTAGTCGCCACAGCACAGAGAATGGCAGCGGCTCATATCTCGGGTCACTCTGCTAATGACAAGGTCATCTTCGTGGAACCGCCTACCATTCCCGGGGCAAGTGATTTTCGAATATCCCTTGACATCATTGGCGACACTAAACGCGCACGGGGTGTCCTACAGAGCATGTCTGACACATCGGGGTCGGCATCAGGACTGTCTTCAGATAAATCCAACCAGACATTCTCCAAGGACCTATGTGAAGCTTTAGAAAAGGCCTCTGGCCTCTATAGATCATTGGTTCTGAGAATTTCTTTGGGATGCTACCTCCTTGACACTTATAAAACTGGAGAATTCACATTAGAAAAGTTCGAGAGCATGGTGACGCATCCTCGCGCTAGAGGTCAATTAGACAGACGGTGAGTCTCCCAAGCTCTGTTTTGGGCGCCTAACGTACGGTAAATATTGACGAGGATTCCTAGTATGGGAAAAGCACCGACAAACCTGACCATCGAGGCAGTCTTAGATCGAATCCGGGGACCTGACAGCCCCTGTGTCCCAATGGATAATCAGACTGCCACGTCCGCTGATGTCATCCCTATATACGTCTTAGAGTGCTGTCATGACGACGATAGGTACGAAACTGAGCTGGAAACTATGAAGAAGAAACCGAACCAGCCCCTGAGATTCAGCCTGGTACGGACTAGAATTATTCCCCAGAGTGCTCAGGTCTCTAAGTTCGAGGCTATCAGCCTTGGCATCGCCAAGTAAGTTCTCCTATACATACAAGTGTCTTATGGGCCTGCTAAATAAAATGCTTCAGTAGGAAATTGGATTGGAAGATTGAAGTCTTGCCAGGAGATCAGAAAAAAGGAGCATCACAAGCGGTAAAGCAATACCTCGAGAAGGGTAGCGCTGAGCTACAAGGTTTATGCAGTGATTTCTGCACGTATCCCACGATTCGCTTGCCAGCAGGTGTTCCGCTGGCGACGAAGCTCAACTCTGTGACGATTAAAAACATATACCGATTCTTCTGGAAAGGGAGTGGGTATGTGCTCCAGTTTACGATCAATCGACGTTGGCAAACCATCCGCGATATGAACATGAAGGCTCGTCCGGAGACAGATTTTGATGTGACCATGTATGGCGAGGATTGGGACCAAGATAGTCGCGTCCACGCTGGTGAGACAGTTGGAAAGATTTGGGGAGATGATCTCCAAGGCCTTCTGCGAGATGAGGAAGGAGACGCATTGAACAGGGTCCAAGGCCTTGTCCATACCATATCAGAGATCCGGGACTTCATTGGAGGCGCTAGCCACAACTAATATTGGACCATGTGCGGGCAGGACTCTTCTGAATGGTGATGCTTGAAACACATTGCTAGAGCGATGTTTCGTTACACGTATGATGGATTGATGTGTTATATCCATCCAAGCTGTTCAAATAAGCCTAGAAGGATGACTATCAGTTATTGTATACAGCAGAACAATTTAGGCTGCTGTTGGTATGCATATGTATGGTCGGCTTGACAATGCCATAGGTAGTGACTTGTCTGTGTGAATAATAATGTAATCAGACCGCGTTAGCAACCATGTGAAGATTCAGGGACGAATGGTCCTCTGATAATAGCGTGATAAAATCTATAAACTTGCAAGAATCTAAAATTGTAATGGTACGGGCTTCAAGATATTGTTCTTGTTCGTGATAATGTTGCTTTGTGAATTTGTATCTGGTCTGTAAATGATGGTGGGGGTTTACCTAGCTAACCCAAAATAGGCAATTTCTTCCACAATGCCATCATTCTAGGTAGGTATCTGAACATCCCGCGGGTCGTCTTTGTAGATATCCTATACGGTACTCCCAGCCCTTCGACCTCGCGCATTATGGCCGCCGAAGCCGGTGAAGCAGGTATGTCCCCGTCTAGATCTAATGATCGCCGCCTCTTCTCCCATCCTTTACACGTGCGCGTACACCAAGAAAACTAACCGCATCGTATTCTACCGGGTCCAGTCAACCTCGACACCCTGAGCGTCCAGCAGCTCACCCAAGTCAAGAACCAGCTCGACCAAGAACTCGAGCACCTCACATCGTCCTTCACCCAACTCCAGGCCGCGCAGGCCAAGTTTCGGGACTGTCTACGCTGTGTCCAAGGCGGCAAATCACCAGCTCTTCAAGGTACTTACCTACAAACCGATCCCAGCTAAACCCTGCGACCGAGGAAAAAAAGTTGAAAACCCCGCCAGCTAACTTGAAGTCGAAACACCGCGATAGAGAACAAACCTGTGCTTGTACCGCTTACGAATTCGCTTTATGTCAGCGGAACACTCGCCAGCGCCTCCCATGTTATTGTTGATGTTGGCACGGGGTTTTACGTTGAAAAGGTGCGTTACGCCTATTACACCTCTTCTCTTCTTCACGACCTAACATACCATTCCTCGCAGAGCATAAAATCGGCTGCTGAGTTTTACGAAAACAAAATGACCGAAGTGGGAGGGAACATCAAAGAGTTGGAGGGAATCGTGCAGTCTAAGACGAATAATGTCCGCGTCATTGAACAAGGTAGCCCTCACAATCAAAGCGCTTCACTACTTGTATTGTGTCATGCTTCGAGGAAGCTAACTCGGTGTCAACAAAATAGTATTGAGGCAGAAAATGGCTTCGAACCAGCAGCAGTAAACAACCACTGTTCAGAGGCCGTGGCTCAGCTGCCCTACCTATGTGAGCGAGGACTACGAATATGCCGACAGTAAGGTATACATCAATCACTTTGCCCTACGCCAAGTATTCTTGTCCCGTACGAGGCAGGACTGGCGAGATGATCTACTCCTGCTGCCAATTGGTCATCCTGCGTCTTAAGTACCAGAGCCATTGGCCATACTAGGCTCAGTGGCGTTTTAACACAATGAACACATTACCGAGGCTCGAATAAGATTGCCCCTTAATGGTCCACCATGATCGTTGCAGATGGTATTGGGTGGTGACTGAAAATGCCAAAATTCTTGAGGATGATTGTCACGTGTGTGACAATAGAGTACTTCCTATTTCACTTGGTTGAAAACGCCAAGTAGAGAGGTATTATAGCTATCCTCCATCTAGGCCCATAGAATCCTTTAAATTCTATACAGTATACACAAATGACCGTTAACCAAAAGCAAAGGGGATGGGACTTTGATCGTGGTCCTAGTTACTATACAAATACTCTACTCTGGTTTAACTCGGCGATGGCGAATTATTGAATACGAACGAGATACCTACACGGTACTCTCAACTATATAAACCTAACCTGAAATACCTTAGTATCATATTTGGAATTGCGAAGCCTCATATTGTTACAGTACACTACTCCCTACATAGTACTTACTTACACTACCTACCTAGTCCAGGACCAACCGAAGGAATGCTGCCAGCTTCGACTACTGCACAGTAGCTGAAATCTAACGTTGCTTAACGGGTAACAGCCCTATCCCGCTACTTCACTACTAGGTATTCATTAATCAAGGTATTGAGCAAACCTACTTTGTAGAAGAGGCAGAAGGTCGCTTAAGGAGGACAACCTCCTTACAGAGTCAAGCAAGTCAAGCAATTCAAGCAATTCAAGCACTGGCTAGCGCCTTGGGTTCCCCTGAACAGACCCTGAACCAGGCAACCCAAGGAGCTTGTCTCCAAAGTGGATGAGCTAGGAGGAATCTGGCAGCTACGGTACGTTCGGCCGCGGGTGCATCCTAGTGCACCCCACAGCGGCGCATCTACGTGTGTTCTACTGCATCAAGTTTCTAGAAAATATACATTGACAAACTGCCTGCTAGGTACTTTACATGATACATATTCATTGTGTGTAAGTTGACGTGATTCTATCAGGACGCATCTGGAGTATCGCGATATAGATAACGGTAATTATCTGATGCATCTACTCCGTACTCAAGTTGTGACTTTGTTGAATGTTGTCATTGCTCAAATAAACGTTGCCATCCAATAAAATAATAGATATACATCTCGACCAAAGTTCCAATATTGCGGATACGACCCTACCCATGACGAGGTTACCGAGGTCATTACTGTAAGGCGGATAGAGAGACAAGGTGCTTGCTCCTATTTTTAGAATGGATGAGAAAGAGATGGGCCTCTCTCAGCCCAGCATAGTAGTACGTATGTAGTCCTCGTCTAAGTAATAAAACTTGAACATGTTGCATGAGATCGACAATCCCTCTAACGGCGCCCATTTTGCGTACTTGAGACCCTTGAGCGTGGCCCCAAGTTGACGGATAGTTACCCAGCTAGTATTCGTGGACGCACAGTCAGCCGCTTCCCTGCTGTGCCGCACACGTGCATACCTACTGCTACAGCATTTACTGTATCGCAATATTTTTTCGAAAATTTGAGGATAGAGTTTATCACAATGACTACAAGGATGCTACTTTCCTTCCCCGTCAAGTAGCGAAGCGTGTAACAAGAGCCTAGACTATGGATTATGGCCGATGCCTTGTCCAGTAGACGCGCCTGTATCTCTCACTTGGGACATACCTATGTGAGTATCTTCCACTTGGTTGTATGATGCCTAGCAGTCAAATTGCAACATGACATATCTGCCCAGTGAGGCGATGATCACACCACTCCATAACCCTTAACGGGGCGGGGGGTTGGTATTTCTTGTGTAACACGGAAATCCTGCCTGTAAGCATCATATTTGGAGGGCAAAGAGTTTACTCAATAGAGAGACTCAGATCATGGCTCTATGGTGTAGGATTCAAGCCACGAGCTCGGCGGATGCAGATCCCTTTCCACATCCCTCAGCAGCCGCATCCGTCTTACACGCATTGGCTCCCTTCTTCCCAGCCAGCAGTACCATTATCTCGGATCCGAGCTCAGATCATATTGCTACTTACACACTAATACAAGCACGTGGAGGTGCAGATGATGAAGCGTATACATACAATATAGAATATCAGAAGCCGACTAAGCACCTCTCTACACTGCATAAGGAACGGCGCAAAGAGCGGAGAGTGATCCCAAGAATGGGATTAGCGCGCTCTCCTTGTTCCTGTTGAAGACATGGTAATATCAGGCACGTTCTTTAGGATGAAGCTAGGTACTGCTTACATCGTGACGGCAGCTAGACAAGGTAGTATTCACTAGATGCCGAAGGATGAGAGGATCCAAGCTAAACGCAAGCAAGGATCGATCGGTAAAAGAACCCGACGGTTGACCATGTCTATAATATATAAAGCATGTCGTCCTGAGGAGTCTTTTGAATTCTCTTACCTGTGTTCACCTTCACTTCTCCCTGCCACTTCTGGTCACTCTTTTCGTGGCTGATTCCCTGTAAAGTAACGTTCCTCATTCTCTAATCCCATTCACCGTCACAATGAAGGCCGCCGTCCTCCTCTCCCTTGTCGCCGCCGCGGCCGCTGGTGGGTGCAAGAACTGGGGTTACCCAACAACAACCATCGCCGGTATCGAGGTCGTCGACACCCAGATCGTCCGTGATGCGCTCTCCCTGATCAAGAACTCGGGCCTCAAGGACTACGTCGTCAAGCACCAAATTCGTTCATGGCTCTTTGGTGCCCAGCAGCTCAACAACAACGCGACGCTCAAGTCGATCGTTGACCCTCAGGCCCAGGCCATCACCATCCTTCTGCATGATCTCGGCTGGGATCAGACCCCCGACAGCCCCTGGACTACCATGGATCTGCGCTTCGAGGTTGACAGTGCCAATGGCATGCGCAATTTCGTCCGTAGCCACCCAGACGGCAAGCAGATTAGCGAGAGGAAACTTCAACAGATGTGGGACGCCATTGCGCTGCAGGGTGCCTACGGCCTCGCCTCTCAGAAGGAGCCCCTCGTTTGGGGCTCTATCAACGGCATTGCCAACGACTACCGAGGACCCGGCGTCTTTGGCATCAACGAGACCATCTACAATCAGATCGTCGCGGAGTTCCCTGCCGAGTTAGTCCCCCCTGATATCTCCCATTGCCCCCTCATCAACATGTTTTGGGGGGTATAGGTCCTGCTTATTCTCGAAACATATTTTGAAAATCTTACTCTGCTTGTGGTAATTACTAACTCGACTTGACTCAGTGACCTTTTGACCGGTACCAACGAGACCTTCAAGTGGTTCTGCGAGACCAAGCCAGAGACTACTTACGGTGAGTCTTTATCCCTAACTCTATCTATCGTCAGTAGAACAGACCTTACTGACTCACTACCTCTCAGACACCTGGGTCGAAGGCTGGGGAACTTACTTCGTCGATGGCTACGACGCCACCGGCCACCGACAGGTCGACCAATTCCGCACCGTCTTCTAAACTGCTTTCCCTTTCCCCTCCCCTTTCTCATCCGCCATCATTCCAAATGGGAAGCAGACCTCAAAAACCTCGCATATATAATATTGAAATTTCGGCATATACTATTATCTTGTACATGTTCATATATACCCCATCCATAAATTTTATTCATGTAAATATAGTTTTCGGAGAATAGGGCGTAGCATAGCGGAGATGAGAAATGGTGAATGAATTGAGCGAAGAGCGGAGAATACGAGTTATCTATGTGACAACGTACGTTTTTGGGGGGGTTTTTTTTAATTGCCAAGTACTGAAAGTGCCTGTGCTAGTTTAGAATTGAAGTGAGAGTAAAGTCTTCAAGAGCTCTCTGAGTTGATGAGGATGAGAAGATTATAACTCCTACCCAAAATGGGCTCTAGTAATAGGCCAGTCAAGCTCCTTACAACCGTGGATGGTGAATCTTGAAGCAGTTTCCAAAGCAGGATTGCAGATTCGTTGGTACGCTCGGATCCAAGCAATTTCCCCACACCCTTTCCTCCATAAGTATATGAGTTGAGTCTCATAGAGAATATTGCAGCAAGGCATAATATTCAAGTGTTCCTATAGACGATGAGATGCTCTTGTTCTATCCTTCTACCATCATTTGTCTTGAAGGAGTGCCAGACTTACACCTTCCGTCCATGACCCCTGAGGCCACAGCGTTACTGATAATCATACTTACAGATGTTAGAATCGCAGTGTCTTCAACTTGAACTCGACGCCGGTGCCATGCGTCCCTCAGACTTACGTTTCGCAGCTGATTTATCCTCTTTCTCCAGCCTCATTGAACCCTCAATTTCGGTTACGTCGGGTGTTGGAGTTTCCATCTTACCTAATCTCTCCAAACGTGCATTGCCAACCGGAATCTCATCTAACACGTCAACAATGGCCATCTCCCTTTTGGCACCTACGGTTTTGGTCTCAAGCCCAACCACGCTCACATGTGTAATCGCAGGCTTTCGGATCAGTTATGAAACTGATCTCAGAAATTCAAATAATATTAGTCTCTAGTTCAGTAGGTACGGAAGGTGAGGTGAGGGATACGTACACATTGTGAACAGCGAATATAAAAGCGGTAGATCTGGATAGTTAGATACTTTCCGTCCGAGACCTCTTACTAGCATTGGATTTTTAACCCTTATAGATATATTCGCCACAGGGTGTACATCTCATCAAGAATAAGAACCATCAACCGGACGGTTTGCACCTTAGCCCCTTTCTCTCTGCGATTTCGACATCTCTCGATAGCTCGCGGATCGAAATCGGGCGGGTAGTACTTAGTGAGCACCTTCCGTGCAGATATGATGCATTTGAGTCGCAGCTTATGTTGCCTATGAGATAGAGACCAACTTCACACGGTTCTACGGGGTTTATAGAAACACACAGTCGCTGGCGACTGTGACCCATTAAGGTAGTAAAGGTTAAGGTTATCTCTAACCAGAAAGTATATGTAGGTATGATGTTATAGGGGTACCTCTCAAAGTAGACTTGGGTACCCAGGAAGTACCTAAATGTATATTAGGTACCTACCCAAGCTTAAGACAGTGTCCCACTACAGGCTCCAAGCACCCCACGTACTGCCTCTACAGCGAAATAGCTTATAAACCTGAAGACGCCGACATGAACATGATGCACCTAGGCATGTAATTACGAAGCCATTCACATCCATCTCGACTCCCTCAACCTACATCCAAGGAACGTTGATCTCTCCCAAAAATCAAGCAGCGATTGCTCCTATAAGCTTGTTTTCACCCAAGTCTTACACCGAAAGTACAAGTCACATTGCACGCTAGCGTTTGCAGTCATCTAGCTGTTTACACTCGCGACCTAGTCGACAAGAAGGTAGAGAGAGTGATTGAAGACAAACATGTCTTCATCAGGGCAGACCGACGACAAATTCGCCATACATGCAGCCGCGCGCGAGGGCAAATGTAAACACATATATCCTCGTCTTCATTTATTTGTCTCCCTTTTACTTATCAATCTAGATGAGGGGACATGCTAATTCAGATACGATATATGTAGTATCCATCTTCGAGTCTTTGCTAAATGTAAGCAAGGAAAATAAAGTCAACCTGCGAAGGCACCATCTTCATTAACCATTTTACTAACAAAATTCTATCTCTCCAATCACAGGCCAACCCAAAAGTCTCACAGCGCAAAGACGATGACGGTCGCTATCCCATCCACTGGGCTGCGTCCTCGAATCAACACCAAATGATTCTCTTACTATCGCAGCAGAAATCTTTTGATCCAGATGTAGTGGTAAGAGTCCATACAATAACATATATATATGACTTCGACATGCAGTTCATCTAACAAGCACTTACAGGATGACAGTGGCTGGACACCCCTAATGATAGCAGCCAGTATCAAAGACGGCGACGCCATCGTCGACCTTCTCCTCTCACGAGACGCAGACGTAAACCAGACAAGTACAAACTAATCACTTCCTATTTTCCTCACCTATTCTACAACGAATAAACTTATAGACATGAGCTGACCGACCGCTATAGATACCCAAGGCCAGGTGTGTCCCCGCTCTCACACATAGTATATACGTACGTCTGTATGTACGAGCTTACTCATTTCCACGGATGGCAATAACAGAGTGCGCTCCACTTCGTTGCGTCCAAGAACAACCTCGAGGTGGCCCGCAAGCTCTTCGCCAACAAGCCGCCTGCCTCGGCTCGCGTCAAGGATCGCCGCGGCCAGTACCCGCTGCATCGAGCGGCGGCCGTAGGCTCCGAGCCCATGGTCAGGCTGTTGCTCGAGCACAACAGCCCGATTAACGCGTCCGACATTGCTGGCTCTACGGCTTTGCACCACGCTGTCGCTGAAGGCCACGGTATGATCTCTTCCCCATTTCTTGTCTATAGTCGGGGATGTGTAGGCTCATGTTGTGATAGGACACGTCGCTATCGCCCTTTTAAAGGCGGGCGCTGAGACAAATAAGAGAGACTCGGACGGGTACCTCGCCCTGGATCTCGCCCCTGACAAAGAGGTTCGTGCTCTTTCTATCTTCCCCATCTCTCTTGTGAAGACGTATCAGCTAGGCTTACTGAATGCACGCAGATCCGGAAGTACATTGAACGTGAGGCTGAAAATGAAGGCATCGAACTTTGATCTTTTTGTTGGATAGCCCTGATCAAGCACGTGTCTAGGGGTAAGTGATAAGTAAAAATATGGTTCCATAACCAAAAATCTACTACCTAGGTAGAACGCTTGGGTTTTAGAACGGACTCGCTACCAAATGAACTTTGTGGCATCCCAATTCACTTGATAGTCCGCTCTACTAGATCCCTATACATGGCCTTGACGTCTTGTACGTCTGCGCGTAGTTCTTCCACTAGCTCGCTTTTCTCCCCTAGCATTTCCAGCGTTGTTTGATACCTGCTGTTGATCTCGGCCATTTCCTTCTCAAGCTCATCCACCCTCTTGGTTGCAGTCTTGCTCGTCTCCAACTCCTGTATAAGCGCTACAATCTCGCCACGCGCTTCATCTCGCTGACCTGAAATACGCGCGAGCTCCTCCTTGGCAGCCACTTTTTCACTTTCTAACCTGCGAATAGCTGCACTCATCCTTTCCACCAGCTGAACGGAAGGTCCTGCTGTTGTGGTCGAGACTGAGACCATATCCTGCAAGACGTTCTGAGGGGAGGCCGATCTTTCGAGGCCATCTAGCACATCATCTCGATCTGCCACCTGCGAGGGGGCGAAATCGAAGCCGCTAGCGAGAGAGGGGGTAGCTGCCGTGGGTAAGATGGATACTGAGGAGAGTAGAGGGGATCGCATGGGAGGTTGAACAGATGGACGTCTTATTAACGATGCCCGGTCACTCGGACTAGGCTCACCATTACTAGAAGGAGCTGAAGTCTTACGAAACCTGTTCGAGTAGTTCTGTAATCCAAGAAAGTTATCTCCGCTAAAGGTACGTTGTGGCGCTGCGAGTAAGGGAGAGTCTGGACGACCACGGTCGCGGGCGGCGGCCGTGGGGACTTCGTCCAACCAATTTCGGCGGTCATCTGTACGCTCTCCCTTGTCATTCCGCAATGATGCTTGATGTCTAGCAAGTTCGGCTTTAGCGTCTGCCAGAGCCGTCTCAGCTTGCTCCGCCCTTGTTCTAAGAGTGTCAAGTTGTGATTGATATGACTTGAGATCACTTTGAACCGTGGGAAGTTGCCTTTGCATCTCTTCCAACTCTTCTTCTTGACGCTTGGCGCGATTGGCCTGGCTGTAGGTTAGCGCTTGCATTGTTGATGTATATATAGCTACAGAAACTCACCACTTCGCGTGCCTTTCTCCTCATCTCCGATTCTCGACGAAGTGCCTCATCTCGTTCCTTCTCTAGATTGGCGGCCTTAGTCTCGAGGGATGCTTCCAAAACTCGCCAATTCTCACTAGCAATAGAGTGTTGCGTTTGGAGCGTTTCAATCTGTCTATGTAGTTTAACTTGCGCATCTCCCACGGCGCCGGATGAGGCCTCTTCTGCACTCGCTCTCAGCGCCTCTAGTTTACTCTCTAACATCTGTACCTCTCCCTTCAGCTCAAGCTCTATCGCTCGGGCACGTTCTGATGTTCTGTCGGCTTTGTCTCGAAGCTCCGTAATCTTTAAGCTCGCGTTTGATTCTGCTTCCGCTTTCGAGGCCTTGAGTGCAGCAACAGTATCTTCAAGCTCCTTTATTCGTTTTTGTTCTACCTCTCGCTGATAATCATCTGCCTTGGCTGCTAGTAACTTAGCATTCTCCAGTTCTTCTTGAAGCTGTTGCGTGAGATCGGCTATGGACTGATCTTTCGCCTCATTTTCAGCTTTCAGCTTATCTACTTCTCTCTTGGACTGGGTTATTAGTCGATGAGCTTCCTCGTTCGCTTTCTCCAGATCATCAGAATCTTCTATCCGCCTACGTAAATCAGCCAGTTCTGATTCCGCTTTCTGGCGCCATAACTTCTGCTCATTAAGCTCCTTCTCATTTGAAATAAGTTGAGCTCTCAATTTCTTTATGATAGTACGACTCTGGTGGTCTGTAGCGGCTAGTTTTTGGCCCTCTTGTATCAGTTGGGCAATTTGGTCATCCTTCTCCGCTATCTTCTTTTCTGAACTGCCTGCCGGAGCGTTCTTAGCAGCACTCCTGGCATGCTCGCTTGCTTCTCGGCTGAGATACTGTAGCTTTGTCTGGAGAGCATCTACTCGCTCAATATAGCTATTTAATTCTTCCTGATGCTGCGACTGTATTTCCTGCAGAGTCCTTTCGAGATTGCTAATTCGCTCTATATATGGATCTGATGCAAGCGTTGCTGTAGGCTGGGCTTCATTACTGGTGGTGGATTTTTGCTCAGGTTCCTTTTCTTTTTCTGGCGACTCGAGATGTAATGATGATCGCGGACTGGATGTGGTGGGCAGGTCATTGGTGTTAGGCGTAGGGGCGACAACGGAGGCATTCATTGGAACCTGCGGCACGGGTTCTGCAGTCTCTTCCACAGACTGACTTGGTCTTGGGCTTTCTGCTTGAATAGCAGTGACGGGTGGTCGCTCCGGAGCATCAGAGCTTGGGCGCGGGCTAGAGGTGACGGAAGCGACTTCCATGCTCTGTCTCGTAGAAGTAGCATTTCGAGCAGCGACAGCACGGGCTAGGCGCTCTTGGAGCCTATCGTTGGCAGACTTCGAAGGCGTGGCAGAGCGAGTAGGGGGTGTGGGCGGTACTGGCGCAGCGCTGGGTGTGACGGCAGATGTCGTGGACTCTTTAGGGCTACCGTCTTCGGCTAAGATATTGTCCAGACGCGCCTCGACGCCGGCCACGGCTTGTGAGAGGAAGGACCCCCATCTGGAAGACTTCTGGGGAGCACTCATATCGAGATATCAGCTGGTTAGCAAGTTGGGTCCGAGACGGAAGAAGCCTTGAGCGCGGGATATTCAGCCTCGAAGAAAGTGTCGGCGCATTGTATCAACAGGTATGGTGGTCTCGCAGACAGTGAACAGACGCTTGGCAGACTCATAAGAAGCTGTAAGGACAGTTCAATGTAGATTGAGATTGAACAGCGGGAACTGGCAACTGCCAATGCATGGGCCCGGGAAGAAGAAAGACAAGATACCGGAAGCAAGAGGGAGGGAGAGAGTATATGCGTGAGCGAGGTGTAACAATAAGGTGCCAATGAACGGACTGCCTTATGTACCACCTGGCAAGATTATGTACGCAGGAACAGGGCTGAAACAGCTGACAGAGCAGACCACGGCTATGGATGGCATGGGTTTCTATGGCAGAGTGCTGTGCTGTTGGGCGCAGGATTTTCTTCACAGGGTCACCGTCCGTTCGGTTGAAAGCGTCGTTACCTTTAAGGTTGAGTGTCCAGTGCCGGTGGTATCTTAGCAGTACAGCACTTGCCCGGGAGTTCGGGACCTCGTACCTAGGTAGATACCCTCATATGGGCTTTTGAGGGTAGCTACGCTAGTGCATGCAAGCCTTACTCGAAAAGGCTACCTTCATGTTATCTACCTAGGTACATCGGACTGTACCCATACCATATCTACATACATAATATGGTGGTATTGTACTTCAGATACCACACCAAGAGTGAGGGTAGAAGTGCACAATTTGAATCCAGATCACTAGACTTTCTAGGCCTGGGGTATAGGTATATCATGATGCCCTTTCTGCATGTCTGAGCCAGGTATGTAATTATATGGCTCTGATATAGATCTTTCCGCTCAAGAGATATAGGTAAGTAGTATCTAGCTAAGGACACGCTAAGAAATACCTAGCTGGTACCTGAAGGATATTTATGGCTTACAGGGGTTGCAACAGCTCACTCAGCCTCTCACTAGACGGAGGTACGTAGCACGCAGGTAAATACATACTTACTCTACTACGTACTTAGAATGCTAGCTCTCTCTGATCCCGCGTTACTATTATAAAGCATCCGATGAATGTATCATGACGTCGCACTTAGCTTGTAGATAAGAATACCTACCTCAGAAAGCAGTTGATGAAAAGCCACGCTCATAGTCTCATGCATCTCGGGCCACCATTCATTCTTCTCTAAAGACATTCAATGTCATGCAACAGAAAGAGCCATAGGTATATCATCTGTAGTGTAGTGTAGTGAAGTTTTTGCTGTTCATAGATCCACCAGACCAGACACTGGCGACTTTCGGCATTCTCGGCTCCCGCTATCTTCTTCTACATAGTACCTTTGTATCAAGTAAACACATGAATAAACAACATCTATGTAGGTAGGGAAACTCATTGTTGCTGGTGACTGCTGCAGGGAGGATTGGTTGTACTCGTGTACCTTTTTATTGGAAAGCCACATAGGCAAACAAACACCGTGAGCTGCCGCGTGAACTACTCAACTAGAGACGTGAATTCCTGCCTGCCACGTCACTTCATCTACATCCATCTGTGGACTGAGGCAAGGCTTTCCCTGTATTGAAGATTCCGCCGCAGTGCAGTCTGACTAAGGCGCAGCCCTGTCTATCCTTTTGGGACATTCTTTCTACTTTGACTCTACGCTGTTACCCAATCTTCGTTCACGCCGACTGTCAAGATGTCGGCGCTCAGCTTTCCCTATCACGAGCCACGTGAAGGTTTCTGGGGAGAGAAGACGGTCACTCTCAATTTCTGTGAAGAGGTTCATCAACGTTCCCCTTGTTTCCAAGAGAGAGTAATCGGCTGACTTTCGAACTAGGACTATGTTATGAGCTACTATATCGCCGAAGTCTGCAATGTAAGCCAGTCACTGAACACTCTCACGCTGCCCTTCCCTTATTTCCTGTCTACAGTATCGTGGGGTTTTGACTCTCTAACTCCAAGCGTGTTTGATTAGACCATCACCAACTTCCTCTTTCTTTGGCTTGGAGTCCGTGGCCTCAAAGGCTGCCTTCAATATGGTCACGCTCCCATCTTCTTCGTTACCTTCATCGGCTATATCATTGTGGGTTGTGGTTCAACTCTCTTTCACGCCACGCTGAAGTGTACGTTACCAGGAACTGACCAATTACCCCACGTGTATTTCTACCACTAACCCGCTCCTCCTTTAGATCCTATGCAACTTGTTGACGAGCTTGCCATGATCTATACGACATGCTTCATGGCATATGCTACGTTCTCCTATGGGCGTTCTTCCGGCTTCTCGTTTGTGCTTGGTACCGGCCTTATCGGCTTGGCCTACTATATTACGGTAGGTGCATATGTAGGCTTGAATGTTGGCTGCGCTCGCTGACAAGACCGCAAATCAGGCACATTACTATGAAACCAAGGACCCTCAGTTCCGTAAGCTCTTTTTACATGCCTCTAGCTCATGTTCCTGAGATTGGACTGACCGTTTTATGCATGAAGACCAAGATGCATACGCTATTCTCACGGCCACCGTAGTCTTCTCCAACATGTGGATCATGGAGAGAGTTCTTCGACCAGCTCTCAAAGCCCGTGAACAAAAGCGGCCGTCCAGTTCTACCATGCCGAGTACCCGAGCGTTTCTCTCTCAGATGTGGATCATGGTCGCGACTGGTGAGCTTAATGCCGATTTGCCGACCAAATACAAATACACAAGAACTAATTGTCCCGTTTTAGGCCTCAGCATTTTCTTGGGTGGTTATCTCATTTGGAACTTGGATAACATGTACTGCAACAAGATTCGCCGTTGGCGCCACCAGATTCAATTGCCGTGGTCTGTTGTGTTGGAGGGCCATGCATGGTGGCACCTTATGACGGGCATAGGCGGTATGTTCATTCTTTTGATCTGCGTTGCGAGCAATACGAGTAGTAGCTAACATGAATCTTCAGCATATTACTAGTACGTTTCTCATCTCACCTGCCTAATCCTTGTTGTTACATGACTGGCTTATGCCAGGTTTGAATATAAGGCCAAAGGAAATGGCAAGCTAATTTTCTGCAGTATTGTCTGGCGCATCTGGATTCAGCGATGCTTGGATGGCGATGAGGACAAATTCCGTCTATACTGGCCATCCGTCTTCCATCTGCCTGATGTCAGAACCGTGGACGATCTACCAGCAGGAGAAGACAAGAAGGGGCAGTAGGTTGAAGCTTGTCTTCATGTCGTTGGTGAATCATATGCATGAGCAGATACTTGCATTAGGCCTTTGCCTAAATGCTAGATAGCTCACGCACAGCTCAACTACCATCAGGTAGTATATGCACGTATTGTAGGAGTGTAGTCCTCCTTTTTCATAGGCGGCTCAAGGCTTGGCACAAAATGCCGATTGTGCCCAAAGGTACTTACTTATGTACCAGCTGCCTGTAACGGACATCAATTTTCGCCTGGGTACTCGAGCCTAGGAATTTCAGAACACAAGATGAAACGTAATGAAAAGTTCATTGAAAGCCTTCGCGCATTAGCATTCACCACGTAAATTGTCTTCTGCGACAAGGAGGTAATTAAGAACAATCCAGCAGTATACCGTGTTTATACCTCCATGTGCACTGTATGAAATTGCAGGCTTTCCAAGTGCAGGTATTCTGCAGTAAATGTAGGGCCAGTTGGTGCAACCCCACGGAAATACCAATCTACCTATGTGCATGTAGGTTTCAAGTTTACAAACGATACCAACTCAACTTGTACCTGAAGAGTCTCATAATCAGAGAATATCTACACGGAGCCAAGAATAACCCTTTGAGACAAAGTTGTGCCATCGTGTATACTTCGTAGGGTGCGAAATATGTCTATCTCAAACGAGGCTCTGCAAAAGGTGGGTGGCATATCTACTACCCGCTTGCCTATCTTACTCATCCCTTCACACCATGATGGACGTGGCGATGGTACAACAAAGAGCAATGAAGCTGACATGTTTGATTTTCTGTTTACGCAGCTCCTGCGCGAGGTCGAAACGCAAGCAATTGCCTCCCAGCAGCAAATCGCGCTTACGCGGACGCAGCAGGCGGCCAAACAGCGTGAGATGCGCATGGCACAACTGACGCGCACCGAGATATCGTCGTTACCCCCGAGCACGAATGTCTACGAGGGGGTTGGCAAGATGTACGTATCACCTCAAGTCGTTCGTCTCTTCCCCCCGTTCTTCCACGTCCTCGTCTCTGCCTCTTTCATCCGAACTTTATCTCCGGCTTGCGACCTTGGGCAAACTCATCGTGCTCCCTACCGGTCTTCTAATTTTACCCCTACCCCTGGGTGGATTGGCGCTTGGCTAACGTCATCTCCTAGGTTCATCTCGCTGCCCGTTGCAGAAATGAAGGACAAGCTGGAAACCCAGATCAAGGAGCTCGAGGGCGACGTGGAGGGACTCGGCAAGAGGCTGCACTACTTGGAGGTCTCACAGAAGAACAGCAAAGACCAGATAGATCGTATGTTGCGGGGTGGTGCGGGCGCCTCCTGATCTGTCTGCACAGACCGGAGGTTCTCTCTGCTATGGCCGACGGATGAGTATGAAATTTGACGCTCTCAGTATATTTACTGTACATGTCACGCACACCGCAGTATACAGAACGGGTCTGGGCTCATGTCGTGGAATAACAGACAATACCTAAAAACACTCAGATATATGTGGCCCTCTTCTAGCCAATATCTCCCCACGGTTCAATGAACAGAACAGACGAATGCTTAAGGAAGATTTGTGCGTCGGATGAGCACTGAAACCTGATTGATCATCAGAGGCAACGAGGCAACCTACTTACATAGTAGTGGTAGGTTCCGTCTTCTCATCACTCTGCACTACATAGTACCAGCCACAATTCATAATCATCAACCGAACTATTTCCTGTCAAGTCCCTAGCACATGGAGAGATATTTAGAACCTCGCATACTCTGTACTGCCCTGTAGGCCTGGAGGCACCCAGGTCATACTACTCGAGCTACTATAATTATTTATTTAACTGGGCACCTAGCATTTCGCCTCTAGTCTGGTGAGAAAGGCTGTGAACTAAGATCATAGGCACATTGTAAGATGGTGTGGTAGCCACCCACTTAGTAATCATTGGGCCAAGCGTTACACACTACCATGTACCTAAGCAAGTCCTAATAATAGGACTTTTGCGAGGATCAACTAACTTGTTTAGGGTTGTTAGCGGCCCGCCGCCGAGGGTAGGGGGTGCTGGCGACTGCGTAGGTACCTAGGTAGATGTACATGTACATGTACACGCCGAGCAGCTGTGCTGACTTTTGAGTCGCTCCCCTCTTCCCCTCCACGTCGTCGGCGCATGCCTATCCCCAGGCAGGCCAGGTACCTACTGTTGGGTAGGGAGGCAGGCGGGTTACAGGTACCGAACCAACAATCGAAGTACCTACATGCATACCTACCCCACCCCCTCCATCTCCCAGTTGCGTGTTCATTTGGCCCCCAAATCATGCCCGATAGGTACTGTACACCAGGAACAATATGGCGGTCAATCATGTTCCTGGGATTCTCAAATGACCAGGTTGGCCACCAGAGACGGGAACTTGGCGGTATCTCGTTGTGCTAGGCGAAGGACTTTGTTGTTCGTTACGGCGAGAAGCAACACTGCCCTAAGTAGAGATGAGTCTCCTTGCAAATAAGCCATGTACCCAACAGCGAGCGCTGCAGCCCTATGAGACTACCGCCAAACCAAGCACCCCAGTGGACAGCAACCCCCGACTCTGGGCCGTCGTTTGAGACGATCAGCCAGTTGAAATGAGTGGCGCAGTCTACCAAGTACCTGCTTACCTGCCCTCGCTTGCCCATCTCTGGTTCGGTACTTGGAGAGTATCCATACCAGTAGCCGCAGACGACGACGACATGCGAGGTGGTGCAGTAGTGGCGTATCATGAGCGGCCTCTGACACAACCTCTGGTCTGCTTTGCGAAGAGGAGAAGAGGGGGCAGGCCAGGTTCCGACCAGGGCCGAGGACAGGTGCAGTGTTACCGAAGGGGTAATAGAAGATGTACGTGGGATGGAGCAGCCAGATGGAGGTAATACCGTCATGCCCCATCGCCAATCCAAGCAGCTGGGCCACACACCCTCACTTTCTCATGAGGCCAGACCAGAAGCAGGCCTCCTAGAGCTGACTAGCGGGCAAGACTGGGCAAGCGACTGGGGTCGGTCATCGGTACTAAAGACAGACTTAAAAGCGATCCAGCCTCTCTCCTCCTTCGTCTACCCACTTTGATTACCCTCCCCTCCTTACGCCACTGTCCCTCTTCCTGTTTCCTACGACTTCTTTTATCTGACTTCTCTACCACACGTGAGCTTCTACCGCATTTTACCTCTACTGTTGCGCACTACCTGGAGCCCTTCAACTGTCTACCGTTCGGTGTGATATAGTCGTATTCGGCGCAAGGACCCTTAAATACGGTGTCGTATTTCCTCTATATCACCTAGGGCTCTTTTCATTTTTTCTCCTCACACAATTCTAAAGCTAGAGAGAGGAAGCGTTCAAGGTATTGGTTATGAGTCGACGTCGATACTATTCTGACGACGAGTCTGACCTCGACGTCCATATTTCAAGGCGTCGAGGTCCCTCGCCCTCACCAGCTCGTCGTGCCCCTGTACAATATGTGGACGCCCGTGCCACACCACCGCGACCCCGTTATGTCGACCCCCGCTCTCGCTTTGAAGACTCTTTTCTTAGCCCGGCTGGCGCGGCTGGTGAACGCATGGTCGTGACCACTCGCCGGTCACGCTCCCGATCTCGCCATCGCCGCTCTAGCTCTAGCTCTGCTAGCCCGCCACCGCCTGCGCAAGCGCCGCAACAACCGATTGTTATTAACAACCGCATCTATAATTTGTCTGACTCCGAGTCCGACGATGATAGCCGCGATGAGCGGCGCCCAAATCGTGCCCGTGAATCCAGTTATGAGCGTGAGCGCGAGCAACGCGAACGAGATGCTTGGGCCCTTCAGACTGCGCGCCAGGAATATGAGCGCGAGCTTGAGCAAGAGCAGCGTACTCGTCGGCGCGAACGCGAAGCCGCCCAGAAAGAGTACGAGTTTGAGCGTGCGCAAAAGGAACTTGAGGAGTTGAAACTCGTCAAGAAAATCGATGAAGAAGAAAAGCGCCGTGAGCGAACTGCCCGTGAAGAGCGCGAGCTGCGCGAAGCCAAGAAGACGCTCGATGAGATGCGCGAGAAGTCTGAACGCGAGCAATTAGAGCGCCGCATCAAACAGAAGATAGACCTCGACCGTCTAAAAGAGGAGGAAGCTGCCCTCGCAGAGAAGAAGCGCCGCGAAAAGGAGGCCAAAGAGGCCGTAGAGAGATACAAGAAGCAAGAAGCCGAGCGAATCCTGAAAGAAAAGGAGGAGGCTGAGGAGCGCGACCGCGCATATAAGCAGCGTATGCAAGAGCAGCTCCTTAAGTCTGGTCTTGGTGATGAAGAGATCAACGCCATCCTTGCAGGCAAAAAGATTGAAAAGAAAAAAGAGAAACAAAAGGAAGTGGCACCGCTACCACAGCCAGTGCCACAGATCCATTACCACGAGGAGAGATCGCGGCCTACGTACACGCGCATGGCCCGACGACATCTGTCGCTCGAGACCCTTCGTGTCTACGACATCGAATATTTGATTGACCAGGTCAGTTACTCACCCCTCTTATATTTGCTCAATATGAGAGAAGAGTCCAGGATCACTAACATAGTACGACAGGATCCCGAGTATGTCCTCATCAAGCGGTGGGTTCCCGAACAGGAACAGGACATTCTCTGGCAACATACGCGCGTGCTCCGCGAGCAGCGCAGCAGCAAGCTCGTTCTCGCCATCGAAGACAAGAAGCACCACCATCACCATCATCTCCAGCCCGAGTTTGAATGGGTCCGCAAGAAGGAGCGCAGAAAGAGCAGGAGCCGCTCCCCCGCCCTGCTGACGTACCTTGCCGGCGGTCGCCCAGCTTAAGCATCACTTCTCATTGCTTTTCCATATACCCTATGTTTTATTCCTCCTTATTGGCGGAAAGGAGTAAACCCTCATTGGTCATTTCTGGTCCATGGTTTGTTATGCCATTTACGTTTTTACGAAACAATACAGTACTACCACGTAGTTTCTGGTTAGAAAGAGAAATAAATATGGGAGAATGAGAGCTTATAGGCGGGCAGGCGAGTAGGACAGGGGTAAAGGCATAGGAGATAAGGAGGCACTATTGATTGATTGATTGATTGAAATTTATCTTTTATTCATTGTTGTGGCATCTCTCTCTTCTCTCTATTCTTATTCATAATGAGGTTTATGAAAGATGAGGAGAAATATTACCTACTACACCACCTTTCTAGTTGATATTTTTGTTTTTCTCTATCCTCATGATTGAATGCTATGGAATGTGGGTACTTCAAACTAACGATGGAAACGAAAGCCATTGATCGCATCGCATCGCATTTGATGTTGGGTGAGAGGGTGGGCGAGTGAATGAGTCACTCGAGTGACTGGGTTTCTGTGTGAGCTGGGCGTTTTCTATGCGTGGTAGTAGTGGCGAGTGGTACCATAAGCAGTGGTACCTCTTTCGTCGTGGTGGTAGTGTTGGTGGTAGTAGTAGTACTATGTAATAATGGTTCTTCCGCCACTCTATACTTATAGTCATTTTGTTGCTCTCGTAATATCATCATACATGTCCACCCGTGTCCCGCTGCCAAGTTGACTCGGCCCTGCGAATCAACTCCTCGTACATCATCCACGCCAACGCCGAACTAAGGGCCTTGCGCGTCATACGTAACGCCAGGCCGTCGTAGAGCGACCGGACGCCCTCGCGTGTGACCATCATCTGACAGGCGTGGAACATGTTGCGGTACACATGTGGCTGCAGTTGAATGCGTGTCTTGACGGCGTCGAACGGGTTCGATATGAAGGAACACGTGGCGCCGGCCAAGGCGCCCGAACTGAAGTTGATGGTGGCCGATACTGAGCCCGCCATACCGGTACCGGGGAGGCGGTGGTGGGTTTCGCCAGGACCATAGATCTGGCCGAGGCGTTTCTTGAATTGCTCGTACGAGACGACGTAGAGGCCAGCGTAGGGGGCATCGCGCATGGCCGTCGCCCCGAACCCCGCGAAAAAGCCCGAAATGCGACCAGTCCGATATATGTCGCGGGCCGCGCCGATGACGGAGGCGTATGAGTACATACTAGATTCGTAGCGCACCTTTATCACGGTGAGCGGCATAAGAATGAAGCCTGCGAAGGCGCGAGCGAAGGCGCCCGATAAGAGGTTGGTGGTGTTGGAGAGCTTTGGGAGAGCGGATGAAGAGGGACGATTATGCTGATTTTGGCTGTGGAGCTGAGACTGTGCTGCTAAGGCTGAGGCTTGTTGACGGATCGTGTTCAACGTCGTGAAGTATATGGCCGAGCCCATGCCCGTGCGCAGCGCAGAGGGCACCGTGCCCCTCCAGAAGGCCGCGACGACATTGGGAGAGCGGGCTATCTCGCGGACGGCGGACCGGATCGAGTGGGTGCCGGACTGCTGGACTCGGGTTTTGAGGAGATCGAAAGGCTGGAGAAGTACGGCGCCTGAGATGCCGGAGCCTAGGCCGGCGACGAAGTGGAAGGCTGGTGATGTAGCTTCGTGTTAGCGATGCAGTGCAGTGCAACGATGGCGCTCGCTTCTGGACTCGTTCCAGGAAGCAGTCGTGTAACACTTACAGCTCGATGACCTGCCGGATTGGCCTCTCTGCTGTGACATGATTGACGAGCTCTACAGCAAGGCCTATGCAAGGCGGTAGCAATGGTTTTACTACTGTCGAGCCATTGGTACCTTCAAGAATCACCGAAGCAAGGATATGTAGGTGGTTTGATGTCGGCTGGGGCGGATAGCAAGAACACTCTTTCTTGTCTTAGCAATGACTATTCGACCTGTGGTGGGAGGTCCAGCCCGTCTCCGTTGTCTGAAATTATGACAGATACGGCGCCCCGCGCTATTCTACGCCAATCAAGGATCCAACGTTAGGTAAGGTAAGACGAACTACAGGCGAATATGTAGGATCAGGCGGGATACCTGTTTGAGGTCAAGTTTTTCACATGTGAGTCAAATATAGAGTCGAGATTATATTTGACATCACATTTCGGCAGCTCACGGCGTCTCATGTCAAAAATTTCCCGCCCGTTCGGTACCCCTTGCATCGGACGTAGCCATCTGCGCGTCATTGGGTTACAACGCCCGATTCGCTTAGTCGCATATTGATAATATGTTGAAACCGGATGTATGCAATTTTCAAGAATACCCCTATCATCCCGTTGGTACATGTCACCAGGTAGATGGGTAGGCTTTGGTGTATGTAGTCCGCATTATGGCTGTTCTCTCAGATGTCGGTCTATTGTATAGATACGGACGTGACTTGACAAGGCCATGGGAGTAATTATAGGGGTTGCCCTCAATATGGCGGCTATTTTTTTTTTTTTTTTGGGTGGGATTATGCATTAATCTTATCTTGAGCGCCAACAATGGATTCAAGGCGTCCTGCCATAAGGCGATGTCGTCTTACAACTTCTACCCACTCATCCTCCAAATTCTCACCGAGGTCGAGGCTGGCTAACAGAATACCAAAGTCCCCTCCCAGTCGCCCAAGACTTCCGGCACAATACAGAACCTGAGTCAACAAACTGTCTCGTGATGCTTGGTCCCTAACGTTGGGTAGATAGATTCGTAGTGTCTCTACAAGCATCTCAATAATATGGAGGGGAAAAGTTGACAACATTGAAGGCATTGATTGTAGTGGATCCCGTCCGTCTGGCGTGGACGACTCCTTCGACGCCTGTGGCGGGAATACGCTTTTAAACATTGACACGATAGCAAAACTCTGTTCTCTAAATATTTCAATATATCTTTTCAGATATCGCTCGGTTTGCTGACCACCTGACCATGAACCACTAGCTGGGGTATTCTGCTGTTGGCGGAGCCTTTCCTTGTCTGCAAGCTCACGCAGTGGTTCTAGAGCTTGAAGCATGTTCATAAGGGTTGAAAGTCGGCATATGAGGAACAAGGCTCCCAGACCATCATTATCACCAGCTCCATTGTGGCTTATATTGCCCGATGGGCTTAAATCAGGTGCAACCCTCTTCAGCCAGCTAATAGTTCTGAGGGCAGCTGTCAACTTAAGGCTCGGCGTCCGTAGACTAGAAATGAGGTTCTTGGCCATGAGCTGCATGGCTTCGTCGGCTTGGTGAGCAACCGCCGAAACCAGGGAAGAGTCCGGGTGCAGGGTGTGGAGCCGCCGTATATGATTATTCAGATCTAAAGCAGAAGCATAGTTGGCAGTCAAGCTAGATGAGCTGGTAGCGATAGCGGATGAAAGTAGAGTAGGGAGATCGAGAAGATCAACAACTCGCTCAACATTCCGTGACAGAAGCAATGCCGTCTTCCGTGTTTTCAGTAATTCGTTGTCGGCTGATTTGTGATAAGTAGTAGAAAAGCGGACTGCAGCATCGTCCAGTTTCGGTATGACAGCTTTGAGGTCGGATATAGAAGTCGCCAATGCAGGAAGGGCGCGGCCCAGGCTTGCATGGCTCTCGGATGATGAGATGATGGTTTTATGAGAGCGCTGAGAGAGCCCTTGAAGGGATAGCAATAGAGAATGGGAGCTTTGAGCCAGCGTCTGTGGTTCAACGGTCTCAAGCTGCTCAAGCGGCTGAGCGGCAAGTTTGGTAAGATATTCCAAAGCAACAGGGTCTGGAGGCGATGATCGGCTATCTGGCGACAGAGACGGAGTCAACAAGTCATAGAGTAGGTCGGCCATCTGAGGCTATTCGGCCAACGGCCCGAGGTCCAATGCTGAAATAATAGATAACTCTCGCTGTGTTCGTAGATAAGCCGCCCAGTGACCGTCGTGATTAAGTGAGTGAATGACTGAGCCAGGCAAGCCTATCTCATCGTACCTAACTGGTGACCAGTCAACTTAGAGAGTGAGCAAGCTTGGAAAGAGCAAATGAGAAATAACGCCCTATTTTCCAGCACCCTAGTAGCTTGATTGCCTGAGTATCTACCAACAAGTAGTTCCCCAAGCTACACTGATTCAATGCTAAGAATAGCTTGGCCGGGAATTCAAGTTGAAGCGTGCCTTGAGCATGACCTGCAAGTACTAAGTAGCCGCGCGTGAGAAAGTCACATTGTCCACTGTGGGCTGTGTCTTGCTGGCCAGGTGCGCTAGGTAGGTACTTCAGTACACTAAGACCTGTATCCCGTAGCCTGTACATGGCAGGGTCTGGCAGGGGACCCAACTGTTGAAGCCACAGGGGTGGCCTACTATAACTTAGGTACCTAGGTACCTACCTTACCCAGGTGCACTGTACAAAGGTACCTAGATAATACAGTAAGTGACGTACAGTGCATCACTCAGCTGTGTACGGCTTCAGCGTCTGACTGACTGTAGGGTTGTTCAACGTCGTTATATCTACATCATTCATCGAAAACTCACCTAAAGCCGGCTCCATTATTTGCGACTTATTCCTCCCATCGCAGTGTCTCCTACTGTCCTTCTCCTCTATACACACATACCTGAAATAGATCGAAAGCGTCCAACACTGCGCAAGAACTCGACCACGGACAGACACGGGTAATCCTCCAACGGATCACGGATCTGCATGTGGTGCCTAGACTGCTTGTCCGCTCTTGGCTCTCCTCGGTGCGCAAGGCTATTGGAGCTAGATCAGCCCAGTGTAAATAAGGGTTATATGTGGGTTAGCTGAAGCTTGTCCAGTCGCTGCCCATTTGACTCCCTACCCGGGTATAGATACACCACGTCACGCACCATCATCACGCAGGCCGTCGTTGTTCCCCCCAAACCTGGGTCTGATTACGTCCTTTCATACGTATAAATCCTCGACGGGGACGGGAACACCTCGCTCGTAGCGAGCCAGCATCCTCTTTCATCGTTTCGCTTTCGTGTCAGCGTCCGACACCGAATTATATACACCCAGCATGAAGGACCCTTTCCCAATACCGCCCATCCCCGCGCTAAGTAACGCCATCCAGCCCTGGGCCGACTACCTCAACCTGCCCACGCTCCCTCTACACATCCACGAGATCGTCATAATAGCCGCCTTTTACGAGTTCATCCGCAGTGTCGTGTCGCCCGTATTGTCCTCCCGCCTCTTCCCCCGCCAGTATGCCGCGCTGTCTAAGTCGAAGAAGCTCAACTGGGACGTCCATGTCGTCTCCTTCGTCCAGAGTACCACCATCAACATCCTGGCCCTGTGGGTGATGTTCGTCGATGAGGAGCGGAAGCAGATGGATTGGCAAGAGCGTCTCTGGGGATACTCGGGAGGTCCAGCTATGATCCAGGCTCTCGCCGCCGGCTACTTCCTCTGGGACTTATTTGTCACCGCTGCTAATGTGAACATCTTTGGCTTGGGCATGCTGGCTCACGCCGTCAGCGCTGTTCTCGTCTACTCTTTTGGCTTCGTAAGTGATCCTATGCACGCCTTTCGGCTCTCCACATGTCGACTAACAATCGGGACCAGCGACCGTTTGTCAACTTCTACAGCACTAATTTCATCCTATGGGAACTGTCTTCGCCCTTCCTTAATATCCACTGGTTCTTCGACAAGCTCGGCATGACTGGCTCTCGCGCTCAGCTCTACAACGGCCTTGTCCTCATTGGAATGTTCTTCTCCTGCCGCCTGGTGTGGGGCACCTACCAGTCCTTCCTCGTCTACCGCGACCTATACGCCGGTATCAGTCAGGGGCCAGATTTCCTAGCCGCCGAGAAGGCAGGTACGGCAGGCTTTCCGGCGCGCTATGCTGAGAGCATGCAATTTGTAACCACATCCACCGGCGTGCCCCTATGGCTAGCCACAATCTACGTCGGCAGCAACCTGACCCTAAACTCACTCAACTTTTACTGGTTCTTCAAGATGATCGAAGCCGTCCGCAAGAGATTTGATCCCAAGGCCGAAGAAAAGGAGGCACCCGTGGCATCAGCTAAGGCTAATAAGGATGGTATCGCCGTTGTAGCTACGGGGGCCAATAACGGAGTCACAACTCGCCCAAGAAGGCGGACAATTCTAGATGGAGAGGACCCTGATGCGCCACCGCCAATCTAATAGCTTCAAGGGTCATCTCAAGCCATGCTTAAAGCCCTAGCATGTCTCCATTCTGCTATATAAGCGGGAAAGGTAGCGCGAGGTCTTTCCAATGGCCAGTCCGACTGCCCCTAGATCAACTGGGGAGTCAAGTATGTATTCGACGCGAGTACTGCATCAAAGCACCGCGTCCCCGCCCTCGTATTAATAGTCACTACGGGAAAGGGGAACTCGTGAGGTTCGTAGCGCTGTCAGGACATGAAGGGATAGATTAATGATGAATAATTAAATACTGCTAGTGTTATATACTAGAGGGCGTACTAAAGTCTGTATATTGGCAGAGCATGGGAAGGTAGCCGATAAATCAAATGGCCAGATGCAATGCCTCGTCAATAAGTCTGTGTCCAAACTACCTCCACGCCTCCCTAAGGGTTCCCTTTAGTAATAATGTAGCTACAGACCCCGCCTCTGTGAACCTCATGACACTCTTCTTCATCTTAAGTTCCATGAAAGGACGTATTGATATAGACAAGCCAGCGAAGCCTGAAATATAGTAGCTGACACAGCCCATAGCTATCTACGCATTGGATCTATCATAATGAGATGATTGTTCTTTGGCCTCCTCTTTTTCGACGACCGATCCTAAAAACCGAAAGGGTTTTGGGGAGCTGGAACGAGTTAGTATGTTAAGTCTATACAGCAAGGCAGAGTGCGTCACTTACTTGCTTGCGCAAGATTGGCACGACGGCCTGTTGGCTGTGGAGCGATCTTGTTGGCAACGCCAAAGCGTACAGGGGGTGCGGGTCCGGTCTTTTGAGGCTGTAGGGGAGCTATGGGTGGCGGCTGGGGTGACCCGTTCATCGCCGGGTTGAATCCCGCACCACCGAAGCCTCCAAACCCGGTTTGTTGAGGTTGCATCTGAGCTTGAGGAGGAGCTATGCTGGTTCTCTGAGGTTCTAGTGCTGGCGGTAAATACGAATTGATACCCGTCTGTTGCGGGAATTGTTGAGGAGGTTGGAAGTTACCAGTGTATCCTGTAGGTTGGGCTTGGAGAGATGGAAACTGCTGAGCACGTGGATCGGCAAATGGACTCTGCATTTGAGGCGCTCCTGTCATTTGAGGCTGCATGAATTGCTGGGGTCCGAATCCAGTAGGCTGTTGCATGTTGACTGGCATGAAGCCTTGAGAAGTTGGCTGTTGAAAGTTGCCCATATAGGGTTGTTGGAAACGCTGCTGGTTGAGTTCGCTCAAGCTTTGTCCTGGGGGTGCAATGCCAGTCACCTGGGGTTGTAAGATTGGCATTGCCGGTGGAGCGAATCCACTCGGCTGAGCTGATTGTGGTGCTGATAAAGGTCGCGCCGGCGGAGGTGGCATGAGTGCACCTTGTCCGCTCATGACCTGGGGGGGTGTTGGCCGCTGCCGGGTCCCAAGCCCCAGATTCAAAGATGGTGCTGATGTGGAGGGCCCAGTTGGTGTAGGAGGGATGCCAGAGAAAAATGACGGCGTGGCTCCTTGAGGCTGGGCCGCTGGTTGCACTACCTGCGGCTGGCTAACGACTTGTGTCTGTTGCGGGAGGGTGACGGGAGGAGTCGGTGCTGGTGACTCTACTTTAGTCGGCTCAAGTGGTGCGGACAGCAGAGAAAGATCTAGCATAGACTGTGTTGGGGCAGGCTGAGGCGCTGGTTGAGGAGCAGGCTGAGGAGCCGGCGTCGTCTTGGGTTCGGGTTCTGGAGCGGGTTTGGATTGGGGCTCTGGTTGTTTGGCTGGCTTCACGTCCCATGCATCATCATCGAAGCCACCACTGCCTTTAGTAGCGGCCTTGGAACGAGACTCTTCGGGGGAGGACGACGAGGACTGTCCGCTTTCGCCATCCTTTGGTTGGGAGAGTGCCTTCAGGTCAATAACGTCATTTGTTTGGATTGCTGGAGCAGGACGCCCTTTTCGTGTATTGTTCCGAAGCGTGCCCCCTGGACCCGAGAAGAGACCGCCTGTAGAGCCGCTTTCACTGTCGGCTTCTCCATTCCTTCTTCTTCCGTCTCGATCAAATTTCTTGTCCAAGTAGCGCATTACTTTGATAATGTCGCCCTCGTGCAGCCCAATATTGCGGAGAACAGTAGCATCGACATCTGGTAGTACGCTTTCATCCATGGAATCTTTCGCGAACGCCTGAGCATAACGCTCGCACAGACCAACAGCGACCTCGCAAGAAAGGAAAAACTGAAACCAATCGTAGTCTGGCTTTGCAGGCTCTACGGAAGCCCCAATACGATTTGATGAAGCGGTTGATGAAGTCGCCTTTTTCATATTGTTCCGCATGGACTGTTCACGCTTCACAATAGCTAGTGGCTTTTCCTCGTCCAGGGATACACCCGTGGTCCGCTCGATGTATTCGATATCTTCCAAAGACATCTTCGCCAGGGGGACCGCAATTTTGACACCATTCATTTTATGTAAATTGATCTTTCCATCTTTGAGACCCAAAAACTGTGCTTCAACGCTAAATGACTTCGATCTGTCGGTCCAGGTGCGCACTTTTGATGGATCTGGCTCTGCGAGAATACGTTAATAGGGAAAACGTGCGAGGAGACGAGGAGACTCACTGGACTTGGATGACCCTGACCGGCTGGTATCTGCGCGGCCGCTGTCGTGTCTGCTTCGCTGTTGTGTAGAAAGGTTACCATTGTCTCTAGCAGACAAACTACTTTGTCTTTCAGATAAGTGCATTCCAGGCCCTACCTCTGCTGCTTTTTGGTCTTTCTTGACGGCTTCTCTTGTTAAACGTGCCTCCTCTTGTCGATTTTGTGCCACGGCACTTATGCCTGTGTTAACCCCGGTTGGCCCCCCGGAGATTATCGTTTCCAGGACTTCGACATAGCTACTTGGAACAACACCCTCTTTCCCATTCTTGAGTCGCCGGACCTGCCACCATTCGTCGCTCTTCGTATCATCGAGGATTACCACTTCGTCTCCCACATCGACCGTTACCTCATCGTCTCCTTGAGCCTCAAAACTGTACACTATCTGACCTCGCTTCCTAGTGCCTTTTCCAGTTCCAGCCGCAATGACCTCCCGAAGACCCTCGGCTTTGACGGCCCCAGAGAGCTCACCAAGCGCGCTGACAATCTCTTCGGCTGTATCTTTCGCCCCTGCATGGAAGTCAATACTTTTGCTTGGTCGTACTAGTTCCAGAAACACATGTTTTCCTTCTCTCGAGTAATGCGTCATCTTTTCAGCGGTCCACTCTTGAGTAGGGCCATCCTGAGATTTTTCAGGAGCAATTAAAATTACACCAGTTTTTAGGTTGACTCCTAATGTCGTTGGCATTTTCTTCTTCTTGCCCATGACAGATACCATTTCATTAATGTTGTACATATGAAAGCCGCCAGGCGCAAGAGGGCTGAACTGCGCAGGGTGAGTGTCATAATTATCTGTAGGAGGACGACTTGAAATTCGCTGTGGAAGTCGCGGGGATGGTACGGATTGTTCGTTCGATACGCTTGAATGTGATCGTGGTCGCATTGGGAGAGCAGGGCTTAGTTCTTCCCTGGTTTCCTCTGGCTCCTCTACATACGGCCGAGGAGCACGCGTGATAGGAGGAGGGGTCGGATCGCGTGTTGCCGCTCTTCCTTGCATGACGCTCGCTAGAGCGGCTGCTGGCCCGCTCGGCGGAGGGGGAGAGGGTATGGATGATGGCCGCTCCGGAAGCGGAGGACTCCTGGTTTCTTCCGACTCTACAGGGACTACTGGTCGTGTGGGAAGTTGAGGAGGAAGCTGAGGGGGCGGTGACTCCAACGCCGGCTCATCCTCAGACTCAGGCTCTTGTGGTACTTGTGGTACTTGTCGAGCAGATGAACTACTTATCTCAATATAGTTCGCAGGTACGAAGCCGAAGTCTTTCTCGTAGCCAACAAGGATCCAATCCGGGTCGGAGGCATCGTACACACGTAATGCTGCGTCTTCAGGAAACGATAACTCTTCGTCAGTTTGACGAGTATACTCATAAAGGGACCTCGCCTGCCCGACAGGTTGGGCCTATGATAGAATTTAGCAAGCTTTGTCGTAGATCACAACGATTATTGAGCAGTAAACTTCGCACCTCTTCCACATAGTTGTTAGGCACCAGACCAACGGGCTCATCCTCTTCATCGGCGCTTGCCTTCTTCTTAGCTTTCCACCAATCATCTTCTTGGCTTTTCTCTAACACGCATAGCAAATCGCCCTCGCTTATGGTAAGTTCTCCTTCGGACTGCGGCGCATAATCGTAAATGGCCTTATAGATGCCTAGAAACGCCATGATGGTCGAGAGAATGCGATACCGGAATGGGCGAAAAAAGCGATCCCACAAGACACACTAGTAAACCCTACAAGATTACGCAAGGACAGGTCAAGCTTTAGTACTAGAGGAAGTAAGCGGAACTGCCGTCGTCGCCGTCGTCGCCACTACCAAGGGTAATCGAAGCGTCGTCGCTTGTTTGATGGGTCGTTCGTGGTACACCGTAGAAGGCGGAGCTTCCGGGGATGGTTTACGCCGGGTACCGTCAAGAAGGAATTCGTCGGAGCCTGGCGATCGAATTAAGAAAACTGTAATGAAGATACGACAGCTCGCATTAAAATCGCATTTATTCGAAATATTCAAGAAGTCGGATGATGGGCAAGTCCGACATAGGGGTGACGAGTTCAGGACAACTCTGTACCCAGGCCGTGGGCGACCAATCCGGGGGGGCGGTGGGATTATATGCGACTGATCGCCGTCGATAGCTGCGTACTTATCTTTATGCAACGAGATGTTATGTTACAAGCAAGCGTAGGTATGGAGTGCCGTGCTGTCGGAGAAGAGGTTGGTCTTTGGGTGAATTATACAGCGGATTGGGGATGCCTGACATCAGCATACTGGGTAGACTACAAGTCTTCAGCTCGGCAGGGGCTGGTAGGGGGGGAGACGTAAGGCAGGCAGGCACTAACTTTAACCTTACTACGTAGATAAGTAGGTACCTAAATACATGCGTATGAGGGAGATACAGTACTTGCACGCGTTAGAGGATTCAAGATCGCTAAGTACACTGCAAAGGCCCCACCAAGAGGCAGGTACCTAAGAAGGTATGCAAATATCGTGCTGTACCTGCCTGATGAGACACGCCCTTGCCTAGGGCATATATGAATATGTTTCTTACTGTTATTTTTATATGTGGATATTCCTGTCTACATCTGCGCTACCTTTACATGCAATTAGATACCTAGGGATCAAAAAGTAACCAGTCACCAGATAGACGTATCTAAGCGCAAGGCGCAATCGCAATCTCAATAGCGGTGCATGTGTTCCGGATGATATTATATGCTCTGATGATTTTTATAGCTCTTCTAAGTTTACATATAACTAATCATTTTAAGTAGTATCTTTTCTACATCTTGTTCATTCTAGCCCTATGCAGCCGCCAAAGTAAACGCGCAAATCGTAAACCTAAGGAGAAATATAAATGGTAAAATAAATAAATCCTGCCAGTCAAGTCGGCTCTTCTCTCCCAGCAGTCTTCTTAAGATTGTTGCGAGCTGAGGCCGCATCATCCGACTCATGCGTAGAGCTGCGTCGTTTGCTCTGGCGTCTCGAAGCCCTCGCCATCATCCCAGGAATGTATCTAGGTTCATGGCTAGACAAGTGCAAGTTCTCGAGCCCATCTATTGGCCAAGATGACTCCCGCTTCATTGAGGAGAGGGGAGAGCTTGGCATTGTGTTCTGACCTGCGTTACTAGGCGCATCTCCTTGAGAGTTTCTAAGCTCGGCTCTTCCACGTTCGACATTGCTTAGACCGGGAGAGACAGGAACCTTATATTCTGATGCCGCAGTACCCGTTGCCGGATTTGCCTTCATTCACAATCATTAGTGAGTGTCCTGGGAAGACGATGGCTTGTTCGTAGACGTTGAACCAGACTAAAGTCAATCCATGATGACCAATTCAATGGCCGTCTCGTTCGGGCTATTCATAAACGCCAGGGAAGAATGCAAAATCAGGGGGAGATCTTCGGGTTCAACATACCGATAGGGATGAAGTCGCGTTGACCCCGGTTGATGGCTGATGCTCCAAGATTTCGTCCATTTCGTGGTTAGATGTATATCTTGATATCCTAATCCGTGTTAGTATGATTTCAAGATAGCTAACGATTGAACTGCACGTACATTCGATGTTCTTCAACCCAAGTCTGATGCCTGTATTCCTCCCGTCGATCAGGGATGTTCGTTTTAATCATTCTGTTCCCTTCAGCCCCGGGTAAGTTGAAATTCTCACCCAGCCAGGACTGTTTGATAGAATGTTCATAACCACTTTGCTTGACAGAATTCTTAGCTAATTCGCACATATCAACGGGGCTGAGTTTCCATATTTGTGCCGCCACGGCGTACTCTTCCATCAACGGTTCCCTAGTGAACGCAAATTGTAGAGGGTCGTCAGTAGATAGAGACACGTTCAAACCACGTCTGAAATACTGAATGAAAGGGTTCCGTTCGTATGCAAGGAAGAGGGCATTATTACTTAGAGGAGACATAGCAATGCCTATCTGCTCCAAGTAGAAAATATACTGCAACAAAGGCACCTTGCGCAGGAGAAGTCCATGACTAATGCTATGACTGCATAATAGTGCGACTGCCAAATGTTCGACATCGCCCGCTTCGCCACAATGTGGCCGTAGCAGGAATGTGTTGAAACCACGTTGCCGACGCCAGAAGTTAAGCGACGTCATGTTAGAAAAAAGATAGTAGATCCAGTAGCTATATGGCGGATTTTGCTGTGAATCCCATTCTTTAGGAACGGGGAACTTCTTGAAGAGGCGGCGTTCTACCTTACTCTCATCATCAACGCTGTCAAAGCCTATCACCCTCTGCAAAAAAATGTGAAGCTTTGGGTGCTTCTCTGGCTCTTTGGTCACTTCGAACAATGGTTGGAAAATGTTTCTTACCACCTGTTCGAAAGATCCCATCAAACCGCTTGCCTTGTAGACATCGTAGAGTCGTGGAATCTGAATAAGCCATCGAACATTGTGCGAGAACAACTTGTGGTCAACGACCCAGGCAGCTAGTTTGTCCCACTCATCTAGGGATCTACCGTAGATGGAGATACGCCATTCTACCATCTGATATTTGCTTGATTCAAGGTCGGAGATAACCTCTTTAGTAATCTCAGCCAAATATCGACCCTGGATGTGATTGTCTGTCTTTAAGAATATGGTTCGGAGACGAGACTCGCCGACTGGGTTGTACTTTAGATTGAACTTGTCGAATCGATGGAAAGAATCCGTATGTGCCTAGGAATGCTGTCAATTCTTGTTCCAACTGAATTGGCCGCTATCAGTACGTACATGCATATCTAACGTATCGATACTTAGGTCGTATGCAGTCAGGTTGATACTCTCAAAAACTTCTCTCAAAGTGAGATTCTTTCCATCCCTAGAAAGCACATACTCGTCGGGACACTTCTTCATCTTACTCTTAATGAATCGGAGAAGATGCTTCTGGTTCATGCAAGCGGAATGATGAACGTGTGTATCGACTTTTCTCACATTGTAAAAGTCTCTGTGCGGGACCTTCTTGGTATCGGCAGTCTCTTGGTATTCGTTGAGGAGTGAATACAGTTTGAATTTGCCTTCAAGATACTGTAGTCGCCGGAAGGCGAAACTCTTACTTGGTCCATCAGAAGATATAAGCAAAATCTTTTCCAGATCCATATAGAAGTCTTTGATAGTGGGTACACCGACGACTGGGGTATTCGCCGCATCTGCAGCCGCGTTCTCGTAGACTTGGTACACACCGTTTTCATCGAGGCGGAAAGTGAATTCTGAGGCCGGAGGAAGAGGTAATAGGTCGTTTATGTCAAAATCCTCTCCGATGTCTTGCCCGGCCTTGCGTTTCTTGAATGGTTTCTTACGCTCAGATTGCGATTGACCTTGTTCAACGGCCGTTGTTTCGGTCTCCTGCGCCTGACTAGTCTGCGGCGGTAGAACCATACTGTTGGTCATGCTATTAGCGCCAGTGTTTTGGCCATGGGTTTGATTATCAGGCGGCGGATCCGTCCAGGCTGGCTCGGGTGGAGGCGGGTAGATAACCCAGCTTGGATCATCATGGGGATTATCCCCATCACGTTGTAGAGAAAGCCGAATATATTTATGACGACTGTCGAGCACCTTCTGGATGTTCTGAAAGATTGCGCTGAGTTCAGCGGTGATATGCGCATCGTTGTCCCCTGAAGCATCGGCAATACCAACAGGCGCCACACCAGGAAGCTCCATACTAGGATTTGGATCAAAGCCTGGCTCCTCACGTACAAAGCGATGAGTTGGCTGGCGGCCTGCAATCCGAGAGCCAGTATGCTCGCCCAGAGATGGACGTGTGGCAGTCCGGGGAGCTATGTAGGAGCCGCGGGGCACAGGGCTGGGCGACCCTGCAATATGTGGCAGACTGTAACTCTGCGCGGCCGGAGGGAGATTCATAAGGCTCGGCCGGGCATGTGGTTGCCCATGGACAGCAGCAGCAGCGCCAGCAGCGCCAATACCACCACCATCGTTGGGCAGGGTTGGGGGACTGCATTGAGGAGCGGGACGGGATTGGTCGCGGCTGCTGGCATCATTCTTGAGTAAATCCCGCTGGCTTCTCTGGTAGAAGAGTTTGGCATCGGTCTGACTCATCTGCCGCTCAGCGACGGGATCATAGAATGTCGTCTTCCTAGGAACATCCCTCGGCAGCATGCCATCTTCAAGCCCGGGGGAGAGCACAGCGACGTGAAGACCGACGCTGGAACTCTCCGTATGGCGCAACGAGTGGCCGCTGTCATTCTCGTCGTTCTCGTCGTTCTCATCGTTCTCGCCACTTCCCTTGTCGTCGTGCTCGTCGCCCGACTCGTTGTGGTGGATGGCGGGGCTAGCCGTGTCAGATCCGTCCGAGTCGAAGTCGAAAGTCTGGCGGGCTGAGCGCGCCTGCGGCTGCGGCGACGTCGAATAGAAACTTGCTATAATAAGGCCCTTGTCAGTCGAGGTGTTGTGGTGTGGGGAGACAGGAGGGCGTATAGATAGATTAGGTACTGACGGCGCATCTCGGAAGATCCAACTTGCGGGAAGTTGTCGAGGACAAGCTGCTCGAGGCCGAGGGGTCTCTCAGGCTCAGACATGGTCTCCCAGATATAGCGGCAGTAGATAACTGGCTGCCCCACTACACCACCTATCTATATCTACCTCCCCACCTAATCCTGGTAATATGGTAATAGGCAAGTTGTAGTGACGTTCCCGTCCTGCAATGGAGCCCCTCCCGCAGCCGTAGTGTCGGTACTCAACCTCTTGGCAGATGTATACCATGCAAATACATACATGTACTTGATGTACCTGCATGTGCTTTTAGGGCCCCTAACCAGCTTCGTGGTCATCGACACCCTCCCGGTTAGGTAGGTACCTAAGTAGGTAAGGAGGGTTAGGCTGGTTAGGCAGGATGCTGTATAAACAACTGCCCAGGAGGGGGAAGGGGAGGTAATCAGACAGATGAGGATGAGTGGGGGGTGAGTACTTAGGTAGCCTCCCACGAGATGTAAGCTTGGATGAACAGTACAGCACAGCATTTAAAGCCAGCCGTGCTCGTTTTTATAGATGTCGCTACCTGCCTTTGTGGACAGTTGGTATGTCATGTACGCTGATGATTGAGCATTTGTCCTCCATGCCCAGGTAGCACTATCAATCAGATGGTAAGCTCTTGTCTCGCGAGTAGTAGGTTTGATTGGACAAGGTGTGACATTTCCATTGCAACCCGAAATGGGTATTGCTAGGCGAAGTACTCACGCTATCGCTTGACTTCGCGATAGATATTTTTGACTGATAAATGTATGAATTGGCCAATACAGGTTAAATGAACCTAGACAGGTAATGATGGGCAAGGGAATCCCATAAGTATTAGATTGCAAATAAATAGAACCGAATCTGTTTTGCATCTAAGCAGATAGATCCATTAATGTGAGGCGCAATTTACGACGGGCCAAGAGCTTGTCTCACGGAGAATTGAGCTAATCAAAAAGCACCAAGACAAACGCCTACGCCCAGTTGACACGGTCCTAACATAACAGGTCGGAATCAACATCGGAACCTGAGAGGTTCCATGCGCATTGGTACTCCTCATAAAACTCGCACAATTGTATTGCTGCTATCTACGGGCTCGGTCAAGGGGCAAGGAATTTGATGCGACGACAGCATACTATCCAGTCCGACCACTTTCCACCTTCGGCCTGGAGGCTGCTGGTTTCTTCTCCTTTTTCTTTGAGTCTAGGGAGTACAAGGCTCCAGCTGAGAACACAACAACAGCTCCCACCAGTGTCCCTGGCGCGAGGCGGTTACCAAAAAGCCAGATACTCAACAGCAAACTCACTAACTTGCGTATGTTTAACACAATTGTCACAGTTAGTGCTGAAGACACAGCGGCCAATAGATTGACGCCTCGAATGCAAGCGTATTGCGTAAGAACATTGAGTGTTAGGTATGTTACCTGGCTGGGGATGGATATGCCTGCTGCTACCACCTTTTGCCAGCCCTCTGGTAAGTTCATCAAGCTTGCTTGGTCTATCGGAAGCCGCAATACTAGTGGTGGGCTATCCACGAGGCGCATAAGTTGACGGACAAGTGATTTGGTGAATGGTAGAAAAAGCGGGAGTGATAGCAAATGCGAGTAGAACAGATTCTCTTTCCACTGAGGTCCATACTGTTTGTACGTTTCCTCTGTGTATAGGCCCATCGCCGCTGACAAGGCTTGAGCAACGAAAAGAATCCCAAGACCCGTACCAAAACTCGGCGCTGATACTTCGTGAGGCGATTCAGCTGCAGGTTGCTTGAGATAGAGTTAGTGCAACCACGGTTACTCCCTGAAATAGGGTGAATGGGGATACAGAGATACTATACCTTTGTCTGGGCGTCTGACCAAGCCGCCGTTATGACACCTATCGTTAAGAGTACTACAGCAGTGACCTGAATGCGGGAGTACTTCTTGCCGTAGAGACTACCAGCTACTATAGTAGTGATGCTACCACCGGAACGCAAGATGATATGGACAGGTACTGAGATATCATAACTAAAGGCATGATTGTTGAGCAGGTTGATACTGAAGAACAGCACTATGTTGATCAGCCAGCGCCGGATAGGTACTCGGTTCGGCCGTAGAAAGAACGGGGGTCTGGAAGCATCGAACTGCGAGACGTATCCGGTGACTGCGACGAAAAGGAACTGCACAAAAGTCAAGAGTGTCCCTATCAGTCATGCAGTGAGTGTCTATCCAATTGCGAGGTTAGGATGAGGCCAGTGCCATGAACATCGTACCGCTCGCTGGTTCAACCCTGTGGAACGGTCAGGAACATGGACGTGGAAACAGCGAGGCGGAATGGGGGGCCGCGCTCACTTGACGATAGCTTCTAGAGCAAAAACCTATAGATTCGCTCCGATCAGCTAATTGCCCTGGGATAATAGGACGGATGCTTCAACGCACGTTGGAACAACAGCCACCGAATATTAGCCCCAGCATAGCACCAACAGCTAGCCATTGTGGAATCGTCTCAATGAAAATGCGACCGGCAAGCCCCATAAGCTTCGAATGAGTAGATCGCTGATCGTGTATTCCGTACAGTTCGGCTTTCTCGAGTGAAGGACCGGCATTGATCACCTTGGGCGTGACGGGACCACCATTGCGGGCAACAGCATGCGACTCGCGCAAAGTTTGGCGCCTTCGGGGAGCCGAGCGGCTCGACATGGTTGTTGAAACCGCAGTGGCGAACGACGTGAGGGCGTGGTTGAGAACGAGGTGGTTGTTGATGGATGTGATGATCAAAAGATAAGGACACGATACAACGTATGCTGCCTCTAGTTAGACGAGACGCGCGGAGATGATGGGTTGAACAGAACGAAAAAGCGAACAGAAGGAGAAAGAGACAGAGACAGCTGCAGGGGAGCGAGAGAAATTGATCGTGTCGTCTCGTGTCCAGAATAACTTACCATGCCTGGAGGAGGCAGCTGAAATGTTCTCCTGCAATAGAGATCGTGTAAGCGCACGCCTACAAGCTAAGGTGCCCCGGTACGGCAGGTAGCAGGAAACGTCAAAGCTTACAGAAAGTCTGGTTATTCTCACGGCAGAGCTGACAACCTGCTGTTTGTTGATTGCACGGCAATTTAGAGGGAAATCGCAAGTAGCAGATTGTAGAAAGCCCAGGTCCGTATGCAGCTGAGATGACAAGACAGATGATGACTTCCTACCTAGGCTGTATTGTATGTAAGGTGGCTTGATCGCGGCTCATCCAATTTTCCTAATCAAGGTCCCATGCTCGTGCTCAGTGCTAACAGTATGGTAACTCCCAAGTCTCAGCGGGGTGCAGAGTGAGCGGGTACCTGCCGACGGGTATTTAGGAGGCGGATTGGATGCCTTAGATAAGCAGGCATTAATGTCTTGGTACTTCTGAGGTACCTACCTATGACATACAGTGTAAATATATTTACTGTATATGAACGTTCTGCAATACCTCACACTATAACTTGAAGGACCTAGCATATATGTAGGCAGTCTACATGTTATTCAAAGAGTTCTAAAAGTGATATCCAGATTCATAGTAGCTGCTAGGTAGATGGGATAACGGTGATGACACCGGCTGTTTCATCTTGACTGTACTTTCACCAATGCATTTGATATCTCGTATATGCTGCCAGCCTGTCTTTAATGTCTATGTTACTGAGCTGATAAAACAAGGTTGTTTTCTACCCTGTGCAGAGGTATCCCTTAATGCGATCACTATCACCCCCAATATGCTCGTGCTGCCTCAGCTGTTGTAGGTCTTCTATCATTCAGCGTTGGCGCCTTCCAACCTTGGTATGGTATGGAAGTCCCATCACGCACACATGTATCTTCAGGGTGTGAAATGGCATCACAGGTATGAAACGTTAGGTGCCACCAAATAGGTCATTGTATTTGTCACTGTAGGTTTTTCAACAGCAGCCTATGTAGTCGGTCTGAATGGTAGGCAGAAGTGCTGTAAGGTGGAATTGGTCGAATGCAGATGGGAAGGGAAACCACCGAAACTTCCAGACGCAACTCCTCAAAAGGCGACCGGGTATCCCTATGCTCTAGTGAAGGTGGTGACTGCCACGCAATATACTGGTGGGAAGGGACAGAATATTACATTGCTTGCTTCTACAACGCAGAGAAAACAAACAGCTGCGCCGAATTAGTCACTTCGGTTCTAACATTAGAAGAGAGGTATTACGAGCCATGACTTACGTTATTGGTTGCAGCGATTGCGATACTGTCTTCGAATGGATGCCAACTCATGTGAAGAATCTTCTTGTTGAAATCGATTTGGTCTGCATCCGTCTCCTTCCGCATTCTTTGGCCCTGGCCTGCCCCCGCCGCTGGACTGCCTGCACGTGACCCTCCCTTCTTATTGCCATTTGTCGCCGTAGGGCTTGTTGATAAGTTAATTGGCGTCGGTATGCCAACCTTCTTCGCTTTGAATGCGGACTTGTCAGCCTGCAGAACGACCTCCGTCTCTTTCTCGGGATCCGAGGGATATATCATGAAGTTATTGTTATAACTTCCGGTCATAACATTCTTGGCATCACCGGAGAAGACAACCTCGAACTTGTCGAAGATGCTATCGTTTTCGTACGTGTCACACAGCCTTGGACGAAGATGCTCGTGAATGGGTATTGTCTTCACGGGCTGCCGTTCCATGTTGACGTCCCAAATCTTCACAGTGAGGTAGTCTCGGGATAGGATATATCTACCATCATGAGAAAACCGGACATCAGAAATAGAGGAGATGATCTCGGAGAAGAAGGATCTTGCTCCAGGATCTTCATCCTGTTCAAACACTACCAAGATATTAGCAGGGATGAAGTGTCATTTTGGGGTAACTCAGATGGTGTCGTACGTTTTGCGTGCTGGTCACACAGAGCGCTCTCTCGCATGTCAGCTAGCTTGATGGTGCCCTTAGAGCTAGCATACATAAACCAATTGCAACTAACAGGGTGAAATTCGGCAGCAGTGATGACTTCTGTGAGCTCTTCCATGTTGGCAGGTTTGATATCCACAATGTTGAAGCTTTGGTCCTGGATATTCAAATTCCACAGGTTGATACGTAGGTCGTCACTACTTATGAAAGTTTCGCCGTCACTGTTGACTGAGATACTATTGATATGATAGGCATGTGCGTTGGCGTACGTGCGCCGGGGAACCGCAGCCACAACCGTATCATGATGTGTTAGGCGGGGCAACTTCAGCTCTGCGGCGTTCTTGAACTGTGTCTGTGGGAGTGGCCTAGGAGCACCACCACCTGCACCGGTTATGTTTCCTGGTGTGACATCTTGCGATAGGTTGTTCTCGGCTACCACCTTGAGCGACTTCTCAAAAACTTTCCAGAGCTTTATCGTTTTGTCGTTAGTGGATAGAAGGTAGTGCGACGCATTTTGGCGACGGCACCACTTAATCTTGTTGATTTTCTCTTCTATCTCGAGGGACTTTAGGTAGTCAAATTCCGGCTCATGTGACTGAAACTCCGTATGGAATTTGTACTCGCATGTTTTCTTCTACACCGGCGTTAGAGCAAGACTGTTAAGAGCTACCGGGTTCGTTGAGCTGGCACGGGCAAATAGGGGCACACTAACCGTCTCGTTCCTCTCAAACAGCACGACTCGCCCTCCTTTGTCTCCTGTTGCAAGATAATTGCCCGTATGGTCGAACTCGACGGTTGATATGATATCGGCTATGAGCGTAGCGTAAGTAGGAGCTATCAATGATGTATTAATGTAGCAGCCAGGCCGTAGCGGCTAGGAAATCGAGGTTTCGGGAGTGGAAGGGTGGCACACCTTCTGTTATATCCTCAACATCGCCCTTGTCGCCAAAACACCTATGCAAGTTAGCGCAGGTAGCGCAAGGCCTGGGTCGGTTTCTGAGAAAGAAGGAAACCAAGGAGAGGGCTTTACGAACTGGGTAAATTTCCATACGGTCGGGTCAGCGTCGGCCATGCTTGGTGCAGTAAGGGGCAAAGAGGGCGGTGAGGTGATTGAGCTTGTTGTTGCGTTGGTGAGGTTGCGATGAGATAGCTGCTAATGCGCCCTCGTGGGGGGATATGGTTAGCACAAACCCCAAAGCGGCGGGTCAGGTAGACGCTTGCAAGGACAAGAAGCAGCAGCAAGAAGATGGCCGGGCGCTGCTTACGCGAGGGAGAGTGAAGAGTTGATGGTAGGGCCCCGTCGGGTTGAGAGAGTCGCGGGGTGGTGGAGGGGATGATGATGGTTATGATGATGATGATAAATGATGCGCAAGGGTTGGACGTAGATAGTTTTTGGCTGAACAGCGGATTGGCAAGGTAGGCAGTAGGTGAGGGTAGCCGTACGCCAGCAGAGGGTACCGTACTTCAAGTGCAGTCCGCCAGGCAAGGCAGAGGCGCTAGACCAGCCAACGTTAGGGCCTACCATTGGGGTGGAGGGGTCTTGTACCTCCCAACTGTCGATCGATGGCATCCACACCAAAGACAGGTAGATAGGTACATCATGCTTAGCTGACTTGAACGGTTACGGATGGTAGGTCACAAAGACGCCATGTAAGAAAACATACGGTACCTACTTACATATTCGTATGCTTACATGCCTGAGTATTACTACAAGTACGTATTAGAAAGTAACGACCTACTGTCCAGCTAGAAACGTAACCTCACATCAGCCGCCGAATGTCAGACCTGGGGGTTGAATTTCGAAGTTGGGCACAGTTACAGTAAGTACACTATCAAGCTTCACCCACATCTTAGCTCATAGGTACCCTAAACACCAACAAAGATATGCCGACATGCAGGTAGGTATGTATGCGTTGGTTTTCTTATAAGATTCTAAGTTCTGTCCTCACTGATGCGCACTATAGTGTCAATAAATTTAATTGAGTTGTGCAGATAGGGTTTCCGAAATGCAAATCTTGATGTTGGGAGACCAACCCATTGCTATCTTGTTCAACTCTGCAAAATCGATAATTGCTGGTATAGCTGAGCAAATCAAGCGAATAGTATTCCGAGTGGATTCAATACAGCTGAATCATCTCTCAAACATAAATCTTCTAGGGATGCCACTTTTCTCGGTCGTCACGCGAGTTCTGTGCACATGGATAAGGTCTACTGAGCACAAAGATAAATAAGTTACTAATATGATGTCAAGAGGGGACTTGACTTAGGAGCTTTCTTAGGTAAGCTGCCCCTCCCCCACTCAGTCCAATAGAACACCAAAATGCATATAACTCCATTTCAAGTTGCTCAATTCCATCGATTGTATTAGGACTTTCATATGGCAAGTAGGTAGTCGAAGAAGCTGTCCCATTATCATAGTTCGTTGCTTGTGATTGTATATAGACTCATCTCCACTTGTAAATTATTTAAATAAACTTAGTCCTAGTGACACAATTTGTATCTTTACCTGGACGTCCAACTTAACTTAATCAGGATGCTAGATTCTACATGTCTGATAGCAACAGAATCAACCTAGATGAGTCTCCCAACAGTGTAACCATAAGATCAACCGAATTATGGCAGAAGATGCGGCAAAAGTGTATTGCCCGATTTTCCAGAGTTTGTACCTAGTGAACGCCACCCCATACTCATAGTTACAAAATTCCTTATCGTATAGCGCTATCCTGACATACCCTGATATTAAGTGAGGCCAGCTCTCTCTAAGTCAAGCAACCAGAATCTAGCCGTTCTCTTACATATCAGCTTTGATACGAAGCAGTAGGGGTTCCTCAACGATGGCCACCAAAAGCGCTACGATGCTGAAAAAAAGCCTAACAAGATACTTTATGCTCAGCTCTCTGCCAAGGAAGTAAGTAAACGACAACTCCCAGTCAGATGAACTAGGTATGCATGTCTACAGTACGTAGGTATCTATCGGAATAAGTAAATTGAAATTAACAGTATTATGCAGTTAGCGCTCACGTCTATCCTTGGCATGGAGTAAGGACGGTAAGGTGATTTTGAGCGACTTGTCTTTGGAAGTTCACCATCGACTGTTAGGGCTTCCTTATCCAAACGCATACGATATCAAGTATTATACGCTTGTGGTCCCCAGAAGAACGAAAAGCAGGTTAAATATACGGTGGGGCCTCGTATATGCTATACTTCTCAACATCCAGATGGAGCGGCGCCCATTCAGTGAGGAGGACGGCATGAAGAGAAAGGGGAAGGGAGGAGAGGAAGAAAAGGGCAAAGGGAAAGGAAAGGAGGAGACAGAGCTACTTGATACCTCTGTATTGATACCACCCACGGAATCTAATTCTTCCAAAACTATGGATTCCAGGCAACCCTCCGAGGACCCCTTCTCTCGAATTGCATCATCAGCTGCTAGTTTAACTAGTGGGTTTATATCCAACCACGCTCACGGACAGCAGATCTCTAGTATCTTATCTTCTAATAAGGCTGGATCTTCTATTACCACCAAGCATCCGTCAACAGCGGCCCAGGAAACAGCACATGTCACCCACACAAGTTCCTCGAGTGCTCAGTTGCCACTGGGATCTACATTTAGATCGGGCACTGAAATGAATATAAAAAGTTCGGAAGAGAGTTTCGCAGCATTTCGTGAAGTAGGACGACAAGAAAGTGGTTCTACCAGTGAAAGCAACGTGAATCATAAGTTGGCCGATGCAGCAATCGCCGCCATGAGAGACGGCTCTGAAGTTGTTTATCTCCTCGACACACCACTGGCGGTAGAAGATGACGACATTACCCCAAACATGACAGATAGGGAGCGCTCAGCACTTCGGAGAGCATTATTTGAAGAGCGGCCGTCAACGGGAGCAGGCTGGGGTGATGTACTGGATTTTGTCCCGGAATTTATATCAGATCGTGGTAGTGATGAGCAATTAATACAACATCTGGGAGTATCTAATACGGACGAAGCCCGGGACATATGGTTCAGTCAATGGGGGGCCGTTTTATCGTCGTACACTGATGAGGTCTGGGGCGATCTGAGTCCTTTAGTCTTAGAAGCACGTCAGGAGCTACAAAGTGCATCAACAAGTCCAGAAGCCGTCGCAACAAGCGGCCTCACTGCGGTCCGGAGGCTTCACCAGATATTAGCACACGTTCGGGGCTCTTCTACATAGGCGAAAGCCTTCGAAGCACTAAAAGAAGGGGGGAAATCATCCCACTACATTATGGGTTGAGCCATGTATTGTGTTCTACAACAGGCGACCTCATTGAACGAAATTGTGAAAGAATTGGAGGTAGAAACCCAAGTGAATAATAGATCATACTACTACGGAGGTTGAGGCTGTAAATGTCCATCACCCTTACTATTGGCCTATCATGCCAAGCCTGATGTATATTTGTGACCCGAACCTACGTACATGCAGATTTCAATTACAAACGACGGGAGCTGTCAATGCTAGTGGAGCCTCAAATGTTATGTAGATTCCCTGCAGTTGTGACAGATTATTACATTCATACCTACTAAGTCTACCTTATGCATGTAGAATTAAGTGAATACGTGCATATTCTTACGGTGGACTTGAGGTATCGTGTCATCGTGCTCACATTGGATCCCACCAGCTTGAATGCTTGAAGCTAGGCCTCTTCACATGCAGATATTCGCTTAATGGCTACAAACAAAATGTATTTACTCGACATTGTATATATCGCATCTTGGGTAACTTAACTTGGGAGGTCTGCGTCACTTTCGCATTCTTAAGCTGTTATATAACCAATCTATACGCACCCATAAGTACCTTGTTTAACCCAAGGAGGTACCTAACTGTACCGGAGCTGTACCTGGCGGGAAATATAGTACCTTACCGCCCCGGGGGGGTTATACGTAAGGGTTACTGCAAGGGTTACTGGCGCAGTATGCCTTTCTGCAAGTGTGACGGGTGGAATACGCTGTTGCCAATTGGTTATTATGGCTACAAGGCTTTTATATATGAATTCCATACTAATTTAGTGTACCTTTCGAATTTTTGTATTCCTTTTAATTTGGAAACCATGTCAAAGCGGAATACCATGTCCAAATTCAGAAATAATTACTATAGATGGGTATGACCGTAGTTTACTTTATAGTATGTTATTTAACGAAGGCTAAGAAATCTCCCGTTAAAGTTCTGAATTGCGAAGCGATTGCGATAGGTTTCCTGGCGTACAGGGTGGTGGTGGTGGTGGATTGATTGCAGCGATTATCCTTGAAGGTGGCGATGGATTGGATTGGTTGTATGTATGGCTAGGTCTGTATGGCTAGGTCTGTATGGCTAGGTCTGTATGGCTAGGTCTGTACTGGCTGTACTGATTGGCTGTAGGGGCTGTAGGGGCTGTAGGGGCTGTAGGGGCTATAGGGGGCTATAGGGGGCTATATGGGCTATTTTAAAGGGCTGGACATAGTTACGGCAATTATGTCTGCTAATGGCAAATATTATGAATGGGTAAGGTTTTATTTTTATATACAATTATTATACGGTAATAGAATCTATTCGCCGTAATGGTTTCCATTTTGACATGATTGCCACTTGGTAAATGCCCTGCAAGTGTCTTCAGCTGTAAGCCTTTCGAAGTGCCGTAACCCTTGCAGTAACCCTTACGAATAACCCCCCCGGGGCGGTAAGGTACTGCTCAAGCAGCTCTGTAGGAGAGCTGTGTGCCGACCTGGGCCCCTAGCTACCTGCATGTACTCAATATGTACCGGTCCTTGCAAGGGCCTGGGCTGTGGATTCTTAGCGTAAATCAACTTGCATTTTTTTAGCAGCAACCGCATTAATCGCAATCAAGATACCTCTCTACTGGCCGCAACCTCTTACGCCATCTACTTTCTTCCCTATCATGCCCCCAAATTAACGGCTCCTGGATCATCAGCCATTCTACCATCTGTATAGGGACATCCACGAAGCATTCCGCCCATATGCTTTCTCCTTGAGCTTTGACGGCTTCCGCGTTGCAACTTCTTTTGCCGTTCTGCGTTCATCTAAAGTGGTGGTAGTGCTATACCTAGCGAGGCAACCGCTGGAAAGACTTGCGAGATCTGCGCTCTGATTATCTTCTCATATCGGCCACTACGAGTCTTTTGTTACCAAAGATGGCTGCTCTAGGGGATGACCTGTTGCGTGTCGTCAATCAGCTTCAGGACTTGGTTTTTAACACCATCGGCTCGGATTCTCTCGATCTCCCGCAAATCGTACGTCATGCCGTCCCATGTCACTCCATCACATAAACTTACCTATAATTAATTGTGGCTCTGTACTGACGTTTTACTCTCCCCTTAAAGGTTGTCGTCGGATCCCAATCAGCCGGTAAATCGTCTGTGCTCGAGAACATTGTTGGGAGAGACTTTCTCCCAAGAGGAAGTGGCATTGTGACCCGACGGCCGCTGATCTTGCAATTGATCAATGTCGAAGAGGATGAGTCTGAGCCGGATGCGCATGCTGCGTATAGAAATCCCACGCAGGCGCGTCGTTCCGAGTGGGCTGAGTTTCACCACATTCCAAGTCGTCGCTTTACCGACTTCGGCGATGTAAAGCGCGAAATTGAAAATGAAACGTCTAGGGTTGCCGGTACCAATAAGGGCATTAACAGGCAACCCATCAACCTCAAAGTCTACTCGCCACATGTACTGAACTTAACCTTGGTTGATCTCCCGGGTCTGACAAAAGTGTGTCTACGGTCCACTATCAATTACTTATGTCAACTAACCCCCGTGTGCCCTAGGTGCCTATCGGCGATCAGCCAGCAGATATCGAAAAACAAACGCGAACTTTGATATCCGAGTACATTGCAAAGCCGAACAGCATCGTTCTCGCGGTCTCTCCTGCAAACGTGGACATTGTCAATTCAGAAGCGTTGAAGCTCGCTAGACATGTGGACCCTCTAGGCCGTAGAACAATCGGAGTGCTGACGAAAGTAGATCTTATGGATCATGGAACAAACGCACTCGATATTCTGTCCGGCCGGGTATATCCGCTAAAGTTGGGGTTTGTAGGAGTGGTCAACCGGTCACAACAAGACATCCAGGGCAACCGACCAATGGAAGAAGCTCTCAAAGCGGAATCAGAGTTCTTTCGCCATCATCCAGCATACCGGAACATTGCAGCGCGGTGTGGAACTCAATTCTTAGCCAAGACGCTTAATCAAACGCTCATGGCTCACATTCGGGAGCGTCTACCGGACATAAAAGCCCGCCTTAATACTCTAATGGGCCAGACACAACAAGAACTCGCGAGCTATGGGGATATGCACTTCAGTGGAAAAGAGCATCGTGGTTCTATGATTCTTCAATTAATGACACGCTTCGCTACCTCATTCATCTCGTCTATTGATGGTACCTCAACCGAGATCTCCACTAAAGAGCTATCCGGAGGTGCCCGGATTTACTACATCTTTAACTCTGTTTTTGGCAGCTCCTTAGAATCGATCGACCCTACTTCAAATCTGTCCGCTCTGGATATCAGAACTGCCATCCGTAACTCTACTGGTCCACGCCCCAGTTTGTTCGTTCCCGAAATGGCCTTTGACTTACTCGTGAAGCCCCAGATCAAGCTACTTGAAATGCCAAGTCAGCGTTGCGTCGAGCTTGTTTATGAGGAACTGATCAAGATATGCCACACCTGCGGTTCAACGGAACTATCACGTTATCCAAGACTTCAGGCCAAACTTATCGAAGTCGTTTCGGATTTACTGAGAGAAAGACTGGGGCCTGCGTCATCTTATGTGGAATCTCTCATCTCGATCCAACGTGCATATATAAACACAAACCATCCCAACTTTTTGGGGGCCGCTGCTGCTATGAGTCACGTTGTCGGCGCTAAACAGGAGCGCGAGAGGAAGAAGCTCATCCAGGAGGAAAGGAATCGACGGGAGAAGAGACGACTCAAAGAATTAGGTACCAATGGCACTGATCCTCAGGAAGAAGAGGAGGAAGCGGCCCATGGGGGAGTTGAGTTATCACATCCTCGGAAACATCTGCAAAAGGGCTCTCGGAGTATGTCGCCAGCTGTTCGGGAGAACGGGCCCGGAAGTATCGTGGCAGGTATGAATGGTATACGGCCAAATTCTCCTGCTCCCTTCAGCACTCAATCCACTGGTAATACTCGAGACTCATTCTTGACGTACTTCTTCGGGAAGGATGGTACGAACCAACCGTCAGGGGCTGGTCTTCCCTCACCGCTCCCGCGTCATGTTAGCCAAGTATCGGAACCAACTTTTAGCCAGAGTATCCGACGTGGCGAAGATAAACTCCCATATCGACCTACCTCTTCTCTGGCTCATGATGAAGAGAGCCTTGCAAGCCCCGAGGCTGGTGGGTTTGGCCTAGTTCAACAAATGGTAAGGCGCTTATTCATTTCAGTCCGTATTCAGCTAGATCTAATCACCAAATGCAGGCCGACAACGTGGAGCCAGCTCTCACCGAGCGTGAGGCTATGGAAACGGAGCTCATTCGTGCACTTATATCTTCTTATTTCAACATCGTCCGGGAATCGATCGCAGATCAAGTTCCCAAGGCTGTAATGCATCTCCTTGTAAACCACTGCAAGGATGTTGTGCAAAATCGGCTTGTCAGTGATCTGTACAAAGAGAGTCTGTTTGAAGAGTTGTTGTACGAAGACGACGGCGTCAAGAAGGAGCGAGAAAAGTGTGAGAAGTTACTGCAGACGTACAGGGAAGCGGCGAAGATCATTGGTGAAGTCATATAAAAGTGAGGACGTCCCATTGCTTACTTGTTGTTTCTGGATTGCGGGAAGAAGGAAGGGGAAGGGGGATATATTTGTATTGGTTGCTCCCCTCTAGCGTCTGTCATGAGCAGCTTGTAATGTCTACTCCAACTGTATAAAAAGACGGGCCAACCACACGAAACGCGAAGCCGATTGCTGCTAGAAGGAATGGAATCGTTGAGAGGGAGGAGTATCAGACATATTGTACATTTAGACATCCTACCGTGTACTACAGGACAACCCAATCCACAATCGCAACATGCTTTTCCACAGCACGTGCGCCATGCATGCGTATTTAAATTAACATAATAAGCAGTGACGCTAGATATAATACTATCTACCACAATGAAGCTTAGAACAACACTGCAGGTCTTTCTATGATTGGGATATTTCACTTCGCATTCAGCTACCGAGTTGAATCTATGGGGTATCGTTTACGTGTTCTCGCATCATTCTAGATGCTAGTCTTCTGAAGCTTGCTTGCCAAGTCATCGACGTCCCGGTCTTTCAGCTGCACTGTGGGCTCCTCCTGAGCTTCCTCTGCGTCCTTTATGAGTTTCTCGGCCCTCTCCTCCTTACTTATCTCTTCCTCCTCCTCCTCCTCCTCTTCTTCTTCTTCATCTGAGTCGTCCTCCAAATCACTAAGGCTATCCACGCCCCAGGCATCCTCATCCACAACGTCGTCGCCAAATTCCTCTTTACGCTTGCTTAAGAGCGTCTCCAGAGCGTCAATCGACTCATCAGCCTCAGAAAACTTGTTCCCGTTCAGCTCGATTCTCCTCAATGCGGGGAGATTCGCCTTGGCTGCGGTCGACAAGGCCTTGACACCTGCTGCAGTTATATCGTTGTATTGGAGGCGAAGGGTCTGAAGCTTCTGGTTCTGGCCTTTGGACAGAGCGTCGGCTAACAAGACTGCACCTTTGGCACCGAGAAGCGAGTCGCCAATGCCGAGTTCGAGGATGTTCGCCCAGGATGGGACGACCTTGGCAAGGGCCTTAGCACCCATTATGGTGAAGGTGTTGTCCTGCAAATCCAGAACCTCCAGGTCGGTGGTATGGTTCAGACCCTCGCTCAGCAGGTGTGAGATTCCTTCCTGTCGAATACCGTTTTGGACCATCTTGATCTCTTTAACCTTATTATGGAGACGGAAGGTCTCAGCCCAGGCCGTCATGCTTCCATTCTCCAGGCGGTTACGGCCACAGATTACTGTCTCTAGGTTGGGGACATCCTGTCCAGCTTTCCTGGCCTCTTCTTTTTTCGCATGGAGTTTTGTGAGAGCGTTAGCGATGTTGATGCCGGCGTGGGGACCTAGCCCGTTGTTGTTGAGGTATAGGTGCTGTAGCGGAACATGGCTGGCCAGGAACTCAATCAAGGGTTCCTGTGTGTTGAGGCCGAAAGCATTGTCATTTAGGTTGATGGTTCGTAGATTAGGGAGGTTAACGATCGAAGTGAGCAAGTATGAGAGCGCTTCGGGTATTTCATTCAATAGACGTCCTGTAAATATATCGGCTAGGTTGGCGACCTAAAGGATTGATCAGAATGAGGTCAGATATGGAATGAAGCGCCAGGCAGAATGTGAACATAATCGAAAGGAGCCGCGATCAACATACCTTGAGCGTCTTTTTGGTAGCTAAGACTTCGCCGAGAAGCTTGCAAGCACCTATGCCGAGGGTGTTGCCGAGGACGCGCACTTCTTCAATATTTTGCATGTCTCGCAGGGGGCCGATGTGAGCCTCCAGATCCTCAGCGGTGTCCAGCTTTAGGCCCTTCCCCTCGAGGGAGAAGACTGTAGAATTTGCGGCCATCTTGCGACTTTTAAGCAAGGTAATTCGATCTAGTTAAGGAAAGAAAAGTACGGTGTATAGTTGTCGCTAGTGAAAGCGGGAGCGAAAGCAACAGGATTCTAAGTAGGAATGTTTTGATGTTTTGTTTATGGACTCGAGACTAAAAAAAAGGGGGGGGTTGTCAGGACCGACCTCACACTTTAGAATGTTCTGTAAGTTCTACCGTGGTGGGGGAGGGGTACTGCTTGTCTAAGTGCATAACTTTTATAGATGTTTGCTTACCTGCATTCTACTACACATACAGTACATATATGTATTAGGTACATTGAAGACATGGGCACTTCCATTCAACCTTCCATTCAATGCTTTGTTCAATGCTCCGAAGCTTGACTTTGCAGTTCCCCAGGCATTAGAATAATACCTTAGGTACTCTTTGCTTTGATACATTGTTCGCCAACTTACAAGTAGTACCTACCTAGGGACTTACCTAGGTAGATTCGGGTCCTGACAGACATACTGTCTTCCATTTCAAACGTCCTCGGTATTCACGTTCTCGCCCTATCACTCCTCCGGCCAAGTTGGCTTCCCCTTGACTAAGCGGTCCTCTCTCATCTTCAGTTGCCAGGTATTCTTCCTATGGTGAATGCTCTGAATCACACGAGTAAACTCGATAAGTTACTTGGCCTTCATCGGCATTTCTCTTTCGATTCCTATTTTCCTAGGTTGCTTTGGAGCTTAATTGTGTCATCTGGGGACATGATTTTATCCTCCAAACCACCTTTAGGAAAACAGGGAGCATTGTCGCATTCGGGCCAACGTGCCTGCTGCCTCGTCTCCTAAAATCTCGTTTTTTCATACAGTTGATGGTACCCGTTCCTGGGAAAGAAACGAGCTCTAGACACCCAAGCTGCCCACGACAAATCGTTATTTCTACCACCTTTGCCAACTAGGAGTGAGAGCTTCTACTTAGCATCGGTGGACCTCCCAAACGAACCACGACACAGCTGCATCCTCGCATTGACCAATCTTTTAATAAAGACAGTGAGAATAGCTTTTGAAGCTAGCAGTATTCAGTTTGACGCGCTGTCAATACCAGCACAGAGAGTTGCACCAACACCAACAATTGAAATTGTCCTCAAACATGGAGGATATACTTCCCGTCCCCCAACCCAAGGCTAATCGGCCATGCCCTTCTCCCGACAGCTATGTGGACTCACAGACAGGGCTTGATCCCAAGAAACGAAAGCCGCCTGCAAGTGGCATATTCGTTCCAAGCAAAAAGCTCAAAAGTGGCGAAAGCACAGATCGTTGCTTTCAATCATCCTCGAATGCTTGGCAGCTGTCTGCAGAAATATGGCAACATGTTTTCGCCTTTCTTCCACCAAAAATGCTTGGTAGACTCCTGTCTGTCAACAAGTGTTTTCATTTTCTACTCAATCCGTCACCCACCCATTCCCATCATGCCCAATTTCCTGTTCTTCCTCGGCTCCTCGCGACTTTGAAGCCAGAAGTCATCTGGCAACTTTCAAGAAGACGTTTCTGGGCAGCCATGCCTACCCCCCTCCGAGGTCATACTGAACTTCAAATGTGGCAATTAGCTTGTCATAATAGATGTCAGTTTTGTGGCACGATAGGTAGAATGAACCTTGATGCTACTTGTGATCCGCTAAAAGATCAGCATAAGCATGCTGGTCCTCGGCCTATTTGGCCCTTTGCCTTGAGAAGCTGTGGACCGTGTCTGTTAGACAGAACTATCAAGGTGGGTTTCCTCTGTCCGTCTGATAGACTTGTCTGACTATCAACAAGGAAGTTGACTTGTTGCTCTCATCCTCGGTACCTTCATGTCTGATACCCGCGCTACCTTTCATTTTTATCGACGATAGCATGCACATAATACCATCTGCGGTGCTGCAAACAGGGCGAGCAACTTTGGAGCTAACTGTTACCAAACTGTTTCTCTCGAGTCATGTAACGGCTATTCAAGAAGAATTCACGTCGGTCAGGGCAATGGGCGAGGCAACAGCTGGAGAGTGGATCAAGGGCCTAGAGGGACGTGGGAAGGAGCACCGTGCCGAGTCTCTTCGATGGGAGAAATTTGAGGTATCTGGTGGAATTAACCAGATGCGGCGGCGTTTGTGTCATAACTCGACAACAGCTAATAACGCATCCAACGAAGCTGTAAAAGAGTCAATGCCTCTAATGGCCGCTAATCCTTTTGAAAGACAGGGGAGCTCTATAGAGCTATCAAAGACCTTCGATACTCAAAAGCTCCCCGCTATCTCCCCTCGTGAGTTAACGTTGAGATTCGATTGACTAAGCCGGGTGCTGATCATGGTGGCAGGAGAATTTCCGCGTCCCACATCCCAGAAGTTGTCGCATGTCGTTATTCAGCCCGACAAAACACGAGAGACGGCTGAAGTAATGAAAGCCGCTCGTCGAAGAGAGATAGAAAAAAGAGCCAGAGAACTCGAACCGCCGCTACCAGCTCATGTATTAGCCCTCATCCCTTCGTTCAAGGCAGCAGTCCAGATCACGTCCCCCCTAGATGATACGGCCTGGAGCTTGCTGAAACGCTTGTTGATGGCCCAGCGACAAGATATAGACCCGAAACAGCACCAATCACAGATGGTGTCCGCTCTTTCTCAGGTCACCACTACAAAGACGGCTAATCCACAGGGTGTACAGGAACTGACCTTGGAAGCCAAACAAAAAGTTGATAAAGCTTGGGATGGCAAGTAATTTGCTCTAATCTAGATGATCGTTAGCATTATCGGTCGAGATCACTAACCTATCAGTCAGACGCCCAGGCTCCTCTCCGAGCACGAATTGCAGCGCTAGCTGATAAATTTATTCGTGATAGCTGGGCAAATTGCCGCACTGGTCTTGGTAAGGAACAGAGTGAACGATTTGCTGCTGAGGTCCTTCTCTACGTACGGAAGAAGTTCTATGCCAGTGTCGAGTCCGAAGGTAAGCACATTTATACTTGAATTATGTGTAAGAGATTCACCACACCTTCTCGTAACCCCCTCTTCCTAATCTTACACCCTTACTACATTCAAACTTTTATCATTTAGCTCCGGAAAATATACTAAAAGACGTAGATGCTGTTGCTCGGGCTACCGGCAAAGAACCTCTTCGCGATTCTCCAAATGGTCCCTTCACAAGGAAGCTTACGCTTGAAAACATGAAGTGGGTTTTCGACGTCAAAGTTAAGCCCTTTACTGAAGAGTTTGGAAAAGACCTCTTCTACTGTAGTAGTTGCTATAAAGAGAGCTTCAAACTATACAGCTTTGAGGGAGTAATACAGCATTATGCTGCGAAACACACGAGATGTCTGAGTCTAGGCAACGCCGTAGTTCATTGGCGAGCAGAGTGGCCTAAAATACCTCCCTTTCACCCCAAACCATACACTGTGAGGAAACCAGAAGCCGAATTTCCCAAGCGTAAGATCAACGAGAGGCTGGAGCTCTTAACAATAGCCCACCAAGAACAGCCTCATCGCTATGAGGCGCAAATGCCAATATATAGCCATCCTACATCATCACATATTCATTATGAAGGACCTCAAATACAACCACCACACGATCAATTTCATCCATATATCCCGTCTTGGCCTAATTATGCTTATCCGTTGCACGGGCAAGCACTTCCGGATTATTGTGAATCGCTTCCAGCTGGGCCTATCCGTCAATTTCAACCATCGTTTTTCCACGGAGGAGGCTCTCACCTTGACACTGAAGATTCATATCAAAACCACAGCTACATACCTTATCGAAGCCATACGACACCGGAACTCCACTCCTCGCACTACTTTCAGCCTTCTGATACAGATGACGAAAAATTGGAGGAGATTGCACGGAACTCGAGAGAAATTTGGCTCACTATGGCGCCCTTACAAGAAATTCGGAGGTCTATCAAGGTGTTTGTTATGATTCATCACGTGTGCGCCCGTTTTCAAACAAGATTCTCAGAGCTACTACCTCTACATTTGTTCGTTGATGGTCTATACACTAAAGACGGAATGCGCCCTGTTCGCAAAGCTAACGGCCTGCAATGCAAAGTCTGCTGCCTTGGGCTAGGCACCACATCAGATACACATCGACACGAGGAATTCTACAATCTAGGACAACTGGCCAAACACTTTAATCAGCGACATTGTCAGCAACAACATGCCATTGGCGCACCAGTATTTAATTGGTGTACTGATATGATATACCTCCCACCGCATACTTTATCCGAATCAGGTAGCATTGCAAGAATTAACCCTGATCAGCTTGGTCTTATCCAGGGTGCTCTCCCAGGTACCTGGAGCAACATCGGAACTGTGATTGCTAATGACAGAATATTTGATCCCCCCACTCCTCTCCCTACTCGGCGCAAGCAGAAACTTCAAGTGACAAGCAGTCGCAACAACGTAACACGCTGTGCGGGCGAAAATATATCGAGGAGGGCCAAGTCTAGCTCAAAATTTGCAAAAATAAATGTTTCAGGGACTAGAGGCAAATCTTCGCTATTAAAACCTATTCGTCAATCTAAAGCAAACATAGATACTGACTCTCGTTCTGATTCAAGGGTCAATTCCCCATCGATCCACGAGCCCCCAAAGCATGCTGGAGATGACGAGGACGAAGATGATAGTTTTGATCTGATCGCTGGCTTGGAATCACAGCTGGATCAACAAGCTTTATCACCTTGCCCTAATACTCCAATAAGACGAGACAGCTAGACTAGGCAACGAAGTCATAGCCATTTTAGCTTCTACCTATTTTCTCTGACCGACTCGCTTTTTATCTGTGGCTTTGGTAAAACCCCAAGGTTGTGTAATGTACGTCTATGTGGTTTCATATTTCGGACTTGCAGCAGAGCAGCTCATCCAGTTATTTATACCACGTCGGCCTAGACTTAAGGCTAGGGATTTGCATAGCGGTGGGCTTTAGCTCTCAGCTTACTTCAATGGCATAATCTCGTGTAATTCGACTAGGACACCGTCCCTTCGGACATCTGGGTTTCATGAGTGGAAATCATATAAATCCACTTAGGCCATGGACAAATCCTCTGATCGCTCTGGTTTTGAAAGAAACCCGCACACGACACGACATGAAACTGTGCCTGAAAGAGAGAGATTTGACCATGTAAGAGTATCGATGACCATTCACACGCGAATCTGTTCAGCGGCTGGTTCGACAATACCGCTTGGGACGATGCTCGTTACACTTGCCAATGTAGCATTCTTCAATACATTTACGATACATTTGCTACTGTGTCTTGCTAATCTATTGCTGTGACTTGTAACTGATCGTGATGAGAAGAAATGGTTAACCTTGAGGCGTAGAGTCTCGTTCCAGCTATTATCATCACCATCCTCCCACAGTTGGACCAAACAGTCAACCATAGTCGTGATACAAATTTTAGAATTGTTTCTTTTCAACTACATAGAGTTTCATGTCCGGTTACGGTATCTACGCGTTCCAAATGACGATCCTACCGTCCACACCGCTTGCTGTACGAAATGTTAATCATTGACCTAGGGCTATTCGTATTGACCGTTATTGGGCGAGACTTACTGCTAAATTTGCTGACGGATCCATTACTTCCTTCATAAACACGAAGAGTCGTGATCGTGTTTTGGTGAACCGTCTTCAGCTGGGTGTCATCTTTGACCTTACCCTTCAAATCCATCTGCTTGAACATGTTCAGCGCAGATTCTTCTCGGGCTTCACCGAGACCAGGCCGTCCTTTGGCTTCCAAGGTGCCAGTGAGTTGCCATCCTGAAGGACCGCCCTGGAATCGGAAAGCCTCGCAATCATAGCCAGCGGCGATGATCTCGTCCTCGCCATTCCATACCATGCTCATGAATGGCAATAGCTGGGTGCTAACACTGACGACGGCCTGAGGTGGTTGCTCCGGGCCTGAGGGATAAACCACGGTGATGCTGCTATCGTGAGCGGCAAAGGCGAGGGCATTTCCACTGGGCGAGAAAGCCACGGAGTGGACCCAGCCAGCCGAGTTATTCAGATACTCACCACAGACCGTATTGAAAGGCAGGCGCTCACCCCAAACACTGGGTTCGGGACGGGCATCAACGCCCTTGATGAAGGCCGAGAACACTCTGGCGTGCGCATCGGTCGAGCCGGCGGCTAACAGAACCGAGTTGGGATGCCAATTGACCGTGGTAATCGTGCTGCGGATGGGCTTCTTCAGGTGCTTCGAGACCCACCAGTCGTTCTCCTCCTCGAAGTAGCAGATGGCGATGACACGGTCGCCAGAGCCCACGGCGAATTTCGTCTCGGAGGGCGACCATCGAACAAACGTAGCAGCCCGGGCAATGCGGAGGAGAACAAGAGTAGGTTTGTATCCGGTTGGGGAGGGTTCCCAGACAAGAGCATTTCGATCTAGACGTGCCCGAGGCGATGTTAGAATCGACTATCCTGCTGGGCGGAGGGCGACAAGGGAGTAATCAGATACCTTGAGAGCACGTAACAATGCGGCCACTTTGCGGCGCGATGTCGACGCCGGTAACGGTCTTGTCATGACCCTTGAGCTCATCCTTCAGCTTGAAGGCGTTGCCTGCTTTCCCGTAGAGCTCAACACCGGTATCCTTGGCCACAGCCAGCGTCTGGCGATCGGCCGAGAACGAGTGGTCGGCAATGGGCCTGTGGAAAAGGTGGTGCACCTCGGGCGACGCCATTCTAAATCGAGTTCGGAGAGGAAATGAGTGGTAGGAGTAGCTCTCTACTACCGGAGTTGGCTGGTTGATGATATCTTAGGTTAGGTAGATAGTTGAAGATAGAAGAGGAGGTTACAGTGACGTGCTGCCTGACAGATGTCCCTGCGTCAAGGTGGGGTTCTGTTACGGCAGGTGGGCCGAGGTTAGGTAGTGGACCGACTTCCGCTTTAAGCCACCTTGATCATTAGTCCGGACTGAGAAAGAACTAAGCTTCATTTAGTTAAAAACGTAGAAAGCGATTATAAACGGTTAAAACAATGCAAATATTATACCGCATTCACTGAAATTATATTCACAACGCGCCGTTGGCGTGTAACGTAGACTTTACCTGATTGAGGGCAATTCTCTACTATTTTCAACCCTCCTACCCGTTGGCCACTTGAGAGAGCAGAGAGAACAGGCCCTACAACTACCTAGGTAGCATTGTTCATTTTAATACTCTCATAACCTATGGAACAAAGAACACGCAAATATAGTAACTATAAAACAGAGAGTTACATGCGACACCGGTAATATATACATCCCCTTGTACTACGAACTCTTGATAATGAAACACACTTGGTCATAATTGCTATCTACTAAGTTGGCAGTCGCTTAATTTGTAAAAATCCTCAACTTACAATCTACCCCTCCAGTAGCAACTACACAGCGAATCTGTACGTCTCCGGGCTTACCTCCTGCTATTCTATCTTTAGATGTAGCATAAGGGACTATCTTACTACTCAGTTCCTCATCTTGGGGCTGCTCAGCGGCGGATACTATATGCTCTGCATTTCGTACAACACTGGGTGCCCACTGCAGTGAGGTAATGAATCGGTCATGCGGCTCTCCGATGACCTTAATACATCGTCCGTCCTGGTTCAGATCCCAGCACCTCAATGTCTTATCATCAGACACTGATAAAAGGTATTTGCCACCGGGGTGGAAGACAAGAGCACGTATCCAGTTGTCATGGCCAACCAAAGACAAAATGCAGGTGCCGCGGGCATCCCATAGACGTATCGTTTTGTCTCTGGAGCCGGTGGCCATATACTCGGCTGAGCTGCTGGTTGGCGGCGGTTTTTTCAGTCCTGCAGCCAGGGCAATATATTTGTATGCGGCAGGAGGGGCAATCGCACAGCACTCGATATGGTGTTCGTGGCCGAACATGGTTACCTTACTTTCGGCTTGGGTAGTAGATGAGATATCCCATAAACGTGCCGTCATATCGTCTCCAGAAGACAGAAGATAGCGACCATCGAAGGATGGAAATACATCTCGAACCCAACCAGTATGTCCCCTGAGCGTTTTTAGACAGAACCCAGTGATAACGTCCCATATCTTCAACGTCTGGTCTCTACTCGCGCTAACTAGTAAATTAGCAGAACCAGGTATGAACCGTAAAGCGCTTACGCTATGGTCGTGGCCTGGCAACGTTCGAATATTTTTGTAGTCGTTCGCTGGATCCCATAGCTTGATAGTCAAGTCTGAACCGCAAGATGCTAAAAGTGTGCTAGCTCTGGGACCACCATATTCCATATCTAAAACGGCTCTAGTGTGTCCTTTGATTGTTCTCTCAAGTTCACCAGTATCCCAATCCCATATCTTGATTGTATAATCATCAGAGCCGGTTGCCAGCACAGAGAAGATTGGATGGAAAGTGATGCAGTTAATTGTGCTTCGATGCGACTCGAGAGTGTACCGGGGAAGTGAGTTGGGCAGCCAAGACGATGGATCCTTATTACGCATCGAGAGGGATACGGGCGTTGCATTGTCGAGCTCGGATTGTAATGCGGCGTTTCTTGACTCAAGGTCCATTATCTGCAACGAGACGGCTGTCAGATGTCATGTAACGGAATTGGATCTAGTTGCACGTGCCTTTTTTTGCAACCGAACAACACTCGTCCATTTTTTCTCTAGTAATCCCTTGTATTTGTCGGCGGTGGCAGGGTCGAACTCATTTTCATCGAGGTTCAGTTCTGTTCTAAGAGCCGCTGCCGCGGCTGTTAGCCGATTTGCGGTCAGATATGCAATGATCGACTTGTGTCTGATGAGAAGCAATATTAGTATCACTGATAGGATAGCGGGTTCAACGAAGATGATGGGGTGAGTGACATACAGCTCATCAGCTTGGCGACTAGTTAAAATACTCATGGCACGGGGTGTGGGAGTGAGGCGACGCGGTGGTTGTTGTTCGTATACACTTGTATTACCTACATGGAACGGAGCCTAGGCTTGCCAGGTAGCTCCAAGCTCTAACGTACGCAAGGGTAGAACGGAGAGCACCAAATAAAAGACAGTTTCCCTAGTGGAATTTCCGGAAAATTGTGCTTAATCAGGCGAAGTCTACGTTACACACCAATGGTGCGTTGTGAATATAATCTCAGTGTATGCGGTATGCGATGCGAGCGGCGCTGTTGACTTAGGTGGATTAATCGTGTTGAAGCGACTTCCTAGGAAGTCGCTTCAACGGATCACTTAAATGGACCCCATAACACATACCTACTAAGATCCGTTTTATAATAAAACGGTCTTTGCTTTTGTGCAATTGAGGTTCTGTGTAGTATGATTTAATAAGGCTTCCTTTTTAGCTAGTAGAGAGTCCTTCCTTAATAATTAAATCTATGCTACATCCAAGCCCTCTTTGAAAGCATTAAAGTTAGTATATCCGCCTCAAATAATTGCCGAGAACATTTCGAAGAGGCGCCTGAACTGGGGTGTTACATTGATCTGGAGCTAGCTTTTGGTGAAGGCATCTAAACTAATCGTTGCTGGTGGTACTTGGTACGGAGAAGGTACATCTAGGTACAAATTGTGGGTCTCGCGCACACCTCGATTAGCGGGAGTTTCGCTTTTATAGGCGGCTCTCTTGGTTCTGCATACAAATAGCTGTTACTTACATCTTTTACCCACAATGCAATCGATAGGTCCAGCCTTCCTCTGGTCTTGACGCAGCGGCTAGGATCGAAAACAACAAACCCCATCGCGGTCCTCACTTTCAATTAGAAGTTCAACAATAAGAGAAGCTACGACTTACTAGGTACCGATTCCTTCAACCTTCTCAAGATGTCTGCCGCCGTCGCTACTCGAGCGCCGCCACCCAAGCCTGTAATCAAAACACCCCCAACTCCTCCAAACCAGACGTAAGTAGTAGCAGTGGGATCGCTCGCTCGCGAAAACATTGCTAACCGTTTTATTTGAACAGTCTCTATGTCACCAATCTGCCATCGGCGAAAATCAACAAGGCCGACCTGAAGACCGCTCTTTATCTCCTGTTCTCTACGCACGGCCCCGTACTCGATGTTGTTGCCTTGAAAACTGCGAAGATGCGAGGCCAGGCGCATATAGTTTTCCGTGACACTCATGCTGCCACACAAGCCATGAGATCTCTAAATGGCTTCCAGTTTCTAGGCAAAGAACTCGTACGCCTCAATTCCAGCTTAGAGAAAATTAGGCAGAGCTAATCGTATTTCTCTCACAGCAAATTCAGTACGCAAAGTCGAAGTCGGATGCCATCGCAAAACTTGATGGCACCTACAAACTGCCTGGTTCGGCTGCCGCAAATGTGGAGATGACCGAAGTCCAACAAAGCATCTTTAATGCGCCTGCGCCCACATCAGCCTCCGCAACGACGGCGCCTACATCACATAGCCTGCCGGCAAAACCACCCCAGGCAACAAATGTTCCTGCGGTTAATGCACCAAGTCCTGATACTCGCGGTCAGAAACGGCCTCGCGACGAGGAAGAGGAGGAAGGGGACGACAGTGATGAAGATGTAGCAATGGAGGAGGACAGCGATGACGAGTAAAGAACGCGCGTCGTAGCGATTCGGTTCGAGTGCACTTATTAACAACATCTACTGGCCAAGCTGCGGTGTCAGGTACGCAATAGCTGTGGCGCCGGGTTTACGCTTAACCCAATGGCCAATTCCTTTGGCACCCCCAATCCTACACAGCTTCCAGCTATACCTAGCCAAACCGTGAGATAATCTTCCTTGGAGCAGTCGAAAGTGGCCATGACATCTCCAAGGTTACACGGATGGACGAAGAATGTCGGCACGCCAGTGACGGGATGATGCTGTAAGCTTGGTGTTAGTCTACGAGGTAGAGACAATGGAAGCCCCGATGAGAATGCATCGTTGACTTATATAGCACAGGTAAATACTTGCATCGATGGAGATCCCTCCTATGGGATTGTGGCCGATACGATGTATGAACTCGTCTGGCACCAAATGTCGGAAAACGGAGTCGATATCGAGCGGCGACTCGTCAAATGGCAAATTGTGTAAACTAAACCACAGACACGGTGCTTGATATGTTGGGTGAAGGTGAATTTCGTACTCTACAATACCATTTCCCCTGCTGGGGTTCAGTTTGGATGGATATCGAACCACCTCCTAGCAGGAAAATACGTTAGCAAGACACCAAAGAGTTACAAATTGTAGCAAAATCGAGCTTCCAAATGGTACAGACCGTATCTAATTCTTCATTCATCAGCATACTATCAGCCATGGACTGGTCCGTGTCTAGCAAAGGAGGCTCGTTCAAAGCAAAATTGCCGAGGCGGGATGCGAGCTCGTTGTCGACCTCATTGTTCCGACGGCTCTCGAGTGGCTTGGTGATTTGAATGAAGGTCACCACGCCAGTATCCGAGTTCGGAGAAGTATCTAAGGCCGTGCGAAGTCTGAGCTGCCATTGACTACGAAGGGGACCCAGAGTAGTCCGACAGTATTTTGCGTCAAAATAATGACACACCTCGGCAAACTCCTCTTGGGTGAGAAAGGGATAGCAACGATAACTCGAGGCCATAGCTCCTGCGCTCGCCTCAGGTTGGTGAGGTGGCTGGGAGCCCAACGATATTGAATCGGCGATGTTAGTTACTACTTCACGACGTTCGAAACTATTATGATAATGTCGGTCCACTTCTCCCTAGGCAACGAGCTAGGTATGTGATAGGATATATAGGGGGGGATTAAGGTTTCCAGCTGCCATGGGACACTGGTATGGATAAGTCCAACTATAATTTGTTCAATATGTACGCGTTTATGTGAAGGTACAGCAGTATAGGTTGGGCAGCTGGGTACCTACTAGTGTATGTTAGCAGGCTGCCCTCGAATACTTAATAATCATATCTCTCATTATAAAGCAGTCGTTTTTGAGATAGATATCTTGAACTTACAATATGCAGGAAGTACCATATAGGCCTGAACCACTCAGCTGGATGACGAGGGGTAAATGCAAAGAAACAGCTACAAAGTACTAAGTACATGCACAGTAGGTTACCTAAATGCAGGTTAAAACTTGGGAGACCCTGGTAGTACTTCTTTTACCCCATACGAGCTAGATACCTAGGTACTTGCTATGATAGCCTACCGAGTACGTAGTAAGGGACTTGATATTTACTGTTAGCTGTTAGTACTAGGCAGTGCTTCACGCCAAGCCGCTTTCTGTCTTAATTCATACAGGTGAAAGTCGCATTTGCTAGCGAGTACATATAGGTACAAGCTCAGTGGCGCATGTGCTGTAGCGTGCGGCCTATGATAACTCGCAGTACATGAACCATGCGGTACCCCGTATCGAAAGCAACTAGAGCTGCAATCAGAAGCTCCAATTCCTATCCAGGGTTGAATGCTATTGAGACAACTTTCCTCTTCCAGTACTATGTAGGTATTCCAACTTTTTTGTCCTCTTCAAGTGCCACCGTGCCGGCGAAACAGACATTGAACAACTCAGGTATGAAGGTCGACGAGGGATGAGAGGATAGTACAAGATGGTCGCCGCATGCCATTGTTTCTTGACGTAAATATCCATCCCTTAACCTTGGAAAGCCGGCCCAGCTTGCAATTCTGCTGTCCGCTGCTGCGAAAGTGTTAGCTTTGCTTTTACTATATCTAGGTAGAGATAGGTATGTAGCTATCATAAGCATAAGCATGAAAACTCTCTATCTAAGCATTCTACTCTTGATCTTGCCCTGACGGATTAGCCACAGTCTAACACCATCCCGGACCGACGCCACATATCTGCCTCTTTGTCTTCGCGCCCCCGACTTCCCTATCCTTTGCAATCTGTTGCACCAACGCCATAGCAGAGGCGCCCGCAGCGTTCTATCATCTGGGTAGTGGCCTTTGGAGCTGGCCTCGGGCTGGTTGTCATCTGAGGCCGTTTAAGAAGGGCGTGCAACCGTCCCTTACTTCGATATGTCCTTTACAGTGCCTAGAAACGCGCCTTCCTTTAACAATCCACAAAGGGTCGTTGAGGACCATATTTGGGGCAGTACGGCAGTTGCGCGTGGTCCTAATAGCAAGAACGGGTCTGGAGGAGGCATACTCGGTACTGGCTTGTTCGAGAATCGCAATGCTCTGCCCATGTACAAGGATAAGCCGTATGCATATCCGCCGTCACATCGCCGCCGGCCGCTCTGGAGGCGGAAGCGAACATTCGGCTTTGGACTTATAGTGATATCGCTACTCTACTACTTTGGTGCATTTCAAAAGCATCATGAAACTGCCACCTCTTCTTGGGGCTGGCTGACTTCGTCATCCGAGTCCGGCAAGTCTAAGGATTGGTTACACCGGCGCCAGCGCGTCGTTGAAGCCTTTGAGCTGAGTTTCGATGCGTACTCACGTTATGCATGGGGATACGACGAATTCCATCCGATGTCTAAGAAAGGCAGACAGATGACTCCTAAGGGTATGGGCTGGATCATAGTCGATTCGCTGGATACAATGATTCTCATGAATCTCACTTCCCGTGTCACCCATGCTAGGGAATGGATATCCAATTCATTGACATATGATCAGAGCCAGGATGTGAGCACTTTTGAAACCACCATCCGTATGCTTGGAGGCCTGTTATCGGCTCATTATTTGTCCAACGAATATCCCACTCTCGCACCCCTCTCCGATGATGATGAAGGCGCTCCCGGAGAAGATCTTTATCTCGAAAAAGCTAGGGATCTGGCTGATCGCCTGGTAGTAGCTTTCGATTCACCCTCTGGTGTCCCTTATGCAAGCGTCAACATTGGAGAGTATAAGGCCCTCCCCGCGCATGATGCCGGGGGTGCCTCGTCTACCGCGGAGGCAACTACATTGCAGCTAGAGTTCAAATATCTTGCCAAGTTAACAGGCGAGAAGGACTTTTGGAATAAGGCAGAGAAGGTCATGGAAGTGGTTGATAACAATGCCCCCAAAGGCGGTCTCGTACCCATCTACATCAATCCCAAAACTGGTGAATTCCACGGCAGCAACATTCGACTAGGCAGCAGGGGAGACTCGTATTATGAATATCTGATTAAACAATATCTACAAACGAACAAGCAAGAGTCGCTATACCTCGAGATGTGGGATGAGACCCTTCAGGGAGTTCGAGATCATCTCGTCACTTACACCGAGCCTTCAAAGTTCACGATTATTGGTGAACGACAGTCCGGGTTAGATAATTTACTGACCCCCAAGATGGACCACCTAGTCTGTTTCATGCCTGGAACTATCGCCCTCGCCGTGACGGGAGGGCTGACTGAAGCCGAAGCCAAGAAGCGTGGACCTTGGACAAAGAAGAACGAGGCTGATATGCAGCTCGCCAGAGAGCTAATGCACACTTGCTGGGGCATGTATAAGTATATGGCCACAGGCTTAGCCGCTGAAATCACATACTTCAACATTGCTGATCCGCCTCTTCCTGAATCCGCTCCACATCAGGCACCGGCGGATTTCGACCCAGACCCGGAGGCGGAGTGGCGCAAGGATTTTGACGTGCACGCAGCCGATGTTCACAACCTTCAACGACCCGAGACGGTGGAGAGTCTGTTCTACATGTGGAGGATCACAGGCGAGGTCAAATACCGCGAATGGGGCTGGGAGATGTTCAAATCATTCATGAACTACACAGCAGTGCCAGATGGCGGGGGTTTCACGAGCCTTTCGGACGCCAACAAGATACCTCCGGTAACTCGCGACAATATGGAAAGCTTCTGGCTGGTAAGTACTCTTACAGCGCTTGCTTCGTAGTTTTAGCAGGGTTCTAAACTAATCTTGACAGGCCGAAACTCTGAAATACTTCTATCTACTTTTCTCCCCTAATGACCTGCTCCCGCTGGACAAAATAGTTCTCAATACGGAGGCTCACCCCTTTCCACGATTTGACATGGGTCCGATTCTCTCGACGGGATGGCAACGAAAGCCAAAGACGGTAGATACCACAGCGGCTTGATGATGAAACTAAGTTTTTTCTATGACCATGCCGTGTCTTTGGTTTGATGGGATTACCATCGTAATACTTAGGCAGCTAGCGGTGCATCATTGAGCAAGGCAATGGCCAGCAGACCTTACCAAGCACATAAATATTGCTATCTGGGACATTGTATGGAAGCCAAATAGTGCAAAAATCCTCTAGCTATAAGACTACTCGAGGAAATCTACAGGTTGGAGAGGGGAATGCATTATTGCTGATAATAATGTCAGCTACATATAACTCGGTATCTCTTGATCAAAACATACGGGACTTCGAAGGAGTTTATGAATTTCATACAATTTTCACACATTCTTTTTTATTCAGTACCTTTTTCCTACTAGACAGCACCTTGGACCTTGGAAATGGGTATGCTTTGCCCACCAATCAGACCATCTTAATTGCTGATGATAAGAGTGCTTTAAATCTCCACAAATAGCACCTTAGCGTGAAGAGGTACATACGCTAAGTAGCCACCTAACCTTGACAGCGGTTAAGCTTACTATTATTATATTCCAAGTGAGACATGCATTGCTATCAGCTGTGCTTCTAGGCTCTGCCCTACTGACTTTGTACAGATGTAGGTAAGTAAGCCTGGCTCTAGGTACTTCCAGGGTAGGTACCCAGATGAGCAGTCCAAGGCGACTTAGCCTCACCACCATCACCAGCGACGTTATCGTCCGAAAGCAAATGCAAGACCACCTGATGTGATAGACGTAGACTACCCTCCTCGTTCTTGTTTTATTTGGAAACTATAGTAGACGCCCATTGTCCCATCGAAGAGAAGTAATCGCTGAGAAGAGGCCAGCCATATCCCACTTCTTGGACCCCTCCTCCTCCTTCGTTCTCACCACATCCGTGACGCTCTTTCTCCATCCCACTCTGCGACACGACAAGAATATTCCGCCCTAGCGGCGGGTGCCGCTCCTTGCCTCGCCTCACCTCTTCTCAGACCCCAATCGCCCATCATGCCGTCCTCATATAGCAGCCGCGACATCGAGATGAGCATGTTCCCCATCAAGGAGGACTCGTTGGCCCCCGCCAGCAGCTACACCATGCGCGAGCCTCTATACGACGACGAAACGCAGCCGAGCATGCTGGGCCAATTCTTCGACGGCTTCCGACGCGACCCCACCCAGCGCATCACGCCGAAGGACCCCTTGGACGAGATACACGCCGCCGAGGCGGCGCATCTCTATCGCCCCATGATCGCGAGGAACGGCTCCGGATCGCATTACTACGACTTGCGGCTGGCTACCCTGCAAACTGCCCAGTCACATCTCGCCAGGAAACTGAAGGGAAGGCATCTGCAAATGATTGCTATAGGCGGTTCTATCGGTATGGATTCTGGGCACATGATTCGAGGGACATTTTTGCTGACTTGCTTGCTTCTTTAAAAAGGAACTGGTCTATTTGTTGCGTCTGGCCGTGCCCTCGAGAGCGGAGGCCCGGCTTCTGTCCTTCTCGCGTATTTCATCATTGGTACCATGTTGTACTGTACCGTTCAGGCGCTAGGCGAATTGGCTGTCTCGTTTCCCGTTGCTGGCTCCTTTTCCGCCTATTCGACTCGTTTCCTTCACCCCTCATGGGGATTCGCTATGGGCTGGAAGTGCGTTGACCCCTTCTCCTCTTCTTCATAGTACTCATATTAACTATGTCAATAGCTACGCCTTGCAATGGATGGTTGCCCTTCCCCTTGAAGTCATATCAGCGTCTATTGTTACTACGTACTGGAACTCGAATCTGAACAAGGCCATCTTCGTTACCATATTTCTTTTAGCTATCATACTCATCAACTTGTGTGGGGTCAAAGGCTACGGTGAGGCCGAGTTTATATTCGCCATTGTTAAAGTTGTTGCCGTTATTGGCTTCATGTGAGTACTCTCTGCTCAATCGAAGTTGCGCATATCATAAATGTGGCGCTAATCCGGTGTAGCTTGCTGGGTATTGTACTCAATATTGGCGGTACCCCAGGAGAGGGATATATCGGAGGCCGCTACTGGAGAGACCCCGGCGCCTTTCATAATGGCTTCAAGGGTTTATGCAGCGTTTTTGTCACTGCTGCCTTCGCTTTTGCAGGCACTGAACTGGTTGGTCTTGCCGCCGCCGAGACGGCGAATCCAAGGAAATCCCTGCCCACGGCCATTAAGCAGGTGTTTTGGCGCATTACTATATTCTACGTGGTTGCTCTCACGCTCATTGGTCTCCTCGTGCCCTATAACGAACAACGTCTCCTCCTCAACGACGACCAACCGGCGAGGGCATCGCCCTTCGTCATCGCTATTGAGAACGCCGGCATCGAAGTCCTTCCTTCCATCATGAATGTGGTTATCCTCATTTCTGTAATCTCAGTTGGGAATTCGTCTGTATTCGGGTCTTCCCGGACCCTTGCAGCGTTGGCTGACCAGAACCAAGCACCCCGGATCTTATCCTACGTCGACCGGAAGGGACGACCCTTGGTTGCCATCATAGTCTCATCTTCGGTAGGCCTGCTCTCCTATCTCGCCGACCTTAAGCAGGAGGGCGAGGTCCTCGACTGGCTCGTCGCCATCTCCGGCCTGTCCTCCATCTTCACCTGGGCCTCGATCTGTCTCGCACACATCCGCTTCCGCCAGGCATGGGCCTACAAGGGCCACAAAGTCTCGGAGCTCGCCTTCCACTCACAAGTCGGCGTCCTCGGCTCCTGGGTCGGCCTCATCATCAACATCCTCATCCTGGTCGCGCAGTTCTGGATCGGCGCGTGGCCCGTCAATTATACGGAAATGACCTCTGCCGAGCTCGCCAAGAGCTTCTTCCTCGTCTACCTCGCCGCCCCCGTCGTCATCATCTTCTTCGTCGGCCACTACTTGTGGCACAGGACGTCGTATATCCGCGTCGTCGACATGGACGTCGATACCGGCCGGCGCGACTTCAACCTGCCTATATTGATCGCCCAGGAGAGAGAGGAGAGGAAGAGCTGGCCCAAGTGGAAGAAATTGTATAAAATATTGTGTTGAGAGGGTTTATCAGGATTTTGCACACTTTTGACTATTTCTTTTTCCCTTTTTCTTTTTCTTTCTCCTTTTCTAGATGCTGACATATATGTCTTGACCCATCCACAATTTCGGGCATGTCTCTCCTTGTTTATGATTTCATGTTTTTTTTAATGTCAGTTTTGTATCATGCTTTATGAGGGAAGATATCGAAGATACCAAGGGAAGCGAAGCAAGGGGTTAGGGAAAAGGGGGACGGCGGGGGTAAATGAAAGGGGTATTTATGTCTAGGTGTTTGGGGAGGGGTTTATATATAGCCTTTGCGTTTGGTCTTTGATCTAGTAATGTAAGTATCGAATGAAGTAGACGTAGACAAGAGCATCGACAGGGTTGGCAGAATTCCCTGGAAGTTTAGTTACGTACGTTAGACATTCAAAGTTAAATGGGACATCGGATGATGATTATTCAGTTCACTCGTGTCGGAAAATAATTGGTACGTGATATTCATGTTGATGTCAAAATAACGTTTATTTGCACACCCACCGTTTAGCTGCTTTTATGATAGTTTTCAAGTCCGAATGAGTCGGAAGGTTACAATACAGGACAGGCTTTTCCTACAAGCTAACTGACTGGAGCCAAATACCTTATCTCAAAACCATGGGGTTGAAACCAGGCCACGGCGGCTCCGACGACAGGAAGTATATACCTAGAAGCAAAAGTTCATCATACAGGGAGTAGGTCCCTGGTTTCCATCATTATCCATTTTAGTTTGTTTTGTTTAACGCGTCATAATACAATCGAAGCCAACCTCGCCTCCTTATGTTGTAAATGCTCCAATAAAAAAAATGATAAGACCAAAATTCTACAGTAGCCGCTAGGTCAACGGTTACATAACTGGACTTCATGGCTCGTTATTGGCGTAGTAGCGTTAAAGGTCATTACGAAGTTGCTGGTGGTATCCCTGCGAGCCACCATGATACTCCTTCAGCGCATTGAGGCATCCCGGGTCGCCTAGAAATCCCAGTTGAAGCCACCGGTCTTGGAAGGAGGCGGCTTTCTACCCGGGACAGGCTTAGTCGGTTGGGTGTCGTCCTCATCACTGAAGAGCCAGTTTCGCGTGGAGCCTTTGCCGCCACCCATCCCATCACCGCCAATGGCGATACCACGTTCGTCGGTCCTCTTGGCACCATTTCTAGTGGTAATTGGCTTGTTCTCTTTCTGTACCGGCGATTCGTCATACGCGTCCCAACTGGACTCCATCATTTTAACGGCCTTTTTACGATCATCGCTTACGGTGACGTTGGCCTGGGCTTTGTCAGGGGATGGGTTGTCATTCATGGCCCAATGAGCTTCGAAGTCTCGATCGCGGTCCTTCAGATTGGTAATAGATCCAAGAGGCTGAGCCTCAGTGGATGCGGGCGCATTCCCATCCTCATCGTATAAGTTATTCTGGTATAGACCAAGGCCGCTGTTGTGCGTAGCACCACGAGGGCGTATTGGGCGCTTATCAGCCGGCGCCTCTCCGTCGTCGATAAATTCAAAATGTGGCTCAGCGTCACGACGAGGTTTGTGTGCCGCTACGTCTGAAGTCTGGACAGCGTCCGCATCGTCTGCATCCCATTTACGCGTTTCCTGGTGACGAAGAGACTTGGTTGGCTTAAACTTAGCGGGTGTGACAAAATCATCGAAGGACCACTGGCTATTATGCTTCGTCCTTCGTGGGGTAGGATCTGGTTGGGGTTCATCCGGGAGATCAGTGCCGTCTGTGAATTCAAAATGGTCGTATTTCGAGGGATGGGGCCTCATGAAACGCTCCGGGGATTTGATGTCATCAAGTGAATTGTCTTCATCCACTGCTTCATCAGCTTCAAACAGGCGACTTGGCTGGAAGTTTTTACCAGCTCCAATTTTGGGAGCAGGAGTGGCCACTGAAGATTCGGCACCACCCACTGGCTCATCTCCTAGGATCTCGACAAAACCACGTTGTCGTGGTCGTGGGCCGGCTCGGGGTGCGATACCTTTGCTGGGAGAAATTGATCGCTGCCGTCCAGCGCTAGGAGATGAAGGAGTATTATCTTCTTCATCATTCAAGATCTCACTCAAATCGCGTTGTCGTGGGCGAGCTCCACCTCTTGGAGAGATGACGGATGCTAGGGCCTGTTCCTGCTCCTCGCGCGATTCAAACAGTGAAAGTGAAGCATGAGGGTCTCGTGTAGCACTTGTCGGCTTGCCCCTAGAACGGTCTGTTACCGAAGTCGAGTTTTGGGCCGATGAGCTTGTGCCGGTGGCAGCTTTGACACAATTCTCTATCATCTTAATCTGCTCCTTGCTATCCCGAATTGGCCAATTGCGGCCAGTCTTGCCAATAATGTCGAGTTGCTTCAGTAAAGCGCCTTGGTCCCAGCTCTGACGGATGTTAAGAATTGTGCCATTGTCATCAAAGGAAACGATATGCATCTACAACCAAGGCGCAGGATTTAGTTAGTGGTTGAAACTGAATAGGCGCAATACCGGCAGGCAAACAGGAGAATGAAATGACAGGAAAACGGCTCACAATAGGAATGTAGACGGTACGGTCAGTGACGAAATTGTCGTCGAGAGACGGCAAATAGGAAGCGCCAGAGGTGACAAACTCAAGTACGGTTTCGATTTCAATGGCAATAGCATTCTGGCCGTGAACAAGAGAGAGGATATTCTCCTTCTTTTTTTTAATCTGCTTTCGCAGAGTATTGAGATGCTGAATGATGTCAGAGGGACCCCTGAAGGTCGTGGTAGTTGTGATGTAGTTTAGAGTCGCGTTCTCAGCTAGATGGGAGGGATTAGGAGCAGCGAGAAACTGCTGATACGCGGCTGCTAAGGCCATGGTGGAGGCTGAGACAGCTGGATCAACGAAGCAAACTGATAATAACGCCGCCCAAGTAGATATGGATACCTGGCTTTACAAACGGGCTGGGGGAAGTGCGAAGCTGTGGGCAATGGTTGGCGATGCCTGTAGGCGCAAAATGGACAGCTTGCTGTTGTTACTGGGGAAGAAAAAGTGACGAGGTTTGTTTACAAGCAGTCGGCTGTTGAATAGGGACGACTCTGTAACGAGAAGAAAGGGTAGAAGGAGTTGTGACAGCAAACGCGTGGGTACAAAGCGTTTGGAGGAGCTGACCGGCTATATGAGTTGATGATGTATGTACAGTAAACAAAGAAACAGAGAGAGGGAGAAGAGAAAAAGAAGAAGCGCGCAACCAAGCACACAGGATGGAGGTAACGACGAGGAGGGAGAAGATGCCCATGTCTGTCTGCTGCTGCCATGGGCTGTCGTGGGAGAGAGAGAGCTCTGTAAGTGGTTGAGGAGCAGGACCGCCCGCCCCACCACACTACTGTAGGCTGCGTTATGCGAGTCACAGGGGGGTCTAGCATGCTTGCCCAGGTCGCCCAGGTGCTAAAGTAGCCTACCAGAACACCCCCAACCGTAGATGCGGGTGCACTGTAGGCAAGTCTGTAGGTACTTGTAACTGGTACTTACCTACTTGCATATGTCAGTACCATGTAATCGTCTTCGATACATAGTACAACAAAGTAGGTAGGTAGCTATGTGCCGTGCCATTGGAAGCAGCTTGCATGTAGGCGACTCATGTAATTATACCTAGGTAGGTATGAGCTCCTATCACATAAGTATTACGGCCATGACGTACAGGAGTGCTGATGATGTCAAATGGGTAAATGCAGGCACGCGTCTTGAGCAAAACTCTTGGTCGGACAATTATATGCCTAGCCTCTAGGTCAGTGAACCTTGGAAGTATTTGCGATGTGTACTTGGAGGATAAGGGCAGAAACCAAATGCGCCGTGAGAATCCTCGACCTGTAGCACGGTAGCACGCATTTACCCTGTGATATTTACCTACCTCCGTAATATTATTGAGCTTACCTAGGTCCTTATATTCCCTCTTCCTACTGTGAAAGGGTTGCAATATTAGGTGCCTGTAGGCACCCGATTTCTCACCTGTACATGTACGAACATGTGGAAAATACCAACCCCTACATACAGTACATAGATACTTACATATAGGAATTGAAACACGGCCGGTAGGCTAAAGCACGTGGGATACTGACACCAAATGGACTAACTGAACAATTATGCCACGGTGAGATTTTCGTTTGGGGTTTTGGCATTTCAGGCGCCTCAGAACTTTGAGATCACTTATATACATACTATTCCTCGCATACTACCTAGGTATGTACCCAACGGGTACTTAGTCAATGCTTCTACCGTAGCTTGGTGTAAATAATCAAGAGTACTTAAAATATCTACCTGGCACAGTATTAAGAGTTTTCGAGTGCTCGAGCTGAGTACCTACTCGGTAGTCTATTGATAGACTTTCTTGTATTACCCTACACACGGGCAGGCACATGGGCTAGATAAGTTTCAAGTTAAGCGCGTTCCAATTGGGAGAGCATGCGTCTCAAAAAGGCAGGTAGAAGGGGCGTTTCACCATTATGGATACACAAGTATACATCGACAGGGAATAATATCCCGGCTCATCCAAGTTTCATCAGAACTCGATCCTTAGCGGGTAAGTGGCTCGAGTGGTAGGCACAATAATCTACAACCACCTCTGCTGGCCGACATGAGACACCACTGAAATGCGCCCTACGTACCTGAGGACACGGAGCAATCTTGGAATACACCAGTTGTAGCCTTCGACCTGTGCACAGTTTTCATATACTTGAGGATGAAAGCAGTTCACGTGCAACATGCCCACGGAAACCATGTCAAGTTTCATTCCACGGTCAAGATTCTATCTTGATTGATCGATCTACAGTACCGGGATTCTAGGCTTGGCGTTATGATGAACTCCTAACAGAGTACAAATATGCTCATCAAAGACAGCACGGATTCTACATAGGTAGGTTGAACATGTAAATGTAGGTGCCTAATTAACTTGTCTTCTACTATGTAAAGAGTGATCATAAGTACGTACTTAGTGGTTCTGTTGATCCAACGCTACTAGACTAGGTAGTCCCGCTCCCCGTTCGCAAGCTCTACCTCGGTAATTGATTGATGAAAAGATATAACGATTTGGCATTCTAGCACGTAGAAATATGTAAGTAAGCGACTCCGAGTGGCCCGATCCCTCGCCTGTCCAATGTACCAATACATACATACTATGTATACATACCTTACATAGCTAACCTAACTCTGGCTTAGTCCAGGTACAGTACCTACCTGTGCTCGGAGATCCAGGGAGCCGCCTGTGGCAGGTAGGCGAGGGCGAGGGCAGGGCAGGCTGGCTAGATGGCAGTGGACCTGTGCACGTACGCAGCACCAGCCTTGATAGGGCGTAGCGCTGTAGCAATAGGTCTTCAGCTGTTTTTTTACTTACTATGTAGGTGGTTATCCATGACGCGGCGAGGAGCTGAGGCATGTTGCAACTTGTTCCTATCGCCATGTTCCAGTTTTGTTGATTTCTTGATTTCTTGATCTTGGCCCTTCATCTCCTTTCCGACGGCAGTTGCGAAAGTAACTCAAAGAACCTATACTAAATACCCCCCACTCCGCTATCCTTTGCTATCCTTTGCGCATCTAGAACCTTAATATACCCTCAGTCCATTATCGCTTTCCTCATGTACTACTACCACTACCACTGATAAGAGCTGTTCTCCAACCACTATTGCCGTCTATCATCAACAGCAGCCAATACCTATCATCGATTTCGTCGATATCGTCCATCTTCTACCCGCCTCGTGGTGCCACCAGCCGTCCTTCCGCACATCGGGTGATCTTGCTATGGTTTCTCTATTTCTGCCTCCTATAACCATAGCACCATGAGGTCGTCGCGATCTATGGGCGCAACCGCCTCGGCGTGGTGGGCCGCCCTCCTCGTTCTAGCCACTATTCTCTCGACAGCGCCAACGGTACATGCAAAAGACGAACCTACTGTTGTAGTCACCGAGTTCGACAGCCTTCCAGGCTTTCCCGAGTACTTCCCAGGCTCCAATGTCGTCTTATTTCGCGAAATGAACGCGCCTCATATGGTATGGCGATCCACTGATGGCGGTGCCACATGGGACAAGACTAAAGGCATAGACCATGGGGAGAGTATTGCCCTTGTGATGCACAAGTACGATCCAGATCGCGCATACGTATTGACATACGGCAACGTACACTGGAGGACATCAGACAAGGGAGAGAACTGGGAAAAGTTCTATACTGCTGCCTACACCAGCAAGAATACAGATACCTGGCTGACCTTCCACGCCGATGATCCCGACAAAATCTTATTCACTGGTATGGAATGTGAAGGCTTCTTCTGCGAGGATCTCACCCTGTATACTACCGATGGTTTCAAAGAGAAGGCACAAATACTCCGCAAGCAAACACAGAGTTGTCAGTGGGCCAAGTCGTCTCCGGTCTTCACTTCGGGCGATTCTAAACTAGATGAAACCCGAATACTATGTATTGTAAGACCGGGCATATTCTCACTAGATGATAACCGACTCTTCGTGTCCGACAATTACTTCAAGAGCCTCGACGATGGTGAGACGCTAGATGAGAAAGAGGTTAATCTTAGCGGCAAGGGACCGGTTGAGGGCGTTGTTAGCATTCTCGGAGTCAAGAAGTACTTTTTGGCAGCTATATCCTCCCCTAAAAGTACCGAAATGGCGCTTTTTGTGACTGATGATACCAAGGTCTGGCATCGCGCTGTCTTCCCACAAGACCATCAGCTCGTTCAAACGTCATACACGGTTCTTGAAAGTACAAATTACAGTATTCAGATTGATGTTCGCTCAGGCAAGCGCACATCTGCTCCCATGGGTACATTGCTCACTAGCAACTCGAACGGCACCTATTTCACGAGGAATGTCGAGCATACAAACCGTAATGGTGAAGCCCACGTCGATTTCGAGCAAGTCACTGGGATTCAGGGTGTTTACCTAGTCAACCAAGTTGATAATTGGGAAGACGTACTAGGAAAAGAACAAGCTAAGAAGAAGAGTACAACAAAAATCACCTTTGACGATGGCAGGAGTTTCGAGGTCATCAAAGCAGATGACGATCTTATACACCTCCACTCGATGACAGAACAGAGCAATGTTGGTTCGGTCTTCTCGAGTCCTGCCGCTGGTCTGGTCATGGGCAATGGCAATCGCGGCAAATTCCTGAAAGATTATTGGGAATCTAATCTTTTTATCTCTGACGATGCCGGAAAGACCTGGATCGAAGGACCCAAGGGCCCGCATAAGTATGAGTTTGGTGACCAGGGCTCAGTTCTCCTAGCTGTGCAGGACAGTAAAAAGGTAGATGTTCAAGAGATCAAATACTCACTGGATCACGGCCTGAGCTGGAAAACCACAAAACTACCCGACGATCTCGCCATCCTTCCTTGGGTACTAACAACAACGCAAGACTCGACTAGCCTAAAGTTCATCCTCACTGCTCAAAAAGGGACTGAAGAATCACCTAGTTTTTGTGTGGTATCTATTGATTTCGAAGGTTTGCACGAGAACACGTGCAAGAAGTCCGACATGGAAGATTGGTACGCCCGAAAAAATGACGACGGTAAACCTGGTTGTGTGATGGGGCATACGCAAAAATTCCAGCGGCGTAAGAAAGACGCAAAGTGCTTTATTAAGGAAGAATTCAATGGGCTACCGCAAGACACGACCCGTTGCGAATGCACAAGTGTCGACTTTGAGTGCGATTTCAACTTTGTACGAGATGGTGATGAATGCAAGCTAGAAGGTCGAGTACTTGCCCCTCAAGATGCTTGTACATCCGATGACCCTGACGAGAAGTTTATGGGTTCGTCTGGCTGGCGCCTTATCCCAGGAAACCAGTGCAAACGCACAGAGGGTAAACAAAAGGACGACAAGAAGGAGTGGAAATGTTCTGATGCGAAATCACGGCCGAGCAACTCCACTAGTGAAGTCGAAGTCACTAGCAAAGTATTCGAGGGATCCTATAATCAGTTCGAGAAACACTATCTTGAGCGCGGCGAGAATAGCAATTCCGATGACGAGACAGTCATTGCACGACCTGAAAATGTACTAGGCAGCGCCGGTAGCATTTACATCACCCACGACCACGGCAAAACCTGGGCTACACCAAAAGAGCTCAAAGATAAAGATATTTTCGGCATTGTGACTCATACCTACGTCAAAGATATGGCTTTTTTCCTCACCACCAAAAAGGAGGTATACTATACAACTGATCGAGGCAAGAGCATTGATTCATTCAAAGCACCAGATCCATTAGACCGACAATCTCCGATGTCACCTCTTTCGTTCCACCCTAATCGACCGGAATGGCTCATATGGCATGGTCAGAAATGTACTGGTGATAAATGCTATATCGAAGCTTCATTTTCAATGGATCGTGGCGACAATTGGCAGACTCTGAAGCGCTACGTGGACCGTTGTGAGTTTAGCGGCTCTGAAGCATATAAGTTTCGCCCTAAGGCCCAGATCATATGCTCGGCCAGAGCACAAGAAAGCAATGATGCCGAAAACAACCCACTCCAACTGGAGTATACAAATGAGGTTCCCAACGTTGAGTTTATTGTGGCTTTGGATCATATCACTAAATTTGCGCTCATGGCTGAGTTCATCGTAGTGGCAACTGAAAACACGACCGAGGGAACGTTAAGTGCGTTAGCCAGTCTTGACGGAAAGACGTATGCACACGCACACTTCCCAGTCAACTTTCAGGTCCCTCATCAAAATTCATACACTGTCCTTGACAGTTCTACACATGCTGTTAATCTTTTTGTTGCTACGGAAACGGAAAAAAGTCGTCGGTATGGCTCAATCCTGAAAAGCAACTCCAACGGCACGTCATACGTCATGAGCATTTCTGGTGTCAACGCAAATGACGCATGGTATGTTGATTTTGAAAAGATGTTGGGCTTGGAGGGAGTCGTGCTCGTAAATACTGTCGCGAATCAAGACAGTGACTCAGAAGTGAAGAATCTCCAAACTCGAATCAGCCATAACGATGGTGCCCTGTGGTCTTACCTTCCCCCACCTCAAAAGGACTCTGAAAACAAGCCGTACACCTGCTCCAGTCGAGAAGGCGATGCCTTCTGTGCTCTCCATCTCCACGGCTACACCGAAAGAGCAGAGCGTGGGACAGCATACTCTTCCGAATCCGCCATCGGACTGATGTTCGGGATCGGAAACGTCGGGCCTATTCTTGGCAACGCAAAAGAGGCCGATACGTTCATGACACAGGATGCCGGCTTGACTTGGAAAGAAGTGAAGAAGGGTACCTGGATCTGGTCATTCGGTGATCAAGGTTCTCTCATTGTGCTCGCCCAGCGAAACACAAAAACTAAATCAGTCTCTTATTCGCTTGACCGTGGCGAATCATGGAAAGACATGGAATTCACCGATTCGGACGTGACTATTGCTGATATCACCACTTTACGATCAGGGGCTTCTCGAAACTTTCTCCTCTGGGGTTATACAGGCGAGGACTTGATCACGTTCAACCTTGACTTCTCTGGGCTCAGTGATAGACCGTGTGTACACGACGAAGACGACCCAAATAAGTCCGACTATGAGCTATGGTCTCCAGAGCATCCATTACAACCCGATGGCTGCTTGTTTGGGCACAAAAATTGGTACCTCCGCAAAAAGACAGATAGAGCCTGCTACAATGAGCGAAAGCTGCAGCAGGTATATACGTCTAAGACGTGCGAGTGTACGCGGGAAGATTATGAATGGTAAGTCCACTTGAACTCAGATGACAATTACGCAAGTGTTATCATCAACTGACGTGCCTACCCTACAGTGATTATAATTATGAGCTCGACGCTCACAATTATTGTACTCTTGTCGATGGCCTTCAACCTAAAGACCCAGAAGAGGTGTGCCGCGAGAACCCAGAGTTGGATGAGTATCCTGAACGTTCCGCTCTCCGCCGCATTCCCTTGTCAACATGCAAGGGCGGCGCTTTTGACCCAGAGAGAGTCTTCAAGTATCGCCCATGCCCTGGCCACGAGGAAGAATTTGAGAAGAAACGTGGTGTGTCAGGAGTAGCCATCTTCTTCGCTGTGGTCATTCCAATCGCCTTTGCCGCCTTGGCGGGCTGGTGGGTTTACAGTAACTGGCAAAGCAAATTTGGCCAGATCCGCTTGGGCGAGCAGGGTAGCCTGGACCAGGACTCGCCGTGGGTCAAATATCCCGTCATTGCCGTATCGGCTATCGTCGCCGTCGTTGGTGCGCTGCCCTTGGTAGCCTCTAGCGTCTGGCGAACGGTAAGTTCCGCGGCATCGAGACTTAGCGGCAGAGGGGACAGTGGTGGTCGTTACAGTTGGTTACGGTCGAACGGCCAGCGCAGGTTTACTACGAGAGATAGCTTTGCCCGCGGGAGAGGTGACTATGCGATTGTCGATGATGACGAGGGCGAACTTCTGGGCGACGATAGTGATGACGAGGCCTGAGTAGAACGTTTGAACAGCCGCGGTGTCGGATCACGTTAAGGCTGGTTTGGTGGGCTGATCCATCGCTCTGTCGTGAACGGTAGCGAACGATCAGAAGCAGGTGTGTGCATATGTAGGCATTATTGACAAGGGGAATACTTGCTTGCTTGCTTTGCTTGTGGGTATTCAGCATTGGCGTCGATGGGGGGCAACACTTGGACTTTGGGTCAGATTTCTCATTATTGTGTTCCTTTTCTTTTTTTTTTGGCTAGAACGTTTACGTATATTGAACGAACGAGAATAATCAATATCTGTGTTAGACATTTTACTTGTTTCGTAGATACATATTTGCTCTATAGTAGGAGAACTGTGAGATAACTAGATCTTTGGCTAAGATCAAGGCTGTAGATAGACGTAGCTGCTGATGATGCGTGATGAGATTTCTTGTGGATAGAGCAGAGCACGGGAATACAACCCCGAATTGGCATTATTTAGTTTCACTATACTACTCCTTATAATATGACAGGAGTTGGAATATTAATAGATACCTATCCGGCTAGATCTTTGTCGGTTTAGAATGGCGTACGTTATGCTCTCCCGGTATCTTTCCTAACCCACATACCCCTTTTCTTCTTCTTTAATATACTTCTACTACCACGGCATATAATACTAGTGTATACGAATATGTGATTATCTGCAATGGTTTTTAAAGTAAAAAGGAAAGGGTAATTGGGGGAAATATTGTAGTTATTATTATCATTTCCCCCTTATCTAGGGCAGCCCCCAACGCTGTTCCCCAATCTGTCTCTCTGGTTTGGTTTAGAGGGGGAGAATTGCGGAAGCGAACATGGGCATGCATATAGACCCCAATATTCTCTTAGAGTCTAGGGAGGGCCTGATTATTTCCCTTTGTCGAGGGAGCTAGGAGTGGACGGACTAATGAATTTGGTATCTAGATGGGGCCGGTTTTACGACTCATTCGGTCAATGGGGACGGCCGAGTAGGTAGGTTGGATAGTTAGACGGTGATAGGAACAGGAAAGAACAAGAATAGGGGTAAGGGATGTATCTATTGCAAAGCTGCAATAATATAATAAAATAGAGGGTGGGAAGGCAGGTACCTAGGTAGGTAGATTGGTGTGTAGACAAGACTTCTCAATATTGAAGCTCGGGGGATGTCGTCCCGCATGTATACTAGGTGAGTAGGTAGGCAGTAAGAGCAGATAGGCTCCATAGAGACGGGAAACACAGATAGATTGGGGTTACAGATACAATATAGTTGGAATAAATGTCGGAAAAATTAAATGAGGAAAGGCCTACTTTTCTTGAAACATCATATATTCATTCCGCTCGTGCACTGCTCATATATGTTTCGCTACTTCATATATATTAGGATGTCTACCTGCGGACTCGTTTACCTGGATATATATCTATTCATGTCCAACCCATATCTACTCTACGGAAGTCGAGGATGCAAGACGAACTAGATAAAAACAAAACAAGAGTATGGACTGAAACGAAAGAATCCATATACACCATATTTCTTAGCAGGAAATTTACTATTCACCTAAGGACAGAACGGCGCAAAGATATATCAAGATTTCCCAATAATCACGGAAAGACGTCTTGCCAGCAACACAAGCTCAATATCGTACAGAGAATATAGTTCAAGTCTGTGCCTACATACATACATACATACACACTCGCGTACCCAGCAGAAAGCAAGTAGTCAGAGGCAGTGCAGATAGGTAGGTAGACACACCTGACGTCCGAGCGCTGCAGAGTCGTATCATCTGAAGTGCGTGCATCCATCTACCTATCATCCCCATTCCATCCCATCCCGTCACATCTACCAGTTTACATTCACCCGTACCTGAATATAGCCAACATACATATATACATATACATACATATAGACGCACGTGCATGCGTGTATGTACGGTAGATATATGTATGTATGATACTCATCTCACCTGAAGCAATGTACCTACCTACCAACTTACATCACATATGTAGGCACGGCACACATGTACATTTCGCACCTACAGACCTATGTAATCAATAGGCAACAATAGTATTACAAAGTATCTATTCATACCAACTTAGGTAATGCATATCTAAGCAATGAATACCTAAGCACGCTATCCAAGATATTACCTACCTACCTACCTACCCCTGGATTCACATCGGACCTACACCATCCATACATCTCTCTACCCGCAGATATTCCTAAGCTTAAAGGACTGATAGGACTAGCACCTAGTAGCGATAGCACAGTCGAAAGTGCTATCCCATACAGTAAACTTGTTCCCTTATAAGCCTTTCTATCACTCTAACCTTCGTCCACGATGCTATATAGCCCTTGTATTTATCAATGACATGACAGAGAATAAGCTAAAAAAAAAAAAAAAAAAAAAAAAAAAAAACGGTATATTCCCAGTCTTGTGTAGTTTTGCTTAGAGTGTGCCTGCGCATAAGTCTATTGCAAGCCTGGCCAGAGGGGGAACGATCCATGCCAAGAATCGAATCAAGTTCATGGGGCCAGGCATGATTCAAGATGTCAATCTTGCAGCTACGATGCTCGGTACCTATCTGCAGACACGCAAATAACAAACGCGACAATCACAGTAGAAGAAAGTAGTGCTATAAAAGCTTCGAGAAGTACAATCTGGAGCCTTGAACTGGGTATGTAATATTCCACATCATCTGTGATAATTGTATTTTGCTCCGGTTGTGCTGTGTACCTCTTAAACTGCATCCATCAGGATGAACTGTATAGATTCTTATAACGACCACTGCACCAGTCCAATCAATGTTAGGACGTACCAAAATCCCCTCGAAAGATGCCTCCAACCAGCTCCTAACTCCATGCCGTAATCAGATTCGTTAATAAATATCAGAAGACCGGGTTGACGTGGTATCCCGGTCATGTTCTCCCCTCTCAGCTAGCGCACGTAAGAGCATACTTAAAGGAGATATGAGATGAGGAAAGAAGGTAGACATATTGCTCCTTGGATATAATACAGAAAATGAATGAGCGATCGCTCTATGATGGTTGAAGGCAGAGAGGGGGAAATCTATCTACACGCCGAAAATAAGTTTCATGTGTCGTTGATAATGTCCGGTTCGTCGTGCATTCATGTGAGATTCGTCCCAAGTGGGGTTATTTTTTGGCTAACCTCGACGCATCCGATTCCAGAAGCGTTTAACCACTCCTTCTGATGACGAACTTAATTCCCGGTCAATATCGGCAAAGATTTGATCCATGCTCTCCTTCGTGACGTCGTTGTTGTCAGAGTCCAGTATGGGTGAATCGACTCGAAAAGGTCGTATCGGGGGTCGTGGCTGAGAAGAAGAACTACGTGGGGCAACACCATTTGAGCTGCCGTAGGATTCGTCTTGGTGGGACCGTAAATCAGGCCGTGTCAATGTCATGCGCAGTGTCATCTCACGCGAAACATTGGGGCTTGGCCCGTAACCCTCCGAGAATTTTCTTGGGATGTTAGAGCCCTGACCTGATAGAGAGAAGGGCTTGATACCGTTCAAGTTATCGGGAGTGTGAGGCGTTCTAGGAGATTCGGAGTCGGGAATTGAAGTTTCTTCGCTGTAGATTGATGAGCTATCATCGGCGAGAAATGTCTTGAATCTCTCCGGGTTTGATACGAAAAGACCTCGGGAAAGCATTCGACTTTTTCTCGGCGCGTCTGTTGGCATGACGATGGGATATGGATGGTTCGCAGGGAAGCCATATTGTAGCGCCTCGTCAAACTTTTGCGGCGAAGCCAAATACGCACGAATCTTGTGACGCGCCTCAGGATCCTGATAATGGGCGGCAGCCAGGTCAATCGACGCAACAGATGTCTGTGGATTATGCTTTGGGGTGATGAGAGAAAGGGCTCTAGATTTCCGGCGAGAGTGAGTTGTCATGGGAGCTTGCTCTGCCGAGGAGTCTTTAGTGCCTGGGCGGCTAGAGGTGGATGAGCGGCTGAACGATAACTTGTTAACAGACAGGCGACGGCGGAACAGCGAAGGAGGACCGGTTGTCGTCGTGGGTCTGGATACATTTAGGTCGGTTTGGTAATCGTCGAGTGTTAGACGAAGATTCAGGTCGTCATCCTCATCCAACCAGCTTAAACTATCGAAGAGAACATTATGAGAGGGATCGTCAAAGACGGATGGCTGCTTGCCCGTGGTTGTCATGGATCCCATGTCCATATTACTAGCCAGCAGTGAATGGGACATGGTGGGCAGTTACCCAGGTGCCTCTGGTGGTACAACGTCAGTTGTCGTTTGAATATGTCGCCAGTGACGTCCAGGCCCAGACAGCTTCTCTCTCTTGGCCGGAGAGGATATCGTCGGCACGTTTCCGGTGTTGAGAGGCAGCACACAACCGACCACCCAACCGGGCAACAACAGTTAAGATGGTCGACGACGGTTTTTCGCAGTGAATGGTGCTTGTACGACGTGAAGTAGTACGTGTTTGTCTTTGTCTCGCTTTTTGTCTTGGATAAGTCGACGTCGAGAAACACTAGGTTCCAACGCGACGATGTGGAGAATCCGGGCTCGAGAATGCCAACCAACGATCGACGAACAAGACAAAAATATTGTGCCTCGGCGACCGAGGCACCAACGTGGGCGGAAATGAAGTAGTGTACACTGGAATCGAAAGGGTAGAAAGAGTAAGGGGAAGGGATAGGAGGGGAAGAGGAGAGATTAAAGAGCGGCAACCAACAATTAAGCTAGTATAGAGAGGTACTTGAGGCGGAGACGGGATCGGCTTTGTCCCTGGAGACGGCACAAGGAAAGAGCGTGTTGGGTAGGCAGAGAGACAGGGAGGGGAGGCACGGATGCAGATGATGATACAAGCTTCCGAGTATCCAACGACGTCCCTGCTACATATACATTCAAAGGAAGAATGAAAGAAAGCTCAAAGCTACCCGCGTGCTAATGTGCTTGGGGTCTAGGTAACAGAGTCGGATGCTACCATTTAGTATAATACGTGCTAGATTAGTACTTGGTTAGTATGAGCGGCAGTTTTATTGTACAGGTCCATTGAGCATCCAGTAGTGTACCTAAGTACTATGTAAACCTGCTGCTACGTAATTATGTAGGTAGCAGAATACCGGAACCTGCTTCACAGTCTACCGTCTGTAACCGTACTATGTTGTGTTATGTTGTGTGTACACTAGGTATGTCGTATGTGTGTGCGTTGTTGTCTTGGGAGCGTGGCCTGGCCTGATGGTTGCAGCAGGTACCTACCTATTCACTAAGTGGTAACCCGATAAATTGGGGGAAAGCCACGAATAAACAAGACAGCAGTGTCGCTCTACACAAACAGGGAAAATGATGGAACAGAGGGCTGTGATTCGAGAGTTGCTGCTGGGTACGACTGGATCTGGACTGGGTACGAGAATGCAATGCAGCGGTAAGCTGTGTCGTGGACTGGTTGCGGACTGGTTCGAGTTCCATGAAATCCCATGAAATCCATGAAAAAATTGCTAGCCGAGCCGTATTCTTGCCAGCCCAACGTCGTATTATGCCGTAGCATTTGGTCTAGCCTGGCCACGCGCATTTGCTGGGGTCCGGTGCCACAGCCGGTGCAGATGCAGGAACGAGGCGCGAGAAGGGAGGACTTGGGGAGAAGCCAATAGGTTGATAGATATACCTAGACAGTCAGGCAGGTCTGAGGCAGGCATACCTACTGACCGACTGAATGAACCGGCCGAATGACCGATTGACTGAGCTTTTCCTTGTCCAGTCTACTACTATGTATGTAAGTAAGTATGTATGTATGTATGCACGAGAATACTTCCACGTGTATACGACTTCAAACATAACCACTGCAGCTTTGAATTACTTACCATCCTCAGTATAATAATACTACAACATAACTCACATCTTTCACATCTTTACCTACCTCCCTTATACAGTAGTAGACTACATAAACCACTTACATAAACTACTAGGTATGTAAGTAGGTACATATAACACATAACGCCATGCCGAAAGAGAGACTTCACCTGGGCGCTAACACATTGCACTAGCACAAGTCTACAAGTCTACACGTGTATGTGTGGACGTTGACCCATTCCTTGGCGCTCCCCGAGCTCTACTCTACACAGTAGTGTACATAACACGTACAGTAGCTCTACGACATGCTCATGTATTACCTGTGAACTATACTCTTGGAATGTCTCTAGTGTATGTATATCACTAATACAATAGACCAAGAAGAAAAAGAAGAAAAGAAGACGCTATAAATAGGTGGTAATTGAAGTCTGAACTACTACCTATGTAGGTAGGTTAGGCAGAGTTAGGTAAATAAAGTAGCAGCGAGTTGTCATTCTTAATCCTATTACCACCCATAGACACCCACTACCCACCCACCGTTCAATTACACCACAATCGTCTATATCTAGGTATCATCCATACTTTATACACATCCCAAAAGGGAAATGGGGGTTAAGATACGCTTTATGTAGGCCTGTCAGAGCTACCTATCTAGATTCGTCGGAGGAACATGGCCAGATTCTGGCTAGACCATCCGATTCCTTCGTGCCCGTTTTGCCCGCTCTGCCCGTTATCCAACAGCGACTCTGATCCATAGAGTTGAGTATGTTGGTCTAGTGTTATTGTACCTGGATTTAGTGCCTGGGTTAGTGCAGGGGTAATGACGCTACGGGTAGTGAGAGAGCCAACGTGGACGTATGAACGGGTGTGCTGTGACGGAATTTGTGACGACCAATGACCTCGTGGCATTCCTGTCGAGTTTCCTACATCACCACGACCATCTTAGACACACACACACACACACAGAGAGAGAGAGAGAGGGAGAGCCTTCCATACCACCCTTTGCTAGCCTGATGTTCCGGTTGCCTTACAGAGCTTGGGAAGGGTGTTCTATGATATAAGTACTGTACGTACTCGTCTAGCCGTATAGGAGTAGCTCAGGTAGAGCAAAGAGATGAAATGAAGCCGTCGACACTAACCCAACAACGGCAAATTCCTCCCACAGGCTATTAGACCCTAGCAAGCAGGCCTACACTAGCTCGTTGGCTTGATGGCAGACTTGACAGCTCTGCTCGTCTGTCTGGTCTGGCTAGCTAGCTATGGCCCTATCTGTCCCTGATCAGCGTCAGACCCTGTGCGATACGTCACCGATCGGGGATAGCCTGCTCACGCTTAGCGTAGGCGTCACATTTCTGCCATTGCTAGTCTAGTCTGTCTAGCCACTCTCCTTTCAGACTCCTTTCTTTCCATCATCTCGAACTTTTTTTTTATTTTTATTTTTATTTTTTTCTTATTACCGATATCTGGATCGTCGCGCCTCTCCCTCCCTCCCTCCCTCCCTACCCTAGACAGAACTGGTCCGTCCTATTGGTTGCGATGCTATCGTAGGTAGTTACTTAGTTCCCCGGGTGATCGTGGAGAGCGGAAAGGTCTGCGCACTTTACTTCCCTTGCAATTACAGGGTACGGTAAGCCGTAGGTGACATTCAAGATGCTCTACCAATTCCACGCATGTGCGGATTACCCCAGACGGTCAGAATCCAGAACGCAATTAATAGCAAGCGGACATACACTACGTTAAAGAGCACTTATTAACAGAGTCCCTACTTATAGCATGACGAAACCCAATATTGCTAAGATAAGACATGACACCTACGTGTAGGTACTGTAGGTACATCCCTTTCTTCCCCGCGTTCAAATCAAAGTCAAAAAATTCCATCAATGTTGATCTTGTAGCAGCGGCGAACACCTGACCAGTGATACATATGCGCTAACTCCTAGCAGAGTCTTACCGAGGGTAGTAGGTATATAATATAAGTCATTCGCGACCTCCAACTGGTCGATCTACTTCCCTCCCTCTGGTCTTCATTCCTCGCATCACATCAATCACATCGCATTGCATCACATGTGTTAGGCGCCTGTTGATAGCTCTCGGCATAAGTGCAATCCTTCGCGTCTTTCCTATCTTAGCTTTGCTTGTAGCCGCCCTGTTGGACCCAACTCTCCATCGCCTTGGGAAGATATTGATTGCACAGAGCACGCATATTGACTGCTAAGCGAGCAGAAACAGAACGCTGAATAATCAAGTGTGTGATTGATTGATTGATTGATTGAGCGAGAGGATGGTGGGAATTGGCCCCGCATGGGTGAGAGAGAGAGAGAGAAAAGAGACGGAGAGGGACAGCTGAGTGTAATGTATGTAACCTTGACTCAACAATTACATATCGGCCTGTACAATCGTAGGTAGTATTAGGTAGTATACACAGGCAGGCAGCAAGTGCACAAAATAGATGTATGCTCGAAGCAACACCCCAAACGTGCTCTCTGGTCGCCTAAAACCCCCCGGTTCGAGGTAGTACCAGGTATATGTATAGCCAACGACAGTTACCTTCGGTTAAGCCTTTTTTAATATCTAGATCATAATCATGATGATTCTGCCGTTTACCGTCAAAGAACGCCGAGAGGGGGCATCACTATGTATGTATACAGAGTGTTGTTGCCTGTCGATCTCACGCAGGTCCAAATCTATCATGCATCCTCGTAATTTCGATAGCGAGCTGGTAATCTATTTCATCCGTTCGTTCGATGCTTTTTGCGCAGGGCCTGCCCACGCGCCAAGCCTTGTATGATAGGTGGGCAGTAGTAGGCATACATACCTATCAAATAAGCTGAAGGTAGGCAGATGGAAAACCCGGGGCATGAAGCACGCTGGTTGGTCGTACTCTAGAGAGATCTCAGATAATAAAAACACATGTCTAACGTCTGAAAAGACGCAGGCAGCTGCGCAGTTATGTACTGGTTATGGGGTAGCGTGTAAGTAATTCAACCAGCTACCACAGCTCCCGCGTATGCTGGAAAATCTACAACGGCAAGGAAGTTAAGAAATGAATTTAGCCTACGCACATATCCGACATATACAAATTGAATGTGTTTAAGGAGTGAGTTCGATTCCTGTTCGATATAATCAAGACTCGTAACATCGTGTGCCCATACAATGAACGATTGAACAGAACTGAACATAACCATACCCATAATAGAAGATAAAAAACCGGTCGTGCCCAATGACATGATCAACCTGGTGCGCATCCGTCTGCATCAGTGACAATCTGGTTACCATGGAATAATTTAAGAAAATATCATCAATCATAACCCCAAAGCACTCATCAAACTAACTCCCCAGCATGTGTTCCCCCCTTTCCCTACCCGCGACCCATCAGCCTACGAAGAAGGCTTGATCGGATCATAGTACTCATATATCTTTCCTTCCTTACCATTCTTCGTGATGACCGGTGCCAGGAACGTCGACACGCCAGTGTCCCGGTCATACGATTCGTAGTCACACGCCAATCTCTTGCCACCGCCCCCGGGAAGGTCGACGACGAAATTCGGCACTGCGCCGGGAAAACTCTGTCAGCTAGATTTCCTATCACGACAAACTGCTAGCGGAGCTGTTCAAGAAGGGAAATCATGAGGTATTGATGGAGTTAGAAATAGATCGTGCATCTACCACGTCGACATGAATGGGCAGGGTAGATTATCACATACTGTCGAACCCGGCGATCGAACCGCGCAGTTGCTTTTGCAGATCGAGGATAGTCTGGAGCGGAGTCCGTAGATGCTCGACTCGCGGGACCATGTCACACTGATATACGTAGTACTATTCGAGTAAGCATCTCGTGAGTGTGTGGCTTCTGTGAAGGAACTGTTGGGTAGGAGTGCTACTCACTGGGTGGATATGCATTTTGGCGAGCTTCTGGATCACTGTAGTGCGCTGGAGTTAGCGATAACTTCGTTAATATAGGATAGAAGGATCTCTGTATGCTCTCGTGGTATCAAGTCTTTATCCCGAAGAGGGGTTTTTCTTGCTTATTAGAACAAGGGGGTTATGATTTCAGAGATAAACATACAGGACGACATAGTCGCGACATTGTCGTTGATATCGCGCAGTAGGACTGTTTGGTTGCGAACTGTAACCGCGGCTTCACTTAACTTGCGACTGGCCTTCTCTGTGATCCACGATATCTCATTGGGATGGTTGAAGTGCGTGTGGAGGGCGAAGTCTAGGATTCCTCACGTAAGTGACTATTGGTTATGACAATATTATGGGGTCTTTGGTGATATTAAAAACACAAGCTCACGTTTGCCAGCTTTCCTCGCTTTGTTTGAGATCCGAATGAGTGCCGCCGTCCAGTCATCTTCGTCATCGAGGATTCGATTGGGGGCTACCGCCAGACCCTTAGTTGCGATTCGGAACCGCTCGATATTGTCCATGCTGATCAGCTCGTCCCCGATCCATTCAAGAATACTGTCCCAGAATTTCAGTTTCAGCATAACCGCATATGATGGAATTTTCAGTGAAGGTCGTCCGAAAACCCAAAAGGATCGGAAGAGAATAACGAGCGGGATACATACTGGGATGGCAGGTAATACGCATCGCCACCGGAGATAACAATGTCTTTGAGCTGGGGCTGGCTTCTCACTTTTTATACGCTGGAGTCAGTAATTACCAGAATATATATTCAAGTTTGCATTTTGGGAGTGTGTAGGAGCAACGAGGCGTAAAACCTGCCTGGGGGGAAACAAATGAATACAGGGAACTAACTGTAGGCGAACGCGTTTTCCAGCTTCTTCTTCCCGAGCTTGAATGTCTTTTTGGTGATATACGTGTGGGCGCCTACGCCGTATGATCTTGTGCAGAAGATACAGTAGGTCGGACATACGGAGAGAGCTAGAGATTTTTCAGCCATGTTTCCATTGACGAGTGTGCTTGTCATCTTACGAAGAAAGAGAGCTTTATCGGGATATCTATGTACGACATCTTCGACTGGCATGTCCTGTAATTCGTGGAGGGAGTCGGGTTCGACTTTTGGGTGGTCTTTGATCATTATCGATTTCAATGGGATGAACTGTCGAAATACTGGGCAATTCGCAGGGTCCGCCCAGTTAATTCTACTCAGGACGTAAGGCCTGTAGGACTTAGTACTAGGGAACATTCTTCGAGATGGTAGAAGAGTTGACTTACACGACACGTACAGACATGGCGGATTTTTTGATCCCACCCCAAACATCGGTAACAAATTCGTCAGCTGTTTGCATACCCCCTATACTCACCGATCGGGGTACCTCGTCTGGAAGCAGAGAGTAAAGGGTTTCGGACAGTTTATTCTTCTGCTCTAATATATTCTGATTTGATCTCGTTAGCGAGAAGGTTAGTTCTCGGCTGATGCTTGCCTACATTTATATTCCATGACCAAGAGTAGAAGTCACGGAGGCTGACATCCCTGTAAAGGGCTAGTTCACGCCAGAACTCTCCCTCTTCCAGATGGGATTTGGAGATAACCGGGGGCATTTCCATTGACGTAGTGTTGGCTATCGGGGCTACGTAAGTAGAAGAAGATGGTATATTCGATATGTGACGTGTTGTGGTAATAGGGAAGGAGGCAGTGATCCAAGGCATCACTTGTCGAGGAATAAGCCGTCGACTACGGGCTGTGGAAGAAAACATGGTGGTCTATGAGAGACTGGAACCACGTAGACGATGTATTCGATACGAGTATAGTAGGAGACGATAGATGCTCCAGGTTATCGCTAGATTCTAAGGATAGATGCGAGTTCAATGGGCTTGAGAATTGAGACAACTATCCACAACGTTTAGCCTAGTAAACAGGGCTGGCAATCGTTAAATAGTCACTGACAGCCGTGTTGAAAGCGGGCATTGGGTTATTGTTAAAGTTGTCCCTACACAGCGCCATCTAAGTTCAAGGATAGTGATACTAGAACACGTTATTACCTGTCTAGTCTGGGATGGGACAGGTAAATTTCAGACCGAGAGACACATACCTTATGCTCGTTGGCCTTAGCGGCCGGCATGAACGCTTGAGAGCCAATGATGTAGTGGCTGTCCGCAGTGCTATTAAGATAATATCGTGTTGGTTGCAGTCTTTCCATTGTCCTCATCGCACCTCAGCCACTCAGAAACAACCCTGATCATGCCCCCAAATAACGAGCTTTCTGATCATTGCCATTTCAAGACTTGTTATGGGGGGCAAAAGTGCTAGCCCCTATCATGAGCTGGCTTACACTGCCGGTGGAGGGCACCCGAGAGTCATTTTTATACGCCCAGCGTTAATTTTCATTGGCTTTGTTCACCTACCCCCCCGATGCCTTAATTCCATATGAATATCCATAAGTATGTCTACGTTGTGGCTATCTGTTTTCTGTAAGATTGTTGAAAAAGAAAAGAGAGGTCGGCAAGTTTTCGGGGCATCATGGATTTCCCAAGGCTGTGGCTAGTCTGGGTTGAGATCTCGATTGTTGACATAACAACCACCACTACGACAGGGAATGTTCCCCTATACACCGAGACGAGGGACATGTGTGTATTAGATTTCACAATATACTTGCTACTCTATCACTTCATTTACTCTCACTATATACCATTACCTTCAAGACGCTAGATCTAAACCACATGATTAAACTGTACTCGACGCCTCGACTATGCTCATCTAGCCTCGTTTTGAATGCAGACTTGGAGAAAGAACCTACAGTTTTACGGGAAACGATGTATTTGCTCAGAGACATGATCCTGCTATATGATCCTCTAGCTTACCTGCATACCTAGACATGCAGTCCGTGATATTGTGCTGCGTGGGGGGCACACCGGTTGAGACCATGCCAGCCAATGTCAGAAGGATTTTCTGTTGTTGGGAAGAAATACAAGGTTTCCATATGGGCATAGTACAAAGCATATTTCAGAGCAGTCTCAAGATAGCTCATTTGGTATATTCGACAAGAAGCAGAGCACCTCGGTGAGATGGGATGAGAGAACTAATTATTGACGCCCACCACAAGCTACAATTAGCAACTCAATATTGGAGGCAATAAAATGCGTAGCCCCTGTAGACAATGGGCCTCCTATTGATGGGCACCTCCGCTTGTTTTTCGTTGATGACCCTGGGCAAACTCGGTCAACGTATGCCACACAAAGGCGGTGCCAGAAAGGTGCTCCCTACCTACCTGTACCAACAACTAACCTAGGCCTACGTGCGGCTCGGAATCATCTCCACAGGATTGGGGGGTTAACATGCATGCCAGTCAGTTAGTAGTGTATGTCATCATTGAACCAAACAAGAAGTTCTCTTGGCACTGAATCGAACGGTGTCCCCGCGATTTCCCAAGGTGTAGGAAGCTGCGGGAAGAGGTGAGAATGTTTTACCAGATAGGACGGTGCTTGCACGCGGGACAAGCTGGGAGATATTATATTCACGACGTCGTCGAAGCGGAGAACACTTTGTGAAATTCAGCAATAAGTATATACGTCTGCTCTTCTCTGCTCTGCGCCTTGGTATACAGTTGTAAGATCTCAAGTGGTGATACAATACGTCGCTTAAGTTAGCAGGGGATCTTTGGGGAGACTGACTCTATTGGCTCTTTACCCCAGATACGGTATGTATACAGTAGGAATACAGTATGGAGGATCATCGCACGGCACTGTTTCCAGGCTGTCGGGCCCGGTGGCTTGACCAAGTACCTATCAAAGGAAAGCAATGCAGGGTAACGGAGAACTGTGCTGGTCATGGAATCCTTCGTGGCCTGATCCTATTGTGGATGCGCTCGAGAAGGCTATGCAGAGCAGAAAAGGAGCGGAACCAAAGTTACTTCCCTTACTGCTATCCAACCAACGCGATGAATCTTTTGAGATGCACCCAAATCGCTGGAGGAGGTACATGTAGTACATCATGGATGTAGCTCTATGTTGACAGGTGTGGCTTTACTACTCGGGACTATGTGGCTGAAAGACCCGCAATCTCTCTCACCGCTTACCCCAATCAGCAATAACCTATCCCAGCCCTGGCCTTGCCAGGCGGGCAATGAAATGAGCCTAGATCGGAGCAATACCGGTACATATTTTAAGGTAGGTACAAGGTACCTGCTTGGCACACCTTTGCATAGGCATAAGGAGGACAATTAACAGACTCAACTTGTCGAGATAATTCCTGAGAGCATTGGAGTGAACTTCAATCCTCGAGCAATTGGTGCAGGAAGCTGTTAAAGGGTTTTATCGAAACAGGGTCCTCCGGAGGCAGCGCTATCTGTATTTCGACTTTCCATAATCATGGCTAAGAACCCTGTCATCGGCCTATTGGGCGGAGGTGAGAAATACTTTTATAACAAAATGATTTATTAAAAATCAAATTGCTGACTTCTCATTTCAGGCCAGCTTGGGCAAATGCTCTGCCAGGCCGCTGCTCCCCTCGGCATCACCGTTGCAGTGCTGGACGCCGAGAATTGCCCCGCCAAACAGATTAATCATAACGATCTTCATGTTACTGGGTCATTCAAAGATTCTGAAAAGATCAAACTTCTAGCCGCACGCTGCGATGTGCTAACTGTTGAGATCGAGCATGTCGAGTGCGATGTGTTGGAAGAAATCGCAACTAAAGGTGTCGAAGTGCCCTCCCCTGATGGAAATGGCACCGTCATGAAGCGGGTCCCAGTTCACCCCTCCTACAAGACCATACGTCTGATACAAGACAAGTACCAGCAAAAGGAATACTTCGCCCAGAATGGACTCCCTGTTGCTCCTCAGATGGCCATCGAGTCCGGCGATGCGCGCCTCACATCCATTGAACAGGCCGCGAAAAGCTACGGGTTTCCTTTCATGCTAAAGGGCGCCAAGGGATCTTATGATGGCCGGGGCAATTTTAAAGTCAACTCTGCCGACGACTTCAAGACCGCAGTTGAACAAATGGGTGATCAGCCACTTTATGCCGAGAAGTTCGTCCCCTTTAAAATGGAACTGGCCGTTATGGTAATGCGGACTGAAGATGACGATGGAAATCTGAAGAAAGTCTACCCATATCCTGTCGTTGAGACGATCCACGAAGACAGCATTTGCACAAAAGTAACCGACCCTATTCGTACAGTATCATAGTTCATATGCTAAGTTCATAACAGGTCTTTTTCCCACCGCGGAACGTTGCCGAGGACATTATTCAGAGGGCCCAAAAGGTAGCCTGCGACGTAGTCAGTCGACTCTGGGGACGAGGTGTATTTGCCGTCGAAATGTTCCTCGATAATGACGACAAGATTATTGTAAATGAGGTGGGTACATTATCTCTTTCGTTCTTTACAAGATTTCACGACTTATCTACACACCTGCTAATCAAGAATGCCAGGTTGCTCCTCGACCGCACAATTCTGGCCATTTGAGTATCGAATTAGTACCTCAAAGATCCCAGTTCCGTGCTCAACTAGATGCTATATTAGACAGGGTCCCGTCACCAGAATTTTCCTTTGTTGCTCAGTTCCCGTCTGCTATCATGTTAAATATACTGGGTGGCGCCGAGCCCCATTCTCATGATAAACTCGTCGATTTGACTAATAGCTTCTACCATTCACATGCCTGCGCAGCACTGCACTTATATGGTAAAGAGTCGAAGCCAGGGCGAAAAATTGGACATATAACTGCATGGGGTCAGTCGTCTGTCGAGCAGCTTTCCGAGCGGATTAATCACCTCATCCAATGCATGGATAAGATTAGGGCAGAGCGCATCGGATCGAAAGAAATATCAGGGGTGTTGGCGTCACAGTCACAATCGACCCCCTTGGTAGCAGTCACAATGGGATCCGACTCGGGTTAGTATTCTTCTCATTCTCTCACTCTGTACTGCATATCACCGAAATCCTATCTCGTTTTCTAGTAATAGCAAATACTGACATTTGGTTTTCTGGGCAGATCTTGGAACACTCACTGCCGGATTGAAAATATTGAAAGATTTCGAGGTACCTTTCGTAGTTCGGATCACGTCAGCACACCGTACACCTAAAGAAATGATGAACTTCGCCGATGAGATGAATAAGTCCGGTTGCAAAGTAATTATTGCAGCTGGTAAGTGGTCCATCTTTCTAAGAGCCTTGATTTAGGGAACTGTGCTAATTTTGACCTATTGGGATATAGCTGGAGGAGCCGCACAGTGAGTACATTTCTTCTCAACCATAGGCTTCTGATTGAAAGTCCTATCTGCCGGTCTGGCGACCACACATAATCTCCGAAAACCTTGCAAGCTTCGGTATGATTCACAGACCAACTGTTGACCATCGCTAGTCTCCCCGGAATGGTAGCGAGCGAGGTTTGCCTACCAGTAATCGGAGTTCCCGTGAGGGCGAGCGTATTGGATGGTATGGATAGTTTACTATCTATCGTCCAAATGCCCCGAGGTATTCCCTGCGCAACCGTACGTAGCCCAACCCCCTCTATATAGTCTAACTCCCATGGATTCCATGACTCCTCGATATCCTATTCTCCATACTCTCCTGCCAGACCGACTCGCTGACTATTTACCATCCAACAGGTCGGAATAGGCAACTCCACAAACGCTGCCCTCCTAGCTATCAGGATACTGGGAGCTGCATTCCCCGAGTACGCCGAGAAGATGAAGGCGTACCAAAAGAAGATGAAGAACGAAGTCCTCGCCAAAGACGAGGCGATTCGCTCCATGGGCTGGGAAAAATACTTAAACCGAGACTCTTGATCGAGTAAGCTTTCGTGGGAGTTGGGGAAAAGGGATTCCTGGATTCGTGACTGATGTTACAGTCTTCGGGTGCCGGGAGATAAAGAAACAATATTTGAGTAGTAGCTGTCCAGGACCGTCTTATACAAACTAGGTACGGTAGAAAAGGAGATAGAGATACCATTGTGAGTAGCATGATCACGTGCTTGTAACGAAAACATCGTGATGTGATTTTTGCCTTACGTAGGTATCAAGCTAGGTCACGTTAACTGGGTATGAATCATGGCGTGTCCTTCACTTCTCCAGCAACAAAACATATTCACGGCAAATAGACCAATCCAAACTAGGCATCATAGTGCACTGGTATTAGTTTATTCGCACAGCAATAAAGCAACCAGGCTTCATTCAGTACCATAAGCTATTGGTAGGCTCAAGTAATTAAGCGGAGGCGGAAATATCTTTACGTTTATTCTCTTTTTCGGCTGAGCCTGCTCTCTGTAAATTTTTCTGAATATTGCTTTTGGTCTGTGCCACTACACCCTCACTATCAGGTGCAGTTGCTAGTAGGTAGGGGGGGTATATGCACATCGCTATCGAAGATCACCGTACTAGCAATACCGACTCGGGCTATTAGTAGTATTATTCATCCCACCTAGCGGTCGAACTTCCCGACACCATACTACCTTTGATCGAAAAAATCGACAATTTGGGCGTAGGGCTTGAGGGTAAGGGCCTCCCCGCAGTTGGCGGCTTGCTTAGACTGGTACGAACACGGCTGGCTGACGATTGGAATCGAGTAGGTAGTTGGACTTTACCTTGTATATAAGCACTGATGAAACGCTGCTGCAAGTCTAATGCATAGATAAGATCTGCCCTATAAGATCTAGTTATGGCAACGCCTCCACAGTTGTTTTTGATATCGCGATAGTCCATCGAAAACCAGAAGTCAACCGGCCTTCGGCTAAAATCCACGATGAAAACGAGCTGGATTTCACATCAAACCTGCAAGGTGCTGATTATTTATGTCAGTAAACAAACACAAGTCGATGCCAAGGCAGGAAGGGCGCATACCCAAGGTAATCTTCCTTGATGCTACCAATGGCCCAGAGCTCACCAACCTCGGCTCGAGTACCCAGTATCTTGATTCGAACATGGGTCCCAACGTCGATGGTGGTGTCCTCGTTATTGGTGAACTGAGGAGGAGTGGCATTGGGATCCCACTTGATGTCTTGAGGGATCAACTTGATGTGGATTTGTCAACTTCTCTCTCAAACTGGGTCGCAGGTGGACGACGCAGTGATACTTACGTGGGTTGAAACAAATATGCGGAGAGGGCCAGCTTCGGCGAAGAAGCCATGTTGGTTCACACTAACAACCACAGCATCCACCTAGATCCTGTAAGAATGCGATACCAGCCGATAGCAGTACAGTAGTCTCACCGTCTCGCCTTTGAAAGGTCTCCAGACCACAGCACGGTAGCCAACAGTGAACTCGGCGAGTCCACTGCCTGGAAGAATGCGCCCCTCAGATATATCAAAGGTGTCCATAATAGAGATGATATAGTAGCTTCCGGTGCATGTTCCCTCCACGTCTTTCAGCAGCTTGCCAGTGACCAGCTCGTGCATGTTCTTGCCGAAGTACGAGGGATGCAGTGTTACCCTGCGCTCAAGATTGTACAGGAAGAACATGGTCGGAGATGTTATATCGACCGTGGATAAATCTTTCGATTCGGCGGGTCGGCCGTACTTATGTTTGCCGCAGCAGAGGAGGAGGAGAAGGAATGCGAAGCTTTGGATTGGTCAAGGCGAAGACGGCGAGAGGCAGGGAAGGTAATCGCTGAGGTCTGGCTGAGGCCCGGACACGCACGCGCGTGCTGGCGCCAAGGTGCAAGATGGCTGTGGCAACTCTATTCAGACTTGAGATTCCATACCATAGGAGCCCTAGAAGCAGAAGGGATTGTCGGCAACAGCCCTCGATCAAGCAACAGACAATAGACAATAGACAATGACGGCAGGCGACCGGGCGCAGACTCGATTACGAACGGCTCTTGGTGGGTGGTAAGGCAGAATAAACAAAGCTATCAAAGAACGGTAAAAGTACAAAGTCCGGGTATCAAATTAAGAGCTGCGAAAAGCGCAAGTTGGAATAAGAGAGAATGAGAGAGTCGCAACAATCGCGCAGTGTTCACCCGTCTGCAGTGGTTGGCGATGTTAAGGATTGTTGTTACCTGGAAAATGGTTATGGGCAAGCTTGGGAGAGAGAGGACTGGCGACTGGCTGGCCGCACAATTTGGATCCGTAGACAAAGGGAAGCAGGAAAGGCTGGCTGGCTGCCTTGCGTATGTACATGGGTACATGTAGGTACGGGCGCACCTACACTAGATACCCTTAGGCCCCCTTAACCGTGTAGGTACTGTCTGGTACTGCTCAAGTAGGCCTGTGTAGTTCATGATTAGGTGCATGCTCTTGCACTCTTTAGTGCATGACCTCTTCTAGAACATTTCTCCTTTAGGTAGTCGATGTGCCTCTAGAACCCTACCCATGATTGATACACGTGGATTTGATGAACACAGCAAAAAGCATGAATAATTCTTAAAGAATCCATATGTAGGTAACCTACTTACTATAAGAATCAAGATGAGCTTTGGAGATAACATGTAGGGTTTGTATCTTACCGCATTAAGGCGTTATCAGCTTGGCTGTATCAAATAGCCTGGGCCTTTGCGGCTACACCAGCCAGGCTGTTACAATGGATAACTACATAGGTAGGTAGGTAGGTAGTAGGAATCTACACTTATTATCTGAGCATTCCATTTGCCGAATCTACAGGGTGCTTGCTTAATGATTGAACACTGATGTGAATGTAGTTACTTACCTAACCTATGCTGGGACGGATTCTAAAATCGATGCTAAAATAGATGACCCCATCCTATTGAGCGAAGTACCTAAAAGTAGGTACCTGCAGGTACCGCGAGTAGCACAAAAAATGCTGCACTGTTGATCCCCAATCCCCTCCAAGTAATTGGACACTTGCCCGTTCCATTTTGAGCTGACTCCTGTCTCATGATTGAATCTGGATGCTCCAGATGTAGATATTAGCAGCCCGTCTTTTCTCACTACACAGGTCCACATGTAGTCTTTATTCGATGATATAAACGTTTGCGTTGCTTTCTACTTGGTTGGTATCGTGCGTAGGTCGGGATACCCTTATCCATCTGTCGACAGGATCTGTGGTCCTACCATACCATAGGACGAGGAACAGGAACTTGGCTGTCCCAGAGCACAATCGGACTCCACCACTATTCCCGTTGGCTTCAACAACGACAACAATCTACCTTATATCTTAGAGAGAGACCTCAACCCTCGAAATGGCTCTCAATCTTGAAAAGCAGCTCACCTTCGTAAGTAATCATCCCTACGGTGGCCCTTCAGCCTTGTCCCGGCCAAGCCGGCTTGTTCTCAAAACGTAATTTGGCTGATGCTGACATGTCTCAAAAAGTACGGTGCATACCACGACAACGCGGTCAATGTTGCCATTCACATGGTCTGTGTTCCACTGATTCTGTTCAGTGGCTTCACTCTTGTACGCCTTTCATTTTCTCTTGCACCCCCTCCCTCCCCTCCCCCATCTCTAACCTTTCCTTGACCTAAGTCTAATCGGGCTGTTTCTCGTTCCTGTCCTGTAGGGCGCCAACACCGGCACGCTTATTCCGCTTCCCGACGCCATAACCATACCGAACCTTGACCTCAATCTCGGCACCCTCGCTGCGCTAGCCTGGGGCGGCTTATACGTACTTTTAGAGCCCGTCGCCGGTACAATATTAGCTTTTATATGTCTGGGTGCTGCCGCGTTAGGGAAGGCCGCTTTGTCCCGCGATCCAACGTTGACCAACCAAGTCGCCATCGCCGTACACGTCGTCTGCTGGCTGCTTCAATTCCTGGGCCATGGGGCTTTCGAAGGCCGAGCGCCTGCTTTATTGGACAATCTAGTCCAGGCCATCTTCCTTGCGCCGCTATTCGTGTGGCTTGAGTTCCTCTTCAAATTCGGCTATCGGCGGGAGCTTCAAGCCCGCGTAGAGAAGGCCGTGAAAGTGGAAATCGCCAAATTTAGGAGTCGGAAGGCGGCTGCTAAGGTCAAGAATGGCAAGGCTCAATAATTCCTGTTCCCAAGCCATGGCGAGGGTCTCATTAGAACTGAATCGACGTCGCCGATGTTGATGCGATATGGGGAATGACTCTTGATATAATCTGGGGCACCTCCTAGAACCCGGCAAAGGACGTCGTCCGGCCGTTTCTCGCATATCGTGGGCCAATGTGACAGTCGCTGTCAGACACTTCGTGAAGAAACGGTTAATAGCTAGCTTATGGCGTCATTGTGGTGAGGATTTTCTGATACCCCTGGCGCATTACTTAAGATGTATAGAAAGCGAGCCATCGCTAATTGCTTATACAATTTATATTATATACGAGTTAGAAGTTACGATACCCTTTCCCCTATTTGACCATGCATTTTCTAGTACTAAACCTCAAATGAAACAGAGTTGCCCAAAAAAGAAGGAGAAAACAGAATATTGATCGATTACTATCGTGAATGGTATCTAAACACTAACAAAACTCACCTTACTTACCATAACGCAAATACAGTTACTTACTCTATAATGATTCGACATAAGAGAAGAGAAGTGAGAAGAAGCCTAAAGATGAACAAGTGAGTGGGCCAAAGTCCTTTGTGTTGCTACAAACTTACTCAACGATGACGACGTCCTTTCTCGCCAGATGTTTTCGATTTCTTCCCCTTCTTCTTGTTCTTCCCCTCCTCGCTAATCGCCCGCGAGGTCTGGCACACGAACGACACGTCCGAGTCCGAGTCGGTCTGACCAGACAGTCTCCGCGTCTTCTCGACGAGCTCCGACAACGTCGTCTTCCCCGTCTCCCAGCGACTCGGCTCCTTGGGCCCCCTGCCTCCTCCTGACGGCACCGGCGCCCGCATCAGCGCGTCTTCGCCTTGGCGCATCTTGTTGCGATCCTGTTGTCGCTCGGCTTTGCTGGATTGTGTTGGGCCAAGGTGTTTTCGAGAGGATGAGGATGGTGAATAAGCAGTAGAGGGGGAGACGCTGTATGCGGCGGGCTTCGGCTTGTGGCGGGGGTCGGGATATCCTGTTGCTTGGGCCCTGGATGCGAATGATCGGCTGTTGTTGTTCCGCTGGGTACGAAGAGGCTGTGGGACGGGAGGGGGGCCGACTGCTGGTGGAAGACCGGGAGCGGCATTGTAATTACTGTTGTTTGCGAAGCGGCCGGTGTGTCCGCGTGCTGCTGCTGGCGGAAGCGGTCTCTTCAAAGGCTTCTCGCTGCCGTAAGCCGGCATCCACTCATCTCTGCTTTCGGCCTCTCTCCTTTCTCCCCGCCGTCGATCTTGGATTGTTGCTGTCGGTGCTTTATGGCGCACATCTCCCTTTCCCTGATCGCTCTGGTTCCTCACCTGTTTCTGGGCAGCAATCGGCGGCGCCAGCGCGGCTTCTCGTGCGTATGCTTCCTTCCTCGCTAGAGTTTCCGGGTGATAATAAAGATCGCTTAGCCAGACACTGTTTTCGACATGGATAATGTCATGATTCGATTTCTTGTTGCCTCTGGCATCATGATTCCGCCTCTCGGATTTCGCCAGTGCGTTCCTGGCGGCTTCTTTGCGCTCCTCCTGAAAGATTTCCTGGAAGCCCTGCTTCCGGACTTTCAGCGCGCCTCTCCCGACTACCTCGCCCCGTAGCTGCTGCTTCTTGATCGAGCAGTGCTGGCAGTATCCCTCAATTCGCAGCTCGTGTGGAATGACTTTGCCGCAGTTCTTTCTCTCCCGTATACTGCGCCGAAATATGCTGCCGAAGACGCCTCTAGCGGACGCCTGCTGCTTGTGATGCGTAGGACAATTCGTTACCGTGGTATTGATATGGTTGCACTGGCTATAGTGCTCGTACGAGTTCACACACATGACGGCGTTTTCAGACCTGCCGTTTACTGATTATATTTTGTATGCTTTGCCCCCTCTCTTATGAAAACGAGGTTCCTACACTGGGTAGACAATGGTACTTGTGGACGGGGTTTTATCTTGCCTTTTGGTGCTTTTTGGTAACTCAACAGGTCTTGTTAAGCCTTCAAAATAAAAGCTTTGGTGAATATACGAGCATGTTCCTCTTCTGACATTCTCCTCCGAATTCTTCTGGAAACTCCAGGTGTCTTAAATATGCGCTCCATTCTAGGGCCTTTGTCGAAGACTTTAGGTAGAGTGAGTGCATTGTCTGTAAAGACTCTAGAGGCTTCCTGGTTATTGTGTTGTCTTGCAAGTCTTGTTAGTTTAACAATGCTGTTACGGTCAGTCAGCTCTACTTGTACATTACTGCATAGGTTCTTTGAAAGAAGGGGGTGAAACACCAAACACAACAAGGTGAAAGAACAAAAGCACTATCCGTTGAGCTTCACAAGACAATGTCTTTGTCACGACATGACGAAATGTATTTTTCCCATGACGCGGACTGTTGTGCGTGTACCTATCTACCTCATTGCTTATCCACCTCAGAAAATATTTACGGCGATAAGAAACACGCAGTGGACCAGTCAGTCCTATTCTTGCTAAGAAGAGGAAGTATGAAAGGAGGTTCACCCTTGAATGAGTGACACATACCGGCGATTCAGTTTAATTGTTGGTCCAGGATTTCTCTCTTTCGTATTGTTAGTTGGTTTCGCTATTTTTGTACTACCTAGGATCAGCCAAGTCGGCTCCTCACCGTAACTCTGGGTCGAGCTAACCAACACGTGCGACTTTACTAATTTCTATCGAAATTCCCGAAGGATTGCTTACAAACATACATACATGTACATACACTACACATACATTACGCAGGCGCACAGGTTATACATGGACCAGGTTTCCGAACTACACTACACATCAGTGTATACTGTCTAAGTAGCGTGGTGTCATAGTTGCGCCGTGCGGCTGGTTACACGTAAATTAGCAACCAAGGTAGTTTCGTTTCCAACACGGCCTATTTGTCACTTGCCTCATTCGTCAATTTCATCTATCTCATTTGGCAATCTCAATAGTCCGCTAGCCAGTCTACCATCCCGTCCATCCATCATCCTTCCATCTATCTGGAAAGCAGGTAGTCATACTCACATGCATGCATGCTTAGTGATATCACATGATACAGCCTACGACTTCCGACGAGGCTACGGACAACAAGGAGAGCTGCTTGAGACAAGACGCGCCTAGAGGAGACAAGACTAGACTTTACCACACTACGTTAGAGAGTCTTAAAATACGTGTACCCGAGGGACTTTCGACAAACGAGGTAAAGATCCCGCAAAAGACATCCACTCGTCTAATAAACCAATCGCAACACTGGTAACAAATGGGAGGAAACTGAAAAGGAAACCCGATGTTGCAGGAACCAGGGGGTCCGATTTCAACAAGGTCGGTTGGAGCAAGTAATGTTAATTACTTGCTCCTATGTGCTTATGTTACCTAAGTAGGTACTGCAACTGCGCACTACCACACACCACCTACCTCACCTCACATAAGACCAACCAACTCTCTAGGCCGAGATTTCCTGCAGCAAGCAAGCAAGTCAGTCTTACAGCAGGCAGTATATGTAAGTCATCTTTTCCCCTACGATCATCAGCGACCGCAGGGACCGCCCAAGACAGTCCGAGCGCGGCCATAATGCGACAATAAAAGTACATACCCGAGACTGAGGGAAAAGGTGGGTGTGGAATAGTGGGGAGAAGCGAGAGTGAGGTACCCGGGACCTAGACAACCCAAACGCTCGGTAAGCAAAAAGCTCGCTTTCGTCGGGCAAGGGAGGGTTGCTGTGCCGCTCCGCTTAGATACGTGCGGATTATCGAGAGAAACGTCATCTTCGCGTACAGTAGCTGTGGAAAGAGAAGACCGACAAGAAACGATCCTTACATATCGAAAGACATCGTTCTACTAGACTACTTACGCAACGAGCGTAGTAACCCGCTTGCCCGGTCTCGGCTAGCATAGGCAAGGACTCAGGTTTCTTCTGACTTGGAGACTGCCTGGGCAGGACATGGGGATTATGGCCACCAGGGTTCTCAAATAGTGTACAGAGTACGTGTACACCCCTAGTCGAAGCAGTGGTTGTGGATGTTGTGGATAGAATGCTACAGCAAGTGCCCATTTCAAGGTTGTTGCGTATATACTAAGTAGTATGACTAGTATATGTATGTGTACCTATATGGAGAATGTGTATGCAGGTAGGTCAGTGTGTGTGTTATCAAATTCAAGATAGTCGTTTCATCACCTACAAAATAATAATGTTCCCCACGAGTGAAGAAATCAAGAACCGCAGAGAGGTCAGCTCCGCTTCGGAGCTTTTGTCCTACTTAAGTAGTACATAAAATCTTGTTAGTGGGTACCTATCTCCGACAAGAAACGAACACTTGGGTCCCTTTGTAAGTGGCCCCTGTTTGTATGTGCACTTCCATATAGATACCTAGTATATGTAAAGTATAAGCCCTGCTCCCGTGGCTTTATGCCTTGGGAAGATCATGAAGGACCTTCTTATTTCTTCATAACCATCTTGTCCAACAATTCTCCCCCGCTGGTGGGTACTTAGATAGATAGGACAGTGATGAATTCAGCAGGCAGACATGATAGAAGGAAAGAGGGGGAAAGGGAGACCAGCGTATACGAATCCTCATGATTGCAGTACAACACCAGCCTACCTACAGTATGCCGGTTATTATAACAGTAATAAGATCAACGTTGATATAGTGTAGAAAGCTCACATGATTAGAGACATGGAACTGATTACTCGAACCGGTTACCTTCTTCGACTGGTATTGGCACTTTGGCAAAGTACTACCAGTGGATGGTAGAGTAGGGTCAGTGCCATGCCTTTTGACGATCCGGTGTGGTATGGCATGTCCTTCTCCTAGCATCACAAGGGGATTCCCATTTGATTGACCAACGGCAAGGGGTGGCATTCTTCGAGAAGGGCTAGTTATTTTCTGTTATAATTCTCATCACTATCGTCGTTGTTATCGTTATTTCGTTGGTACTCCCAGCTTATAGAGGCACGCTAGTAGTAGAGCCCGATGCCACATCGTTTGACAAGCGGGAAGTCATGTATTGCTGACGCTTGCCAAGAAAATTTCTTCGCTGTTGGGCTGCAGCAAACCGCATCCCGCCCGTCGAGTTACATGGTAGTACATGGTAGGTAATCTACATGTAGGAGGAGTGAGATCTGTACCTCGTCGGGAGGAGATAGGGACCGAGGACGAGGGTGGGATGCCATGGGAAGATCCCGGGCCGCCGGACGCAGGCGAGTAAAAGTGTTGCTGCCGAATGGTACCTTTCCAGGTTTGATTTTGACGGCACATTCATTTTTTTTCTACAAGCAGCAAGAATTCGGAGTGAGAGAACGAGTAGCCGTGGCGGTGGCAAAGAGGCTTTCGAATACAGATCCCATATCATGCATCCCACTATACAATTCTTTTCCAGAATCATACATACTTCTCGATCTCCAGCAGAAGAGAAATGAATATGTGCCCCTAGGACGGCACGAGAAAGATGCCACACCAGTGGGTAGGAAGATCCTGCCTGCACTGCTGCGCTGCACCTTGGGTGTTGCTGCGTGGATTGACATGCGAATGTTGCTATTCAACACATGGCACGTGTTTATTCTTAGCATATCGCATCAATCTAAACCCCCTACCAGATTTCACATCCCGCCCCCCGCTCCCTCTTTTGCGTGTGGACTGTGGGCGTTTGCGTGCCGATAGAATGACGAGAGAAGCAGGGAGGTTGAGCTTAGGGTTTCGCAGTGGTTCGTTAATTGTATAGCTCGACTAGCTATCAGGCAGGCTGCGTGTTGTGTACATAGTTGTAACATGCCATCTATAAGCAGGCTAGCCAACAATATCTTGGTCTATGACTCAACCACGACTGATATTCATGGCCCTCGCGGCAGAAAGGAAGGGAAAGAAGAATAGACGGTAGAATCATTCCTGCACGGCGAGGGAAATGAATTTGGATCCAGACCTAGGAAAGAGGGCTTCTAATGTTCCTAGATGAAAAATTCATATTACACTCAGATGATTCTCTGTTCTATCTCATAGGCTAGCCACCATATGCTAACCAAAAATGAGCGGATCATTGGGTATCTAGACTAGATTGGAACAGCGAAACCATTGCCTGGGAGACATTTTGGCGAGCAATCATCTGTTGGCTGTGACGTGGTTCCGTGTCTGTGGTCATGCGGATGGCGGAAAATGGGGTATAAAGACTCTTGGGCCTGTTTTGTTTTGACAACCCCACTCGCGACTTTGAAGCGTGGCCTTTTCATTTGAAGCCTCCGTGGTCCCGTATAATAAAACGTATCTATTTGTCGTGGGGGTTACCTGAGGCAGTAAAAGAAAAGCTACCACCGGGACTATGCGTATACCCAGGCACGGTATACTGCACTAAATGACCCCTGGTGTATATTCAAGCCTGTTATAACCGCTATATTTGCGATTGAGAGGGGCCCTGTTCGACGGTGCTGACCTGCCTGGCCAGGGTGTAGAGTTATGTTAGCGCATGGCCGCATTTACTTCTTGTTTAAATGGTGCTTGAATGGGAAGCGGCCGCAGTCAGATGACCTGCTCTCATCTAAACAGCTGCTTCCAGTTATAGGCAAAACCGTTAAAGTAGACGATTGCTGACGGCTGTCCCACATTTGCCTCGGGTATGGCTCAAGACGTGTGCGGCGCAGCTGATTCGGCAAGGCTCGCAAATAATAGAGTTGTTAGGATGCCTAAGTCATAGCGCGTCAACCATGCCATGTCTATGACTGAACTGATCAACAGAGATGAGATTGCGGGACATTTTCATGTTTCAATTGGCTCAGGAAGAGGATCGAGACAGCCTATCCATCATCTACGGCTTCTTTGGTGACGCCGTCTTCCGATAATAGTAACCGTAATTATACTTGCTCTGCTTCAACTGACTCGTCACCCATCGTGGTCCAAGACCGAGTAGCAAATGGAAATTCGTATCTCATGCCCGCATCTACCATCCCGACTCCCTACTAGTACAGCCTGCTTATGTTCCATTGATATGTCGTCAAAGGCGTGAGAGCGTGGAGGGGGGAATTTATAGATCTTGCTTGGCTTCCTGTTCATGCGACCTGATCCACACGCATTAATGTTCCGACTCTTTCCATATTGCTTTGCCTCCCGATGGTGCGGCCGTTGGTGATACGCCATTCAAAGCTACAGAAGACCGCCCTCTACCCAACCAGCGATGGTTTATTCCGGTATCTCGACGCCAAACACCCTTGAAAATATACAAATAATGGTGCGGATTAAACCTGTAGTTCCGTTCCCGATTCAACGCCTTGCCCAAGAAAACCGTATGAACCCTCCTCCAAAAGAAGAGGTAGGCAACTATGCATAAGAAAACATCGAGTCGATCACCAGTGTACCCAGGAAATAAAGCTCTTTGTTGCTGCATGTATGCAGAAAAAATCGGAGGCTCCCGAGATCTTCTTCTCGATCAGAGACCATTGGTCACGAGCCTATGAACCTCCTTGCTTGGTAGTATGATAGCTTTGCTATCGGTCGACTGGGCTTCGTATCAGCCGCATAATGGGCACTCGCCAGGTTGGACGATGTAGCGCTCGTGCGGTCCCCTTGGGCATGCGGTCTTACGACTTCCATCCATAGAAGTGCGAAAGAAGTGTGTGCCTGGGTCTAGACAAGATGTGTATATGTAGTAGTTCTTCGTAAAGTCACACATTGTGGGCGCCCCAGAAGAAGACAATATGATTTCGAAGAGCTAGTGACTGCGGGTGATGAGCCTCATATTCCCTATGGAGACAGACAGGGTAACAGGGGGTAACAGGACGCACGTACCTCGAAGATGTGAAAACGGAGAAGAGGGTCAAAGAAACAGCTCCTTATGGATACTGTGCTGTAGCCACAATTCGGCGTGAAGAAGAATACTGGGGGTGAAGCTGGAGATAGGAGACGGTGATGGCATGCCCTGGATCTTTATGTATATATATATACATATAGATATTTATATCAGTTGAGATAGGTGCCGAAGCTAAGACACGGTGATCAATGGATACAGGGCTTCCCTGTCTTAGCCCCAGAGGTCGAAGTGGGCAAGCTACGTAGGGGAGTCATACTGCCAGGGAAGAGTATAACAGAATACATCATACGGTAGAGGCAGGACCCAATTTATCCATCGACAAGTTGAAAAGAAACGGACTAGGTATGAGGCCTCTAGGGGACGCAGTGCGTGTGCGTGTGTGGTGTAGGGAGACCACACATAACTACATAGATTCGGCGCCCTATCAAGCTTCGGGATGGGGTGCTTGATGCCTGGTCGAAGAGGTAAGACTTGTACATATGGACATGGGTTTCCAACGAGCCCTGTCCCTGTCGGCGAGGGCCATGACGGAGAACGGGTTGGCACGTATGATGTCTTTTCTTCGACATGGCCATTGCGAGCGAGGGCAACGCGAACCTGGTCCAGGTGTGACAGACGGGGGCAACTACCTACTGTATGCTACCTACGATGCAGAGGAGCTCAAGCAGCCAATATCCGACTCTATAATACGATCATCGAGGGGAATAGCCGTGCTCTCGACCGCGACAAGGGACGATGGTAATTTTGCGTAGACCGGCGTGACTTGGACAGGCGGAAATGGTAGAAGGCAAAGACAGAGGCTCGACGAAGATGTGGTTCAGGACGATAGCAGGAGGAACTTTTGCACTCTACTAACTACATACGTGTGTAGACACCAGGTAAGGAAGGCATGCGCGATGTGTGTCGGTAAGTAGACCAGGTCGTGCCTACCTATTGCCAGTCTCATACATACTATGTAGTAAGTACACTCGCTTTTGGGTATGTAGGTAGCCAAGGAGGTTGACCGGCAGGCTAGACTAGGGTTTGCCCAACTCACGACAACAACAACATACCTACTCAGTACTTATCTGTACAGAGAGCTGCGGAAGGTGAGCAAAAGGTACCGAAAAGAGACGATAGACACGAGGACGACACAAGAACGAGCGTTTAGCGTAGGGGATAGGTAGTACTGTACGTGCTCACAGGATACACTTCAGGCTTAGACCTGAGGATCGAGAGGGGTCAGCAAATCCCTGTAAGAAGCTATCACACCTACCCGTATGCAGCAGGGTGTGTAATATGACCATGTACCTATATGATATTAAGCTGTTGTAAGATCTCGACTGAACGAGTTTCAAGCTACCTATCTAGTAGAGCATGCCTATCTAACCCGTTAAGACTTTCTCTTATTAAACGCCCACCTACCTACCTAATCATGTGTAGAGTTGTTTCAACCTAAGTAAGCAGCAATAAAGCGGTAGGTAGGTACAAGATCCTGCCACCAAGTTGCTGAAATGTACCGGCCCACCTCGGACACTTAGGTAAACTTACAACCTCATCAAACTGGCGACGAGGCGGTAAGGAAAATTCAAGACCGTACGAGGCCCCAAGCCAACGACTAAACTACTGCGGATGTATCCATGTACGTAGGTAACCAGCTCCTAGCTGCTCCTCCGTTCGCCAACAAGTACCCTTCGTGTGCTGATCGGCCCTTATATAACATGACAACGGCGATAATAGCATGTGAAAAAAAGAGGGGATAGCTGCAAGTTGACGGGACCAGTTCGACAGTCTCGGGACGGCCGGTCGGCTAGCACCCAGGTAATACAACTGTACTCATCTACTTGTCCTTGGGCATACGGCTATCTACCTCCATGTAGGTATATCCAATACCCTATAGCAACGATACACTTGTCGGTCGAGGCGGCCATATCACGAAACTTCAAGTAAGGCCCTGGCTATGTAAGTACGTACGTTAGGTAATTCCATAGGTACCTATCGACAGGTCAGAGCCCAATACTAAACTACTAGCGCTACGCATTGATGGTTCTAGGTGTTGGGTACCGTTAGCTACCACTGCAGTCAGGTACCTAAGCAGCCACACATGTACCTCCCTCGTAGGTGCAGGATAGGTTATGTATGTAGGTACCCAGGTACCTAGGTAGAGTTAGCCCCAACTTTTAAAACGGAATACCTAATATAGTAGCCTAATAAAAATATGTAAGCGTGTGTCCGAGCTAGATTCAACCTTGGGCAATTTACCTGCTACACATCACGTCTCCCGTCACGACCTACACAGTACCTAAGCACAGGACAATAGGTAGGTAATATCAAGAAGATCTCGAACATCGGCTCTTGTGGCGCATCATCGACCGGAGTGCACAGATCGACGAGACCCGTGCAAGTTCTCTCCACCTGTCTGCCCGTCTATCTCGATATTGAGAACAGAGAGAGGCTCCGACAACACCAGTTGCCAAGTTGCCGACAGCAGCCTAAGTGAATTATGGCAAGTGAAATACATACTTAGTAGACCATATTCCCCGTTAGCCGTCCGCACCGACTCTCAGACCTCGTTGCATCACATCCCATGCAAGGTATACATGCCTGTAGTGGTCAGAATCAGGGTCGCAGCATGCAAGCCTGACACCTGTCCCTCCCACTGACTTGGACTCTTGCACGATGCGTAATAATGGCTCAACCTGCGTCGACGATAGTAGCAAAACCCCTAGCTGCTACGTGCTAGGCGTTCCAGAAGAAGCTTAACAATCGGTGCGCTATTGCCAACCCGAGAAGCAGACTCGTGTGTAGGACCGCCGCTCCAATAGTGCCTAAGCTCATATGTAGTACAGCGTACATGTATGGCGGGAGCGCCGGCCGAAGCGGAGGCGGAGGAAGTGGCGGAGAGAGAGGCAAAGGCAGAGAAGTAGACCCCAATGTTGTCATTGTAAGCTGACAAGGAACATACATGTGTGATAGTGCGGCTCTTCTATAATACGACTACGCGCCCAACATCCATCTTCGGCCAGCGCCTAAACCAGCTCACACGAACCGGCGGCGGACCTACATCATCAAGCCTCAAATGTACGCCAAGTTAAGCCCTTTAGCCTCTACAATGTCACGTATATTCTGTATATTATCACTTTCCCGCCCCCAGCTCATGTACTGTCATGTAGCCGCCCGAGTGGAACCTACTCTTGAAGAGAGCTGCATGCAGCAAATCTGCGTAGACACCCATCGACGTAAGGTAGCCACATCCGGACGTACTTGTAGGACACTTGTTTCCAAGGCAGTCAATTAGTGGAATGCTCCTTGGTTCAACTCACCGTCGCGAACAGGACCTATGTTTACAGGAAGCGTGGACAATTTTGCCCATCGTCGCCTAAGTATCTAGAGCGGTGTGACCAGCTCAATTTACGAAACAGCTGTTGAATTAACTATATCTTGGTTAGCCGCAGTAAGCGCCACATACGCGATAATTCAGAGTTTGGCTACAACCAGCCCCCAATGGTATACGTATGTTGCAGGGGATACATAGTATTATATATATATATATATATATATATATAAGTACCTACTATACTAAGTAAGTTGACAAGGTACCTAGGCTAACTGTCAAGATCCAATATGTCGACCGGTAAAGCGCACCCTGGTCAAATCTCGGAAAGGAATGCCTGCAGATGCAGGGAAATCTGAAAAAGGAGCGACGAAGGACCTTTACGCCAACCTGAATCCTTTCGGCTGTTCTTATCATCGCCCTTCTTATCAGCGAGGGACGGGCAAAAACCACAGAAGCGCCGACTGTCGCGAGGCGAACGCGATACCGTACGTTACATCCCGCTGGTTATGCGTCATCTCTACAGGCAGAGCCAGACTCTTATGGAGGATGGTGATATGTATCATGGGCCACATTCTCGCTTATCTGGATCGCGGCGGGAGTGCACGTTCACCCCTATGTATGCATGTAAGAAACTTAGGGCCTGCATGTTGCATAGGTAGGTAAGGAAGATCAATGAGTAAGTTGTCTTGATGCAGTCACGGTTGCTTTGTTCTAGAAACTTACTAGTTCCATGATGACAAGGCGCTAAAAGCGGCCCGTTAACAGTTCGACGGGAGAACTTCGCGAACTGGAGTAGATATGTATGTCATGGGAGTCTCTGATGGGATACGTGCACCACATCTGCCGATTTGCCTGGTTTGTGGGAGTCTATCAGGGGTCGTTCTCACGTATAATTCGCTAGACTAGGCTTTGACACATACCTGGTTATAATACAAGGACGAAAATCGGGACGCGCTCTTTAGAGAGTGGTTTGATTTGGGGCCGTCTGTGCACATCCGCGTGTGACGGCAGATCTCAACAAGGGCATATCAAGAGGTAATCGGATAACCCCATGCTCGAAGGAGCGAAACTCCTAGGTAGGTTAGGGCATGCCACTGCCCTGGTCGGCCGAGGTATTGAACATGCTTCCTTATTAGCCTCTGTGAATGCTACTCGTCAGCACGAACCCCCCCAACGGTGTAGCGAGCCGACTTGCCTGGTCTTCACTAATGGAGGTCTAAGTCAACCTTGTTAGCGCAACCTCTCGGCTGATTCCCCGAGCACACAGACGTCTCCTAACCCAGACCGACCCTGGAATGTCAGCCAGATAGACAGCCTACCATAATGGAGGAGCGCCTGGCGTAAAAGCCTCCTGTCTTCTTCCCTGCATATCGGCAACCAATCTCCTGAGTCATATGGGAGGGTATCCTACTCTTGGGCGTCGATAAGGAATCTCTTCGTTCAGTCTAGGCACACTACGAATAGTAGACAGTCGAATGCCGTCAAATCACGTAATATCACCTGAGATCTGAGCAGCCTGGAACAACGTAAGCGGTCTAGCCTTAGAGCATCCAAGAGGTGTCAGGCAACATAATGTTATACTTCATACAATACCGGTGATCATTGCCAAATTAAAAGAGCTATGACTTGTGCCCTCATCATAAATACGCAGCCTTATTACATTTTCCTGCCACTCAGTGTCGCTCAGTGTTGCTCATAGCCGCTCATGGCCGCTCTGGACCTCATCTCGATGTACATATTATAAATCCTCGCATTTTGCGCCCCGCCTTCGATGAATTCAAGCATATCCAAGGCAGCATTGCCCAATAGCCGCCTCACAGCATCGCTAACGCGGCGAGCACGCCGCCGAAAAGGCCGGCGTTAGCCCCCGATTTAGAAGGTAAGGCCGCGTTCGGCGTGACTGTCGCGCTCGGGGTGCCTGCGACTGTGGGGTTTGTCGACCCAGAGGTCGGCGTGCTGGCAGGCGAAGAAGAAGAAGACGACGGCGACGCGGTGGCACAGGTCACTGACTGTGGAAGATCTGTGACTCCCTGTGTGCTGCAGAAACTACGGGCAAAGTCGACGGCCTGCTGTTGTTCGTCGGCGTTGCAGACGCCAGCCAAACAGCACGCGATGCCGCTGATGAAAGTATCGCTAGCGCAGATGCACTTGGCGTCGAGCCTGGCGCAATCCCCTATCTTGTTGCCGGTTGTATACTCGGCCAGACAACTCTTCTATAAATACGAGTTAATTGTGTCAAGCTAACCGCAGCCCAGCCTTTTGGAAATTGGAACTTGATGGCATTGTGATCCTCTCGAGGGGCTGAAACTTACTGCACAATCGGGAAGATTACCAAGGTCCTGTGGTCGAACTTGAAATTAGCGCCCATACAGGCTAATATTGAAGACGCTGGGGACAGATAGCAGTAGAGACGTAGAAAATCTCGCTATTGAACAGTCCAAGCTCGCGAGAACGTGTCGGAGGGTGACATGACAATAGAGGCAGTCACTGACCTGGGTGACGACGATACTAGCAAAGGCAAGTAAGATAGCGACGAGCTTCATGATGGCTAATTTACCTCCTTCAACGGTTGAATGATGTGCTGGCGATTTGAGTGGTAGGTCGTTTTTCAAATATGTACGGTATGGTATGTCTTCTCTCGAAGAAGCAAGAGAGTTTCCACGCCCTTACCTTTCTGTAACGTCTCACCAAAAGGATGGATAGATATCAGTCCAAGACTAGCTTGGGTAGTCGAGTAGTCTAGACTGGAGCAGAACTGGAGCAAGAGAGGACACACTAGCGTAAACAGACCAGGTAGGTAAGTAGGTTTCCCCACGATCCTCTTTTCCCCATGATTTACGAAGTAAGTAGGTAGCTCCAAGATAGTCTCGGGGAAGCAGTGGGCGAGAATGTGACCTCGCCCGAATCGGAAATGCCAAGCACAACCATGCGATAGTTAGCTCGGACAGTCGCTTACCAGATCGGGCATTCATCGGTGTCATACCTAGCAGGGCATCAAGGTTCGATAATAGGTTACCGAGAGAGTTAGATACAGCTTTGGCTGGGTGACTTGAGGCAAATCGGAGCAGAAATTCCCTCGTCGACGTCGCAAGGATCGTTCCAGGCCTTTGATTCGTGGTCGAAAGTCCTCAGCTAGGATCCTTAGCTCCGAGCGATGCTATCATCGAACGATTTGCCAGTCTACCAACGAGCTGAGGTTAGGCAAGATGCGCAAGAAAAAGGGAAGAACAAGAGCTAAACAAGGTACCACTCACTCACTCACTCACTCACTGCCTCTCATCGTGCAAGGACCGTGCAGGCCCTTGTCGTCTATATTTACTTATGTACGAAGAAACAAGCATGCCAGCAGGCCCTGTAGATACACCCCAAGTCAACAAGCGATTCTTAACACGTATGAGCAGGTTTATCTAGGTACTTTATTCATCGTGAGTTATGTCGTGTTGCATGACCCCACACTGTCTCAACACCTAGTAGGTAGCGTTATATTATTTGGTAATCTCAGTAAACCGGATTTTTCCGTGAGGGATACTGTCCTCGTCGATTCAAGTATTCGGATTCATTATACGGTACAGTATTCTACCTATTGCCCACAACTCCATGATATAGGTGCGTGTTATCGCCATCCTAGACGGTCCCTATTATTAGCGGGGTAGCACAGTTCCACAGGGCTCTATTATCATCGTGGTTTGTTATATTAGGTACCTACTAAGTCTGTCCGTCACTTACTCTCCGAGCCCAACGAACTATCGATCTTTCGAACAGCGATCTACAGTTTGTACATGACGGTTGGGTTCCGAACACGAGCTGCTTTCCCCATCGGAATGCATGATGAAGCTGAGGGGTAACTGGACTGTGCCCTGAATTCTACGCCAACTACCATGTATTATCCCCGATAAACATCATGATATAGGTGTTCTTGCTGTCCACCTACCCATTTGGTATGTCTCGCCTGTACCGGCCTAAACGGGCTTTACTGATGGATTTCACATACCTAGGTACCGACTATTTAGTCCACATTCTCAAGTTACACAATCATACAAGTGGAACCCGGGCGCTTGGTTGCGTTACTCTGTTTTGCATCTCTGTGGATCAAGTTCATAATTGCTTATCAAACTACGCCATGTATGATGTGATCTTGGTATTAGATCGTAGTTTTACCAACTCTAGTTTCAAGTGGCCTGTAACTCAAGACCTGAACGTTTTGCGTGTAAAAAGATTTCGAGGTACCTAACCTTGATCCACCATCTGCATGGACAGGATGTGTAAACCAAAAGTCCGTGTGTGCCGCATTTGGTACGATTGATGGCTTGTATACGTGAGAAGAGCCTTAATGGAAGAATATAAAACAGTTGGATAAGTCGATGATATGTATCGAAATGACGATGAAACAGCTTAACTTAGACAGTGGAACAGCTGCCACGAAGGGTTACCTAGGTGTGGGATGATTAAGCAGGCGATATTGGAATCTACGCAGTAGACACCAAGGTATGTCTCCCTGGGCAAGTTTTGTGGCTTAGGATTCCGATACAGTTCCGAGAGCGTAGCCTGAGTCTAATTCGCCGTATCGTCCCATGCACCCCGCAGAGAGCTTCAGGGTAGGTCCGAGCTACTGATCTGGGGTATCGACTTTGATACTAATCTCAAGAAAACACCAGCCTTGAGTCCTGTGGGGAGCATCTCGAAACCATTAAACCATGTCCTGAAAGGCCCTGGGATTGCAAAGATGGGGTTAGGAATCCTTGAAGTCCCAGGCCACGTACCAGGTAAGAACATGCGGGGAGGGTTTCGAGGAGATAGTTTGATACAATTAGTCCATTGCCTATTGACATGGGGTTGCTGAAACAGGCACGACACGATACTTCGATGATCCAGATCGTCCCCAGATTGCCGACACGACCGATGCGCGCGGCCTCAAGTGTGATCGTAGCGGTCCCGTCCCCATTATACTGGTAAGAAAACGACAAGGCACCCCCCCAGTTCCCGTTCCCGGCATCGTACCTCGCTCGTGGAGTGCGAGTGGGCGTGGGAAGTAGAGATGCAAGACTTGTTACTAAGGAAATCGTAATAGAACCCCCAGCCGTCGGATGACCCAAATGATCCGTTGAACTGGCCACTCTGGCAGCGCGATGTCATCACCTTCATCCTCTCGCTCACGGCCATCTTCGCAACCGCCCTAGGGCCCATCCTCGCCGCCAACACGCTGACTCTGTCGGTGTATTTCCGGCTGAACTTCACTTACATCGCCCTGCTGACAGGGTACTTCCTGCTGGGCGTGGGCGTCGCCGGGTTCTTCTTCGTGCCTTCGGGCCGGATATGGGGCAAGCGACATCTCTTCATACTAGGCCTGGTCATCCTGATCGCCACGAGCGCGTGGGCTGGCGCTGTCGGACACAACTACACGAGCTTGCTATGGGCGCGCATTATCCAGGGGGTCGGCACGGCGCCCTTTGAGGGCCTCGTGAACGCTGCTGTCGGAGATTTATATTTTGTTCATGTCAGTAGCACCCTTACACATGGTAACTACAGACGAAGGATGAATTGACTCACTGTGAATAATACTCACTACAGCAACGAGGCAAACGAATGGCATTCACAAACTTAGCCGTCTTCGGTGGCGCATTCTTCACCCCTATCCTCGTCGGAAAGATCACGCATACGATTAAATGGTGGTGGACCTTTAACCTGGTCTCGATCTTCTGCGCCGCATGCCTGGTCGCTGTATTCTTGTTCTGTCCGGAAACTGCCTACCGGCGCGACGCGTCGCTAAACACAGATATCGGCGGCTCTGCAGCCTCGGAAGACCGATCAACCAATGATGAGGAAAAGAGAGCCGTAGGTCAACAGGGAGTACAAGTCACTACTACACCCCAGCCCGCTCGGCCGAAAAAGACGTTCGCGGAAAGACTCGCGCTCTTCGATGGTCGTAAGACAGACGAGAATTTTTTGAAGCTCTTGTTTCGCCCACTCCCACTGTTCGCACAGCCGGCTTTTCTGTGGGCAGCGCTCATACAGGGGACAATGATCGGATGGACAGTCTTCATCGGCGTCATCTTGGCTGCTATATTCCTCGGGCCACCCCTTTTCTGGGGCGAGGTTCAGACCGGGTATGCGTATACAGGACCGTTTCTCGGTGCGCTGCTCGGATTTTTCACCGCTGGTGTCTTCGCCGACTGGTCGGCGAAGGCGTTAACACGTCTTAATGGTGGAATCTATGAGCCCGAGTTTCGCCTCGTGCTCGTGATTCCGCAGCTCGTGTTCGCTACCCTGGGCCTCTTTGGTTTTGCTGTTACGGCCCAGGGGACTTTGGAGAGTCAATTCCACGTACGTCCCACTTGCAATTCCCCCCTTTTCATAGTGATCAGTTATTAGGGCCTGATTCGAAATGCATCATTACACTTTGAGTGTACTGGATTCTATATGAGGAGTTGATCTAACGAAATCGGTAGTGGGTAGTTCCAATTGTATTCTTCGGTTTCGAGGTCGCTGGTACTGTAATTGGTGCTGTGGCGAGTTCTCTATATATTGTTGATGCGTACCGTAGGTTTCTACTACCCTTCTTCCTAGCAGGGGCAACTTTGAAGCTAGAATCCATTTTCTGACATGTCAACAATTCTCATAGGGGATCTCGCTATCGAAGGCTTCACGTGCCTCATCATCTTCAAGAATTTATTCAGCTTCGGATTGACATTCAAGGCTTACGACTGGCTTGTACGCGGCGGTATTCGAGAGGTCTTCTTCGCTATCGGGGCCGTGCAGATTGTCGTGTGTTTCCTGAGCGTGCCTATGTGTAAGTTATACCCGGAAACCATCACCGATTCTACTCTCAGTGGTCGTCCTTCTCTATCTACTCACGTAATTGTGCTTCGCTTACGAAATCCTGCGGAACAGACATCTTTGGGAAACGGAACAGAGATTTCTTCCATCGCTATGACCTATTGAAGATGTGTGGATTGAGATGATTATAAGTACCTGTTCGCGAAAATATATTTAATTACAATTGTTAGCTTGTAACTATGGACAAGTTGGGTGTTCGATGAAATGGATACTAGGCTTTGCCTTGAGGTTTGTATCGCACATCGCCAAGTCCTCAGCTATTTCAGTTTGAATAATTACTAATACTAACTTATCAATATGACCATCATGAAACTGATAGTAGTTCATTCAAGACGTGTGGTGATTCTCATTAGCACGATCGACGATATTTATGTATGTAATACTTGCTTGTTCTCTGCTTCATAGGGTATTGCTTAGATAGGTACATATATACTTAACAAATGCTACAAATTACATACATCAATCCTTTCGTGACTCGTGACTATTGCCGATTGGGAAAGATAGCTATCGAAAAACACCAATCAGTCTATCAATCAATCGCTCAATCTCGGTAATAAGTTCCAGACGTAATGAATGTCTTTTTTATTTTTGATTTTACTTTATTTATTTTTTGTTCGTTGGGTTCTTCCTCTGACCTCTTAAGCCTTGTTTCCGGCGGCGGCGGCCTGGGCAGCGGCGAGAGTGGACTTCTTGGCCAGCGTGAGGCCGGAGAAGAAGTAGATGAGGGCCTCGGCACCAAGCACAACGGCGAGGGTGACGAGGGCGCCGATAACACCGGCGACGGGGAGCGAGATGTTGGACTTGTTGTTCGAGGCGGTGGCCGATCCGGAGCCGCTACCCTCGCCATCACTGCCAGACGAAGCGGTGGCGCAATCACCGGTTGTGACACCGCAGACCTTGCACCAGTGGGGTGTATCCTTGATGGCGAACTTGCTCATCTCCGAGACGAAGGTGTTGTAGGGAAGCAGGGTCTCGTCCTGACCGAAGAGTGGGAAGACAGAGGGGGTTATCGAGGCGGCGGAGCCATTGGAGAACCGGAAGCGCACTGAGATGTCATCCGCACCAGGGAACCCATCGCTTACGCTCGCATTGGTAACGAGCTCAAAGGCCATTGACGAGGCATAGTTGACGACGCCAGTGAAGTCGTCGGACAGGGCGGGCAGCTTGGCGAGACCGAAGAAGGACAGGAACACGGCGTACGCGCCGAACTGGATGTTCAGGGGCTTAGCACCGCGACCGGCGACAGTACCGTTCAGGGCGTCGAGGATCTGGCCAGCCAGCGTGGAGCCAGCGATGGCACGGATCTCGTCGGTGCTGTTGTAGGCGAGGCCCCACTCGTGCTCGTTGGCGAGAACCTTGAGTTCATGCAGAGTCTCGTTAGTGAGTAGATCCGAGGACGGGATTGTCTGGTTGTGGACAACGGCGCCGTCAACGTAGTCGTAGATGGAGTAGGCGTTCTTGAAGTTGGCGGCGCTGGCCTCGAAGGTGCCGTTGATGACCGGCAGGAGGTCCTGGAAGAAGGCCTCGCTGTTGTCGTAGGCCGTCTTATACTCGGTCGACGCGAGGTAGTTGTTCGACGACACCACGGCATTGTCGCAGCCGCTGGCGCCCTGAAGCCAGGCGCTGTTCTCCGAGTTGGCGCCCGAGGCGGCGGTGGAAACCACGTTGACGGGGATATACTGGTAGCCGCCGAGCGGAGCGGTCACCTCGGTGTCGTTGCGGAGTTCCTGTGTTGAGAAGTCGCCCGCGGGAGGGTAGAGACCCTGGAGGAAAGCCATAGCCGAGTTCTGGAGGACATTGTCCATGGGGGGCGCCGTGACGGCCATTTGCTCCAGGTTCACGATATTGGAGCTCAAGCTGAGAAGCGGAGTCTCGGCGTCAGAAGCGACATATTGGCTGCGGTACCAGCTGCCCGAGGCGTAGACCTGCTCGGCGCCCAGCGAAGTCAGGTTTGTAGGCTTAAGGGCCTTGGGTGTACGGTCGCCATGCCGAGAGAAGATGTAGAGGCCGAGGACGGTCTCGGCCTGGGCAAGCGGCAAGGCTGCCAACGACAGCAGGACAGCTTTCGAGGCCATTATGCTGTAGTAGATATATTATACTATGTTTTTAATAATATATGTGTATAATATTGAAGCCCGTCTACGGCAGGACTAAGAGAAGAGTCATACAAGAGAACAAGCGACGAAGGAAACCGGGTCGCGAGGGAGCAGTGAAGTCCGTAAACTTTCAAAAACGTCCCGAAAACCTGAACACGAGAAGCTTAACTGCTATTTAAGTTAGAGTGACAGGATGTCAAAATCCACGCGAAGAAACGAACAATAACCCCTCAGCTTTCCCCACCTAGGCTCATGATAGGCGCAAGTAACCACTTACAGGTTCACGTTACATGCTTTCACGATGGTGCTGTACTTTCTATCTGAAGTAGCGTAGCGTAGCGCAATGTGCAGAAAAATTCGGAGGAGCTGCGCAGAACAACCACCCCACTATCCAACCTCTTTCACAGTACAATACCGGTAGCCCTGTACAATGTGTGGAGGCTAGGTAATTCATGCGTGTACTTACTGAGCAGCGCTCCAATAAGGCCTCGTCCTCCATGTGAAAGTGTGAATGCAGGCAAGGTGCATGGGTAGGCAGACCGACAGTAGGAGCAGCGCTAACAGGCCCGTGATAGAGCTAGTGGACGCGGCCTGGTCCGGTCGATGCTCCGAATAGGCAATTCGCTGCCCTTCTCGAAAGACATCGGAGAGCGAAAAACAACTTCGGCAACGTATCATAAGTAGTCTGGATGATGGCAAATTCGGCCTTTCTTGGTCCTGTCTAGGCGAGAGGACGAAGCTTCATAGCGCTACAAAAAGCCGGTGCCAAGTAGCTGGGCCTCCGCTGAGCTTTTCCTTGTCCATTACATACTGGCTTTTTATCGATCGCTCGCTCGCTTGCTCTCCCTCTAACCTCTGGCTCGCTCTCGATATCGGTTACTGTTATCTTCCCATGCTTACTCTAGTCAACAGAGTTCTTGGTTATGATTACGGCAGTACTGTCATGCCATCATGCCATAATTTTCAGATACTGAGAAGCATTAATGTAAGAGTTCGGTGGCAAAGATGGAACATTCTCTGTCGGCGTCTACTCCGTCAGTATGGCAGGCTACGATATTATGTCTCGGTGATAGCGGCTACGCATACCCTGTGGATAGAGCTAGTGACAGGCAATTTTCGAAAGAAACATCTCCGGATCTGATTGCAAGAAAGGAAACCATCACGTAAGAGTGGAGAGCTCGCGGGGTTGGTCGTGCCACTAGTATGGTGTACCACGTTATATCTATATTAGTCCAGAAGACTATAAGCGGATTTAATTATGTTTGCAAGATGCTGTGTCCGTAGACGGACTTTCTGGTTGAGATATGCTCGCGCTGATTCATTTGGAACTGGTAGCAATTCTGATTATTTGTGTGGACAACCTAGACAAACGGGCTTGGATGAAGATGCTATCTACCATTGGTAATTGTGAAATAAGAGAACCGAGGCGGACTTAACGGAATGAATCTATGCCTTACTATATACTTATGTGATGTCAATCTGCACATCAAATTCATGCACGGAACATGGCAAGGCAAGGTTCGAATATACAGCAAGTTCGCATCGCGCTTGTAGAAAAGGATGACGAGGTCAGAAACGCATAATAGTGATGCCACCATTCTGATTTTCCCCAACCACCCATCTCTCATCACCCATAATGTGGCCACCCGCAGCCAACTGCCACCATAAATCATCCGCAAAGCGGACTTCATGATCGAATACACCTTCCAAGTCGGCCTCGGCCCTAGAGCTGATACTGGGAAGCACGTACGAGGACAGCGTCTCCATGCCGAAGCATTGGCGTGCCACGATACGCACGCAGGCCTGCGCATCTACCATATCACTAACTGTTAGATATGGGAACTCTTCGTGTCGCCAGCAGGGGGCCCAACCAGGCCATGCATTATCGAAGCGGTATGTGTCAATAGGGCCGCGGTGTGCAGCGGATCCGGCTCGCGGACAGAAGTTCATGTGGACATTACCGTCCGCGCCGCATTCATCGAACCAACGGGGCCCGATTCCAGAGAACGGAATCCCGGTAGCGCGCACGTAGTGGCAACGTGGTAGGTTGATGGGAGCTTGAGGCCCCATAAGCCAACGGTGTGACTCGTCGTGGATGTATACATTTGCTTCGTCGAGCCATATATCATGGAACATCGGCCTTCGGCCCTGGCGGATATTAAGGAACTCAAGATCATCTTTCTTAAACATCTTAATGATCTTGGGTCCTGGCTGCGTAGGCCCTGAGTCCTCCGATGGACGATACGGCGAAGCGCACCTGATATCCCATACGGTGAGCTGTTCCACCAGCACTTCTCCTGGGGGTGCCCCGTCCTCTTGCCAGAGATAGAGTGCGTAGTGTGTCGCCGTATGGGCTGAGAAGAAACGATCAGTGTAAGGGAAGGGGTCATGATGTAGTCTCCACTCAGATCGAAATTGGATGTCCCAAGAGCCTGGGAGATCCGCCGACTCTGCTTCCGTGGATTGTCGCACGTCAAACGCCGTAGCGAACTGCTCGATGAAGCTTGTGACATAAGGTATGGGATTCTCTTCTGGTTTGTACCATTCAATCACTAGAATACCGTGCGCCAGTCGTAATCGTCGAACTATCTTACCACTGGGATTAAAAGGGACTGAGAAGCAACGACTCGTTTCCAAGTCGTAGGCAACGTAGTCACCGCTGACATCTCGGTAGATGAGAAGCCCATCGTCCAGGCACCAGTTGGGGTTTCTTACCTGGAGACTAGCCAGGTTTGAATTCCACTCCAGCCAACGATCCCAGTCTGGAACTGGACAAAATCCATTGCCTTGCCATTGCGAAATGGTTTCAATTACCCTGGGCGTAGCAGAGCGCAGATAGAAATACCGACGAGCGACTTTGGGGAATATGTGAGCCCAGGCCGAGCGATCCAGATCTCCGGCCGCATTTCTCATCTCCCGCACGCGGGGAAAATGGCATCTCATAAGGTTCCATGATACGTCATCGCTCGTGAAGACTGCTCTCCAAGTTCGGCTTACGCGACGGCAGAGTACACCTTCGGTTGGTGAAAGGTAATATATAATAAGAAGGAAGACTTCATGAGGCAGATCAGTGATATCAGAGATGGTATTCGCGTTAGCGATATCTGAACGTTTTACGTGAGATGGGTTGCTTCTACCACTAGCGACTCGATTCATGTTGCGTAGCCACGAGGCGGGGAGATAAGATGATTGGTGTCAGCAGTAAGTGATCGAGAAAGAGGGGGGTTTTAGGTAGTAAGGGGTGGGCTAGAGCCCCTCGAAAAAAGTCCCATCCGTTTCTTTGACAAGCGCTAAATATATGCATAATAGAAAATAGCACAACAACATATTCCAAGTAGGAATGAACCTAGCAAGACACCTGTGTAAATGGTTAGTTTTTAGAAAAATATGTTTATTCATTGTTTTTGCTTTGAAGAGGGAATCTCTTATTTGATCGAGCTTGAGCAAGCTATATTGATCTCTTGGCAGCAATTCTAGAAACAACTGATTCGACGTCAAATGAACATGTGGCATAGTCCACCAGATAGATAAGAAGCAAAAACATGCGAAGTGAATCAAAACCCTCGGTAACGCCTCCCATGCAAATCCGCTCATACAGCATGTCCGTCTCGTCTCGTTCATTACTTTCGCGCATAGCTATATACCACCGTAGCTCATTAGAAGCTCCCTAATAATAAAAGTTACAAAGGAGTCGTGGCTGTGTCTACCATTCCTTCTCCACATCTTTTGGCGCAGGGTCCCCAATACCATCCTCGTTGATGGCAAAAAGGCAATCGCTCTCGGGAAGACATGGACTGTCATAGATTTTGGCAATTCGTGTTTCGCCACGGCCCTTCTTCAAGCTGATTCTTGTTGTGCTAGCGTGGGCGATGATGTTGCCACCAATGGGCTTTTTTGGGTCTGGGTTGAACATGGAGCTTGGGCCACCGTCAACTTGAGCCACAACCTGATTGGTAATGACAACGGCAATTCCGAACTCATCGGCGAGCCTCTGTAGACTGCGCATGAACTTAGCCAGGTGAGTCTGTCTGGACGACAACTCGCCTCGACCTGAGAAGTCGGTTCGGTACAGAGACGTGGCGCTATCGACAATCAGGAGCGAGAATCTCGTTTCACACATCATTTGTGATGCTTGAGTGAGGAGCTGCTGCTGATGATCCGAGTTGTATGCGCGCGCATACGCAACGTTGTCTAACACTTCTTCGCCATTTAAGCCATAGCGGTTGGCGACAGCTAGTAACCGTACCGGACGGAAAGTGCCTTCAGTGTCAATATAGAGACACTTGCCCTCTCCGCCTCCCATATCGAAGGGCAACTGGCATGTCACAGCGAGTGTGTGGCAGATTTGACTCTTTCCTGTCCGAAACTCGCCAAAGAGCTCTGTCACTGAGCCGGTCTCGATACCACCAGCTAACAATGTGTCCAGGTTCTTTGACCCTGTTGTAATCGATATGAGCTCACTTCTGCGTTGGTGCATTTCCGTCGCCGTAGTAAAGCCCAAGGGAACAATTTTACAAGCTAAAGCAAGTAAGTCAAGGACCTTAGCCATACCACATGAAAGAGCCATTACCTTCAGCCAGCATTTTGGCAGCCTTCTGCTCGGAGATGCCCTTGACCTGCTCTAGCATGCGTTTGGGTGCGTATGCCACGGACTCGACCGTTTGATAACCACCATCCATTAAGAGCTGACAATCACGTTTTGTGAGGCCAGCAATCCCCTATGGTAGAAGCCTGAGTAAATACAATATTCCCCGTGTATAGTTATTAGAGACTATTGAATTTGCATACCTCTAAAGCACTGATTGGTGTTGGAGCACCAGGGCCGGTCATACCGGTATCCTCGCCATTCATCTCCTCTTCATACTCTTCCGCCATCGTGGGGATATGAACCGGATCTGATTTCTGGGGTAGAAAAATAATTCCGGGACAGAAAAACAACGGGCGCTTGAAGATGTAAAACGAGAAACCGAGGCCACGAGGCTATCAATCAAAAATGCGGTACGTCGATCACAAAGCAACGGGGAAAGATTGGAGTGAAGAATCGAACTGGATGCATGGATGGCCGGTTCAGGCAGGGGCTCGCTACCTGCCTAAACGCGTCAACGCGACAGCAGTGGCAAGAATTGGCGGGGAAAAAACAAATCTGCTCCTGCTGGGAAATCACGGAAGCACGTGACTAGCACCCAAAGTCCAAAGTTTAATTGCTGCAGCAAGAAACGATAAGCGATAAGAAGCCGACTAGCTGCTAAGCAAGGTACCTGGGCTCGCCTGGCTAAGTTAGCCCCCGTTAAGAATTCCTCACTGTCCAGTGTCAAAACAGCCTAAGAGCTCCCTGCAAGCTCCAAAACGCTGCAGCTAGCTTGCGTCGCGTATGGGTAGGTGCTCTACTTACGGCTGGCCCAACCTCCAAAAGTTGGTTGTTTGCTACCTTGGTGATGCTCATCCCAACTAATTATCCAGTATCGCGTGGCAACTTCGCAGCATATACATCAATCAAGACATTCTGATCCTCTGCAACCCTTCGCTGGGCGTTGCTGGATTCAGCATGGCTACTCGCGACCCCCCGGCTTTTTTCGAAGAGACGAGACTAAACTTCGAGCCAGCATCGGCCACCTACGTCGTTGATGTGAAGCTCCCTTCCACCGCCAATGCCTCGAGAAACAGGCGCCAGACCAATGGCTCGATTAGGTCGAATGGCGACGACGGCGCGCTTCGTACGCGACACCTCGCAACCGCGTCCTCAATCTATCATCGCAAACATCATCCTTATCCGAAGAGCTTCCTATGGAGAGTTCTTGAAGACAACGGCATCTTGAGCCTCCGAACTGTCGATGTCTGTAGACCAGAGCGCGCTCCTGATGCCAATCTCATATTGAACTTTCACTTCCCGCATGCTATACGACCTTCTTGCATTGCCCTCTCTGATCCTCCCGATCACGATGCGCTTACCGTCTTCGTTCTTGACGAGGCGGGTCAGCTATACACCCTTCTTCTGCGGCCCGATTCTTTTCGCAAGCGATCTTTTGTTGAGAGTGGACTAGGCGATGCATGCAAAATATTCACCGTTAATGCTCTCCAAAATTTCAAGACTCCGTATAGGCTGATCGCCATCAATACCGACCAACTGATTGTTGCTCTTACGGATGGTGGCCATATCCGGCTTGATAAAAGCAAACTTAACACAGGTCAGAAACTCCCTGCTAGTCTGCGTAATGAAAAACTGACAACCAGGCAGCGTCTCAGCCCCCTTGGAAGGAGACTTTCTACAATGCGAAGGGATGGGTACAGGGCTTCAAAAGCATTCTCTCCAGCAGAGGCGACTACGATACCACTGCTGCTGCCGCTGCTGTTGGAACCAGTCTTGGTTTGGATTCCGCCTCATTTCTGTTTACCGTTTGTCTTGACCACCGATTTCGAGCTTGGAATCTTAATAGCGGCCAAATTATCGGAACGATCGATCTGCTGAATGCTACCAGAGACCCTCATGAGACAGGCAAATGGCGACTTGACCCTATGCAATCCAACTTAATTCGCATTGTAGGTCGAATTGAGGGCGAGCGGACCTGCGTGACATATTCACCTGTTGGCTCAGGAGAATTCAAGTTCTGGACGCTCAAATCTGATGATGGCAACTCCGTTGACCTAAACGATATGTACCCGGACGCCCAGTTTGTCCCAATACCGCCTCTTGGATCCGATGTATGGACACTCGCCGACTTTTGCGTGGCGGAACGTCATGGCAGTCGTGGCTACCAATTATGGATTCTCTGGAAGAATAATATTGCTTATCGTGTCCAGGAGTTGTCATTCTGGACGGATGAACTTCCTAATGCTTGGCACAACCAATGGCGATCCGTCTACTCAGATACAACTACTCCATCGGCACCAGTCTCCGGCACCTCTGATTCAGTTGATGCCAGCGAACGATGGCTTAAGCTCATATTATCAGGCAGATTTCCTCAGTCAACTCTAGAAGCGGCGTTGAGAGCGTATGAATTGGCCATAGATATGGATGACAGTGTGCGCCACTCTAATCGAAGTATAGCTGAGTCTATATGTTCTGCGATTGCTTCCACTGCGTCCCTACGTAAGAGTTCATCGGGCGTTTTGGAGTATGACCAATTCCGCACTTCTAGCGAAACACAATGGCGGAAATTTTACCGAATTTTACTCGAAATAGACAAACCAAGGGGTGAGGCACTGTCCTTTGTATACGAACCTATGTCAGGAATGCCTTCAGTCGTATGTGCGGACAGTATTTCTATAATCCGGGAGTGCAGCAAGTTGGAGCAGATATACCACAACCCAAAGTCTCGACATGGCGAGAATAGCGATCTGTCTTCCTTGATATTAACTGGGCAGAACTTTGTTGAAGGGTTTTCAGACAGCATGTTGCAGATTTGTCAGTCTGTGCTTCGCGCGGAGCTTTTCGAAAAGACAACGAAGACGGATCAGGAACGCATCCAGTTCTTTTCAGATAAAGCTGGATTTTGGCGTCAGATATCTGACGAAGATTGTGCTCAAGTAACTGATGTTTTAGGACCCAATTTCAACATCGTAACCAATGAGATCTACGAGCAGTTGCATCGCACTTTCAATCAGCACTGGTATTCTAAGCGCCCTACGGAATATCCTCTGACCGAATTTGGGCGTAAACTTATCGTGAAGACTACAGAAGACGTTGCTGTACTACAGTGGAACGTCTGCTTCAGTCAACTGATCCTTCTTGTTCATATGGAGTTCGAGTTCGACCGGCCGGAAGATGCCCTACACAACAGAGTTTACATAGGCCAAGCTTATAGGGACTTACTTCAAGCTTTGAGCCGGCTGCAACTCATTCGTTGGTTAGCGGATGTTCGGTTACCCACACCTCTTTCGAGAACTGATAGATCAAATTCGACATCAGGCTCTTCTCCAGTTCTCGGCAAACGACAAGGGGAAGAATATCAACTCAATACAGCTTTGGAAGAGAGCATAGGGCATCTTCTTGGCATATCAGACCCAGGGCAAGGTCATCCACTAGAGATGAATTCCATCATCACGAAGACTGCTACAGACCTGTGTGCCCAAGACAGCACTATTGAGGTGCAGCCTCACTATATCCAGTGCGCTTTGTTAGTACGCGATAGAGCTGATCTGGCTACTGAATTATCTCCATTCTGTGACGATGATCCATTTTCTGTTTATATACAGGGTCGTGTTGCGCTTGCCCTTCGTGATCACCCTAGTGCTGCTATGCACTTCAAGAAGGCGGCTTATGGCATGAGTAAGTCTAATCAACTCTATAACCGCTTACAATAAAAAACTGACACTTTACCAAGGTATTCCACAAGCGGACCCTGGAAGACATAGCTGTGGTTTGCTTGACGATGATGAATGGAACATGTTATTCGCTGGTATGCCACGGTACTACGCGCACATAGTTTCATTGTATGAAAAATATAAGGCCTACAGTTATGTTGTCGACTTCGCGCGTCTAGCACTACAGTTCATCAACACGAAGACCAAAGATGCAGACTTGCTACGGACGGAAATACAAGGCCGTCTATTTAGTGGAGCTACGGCCATATCACGATTTGAGCTTGCGCATTCGACCCTAATTACGATGAAGGACCGTGCCTTACAACATTCGTCATTGCGCTTTTTAATCCAGAGGATGTGCGATAATCTCCACAATGCTGAATTGGTACAGTTGTCCTTCCCTGGACTTCAAGGTGCAGTGGACGATGTTCTAGCACAGAAGTGCCATGACACGATGGATGTCATCACCGGCGTCCCGTATCACCAAATCCTCTACTCTTGGCGGATTAAAAGGAATGATTATCGCGGCGCTGCAGTGATCCTAATGGATCGTATTCAAAAGCTCCGTCAGCTAGGTGAAGGGGATCAATTTACCAGCGATGATGTCCTCGATACTGTCATCACACGACAATATCTGATGCTGATCAACGTCCTGAGCTGTGTGGAACAGAAGCAGGCATGGATTACGGCAGAAGAGGTTCCGTATCCACAAGCTGCATCCGGAAAAGGGGCTCCCGTTAGTGGGAAACGTAGGGTTGTGACCCTTGCTGATATTCGCAAAGAATATCAAGATGAGCTCGATCGCATCGCCGCAATACAGAATAATCAGTTCGGGTTCGCCGCAGATGACGAGATGGAAATCCTGTAAAGGGGGCTAGCACTTGTAGATAACAACAAAACTCATCATGTACGATACGGGAAAGTTGTACTGGATGAAATGATACCTTGAGATAGTGAATTATAATTTTGGCAAGGATGCGACAATTCTGAAATACCAGAATGCCAGTTCTTGGGTTTTGATTTCATGCCTCTACAACCAAACGCCATCCGGCCATGCCCCTGAAGAAATTCGTAGGTCGCTAATGAATATGTACAGAATAGGTCAATCAAATTAGCCTCTTCGCCAACGTTACAACAAATTACTAGTTTCATAAACCATTAGGCTGCCGCAGGTAATGGCTGGGGGATCTTCCCCTCTGGGACTGTTACAACGCCTTGAGGTTCATTGGTTATAGCATCGGGAGCTTGCCGGTACAGGACGATCTCAGACTGTTTGAAATACCGTCTGGCGTCCTCATCTATCAGCACCAGACTTAGGTAATACCGTGTCGAGAATTTCTTGTTGACATCGCGGAATGTTGGCGTCAGATCAAATCCGCCGAGGAAGAGTCGAATCGGGATGGTCTCACCGCGAGAGGGAGAACCGTCCATTATCTATTGGTTGATTAGCAAGGTCATATAAAACGTGGAACAGGTATCAAGGGATCCATGATCCCTTGATAAAGGAAGCCATACCTCGAATCGAACCAATGTTTCACTCTCGTTGTATTGGTTCGGCGTGGCGCCCGTTGTCTCCCTCCGGATGATGCTCAACTCCATGTGCTTAATCTTGAGGCGGACAAGCAGGAAGTAGATCCGGCCGACAATGACATCCTTGAGATGATATTTGCTCTTGCTGTACTCAAACTCAATGTGCAGGCAGTCCTCGATACCAACATCCATCTTGATGCTAGAGTTCATCTCGGGCGGGATGCGGTAGCTGTACACCCACATGTCCTTCTCGCGGATGACGTCGGCCATGCGCCGCGCGACCGTCACCCGCACAAAGTACCGCAGTTTCACGTTGATGCCGTTATAGGACTCGTACTGCTTCTCGACATTCTTGAAGTTGAAGTCGAAGGTCTGCGGGTGCTGCAGCTCGCCCGGGGCTGCGAGCTCCTGGTTTAGACATAGGAATTCGTAGTGGTTGCCTCGATCGAAGAACATCTCTATGAAGATGGCGAATGCGCATTAGCTGCGGACTATCTAGGAGCGAGACTTTGCATGCTACTCATGGGCGTTTCATGCCGTACTAACCTATTGTGCCGATGAATTGGACCTTTATGCCCATATGTTCCAGCTTCTTTGAGTCCTTGGGTCGAATTGTAGCTTGTCCTGAGCAACACCGCGCGTTAGTGGTGTATCTTACTTATAACCATATCGCGATCTGGGAAACGAACCTCGCACACTCTCTCCATCCATGTATAGAGGTGCCTTCTCGCGCCTATTCTTATCGGTCTTAATGTCGACCATCTGTCTCGAGTCGGTATCATCGAGGACGATGTCGATGTCGACCGGAGTCGAGAAAAAGTAGGACATCTCGGGCGACTGTCTCGTACACCAATTGGACGAAATATAGGGCAGTGATGCGGAATGTTCTCAAGTTTGTTTGATGACGGCGGGATCATAGGTAAATACCTAGGTAGGGAGGTAGCTGATGCCTTGAGCAGTAGCTGTGGGGCTGAAGGAGCTTGGTCTCTGGCTTGGTGATGATGGGTGATCATAGGGGCTGTTTGTTACCTAGAAGTCGGTATATGCAGGGATAGCGTCGCAGCCCGGAGATTGACCCCACGCAGCCACGATACAAGAATCACAACAACTGTGGCTGAAGCTTTGTTCTACCTAAGTAGTGGCTGTGTCTTTCCACTAAAGGCTTGATTATCTAATCGATATAATGCTGGCTCAAGCGTCCCCACCCTTCGGCAGCCGAGTTTTTCCCGCTCCTCTCACGAACCCTAAAATGAGTGGGAGCTATGACAGGTACCTAGGTACCTACAATTTAGCGACTTCACAGGAATTTCCCACCCTAGACGAAATTCTTCGACATTGCTTGGTGCACTCGACAAAAGTTTCACAGCAAATCGTCGCATCGCCAATTCTTCAGGTATGTCCTGCTCCCATTCCGCTGGCGGTTATATCAACAAGCCATTTGTATTTCCTATTATTGAATTACGGCTTCACCACTCCAACTCCAACTCCAACAGACTTTCCTAACTTGCTGTCTCCAGGTCGACTCCGCCTTCGATTCCCCCCACACCTGAAGAACACACGTCAAGATGCGGTACATTCACAGTCAGGAGACCCTGGAGATTCCCGAGGGAGGTACGTGACAAAGATTTGGATCCGATTCTTTTCTTTTGGAAGTTAGATTCGGCAACATGAAGGGCGCAGCGAATTAGGTTAGCTGGGGACAATTGCGCACGACACACGAGACTTCGAGTACCAGTTACGCCCCGGACGATTGCTGACGAGCTTCACCAACAGTCACCGTTTCTATCAAGTCCAGGAAGGTCAACGTCGAGGGTCCCAGAGGTACGATTTTGATTACCCCCCATAGACCAGGGACAGGAGCGCGGGAATCTAATACTGCAATAATAGGCAAGCTCTCTAAGGATCTGAGCCACCTGGCTGTCAACTTCTCCCACCCCCAGAAGAACATCATCGGTATCGAGATTCACCACGGCTCAAGAAAGAATGTCGCCACTCTCCGAACTGTCCGTACTCTCATCAACAACTTGATCGTTGGTGTCACCAAGGGCTACAAGTACAAGATGCGTTACGTATACGCTCACTTTCCCATCAACGTCAACCTAGAGAAGAACGGCGAGACTGGATTGTGGGAGGTCGAGATCCGGTAGGTTTCAACGCCACTACTCGGAAATATATGAAATCTGAGAACTTCGACTTGGACGGATTCTAACGAATAGGCTATAGAAACTTCGTCGGAGAGAAGCTGGTTCGCCGAGTCGTTATGCAGCCCGGTGTCGATGTCGAAGCCTCCAAGGCCCAGAAGGATGAGCTGCTGATCCTCGGCAACTCCCTAGAGGCTGTTTCACAAAGTGCAGCCGATATCCAACAGATTTGCCGTGTCCGCAACAAGGATATCCGAAAGGTGAGGAATTCCTTGGACATGCTTGATTCCTTCTATGTCGGCCTGAGCAAATGAACTAACATAGACCCCAGTTCTTGGACGGTATCTACGTATCGGAGAAGACAAACATTGTTGAGGATATCTAAACGGTCATTCGGGATTTCTTTATTGCTTTCTGGGTCCCTTGGAGTCGTCGGGGTTCATCTGCATGTGACGTAGCGGAAATAGCTACAAAAATGGAACAAAAATATCTGAATGAACGGAATTATCGGGAAACGACCTAATGCGTCCACAACCTGACTCTTTTGAAAGAGCTTCGCGATTTACGAAAATACAGGGTTCCAGATATGGGGTTGAATACCAAAATGCAACGAACCACCCGACCGGCATCTCACGGTGTTCCGGGGCTTATTCGAGAAAGTTTAGGCAAAATCTATTCATTCTTCGTACATGCTAGTGATGCTGCCTGGGTTTCATCTTTCCGTGTATTCCTGCTTTTGGCTCTATTCATTCTCTTTCATTAAGAGATTTTGTTGCGATCTTTGTGTCACGACTTCTCTACACCTACCTACCATGTCAAAATGCCTGACGATACACGCCTTGCTGTCCATGCGTGAAGGTGCATACGGCCCGGACGAGCTAGACGAGCGATTTTCATAGGAAAGGAGAAGAAATAAAAGATGACGAAGAAGAGAATCATTCTGGTATATGATGCTTGATTTTCATACGCTTACCCTTTTTTCGTGACTGCGCTATAGGATGTGAAATATTCATAAGCCGTGCACTGCCTCTCAATGTTGTGAGTACACGAGTATGATGATTCCGTTCAATGAATGTATGAGATGCTATGGATTATCTATGGCAAGTACGTTTGAAATGTTAAGTGGCATTATCGATACCCGAGCAAATACGACAAAAATTTTTGAAAACTTATCCAGTTAGCTAAAATGCAATGAACCCATTCAAATGGTCACTAAGACATACATACACAGACAAAATTAGCAAGTGAATCAGGATTCTGTCTGAGAGCTACACTGCAGCCACACACAAAAACGGCTGTAAGTCCTTTTGATTGACGAATATCTGTTTGATTGGTTTCTATATACGTGCATATTTTCCACCTTGCATCTTCACGATTTTCCGCCTCACGCATACATCCATTTCCCAACTATACATAACCGGGGAGAAATAGAGGGGGAAGGCAGGGAAATGGTGGGGGAGGGGTATGGAAGGAGGAAAATTCATATCCATTAAAATCGTGGGTGTTAGGTACATTCGCATATACAGAAGCTCATTTGAGGGGGTTTAAAGAAATCTTTTCCTTCATTGAAAAGTTTCCCTCGGTTTCATCTTCCTTCATGATATTCATGGGGTAGGGTCCTCGTTCCAAGAATCGTTCAACCCCTCTCATATCGTTCTCATATCGTCTCAAGCACAAAGGTCCTGTTTTCGTGCGGACGATATTCGTTACGTCCTGAACGATCAATTCGATCGATCCAAATCAATATACCGGAAACAACAACAACAGGGATAACCGTGGAAATAAGAATGTGCCGATTCTTTCCTTTAACGCCGGGGTCGTGCAATGGAGGTTCGAAGCTCGTCCTCCTGGGATTATAAACAAGGTTTGATAGACTGCGACAGCCTGGTATCGAGTCTAAAAGATAATTGGTCGTGAGGCAGGGGTGCATGCAGCCTCAGCGAACTTAAATTCTCGATGGACGGGTTGAGGCCCTGGTCCCTCTCGATTGCCTCGACGTCCGTGTTCCCCTGGATTGTCTTGATCTACGCGTCCTCCTATCTGAACTAAAACTACCTGTAGACGCGAGATTCAGTCAGTACAAAAAAAGGTCACTCATTCATCGGACTTTATCAAGCAGGGGTAAACTCACTAGGGCTAGTCGCAGTATAGGAGTCAGAGTAGTATGAACTGCTCCATTCACTTCGAGAGGGTCGGCTACCCGACTTGCGTTTGTCGCCTCTTTTGAGGCCGAGAAGGAGCGCGAGGGCACCGATGGCCGCGACCACCCAACCCAGGCCGCTACCGGACTTCTTCTTCTCCTTCCTGGAGGCGGCTGTCGAAGGGCGACCGCCACCTCCTCCGAACCAAGTGCGGTGGGCGGGTCTAGCAGCCGCAGCGCTACCATGCCGGGAATATCGCTCCTCTACGATGTCGATGCGTTCCGAGCTTCTCCTCTTCTTGCCGCCGCCGAAGATGCCGGACACAACGCCCCACAAGCCCCTGGCGATGCAGCAGAAGCAAAGCAGTAGGAGCAGAATGATACCGGCGATAGTGCCAATGACGATTCCGGCAATGGCGCCAGCACTCAGCGAATTGCTGCCTGTTGTGGAGCCACCGGCCGCCGCATTGGTGTTGGAAGCGGACTCCGTAGCGCTCGCGAATGTGCCGGTGGCCTCAGTCTCAGTTGCAGAAGGCCCGCTCGTGGGCCGGTATGGGGCCGAGAACTGAGTGGTGACATAGGTACCGGTGGTGACGACCTCGGTCCATGTGCTGAAACCTGGATTGGCCACACACTGGCCCTCGTACGCGCAGTATTGCCAATTCGCGCAACAAATTTTACCACAGGCAATCTGACCCGATCCCTCTGGCGGAATACAGGGGCCACCATCATCTCCCACACCAGCGGTAGTTGTCGGGACATACCAGGAGCTAATTGTGCTGGTGTAGGTATGTGTCTCGGTCCATGTCGTCGTATAGTCCCGCTCAGCGAGAAGGTGGCTTACGCCAGTACACGTGGGGGTACCGGCGGATGTGTAGCAAGCCTCATCGGCGGAGCAGCACAGCTCGTTGTTGGCACCGCAATACTCGGAGCATTCCTCGGGCATCAGATAGCCGAAACCATGGTCTCGGAGCAAATCGCGAGGGTACGGAATTGCAGCGGTGAAGGCGGTGAAGAGAAGGGTGAGAAGCACAGGTGGGGGGCGAGTGAGTCGCATTTTGAGCGTGCCGCCGTGTAAGTCGAGTTGGGTTGGGCTCGTTGGCTGCAACGATTGAGGGCGACGGCGGCGCGAGTGGACTCACTCGACCTTATATGATGGTCGCTGCCCCTCCGACTCTACTCTAGGCTCGAGAATCGGAAAATGGGGTTGCTGTCGAGTGGTTGCATGCAGCTTTGGACTGAGTGAGCTGGTATTGTCCCGTTCCGCCCGACTGACCTGCGTCGCTTATCGCCCACTGAGTGTGTGTGGTGGAACAGTAAGGTATAGGCAGGTACCTCTGTTTGCCGCGTCGGCGGGTGTGCTTGGAAGTATCTTTGTTAGTTGGGCGCTTGGCTTGTTGTCAGGTCGCCGAGTCTCAGCCAGCAACTGTTTGTTAGATTGAACCGCAAGATTAGAAAAAAAGAAAGAAGAGGGAATTGAGAGAGGAATGTGACAAAACAGGCGAACAGGTTAGACGATGCGAGACCCTTAATGCATCGACTTTTTACATGGGCTGCAGATGTCAAGTTCCCAGCCTCTTTTTCTCGAGTGACAAGCTTGGTCGCTGCGAAAAACCGCGGGGTTGGTGTACTTCGTCACTACGGAGCGCAATAGCGAGAGAGAGAAAAACAGAGGGGGTTGGTTGGGCTCTGGCCTGTTTCTAGCAGGGGTATCCCCGTTCGCTGATTGGCTGATGACGACCGGTACCTGACTGTCGCTGGCGATGGGAGAGCTAGAAGAGCTAGAAAAGCTAGAAAAGCTAGGAAAATCAAGATCAGCTACTGCAATGATGACAGTTTCAGATGGAGGTGGACTTCTCTTTCTCAAGCGTCGAGATCTTGTCACGGATGGGTTTGTTGGCTATCGACTCGTGAGGCAAATGGGATCACGGGTCCAACAACGCACGGCACGATGAGTTGGCAACAACAGCGCTTAGTACAAGCTACACTAGGTGCTGTAGGTGTGGTAGCGTTGGCCGTCGCACTTGTTATACGATCCGCCCAACGAAGGATCATGTTTACCTCTCTCCCCTGCTCCGTTGTGCTAAGTGATTATCGATAGGTAGGCCGCAAATGAAATGAACACGGATCTACCGAGTACAGGCAGGTGTAGGTACCTGAAATTGATTCGACATGGGTTCCATCGTTCCGCTGTTCGTTCCGCTCCCGAGGGCACGCTGCCAAGCAAAGGCAGACTAGGGGTTCCTTAAGAGCTTGCATGCAGCCGTGGATGGGACAAACAGATGGTAACAAAGTATGCCATATCGGTCATCAATCTCGGTATAGATGTATATAAACCATAACCATCTCAACGGGATTATTTAGATTTGCCGCTAGTGTCAAAGCGCCTTACTGTCCTCATCATAATTATCATCGACCCCCTCCTCTTCCAGCACCCGATAGGTAGGTTCATTGTATTATAGGATGGGCATCGTGATGATTGTGTGCACACAAATACGTATTTTTACCCAGCTTATTTCATTATATAACCAGGTCCAGCTGTCCTCTATTCTTAGGTGCTATGCCAGAATAGTTGACCTCGTGGCCGTCAACATCGGAGCCGTCAACCCCTAGATTATCTAAAATCTAACCTATCCGTTGTTTCCGCCTCACCCAGACCTCCTGAGCATCTTTGTTGCCTTTCTGACTATCGTCACTATCGGTATCTGTGCCAGATATCTTCGCTGGGCGCAATTCGACTTCCCACTGCAGCACACTTAAGATTAGCTCATTACCTGTGGTGCAAAACAATCATCGGCATCGTCAAAAGGGGGATCTCACGTACTCTCCGCAACATATAGTTGTTGCGATCCGACTTTCCTGTGAACAAGTCGAACGACCAGCCGTGCTTAGGGCAATGGATGCCGGAGCTCAATACTATGCCAAAGTCTTCGATATCAAATGGGGTGCCCACTGTATGCGTGGTCAGGAGTTAGCATACAGTATGAACAATTCTAGCCTCACTCGCCCTTGAAAGAACGAGATACAAGCCTTTATGTAGATATCCGTACTAGCCAGCGGGAACGCCGAGTGCGGGCATTTCTGCGTGGCAACTTAGCAATGAGACTCGATTCAACCGGCCAAACCGACTTACGTTATCGACAGCATGGATTTTGCCTTTGTATTGGAAAATGAGAACTTGGTCCTGTAAAGCAGCGCCGTTGTGGGAGATCATAGCGTCCCCCTTCACTTCCTCTACCTGCGGGCTGTCGGTCTGGGGAACGTCGAAGACCTTGCAGCCCCGGACGGACTCCCCATTTCCACAGAGCCGGGGCTCGTGTATAACATCAACACCTGACTCGTCGAGATTAGGGAAGCTTGAGGTGAGCCCGGCGAAAAACCAGGCGTCACCTTTCCTGGACGGCGCGAAGAACGGTGCGAGTATTGATGTCATTGCTCAGCATTATATTCTAACATATATCGAATAATATATTTTATAAATTCACGTCATGGATGTGCATATGTCACCTCATGTAGGTGGACCGAGGGAACAGGACGATTAGTTATGAAAGTTATATATGTAAGTCGCAACTTACCAGTGGTAGTTACGGGCTTCGGTTATCTCCTGTGGGGCCTCTTACTCTCTCAGCTGGGTACTAGAATACCAGGCTCTGGAGTATGAGGCATCCCAGTTCAGTCATATCCACCTAACTCGTCGAAATGTATGCCTTTTTATTAATACCTTACTTATAAATTGGAAATTCGGTGTGAAAAATCATCCAGGTGAATTATTCGCTGAATATAGGTGTGCCACGTTGCTGCGAACTGGGCACCTTTACCCCTGACGCTCGAGCATCTAGCAAGGTTAGAAATCAGCATCTCCATCTACCATTTAACAACACCGGAAAATAAAACCACAATAAAAGAGCACGTTTCCAATACACATTCAAGATATTAAAAAGAGATTACAATGTACGTAATCTCGAAAACCTCGTTGAAAAAGCCGAGATGTACCTTGACATCCTCACTACACCAAGACTTCAAGTACTATATCCAATGGCCCACTTTAACTACAGGTGGATTGATGCACTATGTCATTGGGCTGGCGGGATCTGGAAGCTCGAGCTCTCCCCCAAGCCTCTCCATTCTCTCCACTTGATTGGTGGCTCATACGAAAGCTCAAGTCATCCACCCAATAACATCGCTCTTAGTCCCATCATATCTACACAGTCGACGCAACGCAAGGCTCCCATATCCCTCGGTGTCTCGTCTCTATTGCGAGATCCTCTCTCCCGTCGAATATTCATCTGTATTGCTGTCTGTCGCGGCGCAGTACACCATGTCTCTTGACCCTCCCCCCTATCTTGGTTCGCTGCAGAACAACATCCGCCAGCGTCCCATTCCCTGGGATGGCGCAGCGAGAGCAGGCACCATTACGGAGGGCCAACTAGCCAAGATTAGAGCCGTTGACAAAGTCCGGAAAGAACAGAGAAAGCAGGTCGTCGAGAGCGATTTGGATGGCTATCGGATACTTTTTCTTGGAGAACCAGGCAACCCGGGTGTTCTCGAGTCCGCAAGCAGGCGAGCTGATGTTGTGCAGTACATTCTCGTCCTGCTGGGCGATCTGTTGCAAGGTGTGTGCTCAAGTTTCTTCCTCACTGCCGTCATTTTATGATATGCTAAATCGTTCGTTACTCAAAGGCGTTCCCGCTCTCGCGAAGGCTCTTTACAAAGATTCAGATCTCTATCGACACTTTACACCACTACTAGCTCACTCAAACAATCTCGAGGACCCCATCCCTCTACTCACGTCCACCGTACTCGCGACACTTATGTCAAGCGCACAGGATGTGTCTTCTGCTACGGAACGATTCCTCCCTTTGATCCTAAGTTACCTGTGTGGTCTCACCAAGAACTCGAACGATGCTGGCTTGCAAGATATTGCGGTTATGGAATACTCGTCCTTGCTGTACAGTCAAACCAATAGGCAGCTATTCTGGAAGCAGCGAAGTGAGGCTGTTGCTCCTTTAGTCGATATCTTGCGCAAGGCCGCTGGGGTTGGTGCCGAGTCATCTGCCAGTCTGTGGAGTGGAAACACCACTACGAGAAGTGGCGGTTTGGAGGGTCTGAGCGGCGGAGTTGGAATTCAACTCTTATATCACGTTCTATTAGTTCTCTGGCAATTGAGTTTCGAATCGGAGGACATAGGTGACGAGATGAACGAGTATGTGCAACCCCAAGACAAGGACTTCGATAACTCACTAACCCATGAGCAGCGAGTACGATATCATTCTTCTCTACACCCAGTTGTTACGACTCTCTCCTAAAGAGAAAACAACACGGCTCATCCTATCGACGCTGCACAATCTGCTTGACACTAATCCATCTACACTCCTCCCAACAGCTGTGCTGGCTAGATTGCCAGCGCTACTTCAGAATGTTGGTGGACGTCACATGACAGACCCAGATCTACAGGAAGACCTAGACAAGCTTAAGGAGATGTTAGAAGAGTATCAGAAAACAAAGACAACATTCGACGAGTATGTGGCTGAGGTCCAATCCGGACATCTGAGATGGTCACCCCCTCATCGACACCAAGTGTTCTGGACTGAAAACGCTCGCAAGATTCTTGAGTTCGAGAATGGCGAGATCCCAAGAAAGATTGCAGATATCATGAAAAAGCCTTGGGAAAACGACAAGGCTGTCTTAGCCATAGCCTGTAATGATATCGGCTGTCTCGTGAAAGAAGTTCCCGAGAAGAGGCACCAATTGGAGAAATTGGGACTGAAAACTCGCATCATGGAACTTATGCAAGACTCGGATGAGAACGTACGATGGGAAAGCCTGCGTGCCCTCGGCGGCTGGCTAAAATACAGCTTTGAGAATAACTGAGCGGCTCGAAGGCTCTCGACTGTGGTGGCTGAATCTGTCTTATGCCGCCACACAGCAGCAGCACCAAATTAGGGGCAAGCATGTCATTGACAGCTTGGGAAGGATATGAACGTGCAGTAGGATAGAGGCGACGCACGCTCCTCCCCCGACGTTCTAGGTGTTGTAGAACCTGAGAACCTGAGACAGAAAGAGTGAAACAGAACGGCTCTATAACGAATAGTGGTCATTCTATACATGGAAGAAAGGAACATAGTGAGACTCGATTGACGGCACCTGCACATGTCCAACCGACTTTCGTGTATCTTAGCCCCGTGTGTTATGGATCAGCAATATACCTACCTAATAGCTCTCTTAGTGCGCTGCGCACATCTACATTAGCTGACCTTACTCTACCTACCTACTCTATGTGGGTTAGAAGTAGGTAATATCCTCCGAAGTAATCAGTTCAGGATCCTTAATGCCATGGACATGTAAGTATGGCAGGTCTGTGGCAGAGAGGAGGTGCACTGCAATGCTTACGTCTACAGGAAGGTCGGATTAGGTAACTAATTGCCGATAATAGGAGATAAACAGCGCCCCTATTGCCACGGACCTGTACTTGTAAACTGTACCTGTATACTGCCTGTACCTAGGTAGTTCGGTGGTTCGGCTTGCAGCGGTAGTGGCGGGGCCCATCTCCCCCGCTACCCCACATTGGACCCCAATATATAAGCACCTAGCAGTAGTGATCTGGAAGTAGTACCTTTGGTATGCGGTTCAGAGCATCTCAGAGGCGCCGACGGCGGTCACCGGACCCAGATAAGAGCAGTGTCTTGTCCCGTTCCCGCTCGTCCTTTGCTGCCGATACCTGACACCCATAAATCACACTACGGTTGGTTGGTTAGCCACCTGGGCAGAGTGTGAGGTCCTCCATCATGCATCGTCTTGCTAGGACAAGAACCCTCGTGAGAGCTGGTCGGACACCGGCCCGTCTCTACTACTCTTACTCCTCTTCCTCTTCATTACCATCTTACTCTTTGTCCTACTCTCCCTCTTCCTCTCTACGAACACCCTCCACATTTGCCACAGCGAGAATGGCTCCCACAACTGCTGCCTCCGGGCGGTTAGCCGTTGCGGCCAAGCACCTTCGTCCCATGAGTGCGCTGGCATCAACTGCTACCAGCTATCCTACAACTCATGAGAAGATTGAATCCCCTGAGGACACACCTTACTTTATAGATAACAAGTTCGTGCCCAGCGAGACCAAAGAGTTCATCGAACTTCATGACCCAGCCACCAACAACCTCGTCACGCGTGTGCCTCAGATGACTGATGCTGAGCTGGAGGCGGCTGTCCAGAGCGCTAAGAAGGCCTTCCCCGCCTGGCGCAACACCAGCATCATGGCTCGCCAGCAGATCATGTTCAAGTTTGTAAATCTTATTCGCGAGAACTGGGATCGGCTAGCGGCTAGCATTACACTAGAACAAGGCAAGACATTTGCCGATGCTAGGGGTGACGTTCTGCGTGGTCTTCAGGTTGCTGAAGCGGCTTGTGGCGCCCCAGAGTTCCTGAAGGGCGAGGTACTCGAGGTTGCCAAAGATATGGAGACTCGGTCGTACAAGGAGCCATTGGGAGTTGTCGCTGCAATCTGCCCCTTCAGTATGTGGCTTACTATCTCCTCTTAAATCTCTAGATTCGCCGAGGTCACTAACAAGATCATAGACTTCCCCGCCATGATTCCTCTCTGGTGTATTCCCATTGCTACAGTGACCGGTAACACCCTTGTTCTGAAGCCCTCTGAACGAGATCCAGGTGCTGCTATGATCCTTGTAGAGTTGGCTAAGAAAGCCGGCTTCCCAGATGGTGTTATCAATGTTGTCCACGGTGCCCACCGCGCCGTAAACTTCTTGCTAGATGCGCCAGATATCAAGGCTATCAGCTTTGTTGGCGGTAACAAGGCAGGCGAGTACATTTTCAGCAGAGGATCAGCCAATGGTAAACGAGTGCAGGCCAATTTGGGCGCCAAGAACCACGCGGCTGTCCTCCCAGATTGTAACAAGAACCAGTTCATCAATGCAGTCGTCGGTGCTGCGTTTGGTGCTGCTGGTCAACGTTGCATGGCCCTGAGCACCCTCGTGATGGTTGGTGAGACAAAGGAGTGGTTAACTGACCTGGCGGAGAGTGCAAAGAAGCTTCAGGTTAATGGCGGATTTGAAGAAGGTGCTGATCTTGGCCCAGTTATTTCAACTTATAGCAAGGACCGGATTGAGTCGATAATTGCGAGTGCCGAGAAGGAGGGTGCCACTATCTTGTTGGATGGCCGTGGCTTCAAGCCTGAAAAGTACCCCAACGGCAACTGGATCGCGCCAACGATCATCACCAACGTGACGACAGATATGACATGCTACAAGGAGGAGATCTTTGGTCCTGTGCTAGTCTGTCTCAGCGTGGACACACTCGACGAAGCTATCGAAGTGATTAACAAGAACGACTATGGCAATGGCACGGCTATCTTCACGAGGTCAGGTCCCACCGCGGAGACGTTCAGGAGAAATATCGAGGCAGGACAGGTCGGTATAAATGTTCCTATCCCTGTGCCGCTTCCCATGTTCTCGTTCACGGGCAACAAGAAGAGTATCGCTGGTGGTGGTGCCAGCACCTTCTATGGCAGGCCAGGAGTCAACTTCTACACACAACAAAAGACGGTCACGGCTTTATGGTCAAGTGCGGACGCCATCTCTAAGAAAGCAGATGTGGCGATGCCTACGCATAGCTAGTTAGAAAATGCTATGAAACTGTGGTGTTAGACTTTTGTTACTCTGATACAGATAGGTTGGTAATGTATATAATTAAATGCTACCCAACGGCTTAGCCATCCTTGTGAGCTTTTATGTGAACTAAGACGACGATAAGTGTCTACATATGTTTTTTTGCGGCGCTTTCGTGTTCATTCTCGCAGTTTACTGTGTAATCGATTATTGATATCAAATAGCTACCTACTACTAAGTCTCCCAATACAATCCCTTTATTCTTACACCTGGGCGAAACTCCCCTAAAGTAAACAAAGAATTCATATCGCAATCTTGGCATTTATGTTACCTTATATCAGCACAAGGTTATTGATACTTGTTGCCTGTATAAAGCGACTCCTGATCAATGTACTACAACTCGCCCTACGACAAAGAAGATAGATGCGTTTGAACAGTCTATCTTCTCGGTAGATTCCACTTATAATAGAGCATCAAAGGTATCCCATGATTACCTCCAAATATTAGCGACGTACCTATCGTAGATAAGCATGCAAAATGACACCACAAACCGAGAGCGAGGTGAAAACGCTAGAGGCAATAGCAGATAGATTCTTCCGATTCACACTGTGGTCTCAGCCCGCGTATCCCACATCCCACGACGCGAAGTCCATAACCCGTCTCGTCGAGAACCACTGTCTCGCGGTCCGCGAGCCAAATTCGCCTAACGTTATCCAATTCACAGAGAGATGTCGATTATTCCTCGGCCGCGATGTGAAGACCGTCGAACTCGAGGCCGTCGTGACGGAGTGCTTTTCGCATCTCGATGCGCTGTTCTTCTTCGGACTCTTGAATAGGCGGGTAAGTGTGTTTCACGGAGGGGGCACAAGATCTCTTGTCAAGCTTCATTTCTTTACTAATGGAAACGAAGATGTTGCTGGGCTTTTTGATAAGTTTCGCGCCGCGATTGGGATTTCGCTGGTGGGTGGTTTGGGACTGGGCGATCTTCTCGTTGTCCTTGTCCATGAGATGGTGCATGCCTGGTTGGAAATCTTCTCGGATGCGACGTGTGCGGAACATTATTCGTGGGTGAAGAGGTATCGGAGGCATGGGGAGATGTTTCAGCGGTTATTCCGGTTCGTCGTGGAGCGTGTTGGGGCCTTGGTGCCGGGTGATCTGTTGCAGAATCGAATCCTCGTGTGGTTGAATAAAATGGATTGGCAGGTTAGGCAGAATAGTAGTTGGTGGGATTGTTTTGTATCTGCTGTTATTCCGTAGTTGGTTGGTAAGTTGGTGTATTCTTTATGCTGCTAAGATTTAGGAAGAGGACATATGGGGGATAGGTGAGTTAGTAATGAGAAGTTTTGTACGATCAAGTGGTCGTATAAAAAATTCAGAGCCTTGCCGCCGATAGCGTTACTAGTAAGGGATTGAACAAGATACCTAGCCGAGTAAATCTCATGACAATTAAATGGTACATCTCTGGCGCTTGGATCCTGCGTTATACCCAAGATGCCAACCCGTTTTATGTTTTACTGGTACTCATTGAGAGATGCGTGATGAGTGAATTTCGTAATGCTACACCACGAAATGTAAGATGAAAGTCGCACAGCATGCACAATACAGAATATTCAAGAATTCATAGCAACAAATGCCTATCTCTCTGCCACCACCACTTGAATTTGTAATGTTGCCCTTGTTTAATTCATAATAGCCTCATACTTCTCGGCACAAGAAGTGTCGGGGTATTATCAACCGCACCTCTAAACATCCTCACCTTCCTGATGCAATCAATTCAAGCTAGCCACGAAATGCACATTTCCTATTCTGACTTTTCATTTATTTACGTCCGCTATCAGATTCTTTTCTCTATATACATTTGGCGTCTTGCCCTTTCTCCTTTTCCTTGTCTGCGTGTATATGTGCGTGTTTGTGCGGCTTCGTTATCTTCTTCCCCTGGGCGATAACTATGTAGAGACCGATGGAACGAAGGAGGGATAAGTGAAGGAATGCAGCAAAAAGAAAAGAAGGAATGAAGCATATCGCGCGATCGTGTTCATTCATTATTTTTAGTCATCTCATTTTCCCGCTATATTACACCTGGGAAAAGAGACAAGTGGATGATGGATTAACGTTTTAGTGTATGCCTGCATTACTCAAGAGATCTAGCCTCGCAGTACATTGACAGAAATCAGGAAACTGCAGATTATTTGGCGAGCCCTGGCGAGTTGTCGTCACCGCTTGGACGGCCGAAGGTCCCCGCTGGTAATATCTCGAAGCCGGCGTTCACTATCCTCGTTGACCTATTCTCACGCTGCTCTGTGTAGGTGCGAATAGGAGTCGGCCGCGTCGATGCCAGCGATGGACGAGAGGCCGATCGAGGATGCGAGCTTGACGTTCTGTCGGTTTCTGGGCTTTCGAACGGGTCACCTCTCGTCTCGGCCCGGACTCTCGAGCAGTATTTACTTTGCGCTCTTGAGGACGCGGCAGACGGTGGAGACTCGGCGTCATCGAAGGGACTCCGGTGGTAGCTCGAGGGCTTGCTGCGGACATCTGCAGGATGACGCGGACTGGAAAACGCGAGACCTTCCTCGGATGAGAAAGATACCCGATCCATTGCTGGCTTGACACGTGGTGATTGGGAAGAGTTTATGCTGGACGACGAAGATGTGGGCATGTAAGTTTCGACGTGATGCCGGGCCACGACGGCATCTGGCTGAGCTGTTGCGCGGAGTAGTCTCGCAACATGCGTATTCTCATTTATCGGGCGTTGTGAAGTGTATGGTTTTATGTATGCTGCGTGCGGCGGAGGCGATGGCGCCCTGCCTTGACGGATGCTTGGGTCGAAGTGACTACCCGTCGGGCTAATGCGCGGACTTGGTCTCGGGGTGGGCTCAACTTCGGAGACTGTGGCAGTTGGCCTGTTTACGGCCTTTCCTTTATCTTGAGGCCTGACTTCACTGTCGATATCCAGAGTTGTAGAGGAAGCCTTGCTGGAGCTACGGGTGTCTATGGGGGTAGCAGGGCGAGAAATCCAGATGCCCTCGACTTCTACGCCGCTCTGGATGGCGCGCACGCCGAAAGGAATGTCGACCCTTCTCCCAACAGGAAGCCCGCTCTTGCGCATTTCCGTCTGCCGAGCGCGTTTCTCCTCGTCAAGCAAGGTATGTTTCTTAAGCAGCCTCTGCATCCACCATAGTTTGATCCACCCTATTATAAACACCACCACGATGCCTGCGGCTAACACCTTTCGTCTCTGTTAGCTTGAGGTCGGAGGCTGCACGACGACGGGAAATAAGCTTACAAAAGTCAACTGCTCCCATAACTCCCAATTAGTGAAGAATTGCACCCCCATGTTGAAATGTTTGAGCTAGTTGATGTGGTAGTGGGTATCCAACGCAAAGAACGAATGTTGTGTGTTTGAGTGGTGTGTACTTGAGACCGGCGGTCTAAGGATCGATATAGGAGTGAGCTCCTGAGAGAAATATCTGTAGAGAGGGCCTGTACTTGAAGTCGAAGTCGAGAGTGCTGCCGAATTGATTTCCTCAATTTTAAAAGTGCGAAACTGCGGTCGCCACTGCCAGCCGAGTCTTATCTGATTGTTCGAACAAGAGAGCAAGCACGGCCCGTCCCACCGGTGAGCTCCCTAGGTCCAGGCTGTAATGCTTAGCAGTCTTGTAGCTCGAACACTACAATAAGACTGTTTTATTTTACGAGCATGGACGTCACACAGGTTCGTACGCCAAGCCAGTCAGGATGATGTGTTCCTGTTGCGATACGAGCCTCCTGGGTGTGAAACACCCTTGGCTCCGTCTGTACACGGCACAGACACCTCAGCCTCGGCCACGATCGATACCCAAGAGCTGGGTGAAGTAAGGCGAGAAGCTGAAGGCGAGCGGCGATCCCCTACTGGCGTCGATCAGGTCCCATGGGAATTGCCTTGGAGAAATGGAATCCGATTTGACGGGACGCTAATGGGATATAAAAACATCGACTTAGCACGCAAACCGCGGCGGAGCACAGAGGGTCATATATATGTGTATCTTACAAGACAAGCTGCACGAGCAGCCATGGTTTTCTTTGTCTTGGGGAACCGGCACCCACGCGGGTCTACCGGTCTGTACTGTGTGCCTGAGCTGCGAGGATGAAGGAATATATTAATTGCCAAGACGCGCCATGCTCAGGATCTAGAATGCAGATGGGTTGCAGTGACCGTTGGAAATAGCCGGAGAGGTGCGTCAAGGTTTCTGGGCCGAAAACACCCTCGTCAACGGCAGACCTGAGGAAACAATGAATATGCAAGACAAGCAAACAACGGTCATGGGACGGGTATTCCAGACAAAATAGCAGCCGTGCTGTTAGCATTTGCCCCTCTAGCCTCCATCCAGCGGCCCGAACACACGCACAAACATTTGCTGATGGTGATAGTGGTGTATAACGTGCATCGCGGATACTGGCAGCACATGTAATGGGACGGGTGACACTTCCCAAACATTCCCTCCCTCTCTCACAAGGGGGCTATTTTCAGCACATATGCAGCAAAGTGTCATCGACGCCGCCTGCACTTCAAACAACGATGGTAGCGACGATGGCTGTTTGATTGTTGGGAGCTGCTCTAGTCCGTTGCACTAGATGAATGGTGTGCGATGAGCTGATCCTCTTCAACGTGGTCGATACGGTTCGCGACAACAACGAGGCCGAATGAGGATCCGGTTACGACGCTGTGCTCTGTTCTAGACACTTGGCCACAGTTAAGGCGGGCCAAATACCGACATCATTATTTGATTTTGCAGCTCGTCGCTGCAAGCGTTGCTGCAGGCGGTCAACCAACGCACTGCCCAAAGTAGCTTGCATCCCTGCGAAAAAGAGTTGTGGCCCCCTTTCTACCCCTTCATATCCTCACTACGTTACACCAATTAGCTGCATCCGCGCGAACACGAGCGCTGCGGGTCGCCGATGGAATGGAATCTCGCAGAGCTGCCCTGCTGGAACCTCGCCCATTGGCCTCCAATGTGAAGAATATACTTAAGCAGGCAATCTTTGCGAGCAAAAACCGTTGATGGTGGAACGCTGATTCTTACAGCTCTCCTTCTTACTCAGTCACTCAGTCATTCACACACTCAGTCTCAGTCTTTAGTCTTAGTCTCACACTTTTCAGGGTTCCCAAAGCCGTGCCCAGGCGCCCCAATGCACGCCACGCTGATCGTTTGTCTCTGATTTCTCGCTTCATTCCGAGATACGAATATACAGTATGTATGTCTTATCCATGAGCTTATCTAGCGGCGACGTCCGTATTTGCTTCTGGAGGTTGGAAAAACATTTGACCACGACATTGAGCGAGCTGGACCGATGATCCCTTACGTGAACGATGCGCTGTATCCGCCGCCTAATTGAGTTCGCTCTCCAGTGACTGGACTTGCACTCTGTGTGCGGCCGGAAGCCGACGTCTAGACCATATGAATACCAATATAAATCAGCAGTGCGTACGCAGGCTTCCTTTTTGGAGTTCGAGATGCTACGACGAGCTAGCGCGCCCAGATGCTCAGTGGATTCGTTCGTGCGATTGTCGGCTGAATAGATACCCCGCCATACTTTGTCGTCGTAAGGCCGATACAGTAGTCAGTAGGTTAGGTCAGATGCGTGTAGGGTCATTCTTTTACGCTCTCCGTAATCAACGTGGCGTCCTTACTCGCTTGCCCTCCGCATTAGCTCCTAAGCGCTGCTCGTGTCGGCGATAGTCGTAGGGCAACTGTTGGAAGGCATTGCGTTACTGCCCGAGATGCTCATTGCATTCTATGTATATTTCATAGTTCCAGTCGACTCCCTAGGTGAAAGAAGGATCGGACCTCGGAAAATAAAATAAAACCCCAAAACAAATTACGCTATAGATATCCATTTCCATTTTAACAACGACAAACTTTAAGAAGGTAGGAATGACATGCAAACTACTAGAACATCCAGAATACAGATGTCCGTAGGTGATGATACCTCACTGATTTTCACACAGCTCTTCGGGAGTCCTGGGCTTGGCTGAAAGGTCCTGATGAAATTATTGAGCATACTATTAGGTATTGGGTGTTCACCCATCTTCCCTCACCATCCTACGCTTGGCAGATTCAAGGATAGGCATAACACTCTTTCTCAAGGAGTCGGGCTCGCCTCGGAAGGGTTATGTTAATTGCCCACCAATTAATTGATGTAACTCAAGCTGGCCAGAACCTCAATTGGAGATGTAGTGCATTTTCAACTCGCCGCACAATTCGATAGTAGCATAAAGTTTGACTTCATGCACTAATCCAGAAGCCGAAAGTAAGGCCGATGGTAGGAGAAAACCTCTATGGCAATGACTCCCATCCATGTTAAGGTCAGTTAGTCGCAACAGAGAGTCTGCGAGCATCACTTCAGTCTAATTTTTCTTGTTCTCAAGCCAGCCGTCAAGATGTCTGCCGGTGATGATCATATTCTTACACTGTCTTGTCCGGACAAGCCTGGCATTGTCCATGCTATCACCGGGCTACTTGCCAGTCAAGGATTAAATATCCTAGATCTCCAACAATTCTCTGACAGAACTTCTCAAAAGTTCTTCATGAGGGTGCACTTCGGACATGCTGAGTCTACAGAGAGCCTCAAAGAGCCTATTGAAAAGCTGTCAAAAGAACTGCAGCTAGACCAGTATGACTTGAGGCCAGCTAGTCAAAAGCCGAGGGTGTTGATCATGGTCTCTAAAATTGGACATTGCCTAAATGATCTGCTATTCAGGACCAAGACCAATCAGCTCGGCATTGATATCCCCTTGATTGTGTCCAACCATCCTGACTACCGCACTCTCGCCGAGAGCTACGGAATCGAGTTCCACCATCTACCGGTCACCAAGGACACGAAATTGGAACAGGAGAAGCAGATCCTGGACCTCATCAAGAAGAACAACATCGAGCTCGTGGTCCTGGCCCGGTACATGCAGGTATTAAGCCCGGGTCTCTGTGAAGCAATGAGCGGCAAGATCATCAACATCCACCACAGTTTCTTGCCATCGTTCAAGGGCGCCAAGCCCTATCACCAGGCCTTTGAACGGGGTGTCAAGATCATCGGTGCGACGGCGCACTTTGTTACGGCCGACTTGGACGAAGGCCCGATCATCGAGCAGAGGGTCGCACGTGTAGACCATGCGATGAGCCCGAAGGAGCTCGTCGAAGAAGGCAGTAACGTCGAGAGCCAGGTGCTGGCAGCGGCAGTCAAGTGGTGGAGTGAGAAAAGAGTCTTTCTCAACGGCCACAAGACAGTCGTGTTCAACTAAACGCGAATCTCACAACCTTCCTCAAACACTACTATTCTTCGTTAGCTTTTATCGAGATTTATGTCCCCTTCATCAGCCAAGTTGAAGGAGACAATATTGAGTATGAAACACGCTGCAGGCTTCGGTTATTCTTAGCGAATAGGTCAGGATATGTTTGTCAATTGGCGCACTTATAGTATAGGATGGTCTAAAAAATTAGGAGGTTGCGGAAAATATAACAGAGACAACTTGTCTCGTTGAGTGCAAGACCCGTATCTCTCACGAGGCTATCGTCTGATAAATAGCTTATGTTCATTCTTGAGTCGCTGAATCTGACAATTGATCTTTACTCTGGGGAGGAGGGAAAAGAAAGCCTCTGGTTGGCATTTCTCACAGGGGAAGAGTGACGATGACAAGGCAATAAGCCAATCATGATGGCTTTCGGAACCCTTTTAGGTCATCGAAGGATTGGGCCCCCACAACTCCGATTGGAATTTGGATTACTATGGGCAATGCTGTAATGTAAGCAGCTCGATACTGTTGCAATATCGGGCAAGATATTTCTGTATCTGGGGCTGTGTCTCACTATCTAACGGGTAACGATGAGAATAGGTATCTGCCTCTATTATCCATGCTTGATATGGGTTGTTACATGAAGCGGTTTTGTTCACTACCGGTACAATGGGGCTGTGCTCAGACCGTCGGGACGATCTTCTCACTCCATCTGTGCTATGCAGGCACAGTTTTCCCACCACAGCGAACTTGGTTAATTAGTAGGCGATCACCGCTCTACATACTTAGGTATGCATCTTACCCCAAGATCCTAAGCACTACCACAGATGCGCGTGGTCATCGTCTCAACAGCATCATGCCATCTCATACTGGAGCGAAATACAGTAGCGATACCTAGGATGTTAGCAATGCTTGGCACAAGTCACAATCATCCAGTGGTGACAGGCACAAGTCATTGATTGCATGTGACATAATGATGACGCTAGGTAGAGCAGGCCATCATAGTCTAAAGGAGCGGCCGTAGTTTTCAGGCTAGTATCTATTTATTTACGAAGTACTAAGTAGATCTGCGCGAAGGAAGGCTAGCCGGCACCAGTGACGGCCTCGTTGACGGGAAGATTCGAACCCGAACCCGAGTTGGACCGCAAACCAGGTACTTTGCACAGCAGCGGGCACATCTTACGACCAATGATGTAGTAGCGAGTCACTTGACGCAACGCCGAGCGCTGCCGACCGTGTCCCTACAGCAAAGCCGGTGTCTGGTCGATGGCTTCGAGTTGTGCAGGGCAGCACATCGGGGGACGCAGGTTCGGCAGGGACTTGTCCACACCTCGCTGCTGCTGTTGGTATGGCGTGCCATTGTGTTTCCAAAAACAGGATGTAGTGTACAAATCCGGGTCTGTCCGGGGTTACCTTACTCTGGATTGACTACTATGTACCATATGCAGTTTGAGTTTCGTGTTTCGTTTGATTGATAGATCGACCACTTGATTCTTGTCTGATACGGACTTGACTTTGGCGATTCAGGGAGATGAAGAAATAAGTAAGAACTTTTGCATTGAAAAGTCCACCTCGGGGAAAAGAAAAAAAAAATCTTTTTTTTCCCTTGTACCTCTACGATTGGTACGAAAGAAAAAAAGCCTTTCTCACTATACCTACACGGATATACTAGTAGTACGTGCGGTAAGTAACTCGCGAAGACCGCCAGTGCCCGAAGTCCGATTCAGGGAACCGACCCAACCCGCCCGACGATGGTTGGCCCCAATCCGCCAGATCGTCAGCCCAGGATCGTCTGTTTCCCCCTTCGCGAGACACCGCCGCAGTGGATTACTAGTACCACCCGTTTTGCCCGTAATAAACAACTCACACGTGTAACAAGATGCTCCACAACCCATCCTACAGGTTACAATAGGTACTCATCCTGTACGGCACGGCACTTCCACTAACTTCGTAGGAGGAGGGGATTACCTTGTGGAGGTATGTAGAGAAACCTCGGAGTGTGTGTGGGCTTACTTACTTACTACCTACTTACCCCAGCATGTAAGTAGGGACCAAAGAGGGTCTCTGCTCTGTAGTGTACCTACCTCTTACTTGGGATGTAATTAGGAAGTTTACAGCGCAGCGTAACGCAACGGGATAGGCCAGGCAGGTGGCAGGTGAGGCAGGTTATTTCAATTCCAAAATTCCAAGGTTGTCTACGTTGGTAGTTCCCGCCGTTCCGGGACTTTTAATGTCCATCTGCCGTTGTGCATGTCTTATTCCATTTCTTCATTGTCCATCTCCGTGGAAAAGGTATACCCCCGTCATCCCACTTTACTTCTAGACTTCTAGACTTGTCTTTTAGTTGCGCAATGATTCTTGAATACCGTTGCAAGACATAAAAGACATAGATTGATTGATTGTACTACAACCATCTACACTGTCTACCTATACTCAATAGCAATCACATCGCTACAATACGCACTCTTCACCTGCTTTTCTTTGAATAACTACAATATCACCTCCCCGCCCCTCATCCGACTATCCGACCATGCCGATTCGCAACCCCTTCGCTAAGCGACCGTTCTTAAACACCGGCGCCGACGTCGCCAGCGCCCCCAACGACGAGAATGCCCGCCCGGGAATGCAGATTTCGAGGGATTCCTACGGAGGTTTCGAAAGGGTAGACACAGTCGGGTCCAAGACCTCGTCGGCATGGAGCATCCACTCCAGCAAGAGTCGCGATACTGGCGACTACAAAATGAGTGGTAAGCCTGCCATGGCGCACCATGCGTCAGGCTTCATGTCAGAAACTCAAATCGGCATAGCTGACTGGTCTCATTATTAGTTGTCAACGACAGTGGCGTTTACCTACCTGTAAGCCGCATACCGCTGCGCCCTGGCACAAACTACCATATTCGCTAACCAATCACCATGCAGCCTTCGCCTACAGAGGAGAAGGGCCTCTGGCCGAGGCGTCCTGCCAACTCCCGCACCTCCGTCGATACGCGCAGTAGCATCGGCGACATTGAGCACTTTTCTATTTCTCGCGAATCCTTCGATTCCTATCGCCGATCATTTGTAAGCGCTGCTTCTATTCATTCGCACCATTGTTGTCTTGGGCGTGCTGACCGTTTCTCCCCTCAAAGGATATTTGCGCAAAATCTCCAGTCCTTGTGCACGACTTTCCTCGACAGAGCCTTGACTCTGCCGGTCTCGCAAGGATCCCTAGATCTTCACCCAGGCATCGCTCCTTTGAAAGAGAACTACCTACGGCTGAGGAGGGCTTTGAAGATGTTGGCTTGAACGACGACCAGAAGCAAACCCAGCAACAGCCAAAGAAGAAGAGCTTCTTCGCTAAATTCTCCGAACCTCAGGAATCCAATGCGCATGGAGAGGGCCTGGCGCGGTTTATTCCAGGCCGCAAGCGTGCACAGAGCGGCCAAGGAGCCGAATTAGGCCCCATGGAGCGACCGGCATCATCTCAATCCGCCCAAGCACAGGAAGTGCAGTAAATCCTTGCAGGCTTCATTTTTTCTTACCCTCGTTTATTTTTAATGCATCATACTTGCGGGTTCGCATGGGTTGGGGCACCTGTGAGATAGAGCGATTACCCGCCCTTTGATACCCATCATCCCTGGCGCTCGTTACAAGATTTCAGTGGGCTGGTTTTTTTTTTAAAGGACGAACTTCATGAACTGGGCAAAACGGACCACATGACGGGGAAGAGTTGACCGTGAACATAATGATAATGCTTAGACGAGAACCAGACCTCGATATTATTACAATAGTCGAGTTGGGAGATACAAATATAATTGGGCATTCTGTCGTGGGAGTGCCTTCAATTATTGACGCAAATTATTGGGCTTACTGGGATTATGCTAGCTAGCCTAGCCTGCTAATTTCGCAGATTAATCGCAAAAGGTCTCAGATGTTTTCCTATATTCACATCTTACGCTAGTTTCATCGGGATATAAGAATTGTATTGCCGTTCTAGCTAAATCTCTAACACATGGCGATTCCGTTAATTGTTGCTTAGCAACAGGCTAGATCTGACCTAGTAGTATCCAGTATGGTAATTTGATAAGTTTCTTAACGTGATAAAGTAATTCTGATGTTAGTCTTAGGATATCCAACGAAAGCATTTCTATCAGCATATTTGATTCATGCGATTCTGGATTTCGTTCAGTTCCTATATTAATTACTCTACCTAGGTAGGGTGCTTTGGCTCTAATTAATGTCGTCACTCCACACGTCCCCGCTATCGCCGATGCCTACTTACCTACCCCACGACCCTTTCCAGACCAATTCCTTATCGATACTGAGTTTTCTGTTTGGACTCTACCATAAATCCGCTTTCAGGTTGTCTCGTACAGCTACAGCCAGTCCCAACGCCGCTGATAAATTCCCACCAGGCGTCTTTGTCTGCGACAAGTCTCTTTGCCATGGCACCTCGGCGCCCAGATAAGAAATCCAAGAAGTCGGGCAAAGGCGCCATCTCGCGTGCCGCTGGAGGGGGCAGCGCCAACAACGATAAGCCCGTGTCCCCACAAGTTCTCGTCAAGGCCGCCGAGTTCCAGCTCCAGGAAGGCAATGTGCAGGACGCCGCCACGCTCGCGGAAAAGGCCCTCGAAGGGTCATCTCCAGGGAGCGACGATGCGCTCTCTGCCCTGAACTTCCTCGGGCAAATCAGTCTCGAGCTAGGCGACTTTGAGACGGCGCGAGCTTATCTCTTGCGCGCGGTCGCGATTGACGAAGACGGGGCTAAGGACGAGACCATTGGTGGCGGCCCTGAGAAATTCCTCACGCTGGCGCAGCTGAGCGAGGATGGCGGCAAGGATAGCGTCGGCTGGTTTGAGAAGGGCGCTGCGGCGTTGAAGGCGCGGATCCAGACTCTCGAGAGCGCGAAAGGGAAGGACAAGCAGAGCGATGAGCAGACGATATTATTAGACGAGCTGCGGAAAAAGCTCGCCATGACGCTGTGCTCGGTCGCCGAAGTCTATATGACCGACCTGTCGTGGGAAGAGGACGCCGAGCAGCGCTGCGAGTCCCTTACTACCGAAGCCACCATGGTCGCGCCCGACTTTGCTGAGACGTGGCAGACCTTGGCCAACGTGCGCATTTCACAATCTAGATTCGACGATGCTAAGGCCGCGCTGAACCGTAGCCTCGAACTATGGAAAGATTTACCACCTGAAGATCCTGCTGTGCCTGATTTCCCCAGCAGAGTCGGTCTGTCTAGGCTACTTATGGAGGTTGAGATGGAGCAAGAGGCCATCGAGGTGCTGGAAAGACTTGTAGGGGAGGATGACCAGAGCGTGGAGGTTTGGTACTTGGGTGGTTGGAGTCTCTATGTCACAGGCGAGAAGCAAAAAGAAAAGAAAGCCGAGGAAGACTGGAAAGCCTCGTGGATATCGAGTCGTGTGTGGCTGAACCAATGTCTTCACCTTTACAAGTTACAAGATTACGAAGACGACAGGTTAGGGGAGCACGCCAAAGAACTCCTTGCTGCAATTGCCAAGGAACTTGGGGAAGCGCCCGCTGGTGACGACGACGACGACGATGTGTGGGAGGACGATGAGAGCGATGAGGAGATGAAGGAATGAAACTTTTTCTATCAAGAAAATAATTCGGTGAAGACGAGTGGGGTTCACGAACATCTGGGACATTGGCAATTTGGCATGATACCGGAGTCTGGAGTCTAAAATAGGGGGTTTATTCCCAATGCTAGGAAAAGTAGACTAGATGTAGCCGAGCGCTCAAGATATGATGAATCCTTTTTAGTTTCTCCCAAAATGCGCCACAACTCCGTGTAAATGCCAATTGAGATCGTTCTGAGTCTCTGTCAACAATAATAAGTTTATGTTCAAGTTTTGGAACCAACCCTCCATTTCCCATATAGCCAGCTTTATGCTGCGACCTTGAGCTTTTCCACCTGCTCTGTAGGCGGCTCGTCGTCTTCTTCTTCGCCCTTGCCGACGAGACCGCGCTCCCAGAGCTGCTTGCCCGTGAGCCGTGGGGCCTCCTTAACCTTGGCCTTTTTGAGCTCGGCGAGCCGTTCCTCCTCCTCCCGCTGCCGCTGCTCTTCCATTTCACGCCTGAACTCCTCGCGCCACTTGAGGAATGTCTCGGGTGTGACGGGTGTGCCTTGGAATTTCTTATTCTCTTCGCGCTCGGCTGCTAGTAGAGCCTCTTCCCGCACACGATCCGCGGCCTCCTTGCGGTCCGTTATTAGCTGCTCGGCGAGCTCCGTCAGCGTCGTCACAAGCGTGAAGACCATGGCCATGCCGAGACTCTCTTGGATCGTGTCATCTAAACCTTTTAGAAGCAGCCCCTTATCCACTGCCACGGAGAACCGTGGATGTACGGGCGCATTCGGAACGGGGGATAAGTCTAATATCGGGGCCTCGTCGGGGTATGCTTCGGGATACCGCACGTGTAGGTTCAGCGTTGGCGGTTCCACTTCCTCTTCGTCATTGTCGTCGCTTGGGGGGTTGAGCTTGATCGCGATGCGATACTCGGTATCTGATATATCTGTTGCCTTGTCAATACGGCGTGCGCATAGCGGGGTACTCCTCGTGCGAGACGGACCTGTGATTTCTTCGGGGAATATGGATTCAAGAACTTCGCGTTCTTCTATTTGGTCTTCTTTGCCCATCTTTATTATGTCGCAAGGCTGAAATATTTACAAGTGCAAATTTAATTGAAATTTACGACGCGCAAAAAAGGTAAATCTAACATGGAATGCTTGGGCAGTGATGTTGAGCCTCTGATAGGTGGTCTAGCTTACATGTATCTCTACCTATTATTTTAGAAGTGATGCGGGGGACAAGCTTCCCAATCACCGCCAATCAGCATTATCGATAGCGGGGTGAGGATCGATAGCGCCCCGGGGTGGACTTCACCGCCTAAATTCTAAGCCCATTATTTTTTATTCTGCCGGATCGCCAGGGAAATTTCAAGCTGGTGCTAGTTGTAAGCGCAAGTGTCTTGCTTTGATACCAGATTTGCGACTTCGTCAATTTGGCCAATCTAGCAAACATGGCGCCCAAGAACGATGCGGGAAGTAAGAGGAAGCTCCCTAGCCGTAGCAAAGACTCAACAAGCAAGAAACCTAAATTCGAAAAGCGCCCTCCGCCGCCTCCCGCAGACGAGGACGATAGTATAAGTGACGCCGACGACTTTGACGGTATTTCTGATCAGGATGACGAAGGCGGTGCTACATTAAATGGGAAGAAAGATCAAAGGAATGGTAATGGCCCTGCTCGCTCTAAAAATGGAGATGACGAGGCTGGGAAGACTTTCGAAAGAGGTGAATATGTTCCGCCCAGCAGCTACCTGTTGATTTTCACTCACCTTGTTTAGGTCAAACCTCGAGAGAGTCCCACCAGAAACAGAAACAATTGGCCCAAGAGCGGAAGGCTGGCAAACCTCTTGCCGACGAATTGAACCGAGCTAAGAAACTATGGGAGAGACTGCGCAGGAAGTCGCATGTACCAAAGGAGGAGCGAGACAAGCTTGTCGAAGAGCTGTTTGCCATCACCACTGGACGAATGAAGGATTTCGCACTCAAGCACGATGCGGTCCGCGTTGTTCAGACAGCCATCAAATACTCCACACCCGAAAGGCGGAAGATGATCGCGAAAGAGCTCCAGGGTACCTATGCGCTGCTAGCTGAAAGCAGGTACGCTAAGTTCTTGATCGGCAAGCTTATTGTCGAAGGCGACAATGAGGTCCGGGATCTGATCGTTCCTGAGTTCTATGGCCGTGTACGAAAGATGATCAACCACCCAGAAGCATCTTGGATCCTGGACGATATATACCGAGGCGTTGCGTCTAAAGAACAAAAGGCGATCCTACTTCGGGAATGGTATGGGCCAGATACCTTCATCTTGAAGGGGACCAAAGAAGGAGACGCTGCGCCAACAGCTGAGCTTTCGGAGATTCTGGAAAAGGAGCCAGGAAAACGGGGACCGATCATGAAATACTTGCTGGATTTGACCAATCAATTGATCCAGAAGAAGATGACGGGCTTCACGATGCTCCACGATGCTATGTACCAGTACTACACGAATGTGAAACAGGGGTCTGAGGAAGCCAAGGAATACATGGAAATGATCAAGGAAGATGAGAATGGTGATCTGCTCAAAAATATGGCCTTTACCAAACACGGAGCTCGCCTAGTATGCTTACTTCTAGCATATGGCACGTCTAAAGATCGAAAACAGATCTTGAAAACGTACAAGGACACATTTCAACTCGTGTCCTCCGATCCTCATGGTCATCTCATCATACTTACTGCCTATGACACTATCGATGACACGAAGTTAATGTCAAAATCTACCATTACCGAATTAATAGGCAAGTCGGAACAAAATGAAGCTTCCAACGTCGTTCTTCTGGCCAATGACCCCAACGCCAAGTTGACAATACGATATCTGCTCGAAGGCGCGAGTAAAGTGTTATTTGATGGAAGCCGTGCAAACGATCTTCAACTACTCGAGCAAATTTGGGAAATCCGCAAAACTACCAGCAAAAAGGATCCGGAAACTCGCCGGAAAGAATTAGTTGCGGCTCTGTCGCCATCGCTACTGGCTGCCATAGCTTCATCACCGGAGGACTTGGTAGCTACCTCGTTTGGGTGCCAATTGGTGACGGAAGCCCTTATTTCCTGCGATGGGGACAAGACCGCAGCACTGAAAGCCGTGGCATCAACAGCAGGAGGTGATCCAGATGCGGAGCCTGAAGAGAGTGGCGAAGAAAATGATACTGCAGCCACTTTTTCTTCTCCTCCTCATATCTCTAAGTTCCCTCATGGCGGACGTATGTTCAAGACCTTGATATCCGGTGGCCACTTTGATAAATCTACACGCAAAGTTATACCATGTGACCCACCGCTTCATTTTGCCGACATTCTATATCCAGTCATCAAGGAGCACATTATGTCCTGGGCGACAGGACCTAGCTCTTTCGTTGTGCTTAACTTACTTGAGGCGGACGACTTTTCCAATGGGAACGAATTGAGAAAGACCCTAAAGAAGAACAAGAAGCAACTCGAGAAGGCAGCAACCGAGGAAACACCGGAGCAAAAGGCAGCTCGGGAGGCTGCTACAACTGACGGCGAAGCCGAGAAAGCGCCAAAGAAGGGCAAGAAATCGGGCGGCAAGAAGGAAAAGCCCGTGGGTAATATGGGCTCTAAGTTATTACTCGAGAAATTGAATTAGACGGCGTTTTATGGGGCTATGAGCGCTCGAGAACTCCGATGTAGAGAAGCGGAAGCGCATTCAAATTGAATTTAATACATTCAGGACAATTCTTTCTTTCTTCATTGATAACCATGGGGTTTTGATAATTGTAGCTCTTCTGGCAGCAGGTATTCGTGCCAGCATGCTAAGCAATAGTACGTATACGTAATACAGAGTGATCCGAATTCTGCCGGACGTGTTACAGCGACGAATGTGTTAGATCACTGCCCCTTCACCTTGAGGCTCATCTAGTCCAAGGCTTATGTAACTTTCTGGAGTGCTGATGGGATCCCTACATGAATAAATAGCCCGTGGTAGATCGCGCAAACACGGCTTGCAGTATTGGTGTACTTACTCAATGAAGCGATTTTATTTCAGCATATGTAGATGAACGAGGAAGAAAGATGACGCACAGTGAGACGCGAGATTACATGACAATGTCCACAAACGTATCACAAAGGGGCATCTAATTTGGCCGTCTTGTGTATCGAGAGCACAATAATAGCGAGACTTTGTGTCTCATGTATAATGTAGATTGTTGTCTCACTCTAAGCCATATGTTATATCTAGCCATCATTCGTCCCAGCCATATGTCTAGGTTTGTCCATGAGGCATGTAAGTGGATCGTGGTTTGGGGGCGATGCAAAATATACCGGCGGGCAAACACCGCACTGTTGCCCTCTTGGTATGAGCGTTTGCTATAGTGTGGCGCTTGCTCTGCTTTGCTCCCACGACGTATTGCTGTCCACGGACCTGGGAGTCGCGAGGCTCTGGGATAGGTGTGTGTGTCCGCTCTCCTCTGGGGTCTCCGTTCTGGCGGTGTGGACGAGCGGGTTGGGCTGCGGGCGCGAAGTGATATGAATGTAATGACTGACTGTTTCCCAGGCGCTTCGGGCATTCTCGTTCTCGGCGATATTGGCCTGGTTGGTAACCTTTGGTATTGGATGAAGTTGCTTGCTCTGGATGCGTTGTCTTTCTTGCGCTGATCATCTGTCGCCGGTTGCTCTTCACCTTGGTATCGTGTAGGAGGACAATACCTATTCTCAAACTTGTATACCTTGAATCACACCTTAGGATTCGTATCCCAGCGACGGTCACAGCCGGGTATCACTTTGAGACTTCTTGTGATTCTTGGGAATTTCACTATTTTATTTCTTTTCGTTGGTAATTCCCCGGGCGTCTGCTTCTTCTTACACCTTTACACTCACTGAGGCAAGAGGTGTGCTAACCGGCTAGCGAATGCGTGAATGACATTGTTGCTGGAATTTACGCTCACTATTATCGGCTTCTACCTATTGTTGATTTACAGCCGTGGCACATTGTATCTATTTTCTTTTGACCGGTCATACCATAGCCTCGCCTCTGTGTTCCTACTACTCCAGGTACGGCCGTTCGACTAAGAACCTCGCCCGTCAACTTCGATTATTCTCTCCCATCCATTACATATCTCTTGTACATTGGTTCTACCTTAACCGCCCGAACGAAGTTTTCAAAATGATGATCACTTTTCCATTCATCACGCCTGCTCTGCCCATCGCTGCACGGGGGGATTGTACGCAGGGGACCGTCTTCTATCATTGCGGCAATTTCGAGGGTTGTTGCAAGGTAGACCCGTGCGCATACCGCAATTCTCCAAAACCTTGCGATGAGGCTCTTGATCAGCAATCCAGTAAAAGTCATGAAAGCACCAAGACAGAAGAACACACCCAGACAACAACAACAACATTGCCAGATTTCACGACTAGGGACCCCGAGACAGATACGGAGACAGAGACCTCCACCACCTCCGACCCGGACACATCCACGTCCTCGCAGTCTTCTACACATATAGGAGCTTCCACCACCACGGCGACAGACGGCACGACACTGTCTACTAGTGTCGCTAGTACGTCCAGTTTCCCAAGCAGTGCGACAAGGACGCTCCCGGCGCCGCTCCCGACGAACTCTTCGTCGTCAGATGACAGCGGTCTTCCTAATGGCACTATCGCGGGAATTAGCGTTATCAGCGCCATAGGCGTCATAGTATTTCTCACGAGCTTCTTCTGGTACGCGCGTCGGCGCCGTCTGTCGAAGCGCATGTCTTCGCTGAGGGGTTCCAGCCCTACACCCATGGAATCGCCCTCTATGGGTTTCGATTTTGAATTCAACACGGGTAGGCGTGGAGGTGGTGATTCTCCTGCCCCTCCTCCTCCTCCTCCAGGTATGTCTCCATATGTTTATATGCAAGCGCCTATATCCTTACATGTCATAGCACCAGAGACTCGTGCCGGATGCAGCGAGCTATACACGCCTGGAGCCCACCCAGGAAATGCTCAGCAGATGACCGTGCCCGAGATACGAGAGCCGGAGCCCACGCACGCCGAGCTGGACTCTTCTGAGACACAGCGTCCCAATCTTGGCGTCCAGACGACGCAGGCACCGGACACGACGGCGCTGCCGCCTCCCGGACGTCCCTCTTTGCCATCTGCCGCAGGCCAACTCCATCCGCCGCTCCTGACGCCCGGGTTCCGCGGCGGCAGTATCCAGAGTAACCGCGACTCGTCGAATCTCCCGTGGGTGCAACCTCGGGCTACGCTGAATGCCACCGAAGACGAGCGCATGAACAAACAGTATGCTAATAGTTGGGCAACTGGACCGTGATGGGTGGATAGTAGTGATAGTTGCGTCAGGGAAGGGATATCGCATATGGAGATGAATAATGTTTGCAGCTTTTTCTATTCCGTCGTTGATTTGTGTTTCTGTATGGATGAGATTAAGAAAAGGGCAGCGTCTTTAATGAACATATCCAACGAGGTGTTCCCTGCACTATGAGTTTTAGGGACTGGAAATGTGTGAGATGATACCATGTACGAGGAGCTTGAGACTTGACTACCCCTATTCGTCACATTGTGAGCGAAAGATAAGCGGTCAACTAGGTAGATAGGCAGGCAGGCAGGCAAGAAAGCCTAGCCGGTCCCAACGAAAACATTTTTATAATAAAAGTATTGTCTTCTTTAATCTCACATTTGACACAATCTTCCTTCTATTCCGTCAATTTTGGAGCCCAAGAATGGAATTAGAGAGGTGCCCCTAATCTCCCCAGTGTTCTTTGCCCAGTCTCTTCCTCTTGGACAGGGGTATACAAGCAAAACGAATAAACTAAGGGGAAGTAAAGGGGATGAAGGAAAAAGAGGAAAGATGGAAATTAGTCTAGACTTTTCCCCTCCAAAGGCAATTTTCTTCCACTCCTCAACTGTAGCAGACATACCCAACGCCATTCATGCAGTTCGTGAAATAATAAGGGGGAAAAAAGCAAGCCTACTCCCTTTCTTACGCAAGTTTTATGCAACCAAGCAATGTGCAATGCAAAACGCCGTGCAGGAAACACACTCATGATCTATTGGTTTAGAGGAAGTTGGTGAGTGATAAGGGGTAAAATCGGGCGGTGCTTTGTTGCTTGGGGTGAGCAATATCATATACGCGTGGACGGTTTAGATGTTCTTGTCTGGCATCATTTATGATCGACATCACCAACAGAGTGAAGATCACAAACCAGCCAATCTTGTATTCAGCTCAATTCGGCATCAGCTTGTTCACCTCATCAAGCAGCTCTTGCAGATCCTCATCAGTGATCTTGTCGGTGAGTGATGGGATTAACGTCTTGGCTTCTTCGGCGGTTTCGCAGCAAAGAGAGCCTATGACTTGATTGTGAGTCCTGCAGTAGACAAGGACGTGAGGAAGAAAAATGTCACATACCAAGTTGCGCACGTTCAAATTTGTGGAACTCCTTATGAGAGCTTAATAGCCGCTCAACAGCTTCAACATTCTCCTTTTTCTTGAAGCGTGAAAAAGCGTCTAAGTAGTCAACGGTCTTTGTCAACATCCTGCCCATGAGCACATATTAGCTTCCATGGTCAAGTGTGAAGAGCATCATGTACAGCATGGTAAAACCATCAAAATACATGAAGGGCCTGCGCAGGCGTACTCGGTCTCATTGATATTCTTGCGGTCATTCCGTCGCTTCGCTACCAGCGCATTGATGACCAGCGCAGCTTCTGACAGCGTTAATGTGTCGACATCTTGGAACTCTCCCAGGTTTATCGTTGTCGATGCCTCTTCGTTACCGGCCGCTACCGCTTTGGCGCGCGAAGTCTGATGAAATTGTTCTGTTGCAGGGCGCGACATGGCGGCTGCTTTGTCTCCAGGCTCACGAGCAGAGTGATCGGCTGTGGAAGGGTGGGAAGGATTTGCGATTGCGATGTCAAAGAATAAGCGGGATCGGTGGTGAGCTCAAGCGTAGCCGTCTGACACGAGTAGCAAGCGATGCGCCGGGAAGCTATTGGCCAATTCCTGATGTCGAAATGATGCGGTCAATATATACGTGGCCTTGTGATTGGTGTCTGTGCAGTTTCGGCGCCCGGGAGAGAGACGTGGTCTTTGTAAGGAGGTTGAATCAGATGCCTAACTCTGGGATTTTCCGAGATTTGGCCTGGATCTAAAAGTTGAAAGGCACGCGAGTTGAATGTCCAGTCTAGCGCGTTACATAGTGGACTTGTTGCCTGCAAGAAATGCGCTGACCTGCCTATCTGCAGCTACCTATATTAGGTACCTGGTATGTACTTGTAGAGTCCAATTAGCGTTGTAGTAGGTACCTTCTCCCACTATTTATTGAGGAAAGTACATTCATTCCCATGTAGGTACATGGGAAAGTGTATGTAGGGAAACTTTGGACGTTCCTCAGGCCAGGACTCTCACTCATCATCCCCAAGGTCACAGCTCATAAGTTACGTGGTGGTGGTCAACTGAACTTCTCAAGAGCGCTTGGACATGATCAAGTGAAGCTTTCAGGGTCAGAGTAAAGCATCATATTTCCTACACCATCATTGTTCCCGACTTGCAGCTATCATCATGTAAGCTACCCTGAATCCCCCAATGTCTGAATAGTGGCTAATGATATTGGTGTCGAAAGGGGCATATTAGCTCTTATTGTCATTAACAAGGCTGGGGGTCTCATCTACAACCGCACCTTTGGGGACGGCTTGAATCAGCTGAATACAAATGACTATCTGGTCCTAGCTGGAACTTTCCATGGGTGAGTTCTCAAGAGTTTGTCTTAGCTGGACTGTAATTTCAGGGCCTCGAGATGTTTTGGCATCACTTTCCTGTAGGGAGCTGACCACTTTACCGTCAGAGTCCACGCGATTACCACCCGTTTGAATCCACTCAAACAACAACAACAACAACAGGGTGCTTCAAATGCCTCAGACAGCATACCCAATCGTCCTGACCCGCCATCTGGTCTTGAGGTACTCGAGTCTGAAAACTTCCGGTTACAGTGTTTCAATACCTTGACTGGCACCAAGTTCCTCCTCTTCACCGACACGCTCCAGGCTAATGTGGATGTTGCCATGCGCAAAGTCTATGATCTGTATGCCGACTATGTCACCAAGAATCCCTTCTACTCGCTTGAGATGCCTATACGCTGCGACACCTTTGATAGAAAGCTGAATTCCTACATCAGGGAAATTAATACTTCTCGGTGATGGGGCTCATGATGAGTTTCTCCTTCTTAGCACTATCGGGGAGTCCTAGAGAGCTCGGGGCACGAGGCATGAAAACTCGACGCACGTTATAGTCTAGGGGTTCTTTGCATGGCATGGCGTTTAGGAGTGAATGGTTTCTTTGCAATAAACGGGTTTTTTTCATCAAGTATGAAGTCGTAGCTATGTGGCCTTGATCTTGGGACAACTATTTCCTCTAAGCCTAGTGTATCAAATCGTCATCTAATAGTATACACTCCTAACACCCAAATTCATGCATGCATCAGGTATTTCAAAGGGGGGACCCATCGGATTATGATGTGTCCATCTTGTCACCACTGTCCTTGTCTTTCTTATCACCACTTGGCTCGCCTCGATCATTTAGCAGAGGCTGGTTCTCGCCCTCCTCCTTAATATCATCTAGGTTCGTCTTGCCCTTGGCGGCCTCTTCGTCTCTAGCGGCCTTGGCCTGTCGGGCATTCTCCTCTTCCATACTCATGCGTAGGGCGAGCGCCAATTCTGGGTCAGCGCTTGGGTCGAAATCGAAACCACCGAAATCTCCTCCGCCTTCGGTCATGCCGCCACCTCCAGAGCCACCCGCTGCTCCCTCGCCAAGTATCGGTGTAGAAAGAAGTTGATCGCTGAGAAGTTTGCCACTTGGAGGGACGACAACAAGATGAGAGTTATCACTACCCTTCACAGTCTCATTGAAGGCCTCCAACTTGTTCTGTACATCGTCGTCGTCCAGATCACCAAACAAGATGAAGTCGATATCGATATTTCCCTTCTTCATCTTCTTGGCCAGACTGACCAGTTTCTTTTTATCATCAGCTACAGGCGAGCATACAAATACAATGATGCGTTGGCGTTGCGATTTGTTCTGTCGGTGCTTCAGGGCAAGCTATAACATCAAGATTAGTACGAGCTAAGGGTCGACTGGGCGAGATGGACATACACTAGCAATTTGAATGCCCGTGGCAAGGTGCGAAGAACCAGATATCTTTTTCTTGGTGCGGTGTAGACCTTCCAACAGCTTTCCTCGCTCCGTTGTCAACGTCGAAAGGACCTCGGGTCCTTTGCCGCCCATGCTCATCAGGCCAACGGACGATTCCGGGTTTCCCTGTGTCACACTATCGAATATGATATTTATGGCATCGACCTGAGCGTCAAAGCGGGACGGTGTGTAATCTCCATTTCGACTGCTCTCCGAGTTGTCCACTACCAGCATCACAGCCTGAAGAGGCATCTTGACAAGCACAAGTCGGGGCTATCGGGCGTAATAGACGGTGAGGTAGTTCCGGATTGCAATTGCGAACAAGTAGTGAGGGATCGTGGACTGCCAGTGTGAGGGGGGAAGGCGGCTCGATGCTGTTCCTTAAGGAATGGTCAGCTAGGAACGACAAGGCTGGAATTATGTGGACGTTGGGTGTGATAGATGACCGGAAGCTTCGTGCTGTAGACGTCAGGTCAGTGCAGCCTTGAGCTCACTGTACTGAGCACTACCATGTCACTACGAAGTACATCGTAGGTGATGTACCGGTAAGTACCGACCTAGCCATATTGGGCTCCCCTCTAGAATTGGTATAACAGGTACATAATACAGCGCTTGCAGGTGGGGCCAGATGCGTGCTCGGACCAGTCGGGATGCAGTGTAGTGACAAGCAGTGTTCCGCGTTTGGCCAGACACAAGAAACCGGGGTAGCTTTTAAATGTAAACAAGGACATTCTAGGCTCGACACGACCAGCCAGCTCCTCACCCCTGCGCGCATCCCTTGAAATTGAATCCGCTGCTCATATCAAGAACACCAATTGTACTGATATATAACACCCTCGAACGCGTAATTCAACCGATTCTTATACGAAACTTGACTGCAACAGATTATCATGGCTCCCGTACGGCCACAAAAACGCAAATCTCCTTCGCCGCCGAGCACTTCCCCGCGGAGGAGTCCTATAATCAAGAAGCGCAAAATAGGCATCACGCTTTCTCAGAAGCAGGCACTGATTGACAACCTTCAGCTAGAAAGTAAGTATCAATGGAGGGGGGTTTCTCCCAGGAACGGCGTTTAATAATAATGAATTCAGTTACCGAACGCGCGCGGCGCTTAAGGGCTCAGTATAACATACAAGCACAGCAGCTGAGATCACGCGTAGAAATGCGCGTCAATCGTGTTCCAACGACACTACGAAAGCTTAGGATGGAGGACCTTCCCAAGAGGACACTTAACTCACAAAACACTCGGCTCGCACCCAGGCCTCAGTATGTAAACAAGCCTCCGCCGGTCCCAGCAAAGGATGGCACATCGCCTAAGCCTATCCCCCGGAAGCCAGTGCCTACGGCCAGCCCGGTTCGCGGGTATAAACGGTTGAGGTGCGGCTTTCAACATGACCTTTGCGCATATAAACTAACAGTAGTTAGCACCGAGATTTCTGGCGCGGACAAGGAGAATCAAGGCGAAGCTATCGACAACCCTAAGAAGAGAGTACGGGGCGCGCCTGCGATATCAAAGCCGCCGGTTCCAGCATCAGCAATTCTGTCACCAACATCATCAAATACGCGTGTTCTCCCTAGAGACCGGCCGGCTTCGCCTACAAAATCTATAATCAGCCGGCCTGCATCACCTATGAAAGCACCAGCACACAAAGCTTCTTCAAATATCCTTTCAAGTATAGTAGAAAGAGCCAAATCTACGCGACCAGCAACCACCGCGAGGAAAGCCACCGCCTCCTCAACAGCAAGCTCCAGTGCTGGAACTACCGCGACGACAGCAACCGGCCGGACACGCAAAGCAGCAGCGCCACCACCATCTACTACCGCTACTCGGGGTAAACGGAAGGCCAGTATGGCCAGCGAATCGAGCGAGGCAAGTACCGCAACCGTGGTAAAGAAGAAAACGGCTGCCTCGAGAACGAGAGCCGCTCCCGCCGCCAAGAAGAACGTGATGAGCACAATCAAATCGGCCACAACGAAGACCGCCCCAGCAGCAAAAGCAGCCCCGGCGGCGCCAACAACAAGGAGGACGCTAAGGAAACGGGGACCTTAGAGTGATGGCCTAGGTAAACGACGGTTTGCATGTACACAAGAAAGGATTAGGCGCACGGCGTTCGGCTAGGGACCACGGGATATCATCAGGCCGGCTAAACGGCATCACATTTGCCTCGGGACAAAAAGAATTAGCGTTTTCATTAATCGAATATCTTGATGCCTCCCAGCGTGACTATAGTGGATTCTGAGAACGGGGAATCACGACGACGATTTCTTCTTCTTGTCGTCTACTAATTCAATGTTGTCCTCCGGTATCTCCTTGTACTTCTCCAGGAGGAACTCCTCGATCTCGTCGCTCACATCGCCCTGGACGACGATCTCCTCGCCGCCGCTGGGCACCTTGGTCACGGAGGACCCCGTGGCGAACTTCTTGCCGAACTCCTTGGCCACCTTCTTCAGGTCGAGGCCGAAGGCCTCCAGGCCCGACACGGCCGTCACGAACTTCCGCTTGTTCCGCTCGACGCGCTTTATCGTGACGACGCTGTTGGCCATCTTGTCGGCTTGCTTCTGCTCGGCCTTCTCGGCCTGGGCGGCCTTCTTCTGGGCGTCTTTGGCGGCGCGCTTCTGGGCCTCGACGGATAGCGATGCGGTGGCGGCTTCTAGCGCTTCTGTATATTATCACGCGGTTGGTTCGGTTAGCCAATGTCGCCGCTTTGGCATCGACGGAGATGGATGGAAGACTAGACTACACGTACCGGCTGACCATATATGTTCATACATGGCAGGGTGAGCTTTCTGCAGCCAATCCTGGCATTTCTTGACTGTGCCGCCATACTCGCAGTACTATAGTTGTGCAGATTAGCATCGTCTTTCTCCTCTGTTCACTGGTTCGATCGGTCTGGTCTGGGTGTAGGCTCGTAGTTGGTTTGGTTGCTTGGTTTATGACAGTAGCGAGGGCGCTTCATACCTCTGGGGGTAGCATGCAAACTGAGCCGACATTGTTTATTAGCTGAGCTTCCTCTCCCCCACATTACAGGGCGCGAGGTGGAAAGAGGGAATGGGATGCATAGGTAGCAAGCAGTTCGCTAGCAGCTAGGACCGACTTACCGCCGCAATAGGTGACATGGCGACTCTGGGGTTCGCTCGGAACTTCTGGTTGCTCGGTGTCTGCCATGGCCCAATCAATTGATCGATCAATCAAGCAAGCAATCAAGCAATCAATCAAATTGTACTTGTTGTATGTGTAGGTGTAGGTAGGTGTATGAAGCTATGAGGTCTGATTTGTGTAGTCCCGCTTGTGGTTACATCAGCATTGACGGGGTATCGCGAGATCAGCGGGCTTGGTGGCCTTCTTTTTTTTTGGTTGCTTTGCTTGTTGATTTGAAGGTGGCATGAAAGAGATGGCGGGGTCATTGACGATGGTGGGGTAGTTTGGTGATTGCACCGCGTGCTCAAACACGATGCGATTGAATAGAAGTCGACCCACTTGCTTGGGGTTGCAGTGCCCAGCTTCTGTCCAGTCGCAGCCTAGTCACAGCATTTTCATCCCAATTCTCACCTACGGTACCTACTATGTAGGTACTATGTAAGGCTAGAAATTCAAAGAAGGTTAACCATACCTTATAGTAGGTATCTATATTAAATTTCTACAAAGATAGGTAAGAAGTAGGCATGGCATATTCATTGTTGGACGGGAGTCTCCTATTGAATTCTTTCCGTTTAGTTACATAATCGGGCGTTGAACTCTCGAGCACATCCAGTAGGTACATATGCAGTTGTCAAATTGCTGCTGTTGGCAGCTACAACCTAGGTTATTATACAGGTAGGGACAGTGTTAAGGACACTACAGAGTAGGTCCCTATCATCATTCTACAAACTACAATACATGGAGATGTGCCATTCCATGACAATCCAATACCGGTAGGTAGGTAGGTAGCTGTCAATGTTGTGACGCGCATAGCAGATTATCGTTATCGTTGCAATGCATCTAGGCTTTGAGATTCTTTACATCTTACCATCGATCTAGAAGCATTGGCAGTTAGGTGTCTAGACAGCGTCTAGTTCTCTCCTCTCCAACCGACAGACATCCATCTCTCCCTTTCGTTGTCAGCTCATAGTAGCCTCACACCACCCACCGTCCGCCCGTCCACCACAATGGTTGTTGCTACGCGCTTCGAAACCACCCCACATCCAGTCGGGCTGCCATGGATGGCCTGGATAACCTCAAGAACTGCTCTCGCTAGTCTGAATGATATGTCACATGGATATGCCAGCTAGACTATAACCTGGTTACGGCTGGGGGTAACAGTGGCACAGCGAGCCGCCGGCCAAGCGCGCTGTTTCTTCCAGACCATTTACCAGACCACCTGCAGTAACTGGCCACTGAACCGGACCCCGTCGGCACGATCAATATACATACCGTAGTAGGGAATCAAGGCCTGCCTATGACGTATCCCTTCGCAGTTGCTTCCGGTGGTCTGCATCCCCATTCTCTCGAGTCATCCCATCGTGAGCGTCGCATGTCCAATCACGGATTATCGTGCTTACGGTCACGGAGCGACGTTAGGCTATTAAGCGCCCGATGCAGGCAGCTCCTCGCCATTGGCTTGGGAACATGGAGTCGGCTTCCAATCACCGGCTGCCCACCCGCTCCACCGCTCGGCGCCAGCCCCATGATTGGATGCGCCGACATGGGTTCTAAGAATATCTCTCCACGCCGACCGACTGGCCAGCCGTGATTGGGCTGAGTTGTCGGCCGCCAACTCGATCGCATCGCAGACTACCATCTGTCAGCGACACCGCGAGTCCTCTTCGCCCATGGTTTTCACGCCCTCATGCCCCAATCGGGCTCGCGTAAGTGTGCATTCTGGGCAAACCTGCAGTCGTTATGCAAGGTTATGTGCGTTCTGTGTGACTGCGCCTGTCCTCGCTTGGGGGAAGCGCCTGATGGCTTCTTCGTAGAATGTTCCCCATCACCGTAGCCGCTTGAGGTTCACAGCCCCAAGGAATAAAACTACTCATACCCAAGCGCCCGGTAGGCTGGGTTCCTTCTGTTCTCCTCTCTTTAAGCTTCCTTTCGGTTGCCTCGTTTCTTATTTCGCTTCGTCGACCGAAGCATTCCAGTCATTGGGGGCTCTTTTTTTCCATGTCCCTTATTTACCTTCTATGACGCTGGACGTCCATTTCACTGCTGATTTCGGATTTTTCTCTTATCGTAAACTACCTCGGTCTTTATTGGATTATTGAACTTTCCACCGTACATCCCATTTCAAGATGTCTGATTTGTTTCTCTTACCGGCGAGCACCTATCAGCCACCTCCGTCACCTTCGCAGGTTCGAAGGCCGGGAAGGTCACTTAATACAATAATGGAAGAGCCTGAAGTTTCACAACGCAAGCGAGCTGCTCTGCAGAACCAACGGAGAGTTCAGGCTCGGCCGACAAATGAGAAGATAGTGCAATGGCTATCACCCCGTAGTGATCAGTTCCCCACGCCGCGTGGTTATCACTTCATGTCAGCACCCATATTACCCGATTCCCCGTCGACGGCATCTTTCGACGAGAGTGCTTCACCATCAACATGCTCAAATCCATGGAATAGGGCTAGTGTCAGTACTGATGTCACAGAATTCGATGATATATATGATGTATCAGATGATGAAGACTCCCGCCAAAAGATGACGAGAACTTCATCGCAAATGTACCAGGAGAACTCACGTGCGGCTCCCGCAAAGCACTCGAGAACAACTTCTTCTTCATCTCATCGTGAGCTGCCGCCCCTAGTTATCCCAGGTGAGCGGGAATCTGGTCTAGAGAGCTGGTCTGGAAGACCAGATATGAAGAAACTCACCACTCCTATCCCACCAACACCACCGTCAAGAGTTGAGATGTCCCCCGCAGTGATTTCTTACATGAAATCCCAACAGGCTCAAGAAGTACCAAGGATATCAGCCCCACCGTCTTTAGATGGCAGCTTCACATCCGACCAGATGGCAGCTATGTCCGCGCCAGTAACACCAGTTATGGAGTCGGACGAGGCTCCTTTGGCTGATTGGTCTGGAGTACAGCTACAGCCTGCTGCTCTAGCAACATTACAGGCATTATCTGGAAGTGAGGATACCGACGATGAGTACCGAACTGAGCAGGTCATTGAACTTCCGGAGGAGAGACTGCCTGAGATGACACAGCAAAGTCGGCGGTTGTTTTCTGAGACCCGACCGTCCCTAAGGCTAACAACTGGAGGCCGACAACCTCTTAATGGATTGACGAGACTTGAGATCCCATCTCCCGGCGGTTTCTTTTCCGGCCTTTCGCCACGAGCAAGACACACTTGGCATCTGCCTACCAAGACACCTGATGATGCTGCAACACCTACCTCAACTACTGCAGAACAATTCTATCGCTGTCCATGGCTAGAGCCAGCTCCCCCTATGCCTGCACGACCAGCATTTGTGCCAGTACAACACATCGATTCCACCACAATCACGGCCCCGGTTGAACACATTATCGAAATCAGGGGCACTATGTCGGATGGCATGCCCACCGCTCGACCGATTATTCTGGAGCAGGTTGTACGGGCTAAGAACACTCTCCCACAGACTCCCTTAACAGCACGCCGCATTGAACGAAGGAGCCCCGTTACATCACCCATTGCTGCGATTGAGCCCACATCTCCAGATGACAACCTAGTAGCAGCCGATCTTGTAGAAGTGTATGACCCTGAATACCCAAAGAAGCAGCAGTCAGCGGCTCTTGTCAACCTTGATCGTACAGAGCTCTGGCTTATGGCGCAAAAAGCTTATCTCCAAGGCGTTGTCGTAGAAGACGAGTCACAGTCGAGTCCCACGGAGGAGCAAGAGACAATTGAGATCAGTGTAAAGGGTGAGGAAAAGGGATCCGAGGCAGAATCCGATGCATCCCCAATCACTCAGAAGAAGAAGACCGTTCGATTCTCGGAAATCGTGGTCCAGACAAATGTTCCCCGTACTCTTCCCTCCAAGCTTGCTCAAAAAGAATCTGCATACTACCGGGCCTTCCAGGACTATATCATCCGATCTAGTCAATCAGACGCCTTCGTCCACCGTCTCCCACGGTTCGAGGCTCTCCAGGCGCAACGCATTGCTTTACGTGAGGCCCATCGCAATCAGCTACTCGGCAAGTATCAATTGTCGGTAGTCCCCCAGTCCGCACGAAAGCGCATGAGTGCCAACGTTGTTCGTGGTGACGATGTTCTCGTTGATGACCCGGAGAAGCTGAAGCGTGAAAAGGAGGAGGAAGCGTTCGCTCAGATGGCTACAGCCAACTGGCACGTAAGCGCAGTCAAGGCTTTGAACAACGGACGACTATTCTCCGCCCCCATCGCTAAGCAATTGGCAAGACTTTCTCGCATCGGAGGCGCCCAGAGCCGTGCTCGCATTCTCGACCTTGGTGGTCAAGCAACATGCGATTGGGCCTGGCATTGCGCCATCACCTATCCCAACACGAAAGTCTATACAGTGACCACTAAGTCAATTCGTCAACTGTCAAACTGCAATATGCGTGGCCCATCAAACCACCGCCAGGTCGCCGTTGAGCGACTGACAAAGCTGCCCTTCCCCGACGGACACTTTGATCTTGTCTCTGCTCGGGAGCTTCACTCTATTCTCAAATTCATCGGCGAGAACGGTGAAGATGAGTGGGAGAGCTGCCTCAGCGAGATCATGCGAGTCTTGAAGCCTGATGGCTATCTTGATTTCTCAGTAATCGACTCAGACATCATGAACGCAGGTCCCCTTGGCCTCGCCAAATCAGTCGAGTTTGGCTTCTCGCTCAAGACCCTGGGTTACGACCCGAGCCCTACTCGACTCTTCCTGGGCCGTCTGGGCCGAGCTGGCTTCAGCGAGGTCCGCCGCGCTTGGATGTGCCTCCCTATGGGCCACACCAAGGTCCCAGCCGGAGAGAAGCCTCTCCCTGTCGTCCGCGACAGCCAAGGCATCGAGAGGACTCGTGAGATCGCAGCCATGGTTCAGGGCTCAACCAATGGCGCCGCCAGCATCGCCGGGCTTGCTGGTAGTTGGGCGTGGGAGCGCTGGCTCCTGCGCTGCGAGATGGAGAAAGTTGCGGGCGAGGGCCGCCTCTGGCTCGACGCTGCCGAGGTCCGCGAGGCGGGCAAGTGTCTTGAGGGCGTCCATGGCGTCATCGAAGAGGGTCGGAGCTGTGGTGCGGGATACAGGATGTTGAACGGCTTCGCGAGGAAGCCAAGGAATTAATTTACCGGAGGTGATATCGCGGCAGGGGTGTGAAAGCCAGACTCTAGACTCAGTCCTGAGTCTACCATTATCTTTTCTTTTGTTTGGTAACTTACTTGGATATACATGGTCTAACTAAGTATATTTGTCTTATGACTCGTACGCAGATGCGCGCGTTACGTACCGGGATAATGAGGTTGCATACAAGGGGACGGCGCCCGGTCAGTGGATGAGATGAATGAATGGGTCATGATGGTAGGGAGTGAAGGATTGGACGTAAGTGGATTAGGCAGGTAGGCAGTCATTGATAGCGTTGATACCCGTGCGGTTTGGTTAGGAATGGATTAAGAAAGGAAATGAAGACGAAATAGAAGAAGAAAAAAACAGAATATAAAAAAACAAAAGCGCTCTCTCCTCTTGTCTTTTTTGTCTTGACATTTTGTGATCGATAACGGTGATGGTTATATCGATCTTAAGGGACGAAAGGAAAACTTCGTATTTCTCCTGGTCTGTGATATGCCGTGATTCGTTACAGAACTACATTAAACTACCTATCTACTCAAGCCATCGAACTAGAGACTCGGTAGGACAAATACACAAATACTTAATGAAGCCATCGACACTCGCACGGTGAATTATATGTGCGATCGTACACTAACACTGGCAAGTAATCGAATTCAACGTCTACCATCCACCAAAAGTATACTTAAGCAACCAAAGATAGCTAGCTCTGCAGTATAATATAATACGGCTTCTAAGCTTTAACCACGGAATCCGTGATAAGCATTCATCCGCCCTATAGGCTAAACTTACTTCTACATGGTTAACCCGATCTACTAAGTAGGCACTCCTATCTCCCATTTATGTCTCAGGTCGCATTCATGGCTAGATTGTGTCAAGTCAAACAGGCAAGTTGAAACGAGACTATTCAAATCCTCGGCAATAGATGTGCTGGGACATATACTCTACTCTAGAAGCTAGATTGATGATAGTCACAACTAGCCAATTCGTCATGAGATAACCCTATAATCAATCACTGCACAAAATTTTCCATAGATATATAAATTGACCAATTTATTGGGAATAAGTAAATACACACGTACGCCATGCGAAGTAACCGACTGCAACAAAGAGACCCTATCCTTGGTGGTATAGTATTACAGGCCCTGGCCATCTCCAGGCCAGCCCTAACCACGTAGAGGTGCAATTATTTTTACTCCTTGCATAACCCAACTATCTCGCACCTTACGATGAGCCCTTTCCAGCCCGCTTGTTCACCTCAGCCTTGACATTCTCGGCACCAGTAGAAACAGCTTCAGCAGCCTTGTCCTTGGCGTCCTTGGCCTTCTCCTTAGCATCAGCAGCCGCCTTCTTGACGGGGGCTGGGGCGCTGCCTCCAGATGTGAGGATACCAGCAAGAGCAAGGATGGTGACTAGAAGACCGCCAATAGCGGTAGGAACTTCAGGAACGAACTTGATGGCTTCAACGGGGTCCTTGGCAGCAATGGTGAGGAAGAGGTCGAGCTTCTCCTTGACGTAGGTTACAGGGTCGTCGAGGAACTTGAGGTCAGATGGAGACTTGGGCTTGTCAGCATCCTTGGGCTTCTCGGCCTGTTCAATAGCCTTCTCAACGGGTTGCTTGACGAAGAAAGTCTCGTCGGCTAGCTTCTTGGCTTCATCGATGGAGTGACCAATGTAGATGTTGTCGAACGACACGTCAGCTTGCATTGTCCAAAGCTCAAAGCCAATCTATTTTCCTACAAGTCAGTGAACGCACTTCGAAAAGAGACTAGGGCAATTAACTTACAGCGCCAATGGGTTCAAAGTTGGCAGGGGTCTTGTCTTCAAAGTAGTCAGGGTTAGCAATTTTGCGAGGTGCCCAGACTCCCTTGTAGTCAGGGTTGTCAATGTACGGGGCACTCCAGGGACCCTTGTAGTCGGGGTTGCTCTTCATGGGCTTGGTCCAAGAACCACATCCAGAAACCTCAGCGCACTTGGGGTTGGGCACAAGAGGGGCAACCCAATCGCCATCCTCTTCGTCATCCCAATCTTCAGGCTTCTGGGCCTCGGGGTCGGGAACGGTCGTGGGCTCGTTCTCGAGCCAATCCTCAGGCTTTTCAGCTTCCTCATCGACAATCTCGAATGGCGCATCCTCATCCCAGTCCTCTGGCTTCTTGGCCTCAGGGTCAGGAATACGTGCCTCGTCAACCCAGTCCTCGGGCTTCTTATCTTCAGGGTCGTCAATCTCCTCTGGGGGGTTGACAGCTGGTGAGAACTGGTCAAGGAGGCTGCCCTCACGAACGGTCTCGCCATCCTTTTGTACAGTAAAGGTGTTGTTGGGCTGGACAATCAAAGTGTACAAGTGAGTGAACTTGTCAATGTCGGCCTGGGCAGGGGAAGAAAGATGCTTCTCCTCGTATTCGCCAGTCTTAGGGTTCTTGTGGTTGAAAATGAAGTGAACCTTGTTGGTGTGGCCGCACTTGTCGGGACCAAACATAATGACGTATGGAGAGGCGTTGCTGAACTCCTCTTGATGAAGCGCCTTGTTGTCACGCAAGAGCTTCATGTAGGCACCACCGCATTCGAGACCCTCTGGACAGATACGATTAGCTTATGTAAAGATGTGAGAAAGCAATGAGAAACATACTCTGCAGCTTGACCTCGTATTGGACCACAAGAGTCTTGTCCTTAGGGTCAATCGCCTTGGGGAACTTGGCAGAGATAGCGTGATGGGCGGCAGCGTTCTTAGCGACGAGATACTTGTCGCCAACCTGGCCATTGTAGATATAGGGCTCTTCAACTGCCCACTCGCCAACGTAGGCCCATTCCTCTTCCGAGCCCTTGGTGTCCTTCTTGGCGTGGGAGGCTTTCCATCGAGATTCCCAGCCATTACCGAACTGCTCGACGAATTCGCCCTTGGCGGTAGTAGGCTATGCGGCAAGAACAGCAGTTAGCATTTTCACCACCTCCAGTATGCGCTAGGAAGCTATAACATAGGATAGACTCACAGTGAATGTGGGCATCACGGCAGGCATGGTATACGAGGTGGATGGCTTCGCGGCAGCGCCACCGGCACCAGGAGCACCTGGGATGTGGTGTTGGCCAGCGTGACCGTGAGGGCCTCCCATGCCATGGAAGCCATGGGCTTGGGCACCGCCTGCCAGAAGGGCAATAGCGACAGCGGAGTTGAGATGCATAACTGCTAGTGAATAAAATATATATAGAATCAATGAAGAAGCCAAATGGCGGAGAAAGAGACAGCTGTCCACGAAAGAGCTTTTAGTTATCGACGGCAGCCGACCCGGCGATGGTAAGGGAGATCAGATCAAGACGAGGAGGACGAGGGGAATGGGAAACGACGATGAAGGATTCCCAGAGCTGACGACGAAGAAAAATGATTCTCCACGAAAGACTAAAGGAAGAAAGACATCGAGCGGAGAGAAGGAGACAATCAATTGGAATTTATTATCTGCGCGAAGTTGCTAGAACCTTTTTGCTTCTAGGAGAACACCAACGTGGCCTTTTGGGGGGGAGAGGGACAGCTGGGGGGGCCGCGGCAGTAAGCTATCGCTGCAGCGCCCGGCATCCCCAGTAGGTACCATGCTTATAAGGGAGGTTAGCGCAAACTGCCCAGTGTCCTTTAGATGCAGCACAGCACCTAAAGTAGCTCTTAGTGGGGATTAGGGTACAACCTAGAAGAGGTACATGTGTCCCCACTCCAGAAGGGTAGGTAGGTACTTCGTATGTACTTATGTAACCACGCCCCAGCCTGCAATATGCAGAGATATAATCAAGTAGGTATGCATTTGTAGAGACCTACACGAACATGATTGTCTTACAGTCTCGACAGCTTGGATAAGCTACAGTTGGTCGAACCTATCAGCCAAAGCTTCCATGATTCATTCTATCACTAGGAATCCTACTTAGTTAATACACTGTATCAGTTCCCATCAGAATCAGATGGAGCACCGCTAGTCGGTTGCCAAGAGCACCATTTTTAGCAGACTCCGGGGCCTTACATGTCGCAAAACCGTGCCATAATGCCTTACGGCTAAGGTGCCTAAAGCCGCTAGGTTAGCACATCAATTGGCGGATCTGATTGGCTCGATAGACGGTAAGCTTACTAAGTATACTCATTCTACACTGCCAAATACCAGTGAGTACACTAGAAGTTTAATAAAACAGCCCACTTCCTATGAAACTATGTCTCTAACATTTAATCTTATGCCTTTGATATTTCGATTCTAGGCTCTCTAATATAGCATTTTTCTTCTCAGCTGGGTTTCTTCAAGAGACCCGAACAGGAAGTACCTCTAGGTAGGTATAAGCTGGGCAACCACGTGTGATCAGCCACATTACCATCAGCCACATGAAGCCTAGCCACATGACGAAAGACCCCCATTGGCTGTGGGTGTTGACAACAGTTGACGACAATTGACCTGACTACAAAGGCTACATTTACCATGTACCGTCTTTGATCATATGGGCCACATAGATCACAACTGGTTACAAAGACAATGATTGGTCGTGCGAGCGAAGTTGATCATATTGGCTGATTGATTTGCATTGAAGTGCGAAGGGTTGTATAGGCTATAACTGCAACCCCGCGCCATAGCCGTATTGGCTATATTCACGACACATGTTTAGGTGTCAAATACAGGGAATCATAACCACAATGAAAGACCCAACTCAGCCAATCCACTCCCGAGCTTGTGCCGAACCAGGGACTGCCCTTCACTACCCACTTATGCTGTTTCTCGGGCCTCACCTCACTCGGCCCCTGCTTTAGACCGAGATCCGCGTTTCGAGACTTCAAGTGCGCTCGTGACCCGTTCCTACCTTTACCTATTAACTGCCCAGCATCACTTTCATTCGCTACTCGGAAGCCACAACAAGCTTGCCCAGCTTCGATGGGTGAGGAATCATCGGGTTGTTAACATTGTTCGCACTCTTCAGACTCACATACCGCGCCGTAGTCGATGTGGATGTCGTCGCCTTCTTAAGGGGGTTGACGAGAACCTTTTTCTCCGCAGGGATACTATTGTTCATTCGTCAGCAGCCTACTGTAAATGAAATAGGAGTATTCTTTCCGGGAAAAAAAAAAGGAGGAGAAGAAGAAGAAGAAATGGCTCTCATCTTGGGCTCGGGGTAATACATACGGCTTCCAGGTGACCGTAGCGATCACAGATCCATTGTTGGTAAATAGAGGGTTCGAAAAGTCAAGCTGACCAGCACCAGAGTACACGAATCTCCCAGGGCTATGGACGCCACTGGTGAGGGATTTTCCTAGCTCCTTCATGCGCTGTTTAATATTCTTGCCGATGGCGTCACGTAGCTCTGTTTCGTTGGTATGGTAGGCTTTGAGAGACTCGGATTCCGTCATCTCTCCCGTCATCTCTAGGTGCATCGGGTTGTCGCTGTTGGACGAATCGCCCAGGACGAGCTCGACTCCTCCGTCCACGGTCACCATGGTGATTCCGATGTTCCATTTTCCAGAGTACAGCTCACTGGAGTTGAAGCACTTTCATCAGCAGACATACCTTTTTTTTTCTAATGCGATTATGGAACGGCTATCTTCCTGAGAATCAGTTGACTTACTGAGAGTGATGCTGGGGATTCGACATGGAAGAATTGTTGGCGATCTTGATACCGCGGCAATATTGGAACTCTCCCTTGAGCTCCATTTTTGCTGTACCGGGAGATAATGTAAATGTTGAAGAGGCCTTGCCTGAGAAGAAAAAGTTGAAACGCATCAGTAAGGGATCGACATGCCCGATGCGGATGTGAAGGTCTGGTAACAGTACTCACTCCAATGCTCCGACTGCCACCACGTCTTCCCGTTATCAATGTTCTGATCGTTTACCGGCCCCTTCGATTTGTCAATGTTCCTCGTATACGTATACTTGTTTCCATCCGCACTCTTCTGGAACTGGAAGACGCTGCTGGTATATGACTGGTGATCAGGGTCATGGCCGCAGTCGTAAGGGAAGCCCCAGCCATTGGCACTGCCGTATAGAGGCCCGACCCATATAGTCGTTGCTTGATTAAGTGACTGCAGCTGCTCTAGGAGGAATTTCTCCACGAAGAGCGGTTGGGTCACGAGAAATGACCCGCTCACCTCTGGTAGCTGACCTGAGGCAGGATGGCAGAAATTCCCTGAAAAGCCGACTTGTTTCGAGTCAGGTAGCTTGGCACCCCCGACCTTCTCAAGGTACAGAAGGCAATTGGCATTCCCGAGAGTTGTGAAGCCGGTACTGGATTTACCATCCTTATCTCGGTAAGGGTAGATCTGATGAATCATGGAGGTGGGAGCTACGTTACGATCTAAAGTTAACAGTCATGTCCCTAGAAGCAGGCTGTTAAGTTATTTGAAGAATCTGCGCTTACTGAATGTAGGGTGCTCCTTGGCAACTATATTAACCTTAAGTGTCAGTGATAAGAACGTTCCAAAGCATAACAATCTTCGATTCTTGAGATGTCACACACCCTTGTCAGGTAGAGAGACTTTGATACCCAGCGTCGTCAGTCCCTTCTTATTCATAGCTCTAGCCCAGGAGCTACAGAGACTTGAAAATGCAGAGGCAGCAGCATCGTCATCATCTTTCCAGTCGTCGTATTTCATTACTTTACCGTCTGAATCGAGAAATACTGAATTATCCATATCGAAGTTGTTCCAATTCGCGGCTAGTAATGAAGAGAACGTCACCCATCGCGTTAGCAATCGATCGGCAGCATATAGCCATCAAGAAAGGAGAGTGAAAGTAGAATTACAAGTTAACTTAGCATAGAGACGTTCGATGCGATAATCCCCCGGCACGTCGAATTCGTTTTCAATGAACTCGCGTTGTGCCTTCTCCGTCTTCGTTTCCTTGTCTGCCGCCTTCCTGTTGATGAACTGCTGGTCTAGGTCGCAGGCGACACACACCATCCAGCCGTCCAAGGTGTATGTTCGTTGAACGGTCCCCTTCTTTTTCAGGGTCCCTTTGCTAAACCTGAGTCGGTATGGTTTTAGCGGAAGTTTATAGTCAACGGGGACGAAGGTACAAAGAATTGGCAAGGCTCAAGAACACGAACCGAATCTGATGATACACTTTTGTCAGGTTCAACCCAACGCTGTCAGGGATGAGAATTCGCGAGGGTAGCAAGTCTGCCTTCATCTCGGCTTCATCATTGTCCCATTCGATCTTCTGCAGGTCAGGGTACCTGTTGTATAGGCCTTCGAAGCTGGAGTTGATGATGCCTTGGGTTACGGCCATGCCCTGGTCGTAGAATCCATCTGCAGTCTTTAGATTCACCTTGAGGCGTGACTGAAACTCGAATTGTTGAGTCATTGTGAAATTTAAGGTAAGTGAACGAGACCCAAATGGTCGAGGTTGTAGATAATTAGTCAACGACAACACAGAGAAAGCTAACAAGTTGCTCGAAGCTTAGAGAAGTAATAATCGTGCAGTATCAACCGGCATGGCTTTTATAAGTCAGTTGTAGTCTATCAGAAGCACTCCCTTTAGCATGGTTACTTCTTGCCGATTACTATCAGGCTTGTGATCTCCCTCTTTCGCAATAGTCGTTACGAGAAGCAAGCTGAAACACCATGTAGCCTGTCATCTGCCAACATCACAATCCGAATTATTTGTCGCCAACCCCGCTCTCACATATTGTATCTATGCAGTTGATTCGACGTCACCACTAGCTGGTTCTGGTGAACTGGTAGGCAGCCTCAGACTATCGAAGGTCTAGTACACTGGATCTGCAGGACTTCAGCTCGCAGAGCCGCAATTTTGTGAACTGAATGCATGTGTCTTCAAGTGTCATCCCATATTGTGACAAGGGCTCTTGTAGAGGGCTTGGAACTTAGTCATATTCATTAATAATCTACTAGGGGTCTCTAGGGCCTTGATCTCTCTTCTCTTTCTCTAAAGTGGAAGATTGTTTAACTATTTATACTTATTAGTTACGGCTCCTAGCCCTTGGGGCTAGCCGTACAGGTTGGGTCAAATGAGTGGCTAGGTTAGTGGGTCAGTTAGTGGTCAGTGCGTACAGCCTTCCGTAGTGTATATAGCCTAGTTGACGAAGGTCATGACCTGGCAAGTCATTCCTTACTTCGTCACCATATAATTAATAGTGTGTTTCCAGTATTCACCGACGACACTGCACATTGCGCCCGTCGTGACATTATTCAAGCTTTATATAGATAAAAACAAGATCATCAATCAATACATTGAATTCTATATACCATCGCTTATATTTAATAAATATATTAACCATTAATTTAAAATTAAAAAATTAGTTAACTTAATAATTCTAATAAAGGTAACTAGTAATATTTTTAATATTTAAATAGAAAGTATAAATATAGCGTATATATATATAAAACAGGAACTACTTCTATTTTGGTGGAGATTATACTAATTTGGAAGTACCGGCGGATTTTATTAAGTCAACCGGTCATTTTCAAGTCAAAGACCCCAACGCTTCTACTGGAAGTCAGAAAGTTGGAGACGGAAGTGGAGTCCCAACGGGTAGCCTGCGGTAATCCATTTAAATTAACCCTTAATTCTGACACCCTGTACCCCTGACATGGGTCTATCATTAGACACCCATTAGCCAATATTCCGGCTAAGATCATATTCCTTATATCTGACAATAACTGTCCCACCAGCTCAACTTTCCCCTCTTTTTATCCATATGACCGCAAGAGGACGTTGAAACCTAACCTCCAGGGCCACTTAAGCCACATGCCTTGTACAGGGGCGGGGCTTGACCCTCAGACACGTCGCATAAAAGCAGGGGAATCTGCAAACCATTACCAACAATATAACAGTTTTTCACCCAGGCAGCCGTCCCAGCAGCCACGCACTGTTCCATCATGTTGCCACATAACGTAAGAGGTATTGCAATGGAGGAGTCCGACCAGAAACTCGCTCAAATGAAGTCGATAATCAATGAGATCAAGGCTATCTACAACCAGGGCACCCCGTTATTCACCAAAGAAGCCATGCGGAAGGTCGGTCAAGAACTCGAAATTTGCAAGACAGTTACTTCGGGTCGTCGATATATCACACTAAGGGGCATCAACGGAGTCAATTATACGAACCCCGTTGATCACCCCCGGGAACAACTTACGTCGAGAGCCGAGTTATACGTTGGGGGTTCAACTTGGTCAGTGATTATGTCCACTCATTCAACCGATCCCCTCTCTAACGATGCAATATAACAGGGTTATAAACTACAACTCAATCGAATCTCTTACAAGGGAGAGAGACATTGAGTTTTTCTCTCCCCAGCGTGCATACCTGGCGATGGAGATTAATGCCTGTTACAGAGAGCTAGAAACCCCTCTCATTCCCGATGAAAATAATTTGCAGATATTTTCTACCGAAGATTTGCTCAAAGCTTACCAAGATATCGGACGACAATGGAGGACTAGCGACTACTACCAACAGCTTCAAGCGGCACTTGCTAAAGTAAAATCCCCTATTGCTTTGGATAAAATCATTGGCGTTGCATTAGGGCCCTTAACAATACAGACTCAACTTAACCATCGCTCCGTCCTCCAGCATATACTATTGTCTGCTATTCAATCGATCTTCATTGAACAGAATGTATTATCGGCTTCGAGTAAGCGATATGTGCAAGACCCGGTATATACACAAGAACATCAAGACGCTTTATCTCTTACCGAGTTTACCATGCTTGAAGATCCCCAGGCATTTCTTGCCTTGGACAATTCAAGTGTTCTGCTGTCCATTTGTGCCGATATTCCGGTGAAAGAGATTATAGCAGACATTTGCTGTCCCGGTGTTATAATATGGGATAGGAAGATAAATGATTCTGTTTTAAGGTGAGCTTCCAAGGTATTAAGATGATGCTTTAAAACCGATGTTTAACAAGTAGCGATTAGAACTAACCTAGACTCTTCGAGGGTCGACAAACTTCTCGAGCAAAATTATCATGAGTTGCACTTCCCATTTCACGAGTCATTCAGTGATCTAGTTATGTATGTTAGGAAGACTACTTGAGGAGGATGATGTTGTTGCTGCAACTATGCTGTACTACTCAGGTACTTATAACAAGATGTCACGCAGAATCACTGCTGTTATTCGCAATGCCTTATCCCTCAATTTTCTGCTTACGTGGAAATAGAGTTATAGGAGAAGGAGCAGTTAAATCTCAAATTGAATCAAATGAGCGGATTGTATTTTATATATATAGATAAAACGAGCGTGGTAATGGTGGTAAAAATGCAGTTCCCATCTATTCTTTAGATCCAGATCTAAATGAATGATATATGTTGAATGATAACAGACCAAAATTCTGCAACTCGCACCTATATCCAGGTGCAAATGAATGACGAGAGTTGGACGATAACAACTAGCGAAAACAATTTAACACCTGTACTTAGTATCCTGGTCGAAATGAGTGACATGAGTTTGACAGTAGACCATCAACATTGCTTCGCTTCCCCCTCTTCCGTGGCCCAGCCCAATTGAACCCCACACTTTGCCGTGACTATTGTGGCGGAGTGCGGCATCGAAAGCATCTCGCCGTGGATTTGTTATCGACGATCACCCTGAAATGACCTGCCTGGCCCACCCGGTTACACGGGGATCCGATCATTTCGTCATGGGTCTCACACCCACACTCGGTTGTGTATCTGACGTATTGGCACATCTTGCGAGTTGTTAATACTGATGTGTACCTGAAGACATGAGATAATAGGCATACCTTTTAAGATAGTCTTAGAATCCTCAAATGCTGGAATGAATTTTGTTTGTCTTCTTGTTTGTCGCAGGTAACTGTTCGGTTGATGTTGAGTGATTATGGTTGATATTGAAATTCCAGGACAAAGGTGGTGGGTGTAAGGCTCTAAATACTCCTTTGCATTGGTATGATTTTCTATTAACATTGGGAGCCTCGGATCAGAGAAGGGAGTTGGTTTTCGAGACTGAATCAACGAGAACATAACACCACGAAGGCGTAGATTCGTTGGTTTCAGAAACGAGGTGATGATAATGCAAAAGACGGTAGTCCAGGGGCCAGATACGTTTGTGCCATTCAAGTAAAAGGCAATGATCAAGTTCGGATTATCGTGGGATGAGGATGCCTGCCAATGTTAGTTGGTGAGGTGTTCTCTTAGCGCCGACAACCTCCGCCTCATTTGGTAAATTGTACAATTCCTGATCTCCCGCCGCAGAGCCCCCTCACGCCCCTTCCCAGGCATGGCTCTTGAAGCGTCCCGCCGCAGGATATCGACTCCCTATTGACTCCCTGCGTAGGCATCGCTTCTGAAGTTTCGCTCCAACAACTGCCCATCCGTCGCCGCCTCTCACCTCATGGGGGAGCGGTGTATGAAGTCGTTGACGAGCATTCTAATCTTCGGCCCTCCGAAGGCGGTCCTAGACAGCGAGCGATAGAAGAAGGAGAAGTACAGGATCTTGAGAAGGCTCATGGTTTGGATGGATCGTGGATGCCGATCCTCAAAAACATAGAAGAGGAGACAAGTGGCAACACTTACCGGATTCAGTTTATCAATGTCGAGGATCCGTCACAGACACGATGGATCAGCACCGATGACGAACACATCAAGCGGTTCCGGACTCTTATGGACGAGAAGTTGAAGCGGATGGCTCGAGGGTTTGAGTATGCAAAGGGCAGCCTAGCCCGTCGCAGCAACGCCCTCGACGCCGAAGCCGTAGACGGTCTGAATTCTATGTTTGTTATCAAGACACTCATTGAGGAGCCATCGGAGAAACCCGCGGTTGGGCTTCCTAGTGACGGGTCAACGCTGGCGATGGCCCTCCAGGTGCACACAGCTACATCAACATTGCGCAGCTCGGTCATGGTGTACTGCAAGACACGTCCAAGGTAGCACAACTGGCTAAATTGCTCGTCGAGAGCGAAAAGACGGGGCAGAAGACTTTGACAAGCTGCACACGGGCGCTCAGTCGTGGTCTAGGGACTGCTTCTGAGGTGGCGGGTATCATCTTCGCCGGTGCCAATGTAGTTTTGGATGCCGTTGAGCTCGCCCACGCCGAGACCGAGGACCAGAAGGCTGTCTTTATAGTACACCTTGCCTTCGACTCTATCAGCCTAGGTGTGGCCGCAGGAGCTACTGCGGCAGGCATTGTCGGTGCTTCGACCCTGAGCGGCGTACTAGGCAGCGTGGCAGTACCCCTGGCCGGGTTAGGCATTGCGTTTGGGGGTTTGGTCGAAGCACTGGGCAAGGTGGCGTCCAACGCACAGGAGGTTGGGCGTTACTTTGGCGATGCGGAAGACGCGTACAAGCGCGGTGCTTACACACTTGAAGATGATGCCAAGGTCTTGTTGCCAAAGCGATGCGCGGTCATCAAGAAAGTCGACCTCAACACTCGCACAGTCACGTTCGATAGCCAGTATATATACCGCACATATGTCAGCGGTGGTCTCTGGTGGGCAGGAACAACTACGAGGATGGACTTGGACCGTAGCAAGGCTCTCAATGTCCGAAAGAAGATTGGAATACAGTCCGACACCTGCCAGCTACCTGTGAAGAGTGACGATGAATACAAGTGCCTCGTCCTGCCGCTGACCCCCAAGTCGTTTATCAGGTACAACTACAACTACCTGCCATTCTCTACATCTCGCGGAGACTATGGCTTTGACGTCTTGCGACGGATGGAAGGTGAAGGAGAGGAAAGCTTCCTCTTCGACTTCTTTCGCCCCCCTATTCACTGGATCATTGATACGATTTCGCATGAGTATGTGGATACGGGGGTTACTATTGCGTTGACCTCGAACTCGATGAGGCTCCAGGTACCGCCACTTCCATATCCAATGTCGAGCCGGTTGAGTTACACGATCCAGGGCGCCGGGGGCTCCTATGCTATTGGGCTAGAGAAAATTGCGGATATAACCCTGTCAAGCTCAAAAAGTACTACAAAATGGCTTCTTGATGTCAGAACACTGAAACCTCAGACTGTTGAAATCGTTGATGAGTCGTCTGCTAAAGTCTGTGATATAAGTATCTTCACCTCGGACGCCAATTATGAGTCCCTTTTAGTTCTCAAGTCAAATGGCGAAACACTGAAAGTCGATTTGAAGAACAAAAGCACCTCTACCGTACAGGTCGACGCCGACACATATCCCCAAGGGAGTGCAGGTGTGGACACCCACCTCCAAGACTTGGACAAACGGAATCAGCTGCAAGGGCAGTATATCATCGTGACCATTACAAGGTGAAGAAACTCGGCAATGAAACTACTGATGAAATGGTAGGACGGGCGTATTATGAGGTGTCTAAGAAGCGAATGCTATTCACAAGAAATGCGCCCGCGGCACTGACAGCGACGACTCAGCTAGGGGGTTTTGTCGGCGATGTTGTCTATTTCTACTCTATTGAGCACCAAGCCTTCTGGAGAGTAGACGCCAACACCGGGGTTTGCAAAGCAAAGTATGAAGCCCTGTTCAGATCTTCAAAGAGGTCATTAAAGAGCGTGTGGCTGGAAGGTAAGGTGATACCCGTAGCAGCAGCTGTCACGGAACCAAGGAAGCCTAATTTCCGATATACAGCACGGACTAAGGAACATTGTATATAACGCTAGGAAAGGGAATAAGGGGCAAAAATTAAAACTTCCCTCCTTATATAATAATAGAATAAATATATAAAACTATAGTTAAATAGTATTACAATAGTTTATTATATTTAAAAAATAGGTAATATTTTTCTTTAAGGATTAATTTATATAAATACTTTAAATTTACCTTTAAAATATTATAAAATTAAAACTTTTAACCTTTAATATTCCTACTTTAATAAAACTTTTTATATATAAATATATAATTATTAATATTATTAATAATTATGTAATAATTATAATAGCTTTATAAAATTTAAATTTAAATATTATAACTTTAAAAAATATATTATAAAGATTTATAAAGATTTTAAAATAGTTTTAATAATTTTTTTAATAATTATTACTTTATATAATAAATATAATATTTTAAACTATTACTTTAAAGGAAAATATAAATATATTAATAAAGAAATTTAAATAAAAAGATATTAAATATAAAATATATTAAAATTTAATATAATAATAAATAAATATAATAAAATAAATTTATATTAAAGTTTTAACTTTAAAAATTATATTAATAAATAAACTTTAAATAATAAAAAATATTAAAGGGAATTTATAATAATAAATAATAATTAATAAGTTATTAATTATAGCTCTTAATCCTTAATATTAACTATATAAATAAATGGATAGGTTAATAGGTTAATTAATAGGTTAATTAATGGTTTAATTAATGGTTAATATATATAGCCTTTTATAATATATATAGCTTAATAAAGGTTATAACTTAATAAATCATTCCTTACTTTATTATTATATAATTAATAATATATTTTTAATATTCATTAATAATATTATATATTATACTTATTATAATAATTATATAATCCTTAATTTATTAATTATTAAATAACTTAAGCTTTATATAATAAAGGTACCTTTTTATATAGCCTTTTTACTTATATTTTAAAGTTTCTTTACTTTTTAAATTTAATTAACCCCCTTTATAGCTAAACCTCTTTTAACCCCCTTTATGGTTAACCTTTAAGGATTAATTAATGTATATTTATATAACTATAGGAAAGCTTTTATATAATAGAAGTTCGTTACGTTAAGCTATATATTATATATAATTTTAACTTAACAAAGCTCTCGCATAGCTCTTGCCCTTAACCCCCCCCCCCCCCCCTTCATCACCCTTCGTTACTACCAAGGCTCCCTTCGTAGCCTACCCTATAGCCCCCTTCACAGCTACAACCCTTATTCTATTCGACCCCCTCTGCGGTTACCTATTCGACCCCCTACGCGATCACCTACCGGACCCCTTACACAATTAACCCTTTATTCGACCCCCTCCACAATCGAACCTACCCTATATAAATACGCCCCCTACACAGCTTTTCGCTCGTTTCTTCGTTACTAACCCCCTCCGCTAACCAATACCCCTTTTAATTATACCCTTTCGTACAGTTAAGCTAGTTTTTACATATAAAATTAACTATATAGTACTTGGAATAATAAATTAATATTTAAACGTAAACCAGATTTAAGCCTTAATTTAAACGGCTATTTCTATTGCTATAGCCAACCTGGCCCAGGACTTTAACGCCCAATTAAAATAGTTAAAGGTTACCTACGTAGTAGAAATAGCAAAGCTACGCGCTATTTAAAATATAGCTATTTCTACTCTTTCGTACCAAAAACCTTCTTTTATCCTATTAAACCCTCCTCTTTTTATAGGTCCTTAAAAATTTGAAGTCTAATTACCCCTTTTAAAAGGAAAATTATAAGTTAATAAAAATATAATAAGTAGCTTAAAAGCTAAGTTTATATATATATATATAAAGTTAAATTAAAAAGTATAATAAATTATATATTTATAATTATTTATTATTAAATTTAATATATAAAACTTTTTTAAAATAATAAAAGTATTATAATAAATCTATTATAATTTAAATAAAATTATATAAATATTAAAAAGGTTAAAAGCTTTATAATTTAAAAATATAAATTTTATATATAATTTCCTTATTATTTAAAAGAAGAATTTATAAAATATAAATATTTAATAATAGTTAAATTCCTTTTATATTTAAAACCTTTATTTAACCTTATTACTTTACTTATAAAGTAAATTAAATAAATGTAAAGCTATTTTTATTATATATAATAAATTTATTAAACTTTTATTTTAATTAAGTTAAGGTTAAAGGAATAATTATAAAGTTACTTATATTAATTTTAATATAATAAAAGGTATTACTCCTATAGATTTAAATAGTTTAAAATTAATAAATAGCTTTAAATTAAACTAAATTAAACTATTAAATTAAATATCTTTTAATTATAAAACTACTTTTATTTTATTAATTTAAATACTTATTAATTCTATTAAGTAAAAACATTTAAAATGTTAAAATTATAATAAATATAAACGTTATAATAAATTAAACTATATAATAACTAATTATAAATTATTACTTTAAAGGGAATATATTAAGTTTTATAAATTATAATAATAATTATTACCTTTAAAGTTATTTAAGGTTATTTTTATACCTATTTTTAAGTATTTATAACCTTTATAAGAGTAGTTATAGCTTTTAGCCCTTAGGGCTGGCCGTATAAATAAATGAATAGGTTAATAGGTTAATTAATAGGTCAGTTAATGATTTAATTAATGGTTAATACATATAGCCTTCCGTAGTATATATAGCTTAACGAAGGTTATAACCTAGTATATTAAAATAGAGGACATATTAATAGATAATATAATATAGGGGGTAAGTTAAGATAGCTCCAATTCCGGGGATCTACCTTATAAAATTACTAGTATACGCTTTAAGAATAAAGTAAAATTTACTTAATAATAATATATATATACTTTAAAACCTTTAATTAATTAACTTGCTTATTTTAATAATTAAAAGTTTTATATATTAAAAATATAACTTTATTAACCTTTAAAACTAAATAACGTAATATTAAAAGATAATATAATAATATTATTAACGCATCTCCCACTTGACCTGGCCACCCAATTAACCTGGCCACCCCAATAACTTATATAAAACCCTATTATTTTAATCTTTAATAACTTTACGAATACTAATCGTACGATTTAATAACTAATACCGTTAAATCCATTAATTAAAGGGGAATCCAACGGTGTTTTTTACTATTTTTTATAAAATTTATTAAGCGAGATATTAAGCAATACGTTAAAGGGGCACTAAGTAGGGATTAATTTAGCGCTTACTTTAGCGTATTGCTTAATAACTCCGCGAGTATAAGTCGTAAGAATTAGTAAAGAGTACCGTTAAATAGCTCTTTTTATTACGAATCTAATGGTACATTTTAATGTTTTATACGACTATTATTTATAGAGTTATTAAATTATCACGTGATTAGCGTACCGACGTTTATTGTATGGGCTAGGGGGGTGGCCAGGTCAATTGGGTGGCCAGGTCAAGTGGGAGATGCATTATATTAATTATAAAGTTTTTATAATATAACGCATCTCCCACTTAACCTGGCTACCCAATTGACCTGGCCACCCCCCTAGCCCATACAAATAACGTCGGTGCGCTAATTATATAATAATTTAATAACTCTACAAATATTAATTGTATAAAATAATAAAATATATTATTAGATTCGTAATAAAAAGAGCTATTTAACGGTACCTATTATTAACTTTTACAACTTATATTCGCGGAGTTATTAAGCAATACGCTAAAGTAAGCGCTAAATTAATCCTTACTTAACGCTCCTTTAGCGTATTGCTTAATATTTCGCTTAATAAATTTTGTAAAAAATAGTAAAAAATACCTCTGGATTCCCCTTTCACTAACGGATTTAAAGGTACTACTTATTAAATCGTACTATTAGTATTCGTAAAGTTATTAAAGATTAAAATAATGGGGTTTTATATAAGTTATTAGGGTGGCCAGGTTAAATGGGAGATGCGTTATTATATTTAATAATTATATAATTTTTAACCCTTTAAATCTTTAAATATTAATATTTACCTTTTTATAGCTTAAAATAAATATTATTAAATCTTTTATTATAATTAAGTTTTTTAATTTAATTTATTTAAAGTTTAAAAATTTAACTATTTTATTAAAGATATAAAAGGTTCTTTTTAAATTTAAAATTATTAAATTTTTAAAAGAATATTATAATTTATTTCTTTTAAAGATAACCTTTTAAACTATAAATATATTACTTATAATTTAATTAATTAATTATTTATTTTAAATTTTAAGTTTTATATTTTATTTTTTATTATTTAATTTAACTATTTTTTTTATTAATTTTAAATTATCTTTAATAACTTATATTATAATTTACTTTATAAAAGTTTAATTTATTTAATAATATATATTAATAATCTTTAAATTTATAAAACTTTTAATATACTTTATATATTTAAATATTAATTTATAATTACTTTAATATAATTTTTTATAAATTCCTTCCTTAATTATTAATATAACTTTATCTTTATCTTTATTAATAATATAGATTTAAGCGGTTTATTTTTTATTAAGTTTATTTATCTTTATTACTTTTTTTTTATTTATTAATCCTATAAGTAAGAAATATACCTTTAAATATTTTATTACCTTTAAATAGTAATAAATATATTAATATAGGTTAATTATTTTACTTTTATTATAGCTTAATTAATTATATAATAATTAATAGTTTAATTAAAAATTATTCCTTTAAATATATATTTTAAATTAAAAATTAATATATTTAAGGAT